AAACTTCTGCACATCTTTTTTCAATCTTTTTTTCTTGGATTTCCAGGAAAAAAATATTGTTTTTCGGACCATTTGTTTGGAAAGATATTCTTTATTCATCCGGTTCATGTTGTTCATACCTATTCAAAAACGTTCTCAGGAAAAATAACTTTTTCTCAAGTTATGCGCATTTTCGAGTAGATCGGACCGTTTTGGTATCATATTCGTATATAAAACGAAAAAAGTTCTTTCAGACATTTCCACTCGAAAATGCTCTTTCTTGTCTTTTTGCTACTTGATGACATTCTCAAAAACGAATTTGAATAGGATTCGACATCCTTTTTTGGAGTTTCATTCATTTCCGCTGAGGCAAATCGCGTTGAACTTGATGATGTCGGAGCTGAACTTCCGCTTGATGGGATATTCCTGCGGAGGGATCAAAAAGTGCGTAGGTTGGTACAGTAGAAAAGAAGCTATGGTTAATGACAATTCTCAGCCAGGAGTTTCGAAAAAACTTCCCTAAAATGGCTTTTTTCTGATCTTTGGCTTATAAAATAAGCTGGACGAGAATATTCAAATTCCTCCAAAAATTGGATTTTCGCTCTTTTTGATGCTTTCCCCACTTTTTAAAACTCTTTTGACTCACTAGGGACAATTTTCAGCTTCTTGTTTGAATCAAAAATAGTATCGCAGAAAAGAGTTAGGTTCAGTGAATAATAACCCAAGTTAATAAGATTTCTATTGTCCAGACATCAACAGATTATCCGGAGGTTATTATGGAGATTTTCGACGGCCGTTGTCACAAAACATGGAAAGGAATTGTTCTGAGAACATTGAACCGTTCTGATTTCAAGGCAATTGTTTTGTTTACCTTCCAAAGACTTTCCAACTACCGTCTGAACACCTTCACAAGACCTTCTCAAGACCTTCTAGCTTCCATTCACCTTCCCTACTCCTTCTGGTTAACTTCCGAGAACCTTCCACGAGTTTCCTCAAGAAAAAAAAAACCAGTGTGTCCCATCCAACTCTTCACCGATCTAATTCTACTTCTTTTTTTTTCTGAAAAACCGACGTCTCCTGTCGGAAAAGCCGCCGCCGATGTTCAATTGGATTTTCTGCTTTTCTTTGTCTTCTTTTCTGTTTTTTCTTCTCACGGAGGTCCTTTAGGTGTTACTAACGAGCCGTTCTTTTTTTTGGTCTCAAGTTTTGTAGTTTGGTCATTTCAAAGTTTCATTTTGTTGAAGAAAAGGCTTCTTTAAAACTCAATAGGACCTATATCACAATGAGGTTTGGCAAGAGAAGTTTACTTTCTATGAAAAAAAAATGAAGTTTTTTTATTTTTAAAATAAAAATGATCAAAGTTATTTTTATAAAATTGCTTTTTCCGAGGAAGTGAGGCAAAAGCTGAGAAGGCGGAATTATCTTCTTCAAGGTATTTTGATTTTCTTGTTCCGCGTCATGAGAAATTTCGTCAATTCCTCGTTTTTTTGAAGCTTTTTCTTAAAGGAGGCCATCAAAAAGCTCTCAAATATTCGCAAAATGGTTGAGAATCGTGTCTTTTCATATGGCTATTTTTACCTCTTTTTTTCTCGATTTTTTGTTATTTTCTGTTTCTCAACTTTCTTTCACTTTTAAAACTATTCTTTTTCTTCTTTTTCCTACGGTTTCGTACCGTTTGAGCGGCGCCCCAAGTCGATTAGCCGAAGGATTTTAACTGAGATTGAACTTGTGACCCTGTAAACCGTAGACAGGCCCACAACCTGTTGCGCTACGGCTCACCTGCACTTTTTTTAACTTTTCGAAAAACCAAATTTCTTTGATCTTTCGACCTCAATCTTTACCATTTTTTTTTACCATTTTCAATTTTTCATAGCTCGATTCTTCTTTGGGTGCTCTGAGCTCTTCTCACGCGCTGAACAATGCAATTTGCTCATGGAAATGCGCTTTTTGTTCAGCCTAACGATCTTTTTTTCAATGTGTCATGCTTTCTGAGAGGTTCCGTGACCTTTATTTCTTGCTTTTTGGGAAGAAAGATGTTCCGAAATCAGTTTTTTATTGAAGTTTTCTCATTATGAATCGATATTTCCTCTTTATTCTACACGCTAGCTACTCTTATTGAAAGCTTCGGTTACTGTAAAAGTAGACCTTTTATCTTGGCCTATTGCTTAGTTGTCGTGCCAGGACCTTCTTTTTATTTCAAATCGAGATTTTTCAAAATTTTAGCAGTTTAGCAAGTAAATTTAATTTATGTTCAGGGATTTTTTAGAGTTTCTTCTTTTTTTTAGTTTCTTCCAGAGACTTTAAAATTTTTTAAGCCCTCAGTAAGTACAAAAAAAATTTTTTGAAAAATTTTTTTCTTAATTTTTTTCAAACTGAAAGAATGAAAGTCTTTTTTTAATGAAAACTAACTTTTTTTATTAGAAAAAAATCAAACACTTATGGTTAAACTATATTTTTTTCTTATTAAAATAAGCTCAAAAAAATGAGGAAATTTTTTTACTAGTAACGGTAGCTGTTCAATAGCCAGGTGCTCGTTCTTGGAATTTATGTATGTGAGAAATTTTGCGATCTTTCGCTTTTTCTTCATTTGCATTGAGATCGCAACATTCGCCTTTTTTGCGTCACACTTAAGGCCGATTCCAGTGGTTTTGAAGCGTTTTTATTTTTTAAATTTGACGCGTTCCAGGTTAAAAATTGTTCAATTAGTCTCTATTGTGACGTTGAAGGTCTAAAAATAGATAAAAATCGTTCGGTGAAGATGAAAAATATCCATCTTATTCGGTGAATATTGCAATATCAAAGCAGACTAATTTCATGAAAAAAAGGAATATTTTCTTCAAGTCTGAACTTTCTCAGTACTTCTCAAATAAGTCAAACCTGCCATCCAGCCCTCTTTTTTTTGAAATATGCTCTCTAGATATTCCAATATTTTACTAGGGGCACATGAAAAAGGTGGACCAAAAAGCCCTCGTAAATCTTTATTTTTTCTGAATGAGATGGGTTCCAGCAGGAGCGAGTTTTGAAGCACTTCTGAGCCAAAAATAAAAGATTGTTATTTTTGAATGACTATACTTTACTCCGTGTTTTGGTTCCTTGTCGTTGATCCAATTTCTCTCTTACTATCTATTTTTTTCTATCAAATTCCAAGTCATCTGTATGCTAAAGGCTCCCTCATGAATAACATTGGGCACGTCGCCAAATAGGCCTAACCTCCGAAAAAAAAGATGAGCTTTTATTCTGGCTACTTTCTCATCTAGTACGATTCATTATCGAAACTTTCTTTGGTTTTTGGCCCTGAAATCTGAAGAAACAAAAAAAATTCAATTTTTTTCTAAAAGAGAGTGAGGAAAGTTTTAGTTTTGGAAGTTGAATTTTCTGAAAATAATGTTTATATAAAAGCTCTTCTTCTAGTAAAGTAAGTTTAGGGAAGCAGATTTATATGGAAAACTTTTAAAATTTAAATAAAAGGGATAAAAACTTCCAAAACAAGGCCTAAATCTATGTTGCAGGTCGAAAATTTTCACTGGACCTTTTTACAGTAGACTCTATTAGAAATTGTGCGATTCCACTTTAAGCTTATAACTTCAAGCTGAGCCCCAAAACAGTCTATTTGAACAGATTTTGAGAGTTTCCTTTGAGTTTAAGGTGTTCTTTCTCCATAACTAGAAATTTGGGCAAGTTGGGATTTTTTGGATCTCTTATGGTACATCACTGAGAGTTAAGATACATTTTAAAGAAATGCCCGATAAAAAAGTAAATTGACCTTCCTTGGTAAATATCTCTGAATGTGTACCTTTTTGTGCCTTTTTTCATCAGGAAAAGTAAGCCTTATTGTGCGGAACTCTGGTTCTAGAACTAGAATCTTTGCTCCAACGCAATGTCACAAAGGTGTATCGCGTCACTCTGCATAAATTTCTCATTCAATCAAGTCGCAACTTTCTTCTCAACATTTCTCAGTTCCCCGTTTTTTTTTTCTCAGTTTGGTATTTGCTGGAATTTTCGATGAAACTGGTGAAGAAGACGTCAGATGGAAAAATTATGCAGAATCTTCTTTTTTATTCCGCGGCTACAAATACAATTGCCGGCCCCCTCACTAAAAATAGAAATTATCTTGTTTAGGCCTTCTATTTTTGTTTTTTGTTGTCTGACCGCGACGTTCTCCACATAAGTTGTGTTTATCGTTTGTTTTTTTATTTTATTTTAATTGCTTTGGAGTTTTTTCGATTGAATCGAGGGTGAAAATTTTTTCTCAGTAGCCTGATTTTGGATCGGTTTCGTTAAAACACAAATAAAAGTATAAATTTCCTTGTCCCTAAAACTTCTTTCATTCGAATTTCGGTAACGCCAATCGGACGTTTCTGAGTATTTCTTAGTGATACCTTCAGCGGCTTCAGTACCCTTAAGTGGTTACTAGAATCGCTCAGAGACGTCCGGAGCGTGTCCGGTTTGATTTTTCTCTGACTTATTGTAAAGCCAGATGATCTTCTCTAAAAATACACCTCATTCCCAGAATATCCGATTTGATTTCTCGCTTTCTTATGGCGTCGATTTGTACCTTCTGATTTTTTTCGAAGCTCTCCGGGTCTTTCAGTCAACACTTTCTGAGTCCTCAATACTAATTTCAAAATGTCTTGAGGTGAATTATTAAACAAAATGCTCACTGAAATTTTCTCAAACTCGAAAATAGATTTCGAATTCGTCATTTTTCATTTTGTTTGCAAAGGTTATTTCAATTTTTTTGCATTATTCTTTGGCGAAGGAATTCACTCGATTATTTTTGATTAATAATTTATTGACTATATAATTAGATGAGTTATCGAACTTTCAATATTTTCCCTTATGCGGTTTATTTCAGTAAGCCCTTTTTTTTAAGAATTTCTCTTTCATGCTTCTTACAGGAGTTTCCTGTTCATTATCTATTTTTATTATATTGAAGTATTTGCCTCATTCGTTCGTTGCCACCTTGTTTTTGCTCATCTAGAAAGCGAAAATTAGCCAAAAAACAAGTTTTTAGATACAAAATGGTTTTTCAACGGTATCGACACCCGCAAACGCTGGCCGATCGGCTTCTCGACCGTGGAATGAACCGAACTGAGGTTTTTTTTTTGAATAATATCAAGCTTCAAATTGACCAAATGGAGTTAGAACTGTAGTAGGTTTAAAAAAATCTTATTTTTTTATCTAGGATTGTAAAAAAATAATTCAAGCTCATCAATTTATTCTGATTTTTTTAATTTTCTCCCGACAAATTTATTTTCATTTTCAAGTCTGGAAATCAAGAGAATTTTTCCCTTTGATACTTCCACAAAGATTTAGATGAGTTTTTTTGTTTCCGACTTGATTTTTTTATATTTTTTTATTTTTATCTCTCAATTGTATACTGTATCTCAGAAATCATAATCATCTTATTTTACATAAGAATGGTTTTGTTGGGAAAAATGTCAAACGAAACGACAAAAACGGTTCCAAACAGGAAATCCGGTTTTGGCGGAAAATCGTGAGAATTTCTCATATTTTCGAACTTTTTTGTGTATTACCGTAACCCTTTTATTCAATTCTCATGTTTAGCATATCAAAGATTTTTCTTCAGGAATATTTCGAATTTTTGTGAGCCTGAGAGTTGAGGGCAAATAAAAATGATTATTTTTATTGAAAATTTAATTTTTTAGGTCGACCGACTCGTCGAGCTTTGCCGTTCTCCAGAGTGCATCGCCTTGTTGGAGTCAGTTTTTTTTTTCTGATTTTCCAGTGGGAAGTATAATTGGAGCTTCTAGAATTTGTCCTTCGCAATTATTTCCGTGTAATGATTGCTCCGTAGTCCGAACAAATTGGAAAAAAAAAGTAAAGTAAAATGAAAAGATGAGGTCAAAGAACATCCCGGTCCGAAGTTCACAATGGAAACTACGAGGGGAAAAAAACTTGAAAAAACTGAGAAAAATTATTCTAAATTATTTTTGGAAAATTGTCTAATGTAAGAATTTCCGCTAGACTTGATAATTAATTTTTAAATATAGGTTTTGAACGGCAAAAAAAACTTCCGCCTGCTCGTGAAGGGACCAAAAAACCCAGTGAAAAGTTCCGCTTTCAAGTTTCACATTTGTTATGTTCACTTTGGATTTCATCAACTTTTGTCCTCATCCAATCTAGTTTGACTCCGCGCGACCTTTGCAGCTTTTTCGAGGCTCATGAATCATTTCGCGAGTTTCGCTGCAAGTTTAGGGTACCGTAGATTTGGCTTTTCTTTTTTTGGACTTTTGATTTTAGGATAGGAAATAATGGATTCAAAAATTGAATATGTTTTTCTTTAACCGTTCACAATATTAGGAACATTGAAAAAAACGAGTAATATGCAATGGCTCTTGACAGCTGTAAAGTGGTGTCCCGACTCCAAACGGTTTGCGCGCTCAGGCATCGGGAAACACCGAAGCATTGTTCAAAAATGAGTCAGAAGGCCCGACCGCAACGCAACCGTGACGCCCGGGAGTCATTCCAAGGGCGAACACGGTTTTTTCAAGCCCACTAGAGTTTTCTTTCAATCAACTAGATCCAATGAGAAGCCAAATTTTGAACAATCTTGAAATTTGAGTAAAATCATGTAGTTCAAAAACTGACCTGATTATCGTATAACGTTCAAAGGTTTATAAAAAAGACATATCTTCAATCTCAGAACAAGAACCCTGTTTTGTTTTTTTTTTTTTGCTCAGAAGTGATGATACTCTACAATCTCATCACTAATCTCTTCTTTTTTCAATGATATCGATGAATAAAAGGCTTTGATATTTCGTAGATTTACTACCTATCTTCTTTCTTTCTTTCAAAGAAGGGATTTGAATTTTTTTTTTCTCACACCTAACAACAAAAGTTCCTTTGAAGAGGCGTGGAAAAGATATATCTAAATAGTTGTTCCATGAGCTTCAAGAACCCAAGAGCAAAGAAGGATTAGAACATCATTTCTTCCTTTTTTGGTAATCCACCCGTTCCGAATGTTTGTTCCCTTCTTTTCTGACCATCTGAAAGTGGCTCGAAAGTCCCCAGCGAGTTGCGGGAGGCTTGACAATTTGAGGACAAAAAAAAGAACTCGTTTCGTTTAGACTTTTTCATTGCGCCGATGTCTAGGCCTTGTCACGAAAAAATGAGAAACAGAAAGAAACTTTTGCAAAAACTAATTACTTGTCTCGAAAGAAGATCCCCCGGTCAGACGACTCCTAATGTCGTGGTTATTAGAAGATCCAAGTGACTTTTCGTCTTTTTGAACTTTTCACGCTGATTTTTAGAGTTAGGATGAGGTTGAAAAAATTCTTTTTTCATTTTTGCGCTTCAGAAAAAAATTTTGAAACTTTCTTTGTTGATAATTTTGCACTGATAAACAAATAAAAAAGAGAGAAACCGCTCAAGGTCGGGCGCAGCTATTAGAAAAAACAGAATTTCGTTTTTAACGCTTTCCAGACGGAATACTTTGATCTATCAATTTTGATTTAATGACATTTTTAGTCTTAGAAAACTGATTATAACCAAGTTTTGATTCTGAATTATGACCTTGATGCTTGGAAACCAATAAAAATCGATCGCTTCTTTACCCAATGCAATCAAAATGAGTTTCGTTGTTTCTTCTTTTGTTCCGTGAGTGTAGTTCTCGAACTTCCATTCGAAGATTGGTGCATCAACTCGAGGAGTTTCAAGCGGAAATTGCGTCTTTTTGTTGTCAATCTTGAATTCCTGGGTTCCAAAGTTCCAGGACTTTTACTCAATGTTCACTTTTCTCTGTTTTGAAGTCATATCTTTCAAAATCTTTGGAGAGATTTTCGAATATCTTCTTATCTAGTTCTGAATCGGGCCAAAATTCCATTTTCAGCCATCAAACAAGATCTTCGAGGTTTCAGGATTTTACCTTGTCTCAAGAATTATTTGAGAAAAGTTATTGGAAACAGCAGAAAAAATCCCAACTTTCAAAGTCTACGAATAAAAATCAAATATTCTACAATTTTTTCTCACACCCTGAGACAAAAATAATTGAGTTAGAAGAGAAATTACGTCAATTTGTACTTTAACCGTGCGAAAGTCGTTTTTTTTTCCAATTTCTTCCCTTCATTCTAGTTGGATGGCTGTGAACTTTTCCCCGCGCATTTTGAATGCTTAGCCTCACTTTTCTGTTTCACATTCTTTTATTTAGAAATAGGAAGGTGAGTTTGAAATTGCTACGACATTTGTCTTTTTTTTAAATCAAGTCTCCCTTTTACTGCACATAAAAGCTTCACTTACTTAGGAACGCCAAAGTGGTCTTTTTAGGGGCAACTTTAGGGGCCTTGAATCAAAAAAATCAACAGAGGATTAATCAATCGAGTTTCATTAAATAAGGTCTTCTTAATTTTACAAAATTATAACAAAAAATTTAAAGACCCTGGTAGGGACCACTTAAGCTTTGGGGACTGAGGGGTCAGGCCGCTGAACCCCACAGGGACTACCTCAGTTTGAGCCCTCTAGGGGCTGTTTTATTTTTCTCTAAACCATGTAGGGACCACTCTGGCGTCTCTAGGAATCCAAAAAGCTTTCCAATTTTCGGACTAATACCGCCCAAAAAAAATGATCCCAAGGTAGAGAATATTCATCGTCGTATATATTTCCTATAATTGATTTAATGATAGCCTTTTCTGTCTCCAGAAAATCATCTCCAACAAAATAAGAGCCAAAGAGGGCGCAGGTGTTTAGAAAGGAAAGCGTTGATTGGCTCTTTTCCCTTCATTCGATCCCCTTTTTTTCTAATTTTGCTGAAGCGTTCGTTCCGTAATTTGAAATAACGTTGTAGTCATTCTCTGATCCGCCTTTTTCTGTTTCACAAGATTTTTTAGAAACGAAAAGTTTCTTGAGTATCAAATCAGGCCACGCCCCCTTGTTGTGTCTTGGAGAACCTCAAAAAAAACTGCTTTTCAGTCAACGAAAAGAATAGAGTTTAGAGTTTTTTTTTATCTACAAGCATAAAATTTGAGTTTCATTTCTCGGATATTGATTAACGTGGAAATATCTTCCAAGCTATTCAGAGAAAGTTTTTCCTTTCAGAAGCATGGAAAACAATTTTTTGAGGAATCCATCATATTTTCTGAAATAAAGTTCAAAAAACTTTTCGCCTTTTCCAAAGCTTTTTTGACAACTCAGCTCCCGATGCTTACCTTTTACGGGCTTACTGATGGCTTAAAACCCTTCATTTTTTTATTGGGTCGATGTTTGAAAGCTCGATGAATCGAGAAAAAAAAAGAATCCGTAGATTTTACGCTAATACTCAAATGCTGACGTTTCCACAAATCTGTTATCAGCTGGCTTATTTGTAAAAGTCGCTAAATCCGTCTGGAGAAGCCAAAAAAAGGCCTCGGAACGGGGGAAGTTTTTCGACAAGAATCTTTTTCCGGCCGTTTTCCCCTTCTGACGCGCATTTTTCGTCTTTTGACTTTCAACCCAATTTTCTTCGCGTTTATTTTCATCTTGTATTCGTGTTGCTGGCCACAAACAAAACCAAAAACTCGCCCTACCGTCTTAATTCAGCCGAAAATTTTCTATTTGTGGCAAAATTTGACACGTCTGTTTATTAAACATGCATCACAAAACTTGCTAAGATCTCAAAAATCTGGCAAAAAAAATTATATTTTTTTCCTTAATGAACTTGGATGCGTTGTTACAAATATTCTCTCTTTTCGGGACCACCAAATATGGTAGCGGCTTTTTGAACTCGAAATGACGCGCAATGAGATTACGTCCATTTGGAAGATTATCTGTGCCGCTTCCGTCTTTTTTTTATAATTGGTCGGGTCAAAAACCAGATTTTTTTGTCTTTTTTGGAAGGGAGAATCGGAATCAAGAGGTTAACAAAATTTTAAACTTTATTCTCCATTGGCCAGTTATTACGAAATGTGAAAACACAACTTTCTGTTTTTTTCAAAATTGTAAGAATGGATAAAAAAATCAAAAAAAATAGTTCAAATTGCTCAACTTACGAATTTTTTTCCTCTTTTTACAGTTTCATAAAGTCATAATAAAAAAAGAAATAGAAATCAATTATTCGATTGTCCAGACTTCTCATCGAGGATCGAGCTTGTTTTCAAAAAAACTTTTTTTAGCATTAAAAGCGACAATTTTTTTAAAAAAATATTTAAAAAAAGAAAATATTATTGGTTTTCCTAACCATGAAGCTTCAAAAGGCCCCTACACAAAAATTCGAGTCTTTTTTTTTCTATCGTCTCCATTTTTGGGGTGAATTTCAGCGCCTTTCTATTTACTATGCATTTAAAACGAACTTTAGAAAGGAAGAAAAGTTTCTGGAAAGATGAAGAAGTCGAGAAAAAAAAAAACTAATCCATGTGTTTTGCTCGCTCGGTTTCCTCTATTCCGAGGCAGAATGCGGCAATTGTTCAATTTGTATCCTTCTTTAGATCTTTTTCAAATTTTTCAGCACCTTTTTTGGTAGGTTCAAACTATAGGAGCAATAAATTAACTTCCCTGTAGAAAATAAGAAGTTTGGAGATTTTGGTAGTGTATTTATCTCAATTTTCAGTCTTGGTTCTCTGATTTTATAAATTTTAGAGTCGTTTTTCGATTTAAAAATTTTTTTCAATGTTTCGAGATCAATTTTTACAGTTCCTTTCTTCACCATTTCATTTTCGGGTACCAAAAATAATTTCAAAGCTTACAATTCAAGTAAAAATTAAAAAAGGAGAACTGAACTTGAGATTTTAAATACATTTTTGAAATTATCAAATCAGGAAGTTTTTTTGAAGAAACATCCTACAAGGAAGCGTTTCGTTGCAAGACCCTAAACTGGGTATTTTCTAGTCATATTAAATTTTTAAAGACACCAGACACTTTTTTAATAAAAAAATTTTCACAGAATATAGAAATTGAACCAAAAAAACAAGCTTCTGACACCATTTGTCAAAAAAATGTTAAACTTTTTCGAAAATTAACAGGGTTTTTCAAATTTGTGTATGTATGTTCGATTTTTGTTTCTTTTTTCTATTATTTTTGCTCGATGAGAACATGCGGAAATTGGCACATGAATTGTTGAATTGCGTTTCAAACAAATTGGACCCACCGGGGCCACTTTTTATTTCATGAATTTCGGAGCCACGGCGACACGTGAAACGTTTCCTTGCCTTTTTCCCGAGTTCTTGCATCAACTCAAGCGGTCCGGAACTCCATTGTAGCCGTTCTGGGCGAACGGGTAGGATTTGCAAATCGCAAGACAAAAAAAGCCAATTTTTTATTAATGGACCTGGATTTTTTTTCTAGGTGAGCCTGAAGACTTTCGAGCTGTGTTTGACGACTTTTTTTTCCTAGATTGCATAGTTTTGAAGCTTTAATTGAAACTTTTTTTCTCAATTTTTTTAATAGATCTTTTTTTTCCTTCCGTTACACATTTTCATGAAGTTTAAAAATTTTTAAATTAAAATAAGCCTCGAAAAAGCTCAAAATGCGACAGGAAGGCGAAATACCTACAGGGAAATTTTTTTAGTGGCCACTATAGAGGCTCGCCAAGGTCTACTTGAGAGGACACTGAAGTGGCCAATAAACTCACCTCTATAGCCACTATTTTCGGTTTTAGTGGCCACTGCAGTAGTTTTTCATCCAGTATTCCTTCCAGTAACTCTGATAATTTTAAACCAAACAGATTGGACCAGTTATGTTGATCCATTGCCCCTAAAGTGGCTACTAAAGTTTTTAGTGGCTTACTAGTAGCAATTAGATCTCTATAGCGGCCACTAACTTTTAACCACTCAAGTGGCTACTAACTTGACTACAATAGTGGCCACTAAAAAAGTTTCCAGTATTATTATTATTTGCCTTCAAATTGAGATGCGCAAGTCAAAACTTTCACAGAGTTTGTCTCGAAAAAGTCTGAAAGGTCTGCGAAATCCATAAAATACAGCTTTTGAGCTGCTTATTTATTTTAAAATAAATCTACTTTTTCTGACGTGAGATATGAAATATACAGCCTTTATTCTTTCCAAAAGTCGCATCTAAATAAAATATCTTTTTGAAGGCATTTTAAGGGGATTAGTTTTGCGAGATAATGTGCAGTCACTGGATATATAAAAAATAAAAATGAGCCGTTTATATTTCGTTTTGAGAAGTTTCCAAGTAATGTGATCCATTTTTCATGCTAGATAAATTATTATCACATCTTCTGGAAAAATATTACCTAACGTAAAAAAACAAAGATATGGAAGAAAAACAAAAATCGAGAATTATTCACGTCTCAGAATCATCAGAAGTTTTGAAGGATAATATTTTTTCGCAAATATCACAATATTTTTTTGAAAAATAAGTTCTCCAATGCACTTTGTTTCCATTCTATCCATTTTTTGTTATTTCCTGACCCGTTCCAGAGTGAAATGCCAAAAACGAGTATCAAAGCATTTTTGGTGAAAGGTAACATTGGACGTCGATTTTTCACCTGGCAATTATATTCCCACAAACGGCCTATATTTAGGCTTTCTTGAGAGATTTTTTCTTTTTCTCATTATTTTTTCTCGAATGTTATAAATGACGAGAGAGCTCTTTTTTTGTACTCTTCAAAAGTTGTAGTTCATCTTTTTCCGTTGTTTTTTTGATTTTTTCGTAAGATGAGTCAAAATATGATGAATAATCAGAAAATGAGATTTTCCAGCCACTGAAGTGAATGAAGGTACGAACGAAAAGCCTCAAAATTGCAAAGTTTTCCGCCAACTCGTAAATATTTATGAGAAATTCGATTTCGACTTTTGTTTTGGTCTATGCTGACAAAAGGAGAAGCTCGGAAGGTCCTCGAGAAACCCTAAAATGAATAAATTTCGAGAAATTTCGAAAATAAGCTTGATCTTTTCATTTTTCTTCGAAATAGGCTACTGTGTTGCAGCTAGTCTATTCAATAATACTTTCTGGAAGGTTAAAGGGGCATTTTTTAATTTTTCTCAAGACGATAAGCTATTTCTCAGTGTTATTTGAAGCTGAAAAAAAAATCTTTCTCCCCACCTTCAAGTTCTCCAGAAGTTTTTTTCTTTTGAAAAATTCTTAACATAGAAAAACTTTTATTCCATTTTTATTTTCAAGGTGGGAGATCTCATTCCAGACAAAAACAAAAGATTAAGATAATCTGTCTAGTTTTTTCTTGCTCTTTCGACGAATTTTATTAGATCCTAGATATCCTTCACGCAGTTAAAATTATTACTTCTTGGAAAAAAGGCTTAAGAGTATGAAAATTGTACGTTTAGTACCTTGGTGATCCCTTGCCGTGGGCAGAGAATACGTGAAGTTTGCTCGATAATTCTCATTTCTTCTTCCAGAAACGGTCCAAAAAGCATCTTTGATAATCGAGGCGGTGATGTTGATCAACCTGCAAATTTTCGATTTCAAAGTTCCCTCGAGGGTTTTTTTTGGTTGTTTTGCAACATCGGCCAACCAGCAATTATTTCTAAATGTTCGAAAAAAAGCTTTGGAAAGGGAAGTGAAAAAGAATTTTTCGTGTTTTTCGAGGCTTAGTCCATTTACAACCGTTCGATAGAGTTTTTGAAGGCGGATCTGAAAATTATTCTTTTTCGAAATTTCTGAATATTCAACTGATAAGCTTTTTTCCAACAAGATAAAATGAAGTATTACACGGAAAAGTTTTGCAGAAATACCACCAAGAAGCTTCCTTGTCACTGAAATCATTCAAAAACGCCTTTTTTTCCCTTATTCCATTCATTCTTGAGCTCGTCTATCTATTCATATATTAATTTTTACGTCACATTCATTACTTCCTTCCTATGAGTCTTCTTTTTCTCAGCTTTTCTTCCTTTTTTGGCATTTATTCCAATATTTTTCGAGGCCACTTTCAGTGCAAATAAGGAAGCAAAAATGATCGAAAGTGCCTAGGAAAAACGTCCTCCGGGGACTTTTCGCGGTGGCTCCAATTTTCCGTGGCGTCGCTACTTTTTTTTAATATTTTTATTTTTGTTTCCGCGTGTTTAACCTTTTTACTTGCGTAAGTGGTACTCGGGTTCGTTGAATGGCAGGTGAAAAATCAAGCAGAACAGATTGGATTAGGAAAGGCAGTTAGAACGACGCGCGGACATCGTTACTTTGTATTTTTATCACCTCGTTGGGGGTTAACTGTCTAGTTACGGAGTTTGCTTCCTGGAAGTGTATTTTGACCGACTTTCTCTTTCGAGGGTTTCATTTTCACTTTTCAAACCTCTTCATGAGCAAACTCATAGAAATTCTTGGAATCATCTGTTTTAAAGACATTATAAATAAGCTTCAGTCCCAGGTGAAAATTTTCGCCCTCAAGTTTGTCGGAAACTCACCTGTTTTAAATGAGAAATGTTCAGTTTCTGTCTCATTTTTGCTAGGTTAGGTTCGTTTCTACTATTTCGTAATCTGGAAGGGAATCTAAGGAAGAACTTGTTATGTAGGGAGTTTGTAAATTTTCAAACGTGAGGGCGAAAATTTTCTTTTTTTCATTTTGCTCCCTAATACATCATATTCAGAAATCTGTACTTATCTAAGATCCTATACAAAGCTTAGTTTTGATTCCATCTTTATCATCCCAATTTCAACTAACAAAACTCTGTAAAAGTTTGTAATTTCATTCGTTAAGGGTCATTCGAAATTTCAATTGATTTTAACACTTTCAAAATGTTTTTCCTTCCTCTTTTCACCGTTTACCGCCTTTTAGTCGATAATTAGTCACACCCTCACTTTTTCTACCATTTGAATTAGCCCAGTTTTCGGCCAGAATGTTTTTGTCTTATTTCAATCGACTAAATTGCCTGAAAAGAACACACAAACACGCGCCAAAAACGAGACTTTGCTGTCCTGTCTTTCAGATGAGAGAAAAGGAAAGGAAGTGACTTCTGGCTGGTTAGTTTGTAGTCTGGATCAAGTGCTATTTCGATCTAATGACAGACTTCTGGTGATGAAAGATTGCGACATGTTGGAATACGATTACTTTCGTATCAAAGTCCTCGAATGTAAGCTGAAAATTAGCTGTGGAGCGGAGAAGTTCCGGTCTACGGCTGTTTTTAGCCTAAGGAGGGGTTTTTTCTTGAGAATCTTTCAATGATCACAAAGATCTTCCTGTATATATTCACGAAAATTCCTCAAGTTCTAGGAAAGTTATTTTTTAACGAGATTTCTGTATTTCATTTTAACTTGTGATGAAAATAAATGAAATTCCTACCGAAAAATGTTCGATTGAAGCTGTATTTCCTCCATGTGGAATTGATAGTTTCGTCAGATTTTGATAACGAAAAATTCCTCCATTTATCAGATATGAAAAGTTCAGAATCTCACATAAAATTCTACTGGGTATAGAATAGACCATCAAAGTATCAAAGTAAAGTGAATAAGTATGGAAAAAAAGATCTATGTCTCAAAAAAGAATGTTTGATTCTCTCTTGCACCCAACCAGATTCTTTATTTTGCCTCGCTTTACCTATGCCATTCACCATCATCTCTGAATGGCTACCAAGGAAGTCCAATTTGATGTTTGGACTTTTGTCCTCGAGAAAAAGACGTTCAAGCCAAGTGTCTTTCCGTTTGGGACCTTATTACTGGAGGCGACCTCTTTTTCGTTGTAAGAGACCTTTTTCGCCTTGTTTCACCATCAGTGTAATAAGGTTAGCGTTGGTCATCCAGACGGGTCAAAAGCAGTCTTTTTCCCTAGCTCCGCCCACTTCGAAGAGTTGGAGAGTTTCAGCTCCGAGTTTCGAGCCAAGAAGAATTTTAATATTCAGAAAAAAAAAGTTAATATTAGCTTCAGTAGGCTAAATGGCCGCGTAAATTTGTGCTCTATTGAGAAAGACCAGTTGAACTTTTCTGAGCTCATTTTTCTGAAATATTCTCTTATTGGTTCGATTTTTGGGTTCAATTTGAAACATATTGTTTTTTTTTCACTCAATAATCTTGAAATTTTCTTTCTTTTTCGAAAGAATCAGTAAAATCATTTCAAAATAGCTTCAAAAAATTTATCACCTGAACTTTTTGAATTATTGTTTCCGCCTGGTTTATCATTGGAGCACATATTTATCCAGCTGCAAAGCTGATAATTTTCAAGCTGAAATTATGATCATTTTCAAACCTATCTTCATACATGGGCACTGCATTTAAAATCCTATTAAACTCAAAATTTATGATTTGAACTCCACGTGCTTGAAGTAATTATGGACGCTTTCTTCCAGAGGACTCCATTTTCTTCAAGCTTCCGAGTTAACTTTCTGGGCTTGGACTTTTCTCTCCCGACGTCCTTTTCCTCGGATCTGCGTACTATCGCCGGGATCTGTCAGCACCCTCATGGCGTCTCCTCTTTTTCGAACGCTAATTAGATTTCCAACGGCTTTTCGCACCGTCAAATAAGTGCGCGAATTATTTTTTTGTTTTGTGTTGTTTTTCGAGGAATACCGCCGCACTTTGTTATGTGCTCTGAGGGGATTTTCCGCCTTTTTCGGCCGTCCCATCCAGCCTCGACGATAAAGTGCATATTCTCGGGTGTTTTGGCCATATTTTATTGCCGAGAATTTTCCAGGAGGAAGAAGATGCGACTATTCCACTTTGCCAGTCGAAAATAGTCCATTCTTGGGTATTTTTGGGCTATTTTTTGAGGTTTTGTAGAGGAGGGCGTTCTTTTGCGTTTTTTTGAAAATTAACCTGGTTCAAACGCATTTTTTGTCATCCCAATTGAAACTCTTATAGGAGGTGATTCTAAACCATACATTTTTGTGTGAATTTACCTGCAAAATTTTTAAAAACAATTAATTGATCTTTCTACGGAAGAATGTGGCTTATACTGTGCAAAATTACTTTTTCAGTTTTCTTTTCAAGCTTTGCTTCTTGTTTCATTCATTGACTAAAACCTTCCATCAAACGGGCACCAGTGATCTTTCTGAAAATGTCTCATCAAACTTCGAATATACGTTTTGAAGGATTATTCTGTTGTCCAAAAGTCTCCGAAAAATGTTTTCGGACAAAGCTCAGGAGCTCCTTTTCGGAAAATATTGTTTTAATCTTTGAAGAAAGGGAAGTTCCATCTGATGTTTGAGAAGGATCATGCGCTTACATTGTTTTAGCTTCTCATTAATATTCTGGATTCTTGATTTTTGCCCTTCTCTTCATTCACAACTTGATCGGCTATGAGTAGGAGGTATCACTTTTATTGTTCTTTCTAACATTTTGCAGGAATTACTAAACGTTTCTGTGACCAAAAATCTTACAAATACTCGAAAAAAGTCAATTGTAAGTCTCATGAAAAGCGTTCTCAGCCATCATCATCATAGTCGCATAACAAAAAAAGGCAATTCTCATCCACTTGGGTCTTGGCTGTTTAGGGCGGCTCGGCGAATGAATAAAAAGATTTGGAGGAACCTCCAAAAAAATACTCGAAAATTCATCTTCCGTTCATTTTCTCTTTTTTTCCTTTTTTGTTCGCATTTTTTATGATCATTGAGTTTTTTGGAGTCATTTTGATCGAGGAAATGAGAAACACATCTAAAGTTATTGTTTCGTTCTTCTATCAAGTTTATTTTTTTTCGTATTCGATTTGAGATATTTTTTTTCTGCTTTCTTGTTAACCTTCTGTTTTGTAGGTACCATGTAAATGTTCGCTTCAGGACTTTCACCTGTTCAAAAAATCCCACGGAACTTTTATTTTCACTGTTTCAAACTAGCCGTGTATAGAATATGTATATGAGAAAGTTATTCGATTTGTCTTTCAACTCATCAAAATAATCGAAAAAATACATTGGAATATTGATATTTTGATTTCACCAATGAAATTGAATGGGAAAAAAAAAAATCAGTTCGTCTTTTTTTTTGCTTTTCGTTTCACAACCTAGCCCAATAGGCTGCAAGTAATTGTTTTTGCAAATAAACAAAGCAATTTTTGTTTATTCTGACGTGTTTTTCGAGTCCTTCTTGTCGGAATTTTGTCGAGTTCGTCTAATCAGATAGGAAGAGGAAGATTAGAACCCCCGAGGCAAATTGGCTGTTTCGCCGGAAATTCTTCGCCACATAAAAATGTATTATAACTTCCGGTGGAGTTAGTAGTTAAGTTCAAGTAGATCAACTTTCAGTTTTATAGTCTTGAAAGTAGGTTTTAAAGTAGAATAATGATGTAGTGGATGCGTGAAAAACACTTGCAGATGTTAAGATTCGAAAATCGAAGAAAAAAAATCACAGTAAAGTTTACTAGACGTCAGGAATTCAGTTCTACCAAGAAGCTCAAGAAAAATGCAGGCAAATTGAAAAAAAGAGCAAAATAGCTTTTTAGGAACGTTCTGAGGTCTTCTTTCGTATCCTTCTAGATTGTTCTAGAAAAGATCTATCCTCACTTGCCCACGATAATGATATCTTACTTATTTTGCAACATGAAAGATTCGGACCGAAAGGAGTTGTAAGAAGGGAGTTGATGGGTGATATTTATGTGGTTCCTCAACGTATTGCAGCTGTTACTTTGAGAGGTGCGTGAGAATTCCGCATGTGACCACTTTCCCCGTTTTTTTTTTCTTTTTTATTTTCACACATTTTTTACTATGTTATTTTTGAAACTCCTTGCAAGGAATCAAACTAAAAACGGATTGAAACCTCCTTCGCGCCTGAATGAATCGAGACTCTGTCTGGCTTCCTTTATTGAAGGTTTCTCAAGTTTATTAAAATCCTTGAGCTTTTAGTTTGGTCTGAAACCTCCCTAAGCTCGAAAACTAGTTTTGAAGATCTTCGTTTTGGTGTTCGGACTTTTGTTTTTTTAGTGTTGATGTCGAAATTTGAAGTTCACATTTTTGGGGACGCTTCCGAATAACTTTCCATTCTCGAGATCTACATGCTCCTTTTTCGGCCAATAGTTTACTGAAGCTAATCCGAATTAGTGTAGGAGAAGCCAACACGTGGCTCGATTTTCCCATTTCCGTAAGGATCATTCAAAAGTTTAGTGTATATTTCTCTTCAAGACTGACGGTTCTTTGAAAAATGAGAAGTTGAACCTTTTTCCGTTTGAGTTGGACTCTGAAATTTGTTTTTCATGTGATTTTGGCGACGTCAACCGGTCAGGCAACTCGGTTTGATACAAAGTCAACGGAGAAAATAGCATGTTTGAAGTTAATTGATAGTTAAGAAACGTGCCTTTTCCTCAAAACTTTCAAGCTTTTTTGACATCGATTTCTTCTCAACTTGCTGCATTACGATTATATTTTCCAGATGAAAATAAATTATTCCTAAAGGGAATGTGGCAAGATTAGTTCGCATCTTTTGGAGTTTGAAAATTGCCATAAACTGGGTTGAGTTTTTCAGCATCAGCAAAGTTTAAAAGGTCTTTTTGAGACCCTTTGAAGACCTTTAAAAAAGCTCCTGAAAAATTCCCTAATAAGGTTCAGTCCCTCCTTTTTAATGAACTTTTCAACACCATACTTCTTAAAAGGCCGTGAAAAAGGGCGCCAGAAAAGACTTATAAAGGTCTGATTTCCAGAAAATCCTTTTGGGGCTTTATCCCTTTCTCATTCCTCATTTTGCCTTTTTGATCCGTTGTTTCAATCCAAATGCTCGGCAAACCAAAGCGATCAGCCGTAGTTTGCTCTCCGAATTTGGCTTCCGTCTCAATTCATTTTTTCACGTCTTCGCTGCATTTTTCAAGCTCGTTCATGCGCATTGCAAAGATAAAAGTAATATCCACCGGCTGGCCAATGAATAAATTATTCGGACAAGAGTCCATGAAATAATGAGGTCTCTCTGAACTCCTTGACATCGCTTATCTTATTGTTTTATTCTTGAGAAGTCAATTTCGGTATCTGTTTTCTATTTTTAGTTGTTTCAGGCAACTGATGAGCGGGCAGCCGAGGAACTGCTCGTACAGATACTCATCTCCAGACACGATAACTTCGATTGCTCTCTGGATCGATGTCAGTTTTCCTTTTTCCAAAAATTTTTGGAAGTGACTCCAATTTTCGCCGAATTGGATCACCTTAGCTTGCAGACTTCCAACTTGCAAAATTGCGAAGTTTCCTTTCTTCCTCCATCATATAAGTCTTTAAAAAAAGTTTTGAAAGTAAACTGGAGTTTTTCCTAGGTTTTGTAACCATGAGCGATATAACGAAAAAATCTGGCCAAAATATTGAGAATTGATTTTCTAAAAAAATGTTAGTTTTTTGAATTTTCACAATTAATTTACGTTAATAATTATCACTATTAGATGTCAATGGTGGTTAATTTTATACTTTAAATTTCTTTCTTTCGTAATGAAAGACTCAAAACTGACGGCGGTCGTTTTCTGATTATTCAGAAATTTCAATATGACGTATTTTTTTATTTTTCTGTGAGTATCTTCGTTTTTTTCTAAGTATATTCAATAAAATCTCAAATTTACATTTTATCCGTGGCTTTTTATAGCTTTCTTAATTTTTCAAAGCTTTTTGAAAACGTTTTGGAACGTTTTGCAATGAAAATATTAATTTCGATAGGTGTTCATCAACTGAGTCTCCGTTTTGAAGATTCAAAATCCAAAAACATTTTTTTGTTTTTGTTCTAACGCCCTTTCCCTATCCTTTTTTTCCTTTCAAAATTTCAAAAAGTGTATAAGAACATAAATCTTCAATGATTCATTGAAAGAGAACGTACAAGGAACGAAATCGTCAGAAAGAATTGAGTTAAGTGATTCGATTAGGAAAAAAAGGATAAGCGTACCCTGTGTTTCCCATCTTCTTCTCAATTTTTCTGCTGAGAAGGCTGGAGGAACTTTTCGTTTTTTTGCGATTTTTGAAAAAAGAAATTTGCAGGGTCCAATCACAGGAATCGCAGTGCTTCTTTCCCTGTTGGGAGCCAGATTTGCAGTACGGTTTCTATGGAGAGCCGGCCTGAATAAAGAGCTCACAGCTGGTTTGTTTTTTTTTCAGAGCTTTGATTTTCTGATTCTGTGATTTATACCATTTTTTTTCCGCATTTTTCACGTCATTGAGCTATATTTTCCCCAAACCAAACCCTGAGAAAAATTACCTTTTTTTCGACGTAGAGCTTTTGATTGTTTGATCCTATGATTCATTAGTTTCATTTTCAGCAGATTTTCTCAAGCCATCAAGCTAATCGAAAAGAAAAATGGAGCATGAAGGTTTAGGGAGCAAAAGTACAATGAATAAAGCTGTGAGAAAAGTTAACTTTTTCGTTATTGATTTTTTTTTTTGAGGAAAAAATGGTCATTCAGTATCAATTTTGTCCGTCTAGTGAGCACAACTTTCTCAACAAATGATTCATGATTTTTAGAAGCTTCAAGTTGCAAAATAGCTATTAATAAGTATTTTTCTAAATGTAACTGCTTATTAGTTAGTACGATTTTGGTGTTCTTTGGTATAGTAGGTAATTTGTCTAGCAATGGAAATAGAAACTTTTTTGAGAGCATCAGGACATGCAATTTCCTAAATTTATCTAATCAGCTTATGATTCGCTTTTGGAAAGTATCAGTTTGAAAATTTATTCGTATTTTTAGAAGCGGTGAAACAATTTTTAGTTGTAAAAAAAAGTGGAGCTGGCCCAGATCGGATGAAATTCTGAAAAAGTTGAAGAAATAAACTTTTTCTAACTTTTTTCGAAAATTCTAAATTCTTTCGTGTCTTTTCTAATCTGAAGTTATATATTGAATGGCCCTCGGTCTCAGAATCATTTTTGAGAGTTCCATTATAAAGAAAAAAATTTTGAAAAGGCATCGAAAGCTGAAAAAAAAATTGTGTTACTATGACGTCATAAAAAGATCTGCCTCTTCATGACAAGACTAATTTCAGCACTGTTCATACTCTGTGCCATCGACAGTCTCCTCATGATCACAGTGTTCTTCTTCTACTGCATAGAAGCCATCGGAACCTTGACGACTGGCTCGAACATCATGTACAAACATCAGGCGTTCACGACGTCATTGCACGGCGTCGCCAGCAGTCTCACGACGTCTTCTGTGAGTTTCCCGACTCGATTCAGAAGACAAATCGCTTATTTTTGTCTTTTTACTCATGGGAATTTATCATGTTTACGACACGTTCGTTGGGTTTTTGGAAACTCATCAATCAGGTTTTTGGAAGTTCACAAAAAGCTGGAAACTTTTTAGGAAGGTTGAAAATAATTCTGCGAAAGTTGTTTGGTTTCAAGTTGAATAGGGAAAATTGCAATCTGAGACAGAAAATAATTGAAAAGCGGCCAAGAAAAATGTATTTTTGAGCAAGTTTCAAGATCTCTTGCCGGCTTCAAGGTTTCTTCATTTGCAATGCAATTTTTTCGTTTTTCAATCGTGAGATACAACAAGCGTGCGTATCTTTATGATCGGTACTGTAATGTAGTTTTCAACATACATTGGCAGAAAAACTCAAAAAAAATAAAAGCATATTTCCTTTTTTTTTTGTCATTTCACTCATGGGAATACTATGTTTACGAGACGTTCGTTGAGCTTTTCAACCTCATCAATCAGTTTTTGAAGTCCAAAAAAGGCTGGGAATCTGTTAGGGAGAGGAAAATATGGCTAGTAATAGGAAAAGTAAGGGACTTCTGCTTGTGATTTGGTTTAGCGAAATTATTAGGATTTTAAAATTACTGTACCAAAAAATATAGAAATACTGATACATTAGCCCAGTTTGGAATGTTTGAATTCATAAAAAGTTGTCCTGAATAAAAACATCCTAACTGCATGCAAATTTAGATTCAGTAATGAGGTTATTTTTAATCCACAGTTCTTTTGTAGGAAATCCGTTTTTGCGTTTTTGAAAGGGTAGGATTTTAATATGAGCTCAAAGAATAATTAAATTTTTGATCGTTGAGAAAATTTTCGAATTCCGTGAATAAGAGGTTAAAGTTGATTTCATTCCCTTTTTCTAGAAATTTCCGTAAGTCAACCACTCCTATCGGATTTATTGGTTTTTTACTTGCCCTTGACTACTTTTCGAATTTTTGTAAAACTCACACTTCCTTACTAGGGAAAAGGCTTGAAATATCTCTTTTTTTTTATCACAATTTGCCTATTTTGCAAACTTTGAAGCTTCATGAATTTAATGAAGATCTATTGCGCGAAATTTCTTTTTCTACAGTACACTTTAAGAAAGTTTCCAGGAACTCAAAAAGTTCCCTAGTTAGAAAGATTTTTGAAGAGACCGTTTTGCAGACGATGCTGGTGATTTACATCACGTTTCTGCGATTCATGGTGGTGATGCGGCCGATGCGGTACGCGAGCAACTACGCGCGGAGCCGAATGAGAACTGTCAGCTTGTTTCCGCTTCCCTCCTACGTAGGTGTATGGCCCTTTGCACTGGTGGATTAGCCCTTTTTTAGACTTTTTTTTCAGTCTGTCTTTTCCTCTTTGCTCCCCAGTCGAGTTTCCATACATCTTCCGGTGAAGTTTTGGCTTCAGATAGGAGTTTCAGGATATTTTTGTCCCAGAATTCTTCTAAGTGCTGTCCGCACCTTCTTTCCGTTAGAAGAAACCAAAGATGGTCAACAACAAGCTCTTATCTTGAAGCCAAACTTTCCATTCACTAACTGTCCTCTTTCCTGAATTTTTCATGGAAAATGATATTTTTACAGAGCTGTAAAGGCTACCGGAAGTGCTCTTCCTTACACGACGAGTCGATAGTCAATAACTCGAGTGCCCCGAGTAGAAACGCCTTTTCTACCTCGAGCGTCAAACGCAAGTTCAGCTTCAGAAAACTCATCCGACCGTTTTTGTTTCCAGGTTTGGTTTTCGTGTACTTTATGATTAGCAAAAAAGTTGAAAGTCGAAAAATTCCTTGTTTGGTTCTATGCTGATTTTTGACCAAAATATGAGTATTTGAACTGAAAAATTTGAAGTTTTCTCCAATTTTTTGAAAATAATTTTTAAATGAGAGCGTTTATAATAATGTTGCTTCTCGATTGAGTTCCTCGTTTTCTCCCGCGTGCGTATATTTAGAGATGGGCTTTCATTAAAGGAAGCAAATAGATGATTTGAACTTTATTTTGGTCCTTTTTGACACTTTCAATTTGGAAGCTTAGGAAGTGAGATGAAAAATTGACAATTTTGAGTCGATTTGAGTAAGTTGAGTGGAAAATAAGTTACAGGGGTTGGTGGCTACTTTTAAAAAGAAAAAAAAATCACCTCCTCATTCTTTTATGAGACTTCAAGCAGTCTGACCTGTCTGCACTCTCTTTTCACTCTCCGTAAAAGTCGGAAAATAGCTGTGAAAATCGAGGTTAAGTAGGTAAATTTGATTTTTAGTTTAAAAAAAAGCTTCTAGTTGAGGTCACACTATCCTCTTTCGCAACCGAACCTACAACTTTACTCAAAGTACTGGCTCAATGACTTTTTTGCAGCCTTACTGGTGCTCCTGTGCTTCATGGTGAACATTCCGGTCTACTTCGAGTTCACCGTCGAAAAGTGTCACAACGTCGAGTTCGACGTCGACGCCTCCCATCCATTCCCGACGACCTTTCGAAATACGGTAGGCTTCTGACCAACAAGCTCTGGCTCATGAATCATTGAACGATTCTCTCGGTTTTCCCAGGACTTTTTGTTTTTGCCTTCCACTGAATATTTCTTTTTTTGGGGGAGAGAATAGCGACAAATAGGCGTAATTTCTAATGGAATTGCGAGGTTTAGCTAGGCTTCAGGGGGGAAAAAGATCATAAATAGCCGCTTTTCTATAGCTATTTTCGCTGGAGTTTTCAAAGGCCGTAGGAACCATACTGTAAAAAATTCGGGTCATACAATCAAATGAGTTTTTTTGATTGCCGAAATTATATTTTTAAAAAAATTATTTCCAAAGATTAGCGATGGAGCGCATTTCACCTTATACGATTCAGTCCTTTTTTTCAGAAAAAAATTTCTCATTCCTATTTTTCTAAAATTAACCGTAAGGCTTTTTGAAAAAAACAAGGACTAGACAAAAAGTTGGATTTCGAGGTAAAAGAAAAAAAAGAAAAAAAGAAATATATATATATATAAACCCCCGATGAGTCGGGATCACATGGAAACAGAAAAATTGATATTTTTGAACACTGTTTGTATCATTTCTTATTTTGTGATAAATAAATTGCAGTTATTTTTAAACGAGTCATAATAAAATCAGAAAAAAATTAATCCAATTGTCATTTGCAGTTCTCGAGATACAAAGCCGTTCTGATGACGCTGACGCAGTCAATCGGACCCGTCGCCACGATTCTGATCTTGTCCTTGATGACTGAATACCAAGTTCACGTCAGTCTGAAAGCCCGGAGAAAGTAGGAAATCCAGTAAAATAATCAGAAGATCAATGGGATTATTCAGATTGTTCGAAAGCCAACAAAGAAGTCGAGCCGTTGTACTTTCTGAAGAGCTGAAGGAACGAGTCTCAAGAACTGTTGCCATTTTTATCGCCGTCAAGTTTTTGATTCTGAGGTCAGATTTTGGGGAAAATCAGGAAGAAGCTCTGCTTAGATGATTCTTTTTTATTTTTCAAACTTCAACTAAAACTTGTTTCAAAGAAGATAAGAAGATTAATTTGAGTTTAAAGAGAAGGTTTTTCATTTCTCAAAAAGTTTGCTTGTTCGACATCATCAAGGTAGCTGAGGTTCTACGAAAATCAAGCATAGTTACCTGAGAAATTATTTATCAATTACTTGAATTTCAGAAACCTACAGCGTAAGTTATGACTTTCAGAAGATTCTGAACTCTCAAAATTTTGGTTTTCGTTGAATTTTTTAGGAATTTTCACTATGAACCTTAAAGTACTTTTTTCCATTTCCTCCCAATTCTTGTGTGGGCGACATTTTTTTTGGACTCACAAGCCATGATTTTATTTCTCTAAAAAATCATCGACCTCACGAAAGAAAATTCCAGATCGATGCCCGTCTTTTTCGACATCTACGAGAACGTCTACGGAATCGACCAGTTCGGCGTCGCCTTGTCTGTGATGGTCCGAGTCTCGGATTTCATGATCGTTTTGAACTCAGCTACCAATTCGCTCGCCTATTTTGGCAAGAAAGAGGTTCTTTCCTTCTTGAGACAACGGAATATGTATTATTCTTCTGATTAAGGTGGTTGGAGAAGAAACTTCGGCTGAGGCTGCTCAAAAAAGAGGAAAAAAGACAGGCGAAAGCTTCGATCAACGTCTCTGGAAGACTCAGTCAAGCGGTAGCATTCCTTGTCTTTTTTCTCCTTTTGATGATGAAATTCAGGGTCTGACGACTGAAAAAGAAGACAAGGAGAAGGAAAAACGATTCTCCGTGGTCCAAATATCGCCCAAGGGATCTTACATGGCGAACTCTGGATTCAAAAACGGCATGGGACATCCGCTCCACGCAGAAACGACTCCTTTAGTGGCCACTATCAGCACCACTTCCAGCTACGACTGATTGCTGCGGCGCTGGCTCTTCCCCAACCAGACACTATTTCTTTTTTGTCGTGTCAGGACCCTTTTCTCAATGGCTCAAGCCACCCCTGAATCAGCTATAATCTTTTCACTTACAAAGTGCTCAATCTTCCAATCTAGGCCAAATATCCACTGTTTTGTGCTATTTTCCCACGGGTTTATTTCTCCCTTGCATCTCGACCATTTTCACAATACTGTTATTTGCTCAATATGGGTCAAGAAGCGATGCTAATCTTATGGATTTTGTTTTTCTCACATTGCTTGCATTTTTTCCGTTTCCCTTTCAGGTGATAATATATTGCTTTACTGGTGTCCAAAGGACTGTTCTCAACGAAAAATTATTGATAATCAATAATAAAAAAAGCTTTTTTTAAATGTTTTTTTATAAAGGTTAACACGAGTTCTTCAACTCTCCTAAAGTGATTACTTCTGAAAAATCGGCTTCCTTCAGTCCTTTTTTCCAAGATATTTTTTTTCAAAGAAGTGCAAAAGTATTTTTCGAAAGATAACCTGATCTCTAATTGAACATTCAAGATTCCAAATTCTTGAACTTGAAAAAAAGTTATTCCAACACGTTAACATTTATTCACCAAGCATGGCTGGAAACGCTCAGTTCCTGCGGAAAAGACTGTAAGCCCTCTGAAGGAAGCTGTCCCCAGTAGTCGCGGAGAAAATGGTCGCCTCGGTCGGTTGGACGGGATTCACCTGAGCAGAGTCCGCAGGTGCGACCGCATCCGACCGTCTTCTGGTACGCGGAGACGCCGCTCGACGTGCAGAACTCTCCGCGGCTTGTGCAGCTAGAAATGTTTCCATAAGGCGTTTTCCGATTTCGGAGCCAAGTTTGACACCTCAGCATTCTCTAGCTTCTTAACAGTTTCAACCCGTCCTCTTCTCTAACCCACTTGGCCAATGTGTCGCCACATTGAGCGTCAACGTCGACATAAGTGCCGAGAGCACAAGTCCTGGGGCAGTACAAAGCCATCATTCCTATGAAGTTGATGTCACGACAGAGGGACGTCCTCTCGCGACAGTCGTTCAGAAGGTCAGTGCAGGCGTATTCTGAATAACCTTTCTACAAGCTGAATCAATTGACGACTTTACCGGGGCTGACAGGTCCGGTGTCGTAGCAGAGGTTGCAGGTTCTGGCGCAGTTGGCACGGGCGAAGTCCTGGACGTCGATTCCTTTGCAGTTGATCGAGGAGCAGTCGGCCACGTAGTCCTGACAGTCGCCGCCTGGATCAATAATTTTGTACCTTTTTCAACTCAAACAGGAACATTAGAGTGGTCCCTAGAGGCGCAAACTTTAGGGCAATTAAAGGTGCCTCTGTAGGGACCACCTTACCACCCCTATATGGGAACTAAATTTTACTAAAGTGGCCACTACTGAGAGACGTGCTAGTCGTTTATTGTTATGAGCTTTATTAGAAGGAGAACTTTCATGCCAAAAAAAAATTAAAAAAAAGACCCCTATAGGGGCTACTTAAGCTTCGGGTTCAAACCCTAAACCTCTATCGGGACCCCCTAAATTTCAGCCTTCTTTAAAGGCTCAATTTTCCCAGGGGCTTTTTTTTCCCTTACCCCTCCAGGGGTCACTCTGCGGTTTCTAGAAGATTACCTGGGATTACGACGCTCTTGTCGTCGCAGCAGCCGCCGTTGATACACTGGAAGCCCGTTGGACATCTTCCGGCGAAACAAGCTGAAATTTTCATGTTTTTGCAAAATGGACTCATCGAAGTTGAAAAGTAACCTTATCTTTACTTGATTTACCTCGCAAACTGGACTTTTCTGAGCAGTTCTAGGGATCACTTAAAAGTGCTGATGTCACTAAAGTGGTCACTAGAAATTCTTTAAAAACGTCTGGGGCGCGCCCGGTTTGCTGGGATAAGTTTTAGGGGGCCCTATAGGGGGTCGCGATTTTAGGGGGCCCTATAGGGGGTCTGCAAGTGGCCTTTTTAGGGGGAAATCCTTAGGGCCCCCTATAGGGGGTCCTAAATCGCTCCCCTAAAAATTGCAAGACCCTCAAGGGGTCGCGAAGACCCCTTGGAACGAACGTGGTTTTTTTAAATATCTTTCTCATTTTTCTAAGTTTTGAGTTGACTCAGTCGACCCAGTTTTTAGTTTAACTTTATAACTTCTATTTATATTTCATCAATTTCTGTGGTGCTTAAGGAAGTAATACGTTATTCACGAACGAGTTGTCAGTAGGATTTTTTCGTTATGGTTTCAAATTGTATTATAATGATTTGTGCGTATTTTTTTTTGCTCCATAAAAGTTAACACGGCAATCTGTACATTGGTTCAGTATTTTTCAGTGTTTCGTTTATGTACAATTGATATATTCGTTTATGTAAATATGTTCAGAGTATTTTTTTATTTTGGTATTTTCAGAGTTTCGTCTATGTATAATTAGTCTACGGGATTGTGTGAAACCGTCAGAAATTCACCGGTAGATGATGTTTGTTGGAGGTTTTTGATGTAAATGATGCGTGTTTATATATTCTATTCGATTATTGCTCGTTAAAGAAGACTTAATTTTTTATTAAGATGCCGCGGAGTCGCGATTTTATTGATGCGCATTGGTTCTACAGCAGCGATGAAGATTCTGAAAGGTATATCGAAAATGTTGATAATGATAAATGATCGTAGAAGCACGGAATCAGCCGACGGAAATTTTGAGCCGCCACATGAACCAGAATCAACGGAAGATTACCGCGGGCCGAGCAATTCAATAAGTTGCTTTCAAATGTCAAAGTTGGTTGTTTTTTGCTCACTGTTCAATTGTTCTTTTTTATATGTGCCAAACTTTTTGCCCTTATGTAAGTAGTTTCAACCGTTTCCGTGTCGAAGTCCCAACGTTTTTTATTGAAAGTTGCCCAACCATTTGCCTTGACACAACGCGTTTTTCTTCTATTTTTTCGCAAGTAGCGCTTATATCAATATGCTTTAGGCGTATCTTTATTGTCTTGAAGAGCTTCTATTAGATTGATCAATACGGTTTCCGTTGGCAGTGATTTAGACGTGTCAAATATTTATACGGGTCTTTTACGGCCAAAAGTTTTTTTGCTTCCTCGAATATCCTGTTACGTATACATATCTTCAGTTTTTTGCTCGTTTTTTTGTTACTTATGTCTATCTGTTCCCATTGATGATCCTGATTGCTTTTAATGTTTTCAATTCCTTTCAATAAATTTGGAAACAGTTTCAAACGCAATGAGATGAGTTTACTGCGGATGTGTTAACGATTCGCATTCAATAAGGGTTTCTCTATTTCCTCCCGGAGCTATTTCAAAAATTTTCCGTGCCCCCCTAAAGGGACCCCTAAAAAAATTTGTAGGGGTCCCTATAGGAGTTTCATTTAGGGGCCCCTATAGGGCCCCCTCCAAAGGGGCCCCTAATTTACCCCCTATAGGGCCCCCTAAAACTTATCCCAGTGTGTTACCGATGACCGAGAAAAGTGAAATTTTCAGTTTTCAATTTATTTTTTTAATGGATTTATATTCTTCTTCTTCTTCTCAACGTACCGCTCCTGACATTTGTAGAGCACGTCATCTGCCTAGTGCCATTGTTCTGTTGGCAATTGGCAAATGATATGAGGGAAATCCCAACGACGACGAATTTCCACATTCTCTCTGTGGATTCGTTTCACTGTAAGTTCATTCTCAAATTTCTGGTTTGTAAAAAGTTGTTTATCAAAAATAATGAAAAGTAAAAATCGAAAAGAAAACAACAATGGAAACGACAGCACCATTCAAAAATGATGAACATAAAAAAAAGTTAAATAGAAGATTTCCGAAACCACAATGCCTTTCAGGGCAGTTTAACCTTTTGTCAAATGAAAATAAGTTTTAAAGGATTACAGCAGAGCTTCAACCAGAAGAGTTAAGAACCCTGTAACATTAATAAAATACTTTTGATCAGAATAAAATTTCTGCGTCGGAAAACCAGGTAAATATTTGATAATGCTCGTAGTGGGAAAAATTTCTGTAAGTAAAAGCTACCAGACCTAACTAACAAAAAAAAAACGTAACAACAAGATACATTTAACGACTAGAATTATGAATATTGCATCAAAGGTCGATTAGAGAAGGAAAAAAACGGGATCATTTGTGGAAGTCTACACGTTGGGGGGGATAATAAATGACTCGGTTTCATTGTATCGTCGAAAGGACGTTTGCGCAGGTGTGCAAAGTCAGCTAAAAAGCTTCATAATGCTCTGAACTCACTTTTTGTTTCACAATTTTAATGACTCGTCACGGATAGAAAAAGGAAAGGAATGGCAAATAAGGACTCATAGGACTCATAGTAATAAATTCATCTTCTAAAAATTCAGTTCTTTTTTTCATTGGAGGAAGCACGGTGAAGCTCTCCTAGAAGCTTCTCTCGCATCGCCGCGGTCTGCTTTTCCAAATCAGCCACGAGCTTCTTCAACTTCAAGTTTCGCGCCTGTTCGAATTGACGCGAATCGAGAAGCTTCTGCCATCTGGAAAATTTCATTGATTTAATTAAACTCTGAGCTGGATGAACCTTGATTTTTGCTTGTCACGATATCTGGCGGCAGCCTTTTTGTTCTGTTCTCGGCGCTTCGACAGTTCCACGATTCCTCCATCTGAAATCATTCAGATGTTTTTTTTCCCGCCGAAAGAATGTTTAAGTGCGAAATGTTTTGTTTGAACGCTTTGCTGTGATAGATTAGGTGATCAATCATCACTATTGTTGTTTCCTTCGGAGCGTACATGTTTTTTTTTTGAGGCAAAGTCCAAAGTTTTCGGAAAAAAAGTTTGAATTTTTTCCAACGACAGCGTTACAGTATTGAAAAAGTACGCAAAGTGTAAACACTGTGTCAGCAGATACATTTTATTTCACGCCTAAATGACGTATCTTTTTCAGAAACGTCATTTTTTTTCATTCCTGTTTTTTTTGTTGAATTATTTCTCGTTAGAGAAATATATAGAGTCATGTTCAAAGTGCTCTCTACAAAGTTCATTATTATCTTTTCGGACACTTCAAAAGTTAGTCACCTTTTTCTTTCCCTTACGGCAGTTTTCTATTTCACGGAATCATTTTAAAAACGGCGTCAATTTTATTTTTGTGAAGTTGAAGTTTTTAATGTAAATATACGTGTTTTGCGCTTTTAAAAAACTAATAAAGCGATTTTAATGTTTTTTTTCCCACAGTTTCCGTTGACCGTTTTTTTTTTTACTTGAAAATTTCGACTTTTTTCACATCTCAAAGCTTGAATAACAATTCAAAAATTGAATTTTCGGAATAAGCAACTATATCCACTCTTGACACAAAAAAGCTTCCGAGTTCATAATTTTCGTAACTTTTGCACCGATGAGTATGGATTTTGCTGTTTGCGCCCATTGAACACTTTTGCATCACGGGTACCCAGGAATCTGAGCGTCTAAACAAGAAACTCGCGGGCCCCTCTGCGTTGTTGTTTCGCAAGAAAGAACGATTTTCGATGTGTTGTTGTGTTTGGGGGTCATGTGCGTCAACAGCGAAAAAGAGCGAGAGAGCACGCCCCTCCGGTTTTGTTTACCGCGTCGGACTTGGCCTCTGCCAGCCATTTCAGTCGCACACGGCCCTCTGCGCCAGCTTCCCAATCGATCCCAGCCCTCGTTCATCCAGACGCTTTCGGATTCACTACTACATGTCCCGCATATTTTCATTTTTGTTTTTGAAGTTTGCTGTAAACAACAAGGGCATTTTTTTTATCGAGTAGGCTTTGAAATGAAAGATTCTTCTGGATTTTGTGAAAATTTACAAAATCGGTGAAAATTTGCATGAGTGCCTTGGGATTTAGCTTTATTCAGCGGGATATATTCCGTATTTGCATGCGAATAAGCCTAAATTGATTATTTTAAATTCAATCAAAATTTGCGAATCAATGGTTTTCTTGTTATTGCTGCATGTTCAAAAGAAAAAATTTCAAGGTATTTTCAACTTTATTAATTCTAAATTCAATGTTTTTTCGAACATTGTTTTCTCTATTGTTTCCCATGTTCGTTAACGCAGACCTCATGCGAGATCCTCCAATCTAATTTTTTTAAATTTCAGTTTCTTCCCGTTATCTTCTCTCCAAAACATCCAAAATGATCTGGACCTCCATTGTAAGTTCTCTTTTTGATACATTATCCGTCTAAAAACCCGGCCATTCTCGAACAAAAATAAATCATAGGACACCCGCAACGCCGTCATCTCGTCGCTTTTGCCAGGCGCCGTCGCGGCCATCGGCTTCACTCAGGTCGATCAAGCCGACACCATCTGGTACAACGTGAGTTCAACTCCAATCTCTTCAGAGAAAATAAATACAAAAATTTTCAGGCCCTCCGCAAGCCCAACTACGCGGTCAAGGACATGAGCTGCTGTGCCGTCGGCGACGTTTTGGCCCTCTCGCCACTCGGCTACGCATCCTACCTTGTTTACAAACAGGCTGGAGGTACATCACTTGTTTACTCAAAGATGAAAATCTATTTTCAAAACCGAGAATGATGCAAATTTGCAGGTCTCGACACGACTGACGCCAAAATCGGTCTCGGACTGTACGCCGCCAGTCTTCTCCTGGCTCTTTCCAAGATCCCAGCCATCAAGAGCAGGGACCTCAGCAGCGTTAGTTGTTCAACTCACGGAAAAGACTCAAATTTGTACTTTTTAGTTGTGGAAGAACACGACTCTTGTCCACTTGACCGGCGCTGGAGCCGCCTACTATTTCTACAAGGTGAGAGAATTTTCTTCCTTGAGGCGCTGTAAAGTTATAAAAAAGAAGGAAACAAAAATTTCAAAAAAGGCGCTTTAGATTTTCTGGAAAATTTTAAAATAATTTTTCGACAAAAGTTGGAACATGGTTTTTTTTATGTGAATCTTTCAACTTTTTGAAAATTTTCTTGCTGGGTTTTCAGGTCATTGTAAGCATGAAAGTTCGAAAAAATATGCTCGATAAGCTTGAAAAGGTTTTTTTTAATTATCGCTTAGACGAGCTTTTTCAAAAACCAAGCTTTGTGTTTTCAAATGCCAGCAAGATTTCTATAAGTTTTTTGAAGACTTCATGAACTTTTCGAAGTTTTCAAAGAAAAGTTTGCCTTAAATATAAAATTAAAGCTGAAGGTTCTCAAATTTAACTGAAAATATTTGCAGATCCACAACAACGCGGGACTCTTGCTGCTTCCATACGTCCTGTGGTCCGGCTACCACGCTCTCGCCTTCTTCGCGATGAGCCCCGACTCGGAAACTCACCCCAAGAAGGCCTTCTAAATCCCATTTCCCTCGAATTTCTCTCACCTCAGGAGAAACACGCCTTTTTATCTTGTAATTATCCCTCGACTAGGGTGGTGTATATGTTGTTGACGTTTCATTCACTCACTAGCCTTTTTTGTGTGTATAAATTTTTTCAATTTTTCTTTTTCGATCCGTTTTTCAATCATGAAAAGAGTACAGTTCGAATTTATACTTCGAATATTTCTAGAGAGTGGCTTCCTTCATTTCGCACATGTTTTTTGAGATTAGATTTGGAAATTGAGAAAAATTGTCTTCGTAAGCATTGGTTCAAAATCATAGATGAAAAAGTTTGAATATATTTTCTGTATTTGTTTTTTTGAATTGGACTTTTTTTAATTTTTGGAGTCATTTTTTTCGAAAAATTGTAATATTTTTTTCTCTATTCATCCCACAAAAAAATTGAAATAATTTTTCTTGAATTTTTTTAACCGTTTTTAAATATTGCTCATGTTTTTCTAACTGAAGGCGTCAAAGGAAGATCGATAAATTTTTATTTTTATTTTTATTGGAATGGACTCGCTTATCCTTTTTTTAATGAGATTCAAAGATCAGTTTTTTTAAAATATTCTAACGGCATTCTTTTCTTTTTTTGAAGGGAGTTTTGAAACTTTTCCTTCAGTAAAATGATAAAATTTGAGAAAAATGAAACTTTCAGTAGTTCGAATTGAGTTTCAACGATTTTATGCGAGTTTAGAGTCACGTTCGACTAGACGCTTTATTAGTGAATCAGCTCGAAACTTTGGATTTCAAATTGTAAGTTAATTTCATCATTTATTGATGCCGTGTTCAAAGTGGTTCTGCGAAATTTAAAATAGCCGTCAGATTGTGAAGAAGGTAACGAAGTTTTGGAGTTCAGAAATAATTTCGTGTTTAGAGCAAACTAAACTTTTTTGAAACTTCGTAAACTAACCAGGAGCCGAATCGTTCTCCTTAATGTTCTTGGCGGCTTGGTAAACAATGTCGACCAAATCCTCAATGGGGATAGATTCCTCGTTTCCGTCAGCATGACTTAAAATCGACTTTTCTTCGATTACTGTAGCTTTGGATTGGCCCTTACCGTATCTTGCACTTGTCGCAATCGTCCGTTTTTAGAAAATGTTCGCATTCTTTCGAAATTTCATCGTAGATTTCCGAGGGAGCACTCGGGATGCTCGGAAGACTGTAAAAGTCATTTTGAACTGAGAATTGAATAAATTTAGCGGATTTTTACTTCATTCACCATTAATTTGAAAAAAAAAGTTACAAAAACGTCTGATCCTCTCCTTTTCATAAACTCATTCCTTAATTTTTTGAAGAAATCTAACGGTTATTTGTTTTAGAAAGCGGAAAATGAATCAATTTTTTTCCTCCTTGTGTTCATTATTTTTTTGGAACTTTTTTGGAAGCCAACCTGTCTATGGAACATTCTCGCGAAGTCTGGTTACTGTGAATTTCGTACCGAGAGTTCGAAGGCGTGTGATCGCAATGCTGCTGTCGGTTTTCCGTTTCACAGTTCCAACCTAAGAAAAAAATTTAAATTTGTTTAGTTTTCGAACATTATTTTTTTTTGAACTTTGAAGTAAGTTGGGTCTTTTTTGAAAAAAATTCTCCGGCTGGTAGGAGCCAAAAATTAATAAATCTTGAATAAAGAAGATACAATTTTTCCTTCTTTTTCCCCTTATTTCACATCTTCCTATTTATTTGGGAATTTTTGAACCTTCTACTTATCACTAACTCTGTAGAAGACAAAAGTACTAAATTTTTGGATTTTTATTGCTTTTTTTGTGAGAAGCAATTTTCTTTTGATTTTTATAGAAAACAGGCAGTATTCTTTCAATTTTTTTTGAACTTTTCTATTTTTTTTAGAAGAACCATTTTCCGTCAATTTTTTGTTAATTTTTTTGGATTCTCGACTAAATTTATCACTTTCAAAAAAGTTTCTGGTTACAGGATTTGATTTATTGTAGGCCCCAGATTGTTTGCATTTTTCTTCTGGATTTTTTTATCATTTTCTAATGATCCTCCCAAAATAATTCTGGAAGGTTCAGAATCAAACCGGAGTATCAAATGATCGATAAATGACGCAATTCGAGGGTTAAAAGACGTCTCTCTTATCTTTTCATATCGGTTTAATGTTGCCATCATCTTTTATCAGCTGTCAATAGTAGGAATCTCGGTTTTCAACGACGTGAATTATGAACAATAATAAGGAAAAAACTGAGGAAGAGGAGCAATAGAAAATACCGAATGATGCAATGTTTCGTCACTCCAATTTTGAAAAAAAAATTTTTTCGAAAAGTTTCTAAAAACCCTACACTTGAAAATCCAGCAAGAAAGTTAGGAAGGAGTCCGGTTTCTTAACATTTATGACCGGCTCTTCAAAAATCAGTAATGATTTAATTTTTGAGTCATTTCGTATCACAGATATGATGAAAATTCAACAATGGAGAGCAAAAAAAAAGAGAATTTTGCAAGTTTTGTTTTGTAACTTTTTTCAAAAGGCTGAAATGTCTTTTTTATCTTGAAAAACTCAATTTTTTCGTTGGTTGGAGCTTGAGATCAATGATGCAAATTGAGTAATGGAGCAAGAAAGTTAAAAAAATTTTTGCATAAACTGCTTTTTCAAAATGGAAAAAAATAGTCTTTTTCGAAATAATTTTTTTCTCTTCTTTTTTGATTCTGATCAACAAACAGAGCACAAGAAAACAGAAAATCCGGGAAAAGCCTCACCTTCCAGCGGAACAACACATTTGCAGTTCATTTGGACGTGGAAAAGTACACCAAACATTCCGAAAAATTCAGGAAGAAGTGAGATATTTAACTAAGATCAGTGGGAGTAGAGATTGAACAGCGATCAGGCTTCAGGATCGTGTGTATTTGGTTTTAAAAGGCGACAGTAGAGAAATCACGGCGAGTGGTTGTGTAATGTTGCGCGCACGTGCAGAGAGTTCTCTCTTTGGCGTTCCTTGGGGCGAAAAAAGAAGACGCGCCGCATTGCTCATATTAGGGGATCCTTATGAGTCATTTCAACGGAGGGAAGGTTTTGAAACAAGGAAGAGAAATATTATTTTAATTAGTGTTAGAATTCGATGTTCTCCGTAGTTTTTAAATGTTTATGAAGCAAAGTAGTTACTTTTTCTTTTTAATATTTTTTTTTCCAAAATGCCTACTTTGAAATTTCTTTGAAGAATTATGCGATATATTGTAAATCCAATCTACCCTCTGAAATAATTCTATTTATAATTTGATAATTCATCTCTACTTATTTTTTTCACACAAATTACATCACAGACTTGTCAAAAATTAATATCTACTATACTCTAGCTATGATTGATCGTTTTGAGGTTTGACAGAATTCCGTCTCAATTTTTGCAAAACTTCAAACGTTTGAGAAGCGATAAGTAGAGTACTCTGACTTACTTTGATAAGATATATCTTCAAAGTGTTTCGTTGACACTGCGACTTGACTCGAAGCTCAAAGTACATTCCAACTTTCAAAAGTGCATTCGTATCGTCATGGTTTTTTTTTATGGGCAACCTAACGCAAAAAAAATTATACCTTTGGGTCCTATGGATTTTCACTTTTTGAACCATTCTTTTCTATAAAAGCTCGTTAGTCTCCAAGCAAACTAGAGTCCTAGTTGAAATTAATTTTTGAATAAATAAAAAATTTCGTTTTGTTGAACTCTTTCCAACCTTTAGCTGCAATAAAGAAAAAGTGAAAGAATTTTTGATCTCAAGAACCAAATTTGGACAATTTACAAGCAATTTTTTTCTCTTTTTTTAATTCTCAGGTTACCTCTTTCCGCGAATTTCTTTTTAACATCATTCAAAACCTTTTCTGAGGCAATTAAGCTTTGTTTGCTTCCTTTTGAGAATATATCAAGGCAGCAGACAAGGGCTTTAATTAATTCAAACATTCGAGATACGGTAGTTTGTCAACAAAAGTGGGCAGACACTCGTGAAACATCTGACAAGATCATTTGGATCATTGTCTTCAAAACAATTTTATAAATGCGAAAGTTTAATGAGCGTTTGAAGCTTTCAGCTTTTTTTGGTCAGTCGACAGAAAGAAGTTTTGCCCTTTTGAAAGTATTAGGATTGATTAACTTGAATTTTTTGTCCTAGAATAAATGAAGCTTGATAATTTGAGATTAGTATCATAAACTGACCAATGTGAGGTGACTGCAACTGTTGGTGAGTGAAGCCGAACTGGCAGCTCTGATGATGATGGATGTGATGGTGGTGGTTCTCGTGAGGGTAACATCTGTAGTGGTCGTTGTTCTGGCAGCCGTCCGAGCTGTAGCTGCTGAACGGCTCGACGTACTTTTGGGGCGAGAGGGAGTAGTTCTGACCAGATTCAGGTAGAGAGGATGGACATGTATAGGCCTGGAAACGGTGGAACATTTTGTTTAGGAACTAGAAAAAGGCGGAAATAAACGGAAGAATTTGAGTCTTCAAAGAAATTGCATTCCTAAACTTTTAATCTTTCCTAAGGCGCATAAACACGTCTTTGATTCCGTGATTGTCAGCTCTTCTCTGAACAAAGTACGTAGGAATCTAGACGGTTTCTTTAGACCTATGGGAAAAGAAGGATGTGAGAAAAAGGCTGTGACGATGACAAGTTCAGAGAAATCGAAAAGAGTTTCAGAAAAAAACTTTTTGCCGACGATTAAAAAAATATTGAAATTTTTTTTTCCTAAGCATATCTTCATAAAGAACACTCAATAAGCTTTCTTCTTGTCTGTTCAAAGATGAGAATGAATAATGCCTCAGAGTAACAAAATTTCGATAAATCAAACGAGATATAGCCTTAAAAAAATGGGGGAAAAAATATGATTTTTTACCTTGAAAATTGTGAAGAGAAACCGATTTTCAATCATTTTTTTTTTCATTTTTTCCAAAAATTTTGCTGGAAACTTGGAGGTTAATTCTTCACAGTTTCTTTTCACAATGAGAGACCTTTTTTTAGTGTATGAAAAATAGGAAAAATGAAGAAAAAAGGATAAAATTCTTCAATCTTCACCAGTGAAGTTATCAGAGAATTTCACTATAGACAAGTCAAACTTCAAAAAAACGAAAAAAAAAGAGAAATTTTTTTTTTTTGATTTTTCGGAAAAATGACCGATTTTTGAAAGAACAATAAAATCAACTTTTTTACCCGTCTTTTTCTTCGATTTGCGTTTTACTAAAAACCATCAAGATACTTTGAATCAAAAATCTCAAAGAAAAAAAACCTTTTGTCAACAAAATTCAAAAATAAATATTCGAGAATGAGAAACTTACTACTTGATAGCAACTCTGAGTGTCTGTCGAAGAGGCTTGGATGTGATTGTGAGGTTCCAATTGGATGAAACTTTTTGAATAAACTTGATTAGGCCTGAAAAACATCTCATTCTAGAAAAAAAAAAGCAGAAAGTGACTAACCCACAAGAATCGTCTGTTAGAGGCCACATCTCATGGATCGAATTCTGAAAAAAACCGAAAATTTTGAAGAAAAAACAAATTTTTACGAGAAAAATAGGCTGGAAAAGTTGCAGACAGAAAAAAAAACGACGTGGCCTGAGCGCGCGCGGGGAGGGCCTATGCTGCCTATCGATTCAATCGTAAGAGGCCTATCACACTTTCGACGGCGGTTTTCGACGCGCAAAAAGGTCGAGGTAGAGCGACAAAGCTGGACACGCAGATAACAGTTGGAAATAGTGTGCGACGCGGAGAGAGTCGGGCAGAGATAGGCATGTCCGAGGCCTGACCAGACAGGCCTATTTTATTGCCGAGACGCCTTTGCGCCGTTGCGATTCAGGCGCCTGCCACATGGCCCCATAAATAGAGAGACGAATGAAGTTTGGTCACAACTAACATCTGTGAACAGGTCGTTTGCAGCGATTTCAGGCCTTTTCTTCGTTTCAAAATTCTTATTTTAAATTTTTCGGTGCAAGTTCAGTTTGACGCAAAGGCTAAACTCTTCACACTTTTGATCCTTAGAATTTTTTTTAGTTATTTATAAGTTTTCTTGGGAGTAGAGAGAAGCCTATAGAAAATTAAGATATTTTTTTCTTCATGAAGTAGTGGTTTGCCCGGTTATTTCCGATTTTAATTTCACAAATTTTTTTAATCTGAAACTTCAAAGATTTTTTTAGCTTGCGCCATTCTCTTTCGGGCAATTTTTTTCGAAAAAAATCTTCGTTTTAGTATGATATCTGAACAACACAGAGTTTTTTTAAATCGAGTTACTTCTTTGAAAAACTTGAAATAATTAAAGCTTTCAAGTTCCCAGATAAACTAATTAAATTCTCATCAGCTGCCTACTATTTTATTTACAAATTTGATAATTTAGTGGGAGTTTTTAGGCTCAAGTTGAAGTCTTGGAAAACTGCAGTGCTTTTTAAAGTTACGTTAAGCCTTAACGGTTAAGGTGCAGGAAAAAGTTTATTAACGTTTTTTTCGAATAATAACATCAAAACTTTTAAAGGAATTGTGATGGCTATTTAAAAAAATATTTGGCAAAAAGTGCAAAATAACCTTCTGACTAGATTTAAAATAGATGAATTTAATTTACGAAAGAATCTGTTTAAAAATAAAGTAAAAGTTCAAATAAATTTTTCGTCAAGCCTCCATATGTTTAAAATCTCCAGAGAAACCATAATAATTAGAAAATGGAAAACAAAAATAGAATATTTTTTCACTGGTGAGATGTTGGAAGGCGCAGCGATTGATTGTGGCTTGTTGATCTGATAACGGTTTTTCGCTTCGAGATCCTGATTAATTTCGCGGCTTATGATCCTTTAAAAAGTTCATCATGAAGACGTTAAGCGAAATAATATTGTTCTTTGAAAAATAGTACTTTTTTTCTTCTTTTTTTCTATGCTCTTTTTTTCTCTTCAACGCTAAAATGTTACACTTTGAACATTTTGATCCGCGATCAAATAGCAAAGTATTTACGAACAGCTGCCTTTCATTCTTTTTTCATGTTATTCCAAGATGTTTGGTATTTTGTTTCATCGATCTCTTTTCCCTGTTTACTGTTTACTTCTCTTCCGTTGGCTCTTATGTCCCACCATTGCGTTTTTCATCGATTTTTCCTAAAAATATAGGCTTTTTTTTTTTTTACAAATCTATAGTTTTTATCGTTTCATTTTCTTGCTTTTGCACTGGTGGGGGACGCGCCGGGGTTCTGACTCATATTTTTTGTCTTTTGAATCGAAAAACCTCTTTCAATGCGTTTTTTTTTTGTTTTTTTAAATTTTTATTAGTATCCTTGCTCACTTTCAAATGTGTTTCAAGCAATTTTGAACTCCTTTTATAATATTATTTTTTGAACTAAAAAATGGGCATGGTTCAGCTCCATCCGTCAAATTCGTTTAAAAATTAAGCATCATGAGGAGAGGAAACACATTAAAGGGAAAAAAGTCGGATTTTATTAGCTTACATGAAAAAATAAGGCAAAAAAAGGAGAAGCTCCCAACGCGTGCCTGCCTGAGGCGCCAGCAGTTTTTGACAACAAAAGTCATTTTACTTTGTGGTTTGAAATTTCCTGAAAATTGGCCGACCATTTCATTGATGTACTCACTAGGGAACTACTCGGACTCGGGTAAGCAGATCAAGTTCAAACTTTAGTGGTTTATAGACCTAAGTGAGAATACTTGAAAACAAGTGAGAATATCTGCTAAACTCAATAGAGAACTGAGAAAAAATTAGTAGAAAATGTAAAAATTAGGCCTGAAAATTTTCAGAATACTGCTTTTTACCTTATTTTCTAGTTTAATACAATCGCCTTGAAGGATCCGGCTATGATAAACTCTAAAAAAATTTTTTTCCCGCCAAAAGAAGGAGGAAAGAGAACATTTGATAATTTTCAAGCCTAAACTGTTCATTTTCAAAAGGGTTTTTCTCAGAAGCCTATGGGGTTTAGCAGATAATTTCTCTTGTTTCTAAGTACTCTTACCCGGGTCTAATAGCCACAAAAGTTTCAACTCGAAACGCGTACCCGAGTCCGAGTAGTTCCCTAGTCAGAGTGATTCTGAAAGTCTCAACCGACTTTCTAGTTTTTGAGAAAAGACCCCTCAAACAAAGAAAACCCTTAAAAATCGTTTAAATGAGTTATTTTTGGGCTTTTCTCGGAAATTAGGAAGTTGTGCAGGTTGAGACTTTTAGAAACTTCATCTGGTACATCTAGAAACTTCTGACCAATTTTCAGGAGTTCCCTAACCGCCAAGTAGAATTACCTTCCCTACGAGAAAGTGGTCGGAAAATCTCTTTTATTGATTTCAGAATGTCATTGTTGCAAACAGCAGCGTTGGAAGCGACCCGAGCAGTTTTATGGACTCGAACGGTATTTTTTTCTTATCAGATTATTTCGCAGTTCTTTTTCGATTTGATAACTTTTTCTGCAGGACACTCGGAACGCTCTCCTCTGTTCTTTAGTCCCGGGAGCCGTCGCCGCGACTTCATTCGCCACTTTCGCATTCAATGAAGGCGTCGTTAAGTGGTGGGCGGTTAGTTCGAAACCTAGAACAAATAATTTTCGGGTTTTCCAGGACATTCACAAGCCAAAATGGTCCATCGAGAATATTCGGATAAGCTCGGCGGTCGATCTTTCGACCATTCTTCCCCTTGGATTCTCTTCCTATTTAGTCTACAAATATGGGGATGGTTAGTTATATTATCATCAGTATTTGGATATCATCATTGTAGGAAAGTGGAAAATTCTGTTTCTATTGAAAATTTGCAAAAAAATATCACTTCGCTTCAAGACCGTTGTTTTTTGCTATTTTTTTTTGCAGTTATATTGATTAAAAATGCGAGAAAGCTGAGTTAATTTAGCTTCTTTATGCTGTGCTTTTTAAAATACCGAGTTATATTTATAAAAAAAAATTTTCTGACTTTTTTTAAATTTCAATCTATGTATTCTGAAAACCAGTCTTCAGCTTTTTCTATTCGAAAATATCTTAGTTAGAAATTTCGAAAGTAACTTCTTTTTCAAAAAAATTTTTAAACAATAGATAATTCTTCCCATTTTCCGGATTCAATCGGGCAAGCACGGTCTCCGCTCTCAGCATCTATGGGATCAATATGTTTTTGAACCTTGTCAAAATCCCGTTGGCCAAAAGCAGAGACCTTTTGATGGTGAGTTTTTTCTCCTTATTTTATTTTAGCTTTTTTTTCCAGCTCTGCAAAACTTCCGTTCTAGTTCATATCACCGCCCTCACGATGGCTTTCTCATTTTATAGGGTGAGATTTTTATTAGTTATAAATAAGTTTTTCCTTAGGGATTTTCAAGGTTTTTTTTTGGGAAAAATTGGGGAAAATTTTTGAAATTAATTAGAGTTTTCGCTTGGGACTTTTTTTGATTTTAAAAATTTTTACGGATTATTGGCTTACTTTTCATCAGTTCCTTTGCACAAGAAAATTCATCTAATTTTCATTTTTTTTTTTCATGTTTTTTTCGAACTAGATATATTTGCACTATATTTTTTTATATGTTTTTATAATATCATAATCTGTTTAAAAGCGCGTGTTAATTTCATCGATGATTCAAAATCGGCGTTAATTTTTTTGCAGGGTAAAAAGAGATTCAAATCATATTTTTTTCAACTTTTTTTAGCTTTCAATAAATTAAAAAAAGAGATATATTTGAAGATCGAAGCGGTGGCCGGCCTTCTGGTGCTACCGTACACCTTCTGGACAGGATATCACGCCCTTCTGGCCCATTGGATCCATTCCACACACGCCGACAAGCCCAAAAAGGACTTGTGAAGCAACTTTTTTCTGTAAATATCAGTTTTTTAGGTTCGAAATTTGTTTTTGTTGATAATTTCTCTCAAAAATGAACCTTTTTCACGTAACTTATTCACATCCAGTAATTTTTCTGCCATTCTTTGAGTCGATGGGAAAATTTCAACGAAAAATTATAACTAATAAATTACCAAAAATGATTGTTTTTGTTATCGGTCGGCTGTGAAACGACCCTTTATTGTGCAAAAATGCGCAGTTTGGTTGGGTAAATAATTATCCGATGGTGGGAACAAGCTTATTTCGGCGATTTTTGTAATTGCAGGAGAAAATAGTCTAGTTTTTGCTGCTTTGAAAAAATTGGCTGTCTTAAAAAAGCTCTGATAGATTGGACCAGAAACTTTGAAATGAAAGTGTATGATGGATTTTCTGAACCTATTTTATTAATAATTGGTTATTTTTATTAGCCACTCAAGCATCCATTTTGAACTAGTTTGCCGAAAATGGTTTTGAAGATCTTAATTTGATGGGAAATTTCGTGAAAAGCATGAGAAATGAGCTGGTTTTATTGGCATATGTGGAAAAAGCCTTTAAACCAGTAATTTATATTTTCAGACTCAGCATTTTCAAGCTCCAATTCTTCATTATTGGTTTGAAAAAGTGGCAAAGAAATTATATTACCTTTAGTTAACATAATTTGAAGCTAAGAACTTTGGAGAGGTCCACTTTTTTTGTGAAAAAGTCGCTTTTTAAAAAAATAGTCATTTTCTAGGACTTTTTTTGAAAAAAACTCTTTCTAAAAAAATTATATATATTTTTTTGAGTTTTTAACGCGTCCGTTTAGTTTTTCTATTTCTCAAGCTTTATCTCCAGTACAGTCGAAAGATTGAAGTTCCCTTCAAAAAGCCTCGTTTCAAGGTACCTGAAACCTCGGGTTAAGAAACGAAGCGAATCTCTCTCAACCGCCCAAATTTACCGTAACCCAATCTTCCTGAGAAAATATATATGAAAAACTGCGTGTAAGTGAATGATCCGCCGGGCCAAATGCTCGGATTTCTTGTTTGCCTCGAAACGGAGCGATCAGCCTTTGGAGTCGCCACCTGGAACCCTTTCCCACGGTTTTCGGCCCACCTCTTCGCTTATTCGGCTTACCTGCCGAGTTGGTCGTTTTTGTCGAGCTTCTCAGTTTCGCAGAGGGGTTACTTTCAGTTAGTTTTACCTTTGAAACTACTCTCAAAAATTTTTTTCAAATTCTCATAAAAGACTCGTTGAGTAGTGAATCTAGAAAGTGGAGAGTTTGTTTTTGAGTTCTCAGTACTTTTCTTCTTTCATGCTTAAATGTTCCATCTTTACCTGGCTAAGATAAGAGTCCAGATATCTTTCAAAAGCTTGCCTTCTGAGAAAGTTTTGATAGGAAAAGTAGGAAAAAGTTTCATTTTCACATTTGAAGTTACTTTCATAGTCTGTGTGCCAAGACTTGAAATTTCACGTAACGACATTCCGTTGTTCCGCTGCGTGCGTTCGCGAAGCGTCTTTCGAATTTAAGTCACCATTTCAATTGATAGTTATTGCTGTGGGAGCATGAAAGTAGAGTACCTTAATGAGAGAAAAAAATAAAAATAAAAAGCCCGACCAAGGTTCGCAAAGGCGCGAAGCGGCACAGCGGAATGTCGTTCCGTGAAATTCCAAGTCATGGTACACAGGCTATAGCTTGAATCTCCCTTGCTTTTCAAAAAAAAAGATATCACTGTAAAAACTTTCTCCAGCAAAAATGGCCTTCAACATTGATTCTTTACTAACCGATGGAAGCGGCGTCGAGAAGATGCCGAAGCTACAGAAGGACGACGACGACGTGCAGCCTTCAGAAGACGAACTTTCCGAAGAATGTCAGTCGCCGGAGCCGCCGATGACGTCATGGGGCTCCCTGGCGACCAGCCAACTCGCCATGTACGCCATCGCCAACGATATCCGGAGTCCGACTCTTGTCGAGCTCCAGATGCTACTTGGGGTCTCGGGTTGGATTTAGATCTAATCTTTGAGAAATATCTCAGTATTGGGATATATCAGATGATTGAATCGATGTTTAATCCAACAAGTTCAGCGAGGAAGCATGACTACAAGAGATCACGGAAATCGGTGAGCGAAAGGAAACCTCGACAGGCCTATTCCGCCAGGCAGTTGGACCGTTTGGAGTCCGAGTTTCAGGTAAATACACCAAAAAGGACGGAAAATGGTTCACAAACTCGGAATCTCTCAATCTTGATCCTAAATCGACCTGTTAGCAAAGTCCAGAAGGACCTAAAAAGAACCTTTGGAAAAAAAGCAGATTCCGAGAAACTTTTGATACCTTTTTAGGAACTTGAAAAAAGCGCTGCAGCCTCTTCTTTTTGAGGCTGTTTGGACTTTGCCCATGTATATCAATTATAAGTTTCAGAGCGACAAGTACCTCAGCGTCAATAAACGCGTTCATCTCTCGAAGACCTTGGATTTGACTGAAACTCAAATTAAGACATGGTTTCAGAATCGAAGGTCGGTTCGAAAAATATTTGAAAACTTCAACGTCCAGTAAAATTGAGCATTTTTGTCTCAATCAGTTGGAATGTGAAAAGTTTTACTTGGAGTTTAAGAAATTTCTGAAATTTTGCTGAAACATTCTCTGCAGGTCTAAATAGAGATTCTGACAGTCTCTACCTGTACGAACCTTTATTTTTGGAGATATAACTTTTCAGAGCTGTAAATTATTTTTTCAGTTATAGTTAGAAGGGACCTTTAAAAATTCATATTTTAATGATCTCAGGACAAAGTGGAAAAAGCAGCTGACGACGTCGATCCGACAACTCTGCCGCGACGTTCCGCCGCCGCTCCTGACGCCTCCGGCCATTCCCGTGGTTCCCGCCTCAGTTCCGTCGTTTCCTATCAGTCCAACAGTTATCATCCCTCCGACTTCTCTGCCCTTTCGGTTTCAAATGAACGAGTGAGAAAATTTCAATATAAATAAATATTTTGATGAGTTTTGTGACTGTAAGTAGTTTGTTCTAACGTCCCCTCGGTGTTGAGTTTAAATGAAGTTCTCGAGGTTAGGAGCAATTTCGATGTTGTTTTAAGTATTTTAAGACCTCTGCGCCTTTAAAGGAGCATTGACAATTCTGAGAAAGGTCCCAAAGCGAAAATTATTGTAGCTAGTGTGACTTTCGTCGGACCTTTTGAAAAAAAAAAAACTAAACGGGCTATCATATCTTCAGGGGTTGCATCAATTTCAAAAGTTCCATTTTTATTATTTCCGAGCGTAGTTGAGTTAGAAAAAAAAAATTAAATTAGTCAGCTGGATTTCCCGGTCTCGCGGCACGTGTTAGATTGAGAGCCGGAGCAGAACTGCTGTTGGTTGGAGTTGCTGATGGAACTGGTTGAGGTTGCTGAAAGAGGCATTGAGTTGATGCGCAGCCAATTCAAAGGGATACCTCGGTAGTTGTCGACGTATCCACTTTGGTGTGATTCTCGACTCGGCAGGGCCTATCCTTCTCGGAGGCGGTGAATGGCCAAAACTGTAAACTGATCTATTTCTGAGTCATATGAATCCAACCAACCGCCAGAGATCCAACGAAACAGACCGAGAAAACGAAAAGAAAATTCGAGACGAACATTTCCAAGAAGTTGTTCCACTGTTTTCCACAGCTTTTTATACAGTCGCCTTGTCTCGAAAACAACCAAAGGCCATGTTTTTCAGACAAAAAACAAACATTTGAGGGAATAAGAACAATTGGCGCCAATGTTTTCACGACAAGGTTACTGTACTTTGAGGATTTCTCAATATTTCTGCATTTTCATGAAAACAGAGATGAAACGTTTTATAACTAAACGGAAATCATTCAAAACAATCCGAAAGTGAGAGAGAAAGTTTAGTTAGTTTTGAGAAAATTGGAACCAAGTTATTTCATTTTTAAAAACCGTAGAAAAAATCTCAAAAAACCGTTTGTGAATCGAGATGTAAAATGTGAAAATTCTCCTGTTGGAGAAAATCGATGATTATTATATCAAGGACATAGATAAGAGCAAGTTGTAACAACCTTCACAAAAAGAGATCATTTTCAGTGGAAAAAAAAACAGTGATGTACTAACAGTGATAAAAAGTGATATTACAAGAGCATCGGTAAAAAAAGATTACAAGTTTTATTACCCATAACAAAAAAAAAGTAAAAAAAAATTAAGCTTTGCGAGCTTTGAATTCTTCGATGGAGCGTTGCATTTGAGCCTGGAATCGGGCCAATTCCTCAGATAAATTCTCGGTTTCCATCAGCAGATCTTCTCTGACTTTCATCCGTTCCGAACATTCTGGAAATAATGATTGAACCATCTAGTTATTTTTCAAAATTTCAGAAAGAAATTTACTTCTATAAATATTATTCGCTCTTGTTAAAGCCAATTTTTCGAAGCCTGACTGTTCAAAAAAGTATATAGGACGTTTTTCGACAAGAAATTCCCTGAACTTGGTTTCCTCAGTCAGTCTGAAAGAGCAAGAAAAACAAAAAAAAAATGATTTGGCAGACTTTGAAACATTTTTGGTCAAATGGTGAGTAAGATGAACCCATTTCTATGTTTTACTATAAAACTTCAAAAAAATTTAAAATTTTGCCTTCACCTTTCACTTCGAATAAAATTGTCCCACCTTTCCTCATCACCCTCGTCTCCTCTTCGTCCAACAGAGAAGTGTTGGTCAAGTCGACGACGTTTTTCGCGCGTCGAAGCCTCGGCATGGGGTTTTGGTCGATGGTCCAACCTATTCGCTCCATTTCGTTCCGCGCCAAAATCATGTCTAAATTTGAATCGAAATTTCAGCATTTGCACATTTTCTTTTACCAGTTTCACTGATCGACGATTTCAGAACTCCAGAAAACGGTTCGAATCCAGTCGTGTCAACTGAAAATGTCATGATTCTGAAAAGTTGAGGGAGATGATCGAACCGAGTTGTGATCTCCGACGTTGTTTGGTACTGGAAAAGTCGGTTGGCGAGAAAAGTAGTGAGTTCGAGGCGCGACGTTTTCTCACAGGGATCTCAACAACGCAGGGCTCGGCAAACCTGAAAAACTCGGTTTAAGAATGCTGAAGCTCAATTTTTGAATTGTGATGGCTGCAATTTGAACTACTGATTATTTTTTGGGAGCTGCAAATTGGCTCAGCCTCGAAAATTTTGGGAGCTGCAAGTTTGCTGCTTAACATACTTGAAAGCTGAATTTATTTTGGTTTGAAGAATGTTTCAAATTAAAACTGAAGAAGACCCTTCAGTCCAAAATTGATCAATTTGACAAATTTTTTCTCAGAGAAATTCCTTGAACAAGATAAACCTAAAACGAGGAGCCGCGACGGGTTCGGTAATGTAGCGGCGAAGGTAGGCGTCGTCGGCGACTGCGAAACGAGCCCATTTCCGGGCAGAGGCCTTCTTTTTGGCGGCCTGACGCCATTTTTCGAAGGCCTGGCTAATGATGCGATGACGTCGCTTCCGTGATATTCGGATGACGCGCCAATCGCGACGCGGCGCCAGCGGCAGAAGCGACGCTGACATGTACCGCCGGGACATCTCTTCCCCAGCTGGAAGAATCATTTTTTTAAAGGAACATTCGAAATGTGCGTATTAATGGCATCTGGGAATAGGTTCAGCTGATTCACGGCTGGCTCGATCTCTCGAAAAAAGGGTCCTGGCACGATGAGAAATAAGACAGTGTCTGGCTGAGAGAGAGAGCGCAGTCAGGCCACGCCCCTTTTGCTTTTAAGCTAACCGTGAATCGACTATATGATGGAAACTATTCTATTGATTTCTTTTACATTGCTAATCGTTTGAAAATTCCAAATAAGATCAGAAAAAAAGCGAAAGAACAAGGTTGAAGCTATAATTCTTACAAGAAGGTCCTTTCACTTGAAAATTTGGTCAAGTATTCAGAAAATTCTGAGACAAGACCACCTTCTTTTTCAGTACCAACTTCAGTTTTTGCCACAATTTTCGAAGCGATCTTATGATTCAATTTCTACTTTTTTTCAAGGAGATTCCTAACCGGGCGAGTCCCACATGGGCATACAGCTTCTCAGGCCGTTCTCCCTCAAAGTTCTTTTGAGTTTCTTGTTGCTGGCGAAACTCCGCCATTGGTCCCAGAACTGTCGAAGCCACGTCTGGTGCATCTTCCCTCGGACATGCTCCAGAACTCTCACTCTCTGGAAAAAAATGAATCAAATGGTCTATCATCAGCCTGTTAGAAAAACTAAATACCTCTTCCTTCTTGATTTCAAAATTTACTATATGGAAAGGTATATTTTTCTCCGGCTATTTAGGAGAAACTTGGAAATTTCAAAGGCGTAGCTGTTGCTTCATTTAAAAAAAACTTGAAAAAGGTTTTTCAAATTTCATTTTTTTTAAAACATTTCTATCACTTTGAAAAATAAGAAAAGCTCTGAAAATGGAATTTTTTAGGTCACCTGGGACAAAATTCTTTAAAAAACCCTTTATTCAGCTTAAACTTTTATTTCAATGTAAAGAAGCAGACCATTGAGGTTTTTTTATTATAGAACTATTTTTTTCGAATTTAAAACTATTTTTTTAAGACAAAAAGAGAACAAGAAAAAAACTGAAAAAAACGCCCATTTTTTTCCAACCACAAAAAGGTTTATCTGTATATTTTATTTTTCATTTTTTTCTATAATCCTCTTTTTTGTATCTCATAGCTAAAATCTAGTTACCTTACTAAATTCTACAAAAAAACACAGACTTAATCTGTTCAACCCAAAAATTCTACCTGATGATCTTCCCGTCTTTTCTGTCGAACGATCTCCTCACAAATGGTCGATATCCGCTTGTTGATCACCTTCATGGCGACCGTCTGCCACAGTTTCTCAGTGACATCCGTGGCGATTTGGACTTGCCGACGCTGCTTTTCAATTCTAATGAAAATAAAAAGAATCATTTTCAGTCATCAAGACCAACTCGAATTGTTTCTTGACGATGCTTCGGGCTCGATCAACGACAGTCTTTTCTAGAAGCGACTCGGTCATTTTCTGAGCAATTCTTTCGTTTTGAAGCCGAATCCGTTGTTCTTTTTCGATCCGTCGTTGCTCAGCTTCTCGTTGTTCACGAAGTTCCCGTTCCTGGTTATCTTGGATCGCCTTCTTCATCCATTCTTTCCGAATCACCGTTCTGAAATATTGCAATGAAGATTTTCAGAGTCATAGTTGAATGATGAAAATAAAGGATATTATTGATTTTCTTTATCTCGCAAAATTTCCGAGAAAATAATCGAGAAATTTCGCGATTTGACTTCATAATTCTCAATTTATTAAATAACATTTTTGAAGATGTTTTCTTTATCCTTAGAGTAATTTTTTTTTATAAGAAGATAAAATTTTTAAAAAAGTGGTAGAAAAATTTTAGCCATGAATCTTTTCTCACAAGTTAACTTTTCGTATACGTTTTTTAAAGGCCCTTTTCCCAATGAAAAAAAAAACGAACAGAACACATTGATCAACTACACGATCCGTCAACCTTGAAAGCCACATTATGGACGGCTTTCTGAACGGCCTGACGCTTGACGGCCTAAATTTAAAAGTTAATGAGAGGTAATGCTCTTCAGATTTGCCTGTGGATCAGTCGATTCTTGAGCTCCAGGCTGAAAAGAAAACGTGGACAACGCGGAGGAGGACGGTAAAGTTGGCAAGCCGCCAAAAACACTTCTCCCAGGTCCCGATGTGAAGTTCGTCTGAGAAGGTATATTTGTCCAGGGGAAGAAATTTTGGAAAAGAAAAATTTCTTTAAAATCAATCAAACAAAGGTAATGCTTTTTAATGAAGACAAGACACTTGAAAAAGTAAAAAAAGAAAAAAAAATAAAATTCACAATTCTCAAGATCAGTAAAATCTCTAAAATTATTGTTTTTTTCTACAAAAGTCATTCCAAAATTCAATTTCCGAAACGAAAAAAATGCCTTGCCATTGAAATAGTCATTTGATCTCGAAAAATTTTTTTGGCTATTGTATTTTTTTGATTATTTTTTTCTCGTACTCTGTTTAATGTAACAGATTATTTTGATAATCATCGAGACCTTGGCCATTGAAGGAAACGCTGATGATCCATTCGATGCGAAAGGAGCCGATTCTTCAGCAGCAATCGTCGGGAAATCCAGACTCGCTGGCTCAGCCTCCACGACCGGCGAACGGGCGAAGATCTCGTTCAGCACTCGGTCATTATTGTAGCGTCCTTGGGCGTCGAAAGAGTTCGAGACGACCAAATCCAGGGTTTGGAATTTGAACGGTTCCGAACCGTAGACGACCTGGAAAAGGTTCATTGGAAGATTGAAAAATAACATTAATTACTGAGATTGTCCTTTCCACAAAAACTGAAAATTACTAGAGTGAAAAATTTTAACCGTTGTTTTAGTTAATCTGGAAAAAAACAACATAGGGAGTCTAATTTTTCCTTAAAGTTCGCTGAAAAATGATGAACTAGAAATGTTCTCTGATGAACTAGAAATTTTATCCGGATCGTGACCATCTGCGTGAAATTTGTTACTTAGTTCGTATTATTTTCTAAAAATGGGAACTACTGTTTATAAGCCTGACTTTGTCATAAAAGCAAACTTTGAAAACCATTACTGTGATTTTTCTGGATGAATTTATAAAAAACTCTAGCAACTCTATAAAAAAGGCTAGCAAAAAGGACACCATATGTATTTCCAAAAAAAAATTTTTTTCGTGGAACTAAATTTTTAGCTCATGTTCCACGCTGAATAATGAAAAAAGGAAGATTTCGAGTCACCTGACTGAAATTGGAAGTTCTTTTCTGGTCGATCCAGGTATAGAGGGTATGAGGAGGCAGATTGTCGGTCAGGTAGTCCCGATTCAGGTAGATCTACAAATCAGAAACGTTTCCAGAGTCATTTTATTTGGAGACACCTCGCCACTGTCCGGATCGGGACTTATGCCAAAAACTTTGAGGGCTTCGATGGCCGCTTGGTCCGTGTCCCAAGCGAGAAGCGACCGAATTCTTTCGATGGGGTAGGAATTTCGGCCGTAGGCCTTTGACATCACGCTCACCGCCTGTCTTCGGACCTGAATTCGGGGTTATTTCGAAGTACGAGAGATTTGGAAAACCTTTTCAAAAAACTTGTGGCTGACGCAGCATTGCAAGAACGTCGCTTCGTTTTTCAGCAAACGGAAAAATCTGAAATGAATCAAGTTATGTCTCAAAAGGCAGAAATAAGCAGGAAAACTTTTTTTTTGTGGTTCAGAATGAAATCAGTTCAAAACCCATGCTTATGGCTCAAAATAGAACGATATAACTTTTAAAAAAAACGTAGGAAGGCTGAGATTTCACTATGTTATATCAGGTCATTCAAGACTGCGTATTATGAATACTACAGCGATTTTCGAGAAGATTGAGAGTTATACCAGTGAAAAAAAGGTCTTTTTTCTTTTTCTCGAGTAGTTATTGGGTGGATTTCAAAATTACACAACTGATCGATTTTTTTTTTTGATCGTTTGACAAAAGAATCAAGCGATAAGCCATCAAAGTTCATTTGAAGTTTTTAGTTTAAATTTTTGACCCATCGGAAATTTTTTTTTACTTCTTAAAGAGCAACATTGTACTGGCTTTTCTACAAACGTTTGGAACCTCTTGAATCTCGGGCTGAAAGAAATTGGAGTAGGGGGAATTTATAAGCTGATATGATTAAAAAAGGTAGAGAATGAGAAAAGAAACAGCGCGCGCAGGCCCCACCAGTGCCTATGTACGTATGTTCTTCTACAGCTTCGATTTTCAAGATAGGTTAATATTTTAAAGGTATTTCGAAGCCTTACCGACAGAAGTTGTTGTTGTGCATACAGGCGGCGAGTTGCAGGGCTAACCGGACGGGTTTCGCGTCGCGGACTTCGCTGCGGTAGGCGAGGACCTGCGAGAGGACGTTGGTGTCCTCCAGATGGAGCATGACGTCATATGCGCGGAATTCGGCCTCGTTCTCCATGTGAATCCCGCGACGGCCAAAGTCCTCGTACATGTGCCGCAGGGTCTGCAGGCATTTTCCGAGGTTTTCGTTGTTCATCTTCGGGTCGAACTGCTCCACTTCCAGGGTGCACAGGATGTAGCCGCACAGGATGTGCAGGCGGGTACATCTGAATCCAAATCGTAATCAAGTGAAAGAAATTGAAATGAAACAGATGGAGTCTTCACAACAACTTTTTTGAAACTTCCGTTATAGCCGATTCTACCAAATGAAAGCTGTCTCTTTTATTATCGTGTCAGGACCCTTTTTTCGAGGGCTCAAGCGAGCCGTGAATCAACTATAGAAAGAGCAGAATATGGAGCACTAAAGGATAAATGAAGGTACTTCAAAGAAAATGCAAGTTAGCAGAAAAAAAAGAAGATTGGAAAAAAAAGACATCGAATGATAATAAAATGTCAAACCGTTCAACCAAAGTGACAGCGGTGGCGTCAGTGAGGGAGAGCTGGGTGACCTCCTTCCTGACGGCCCGAGTTCGACTCCACAAAAAGTCATACCAAGAAGTCCGCTGTTCCTCACTCGGGAACGCGTCCAGCACCTTGAAATTGATGGTTCTTTTCTCGATATATCCAAAAGTTTTTGGGAACTCTCTTTTTTATACCTTTTATGAAATCTTTTGTGTTTATCATGTGAAATCTACCACGTCACGCCTGTTTAAGGCGGGCGGTCGGATTACGGTAGTTAGGATAGGTTTTTCAGTAATAAAATGAAAGCGTGTGTACTTTTTGTGACGTACCTTATCTTGTAACCTCCCCAAATAGGTCCTTAACAAGTTTCGAAAAAGAAAAAAACGTTTAAAAAAATTTCCTGGCTCCGAAACTGACGTCTCATTATTGACCGGCCGCCGGCCGCCGTAGCACTGCCTTAAACATGCCTGACGTGTATGGTGTATTTTATGAACAGTAAGCTCAAAAATATATATATGAATTTGATTTTTGAAGAATTGCCCTGACCCAGAAACCTCTGAAAAGCGCTAATTGATAATTTTTCGATTGTTTTTCTTTCAGAAGTTAGGAAAAAAAGATAGGAAAAGCTTCTCGATGCCTATTACAGTCTGTTCAGGGTTTGAATGTCAAGCCATCTCACAAACTCCGCCCCTTATGCGTCTATTAAACCAATCATAAAGCGGGTATCCACATAGTTTTGTTGGAGGCCAAGTTTGCTGCTTGACATTCAGAATCTGAACAGACTATAGGCCTATAACGCATCCGAACTCTCGAAAGATTGCTTGAGATCCAACTTCAATTTTTCAGAATACTCCGTTCCGCAAAGATTCTATGTCCTTTTCTTCACACTTTTCCAAAAATCTTTACATTTTTGAGGAGATAAGACATTGTGTACTGCATCATGGCCTCGGTCCGCAGTTCATGGGGCAACGGACGTTCTTGATCGGCGGCACTTCTCGCGTACTCCTCAAAAAAAGGGAAATGAAACCGAATCATCATTTCATTAATGAAAACGTGAGCTATTTCGACACGATTTATTTATACAGGAAAAGGTCGAAATATTCATTTTTTTAAAGATTATTCTTTATTTTTTTCAAGTATATCTTTACACATAAGCTCTGAACAAATAGCAATTAAATTCATACTCAAACTTTCCCCATCTTCCTCCTTTTCAGGTCTCAAATGTAAATTTTTAAAATCCTGAAATTTGACCGGAAAAAAAATTCTGAATACTTGAGCATCTACATAAAATGTTAAAAGACAGTGAGAGTCGCGAATTAATCATTTTTGGAATTTATATTTGAATAAACAAGTGAAACATAAAAGGAATTATTAAACTATGGGCTCTAAAAAGTTATTTTTCGATTTATTATCAAGACCGCGTCATGAATAAAGTTTTTTTCCTTCTTCAAAAACCTTGATCATCATCGCGGGATTGACGTTTCCCTCATAGTCGCACTCGTAGGGCGAGGCTCTTTTCTGGACGATTCTCATGAATCTTTCCTTTTCCGAACACATTTCGGAACATCGCGACAGTTGGCTGATCAGTCCGGCATCTCTCTGAACGAAATCATCATCAAGGATTTTGGAGGTTTCAGGAGACCTCTCTGAGTTTGCACAAGATCTTGTCGCGTTCGTCCAGAACCATGTATTTATCGTAATCAGCCGGACAGTGGCGATTTTGGAGCGCTGAGAGTTGTCTGGAAAGCGGCTTTTATTGATTTCTATAGGGAGTTTATTGGAGAAACGGGACATGTTTGAAAATCCAAAAAATTGTTCATCGAGCCCCACTGTGCTCTAAAATAGTACTGGTTTTCTTTTTGAACCAATTTTTTTTCAAGTGAACACGCCATTAGAATATTTTTTGAATTACGTATTTGACAAAAACTCACTTCTATTAATTTTTTTCACTGCGCTCAATTGCAACCAACTATTGGATTCATAATTATTGTGTGAAAAAGATGAAAAGTTAAACTTTTTTTCATTTTTTTCTAAAAAAAGAAGTTTTCAATTAACAACAAAATATCATCAAATTTACTCGCGAAACTCCAAATTTGCGGGGTTTTTTTGTAGCTTCTGAATAAGCTTATAACTGAAAAAAAATTTCCCTTTCATGAAAGTTTGCATTATAACACTCTTGCTAGTGATAATTAAATAGGCAGCATTTAAAAAAAGTTAAACCTAAAAGCATTCCCAACTCCTGAAACTGAATGTCGAAAATTAAACTAGTCATTTTTTCTTTAGAATTGAAATTTTACACTCCATTGAGAAGGATTTCTTTGAAAAATCTCATTTTTCCAGGCTTTTTTCTCATCTAAAGTTATCTTTCCTCACGTCACCTCAAGATGTCGGCAGTATCTCGGCTTGCGGTTTCCAATATTTTCGGGGGTTTCGCCTCGCGATTTTTCCTCAGAAGTCTCGGCGGCCTTGTGGGAGCTCCATCTCCCAATTTCCCCTTAAAAAATGCTTTACAAAGAAAATCGATACTTTCAAACCGTGTCATCTTTTGAAGGCCTCTTTATCGCCTTGTGGACTTTTCCCAGTGAAGATTTGAAAATCCTTGACGGAACGGAAGCTTTTTCTTCTTTTGGGAATCATCGGAACGTTATCTGAATTTCAGTTGCTGATGGAGAGCATGAGAAGAAACAAACAATATTCCGATTCGTCCGGGATTTTTTGTTCTTGGGGCGCCGGCTGAGTTGTTGTTGAACTTGCGGGATTTGGTCGAACCAATTTGAAACGACTGCGATCGAAAGGCGAAACACTTGGCTTGACGTCTGGAGAAAAAAGAGAAATTTGGAAGTTCAGAAGAAAATGGACAATAATGCACTCTAACCTTTAAAACTATCTTTTCAAATCGGAGATATATACTCAAATCATTCAGAACTTTTTTTCTAATAACAAAAAAACAAAAAAAGAGAAAAAAATTTCTAAGCAGTGATAATTATTTGAAAGAATTTAGCCTTTATAATCTGAAAAAAAATTTTTCTCCAATCTTTAAATCTCCGTTTTGGAAGGATTTCGAATTTCTGAATGAAGCAGAATGAAAAATTTACAAAAAACACTTTCTTGGCAAGAGAAAACAGTACAAAAAAACCTACTCTATGTTCGAACCGCCAATTTTAGTAGTATTTTATCTTTTAAAAAAATAATTAATCCAGTAAATCTTTGTGATTATTTTTCTCGTACAAAAAATACATCCTACAAAATACTGAAAAAAACCAATCAATTCAGCGAAGAGCTATTTTTAAAAGCTGAAAGCTTCAATCAGATCAGAAAATTACCGTTTTTCTTGATGTTCCTGAAAGGATTGTTGGCCATCGCCTCGGCGTCCAGGCCTCCCGCTTTCGGCTCGACTAATTTCTTGAAACTGAAAGAAGGCCGAGCATCTTGGGAAGAAATCTGCGGCTTCTGGTCTCCCGACGCTGGAAATTTTCCTAGTTCAAAAACTGCAAAAAACAAAAACCACTGGAAAACGAAGAAAAAGCCCCGAACCGAGGCGGATCTGTGGAGCCTTTGCCGAAAATGCTCGCCGCTCCGAACATTGGACCCGTCGTTTTGGGTTCTTCGCTTTTTAAAGCTTAAATTCGTACTTTGAAATGAACTAAAACATTATAAACCACTGAAAAATCCATCGGGAGGCTTCGATGGCTGTGCTTGTTCCTGTTGCGGCGTCGCCTTCTTTTTCGCTAAACTCTCCGGGATTTTGAACTGAAAAGAAGAAGGGTCCATGAACCTGCAAACAAATTTCTAACTCTTGAACTCTACTGGAAATTGCAAGAATCCACAAAGCGACAGAGAAAAGTCGACTAGACTTCACTTTAAAAAAAAATTAGATTTCAAAAAATGTAATCAAACTTCTCAAAAATGATAAAATGATTTTCGGTATCCTAGTTCAAAAAACTGAAAAATTAAGCTAATCAGTTTACAATGATGGAAGATACGTAAAAACTTTTGAAAGCGAAAATAAAACCTGAGCGAGGGCGCAGACTTTCCTCGTACCTATTTACGCAGTAGCCAGCAGTAAACCCTGACATTAATTCGTAAAAACTCACGCTTCTTCCTTTATTTAAAGAAAATGTTAAAAATTAAGTAGCGTTAGTAAAATTTTAAAAAATATTCATTGCAATTCTAAACGAGATCTGGGCCTAGAAACAGTGAAAGTAATTTATAAGAATAAAGATGCCAATGGAAGAAAAATTTCTCTAATTACACAGAAATTGATAAATTGTCAAATTTCAAGCTATAGCGCTATTCAATCGTTCTAATTCACAAAAATCTAACTATAAAAGAAAAAAACTCAAAAAAATAAATGTACCGAAACTGAATAAATTGAAAGTGTCGTGAACTTTGAAAGAATGAACTGAATCAATTTTTTTGAAAGTGTTTTTAAAAAAATTCACTGAAAATAAAAAAACTGAAAAAAATTAACAAAGCTCTTTAAGTGGGCTCTTGGTAGCCCGAAATAATCAATGGAGCGAACATTGCCAAATGTTGCTGCCCTAAAAAATTTTCGAATTTTCCACGAGAAAATCTCTTTCGACACGTGCTGTTTTTGTTCTGATTTGTTTTTAGTTTTTGTTTCCAGAAATTGAGTGTGGAATATTGTATAATTTTGTCGATTTCACTGGTTTTGCTGTGCTGAACTTCCATTTCATCAGCAAAAGCGTCAACAAACCCGGCGATTGAAAAATAGCTAGCGACTTCAATTATCGAAACATTTAGCGACTTCAATTATCGAAACATTTTTTGCTTTTTCTTCCAATGGAGCATGCCTCAGATACACTTTCCCATAGATCTTTATATTGATTTGACTCACCGCTGGCTTGTGACTTGTGATGCTTTGGCCATTTCTGTATCTCTACCATTCAAGTGCTATTTTCCTCAATTTTCAAGACTTTTCTCAGCGTTCCCTCGGTTTTCGAGACATCGTTTCAAGCGTTTGTTGGGCAGATCAATGAGATCCATTTTTTGAACTTCCTTCTTATTTCGAATTAGACAGGAAATCGCAAAAATAAATTAATAAATTATCAAATTTCATGATTTGGAAAGTTTGTCTTTTATTATAGCTCATTCCCTCTTGTCCCCAGATTTTCACGTCTTTTTTTGCTAAAGGGACCTAATAAGATCAAATTTGACCTCATTTCGCTTCAAGGCCCTCGCTTTTTTTGTTGTCGTTAAAATTTGTAGAGCAAAAGTGCAAATCGTTTATTTTTCTGCGTCTTTTTGTTGTGGTTTTCAGAAAATCGTTCAAAACTGTTTCTCGAGTTTGTCTTTTTGAAAGATGCTTTTGATGTGAGAAAAAAGTTCATCATGAGTCATATCGTGGCTTTTCATAATCATACTTTTTCTGCATCTTTCTGTCGTTTTTTTCTTCTTTGAAAACAGAAAACTGTCTTTTTGGGAAAATTTCTTAATGCCTCGTACAAATATATTTAGAAATTATCTCTGATTCTCCAAAATTTCGGTTATCTTTTTCACTCTCTGACCGTCATGTCTATTTCGCTCAAATCACTCAAAACGCAGAATCGATATATATGTTTCTGAAAGCTTTTTCGTTCGTTTTTTCTTTTTCACTGCAATATTATTTCGTTTTGAGGCTTTTTCAAAATGACGACGCCGCTCCTCGTGTATCCAGAGCGTAATAAGCAGAAAATAATCGACCAGAAAGACAAAAATTCTCCAATTTACCATCAACCGTGAGTCGATTTGAACCCGACCATCAAAAAATCTATTTTCCAGACGCCTTCGTCGCTCTCAAACCCGGCTGAATTCCGACACGAAGTTCTTCTTCCATGACTTCTACATTGACAAGATCGAAGAGTATTGCCCTCCGTCAGATACAAATGTAAGTCCTTTCAAGCGATTTTACTATTTTCAAAAGTTTCAGGTCAAGAAGTATAAACACATCACATCACCAAAAAAGATCGTGACAACTCCGAAGGCGAGAGCCGTGACTTCCCTGCCGTTCCGTCGAGATCAGCAGACGAAAACTCCGAAAAGGGTACCGATCAAGCGTCGGAACAAGTCCGACACGGGAATCGCTCCGAAAAGGAAAAGAAGGTTACTTTTTTTGAAGAAGAAAAATGCTTTGAGAGAAACTTTTTATTGAGTGATGAAGATCGATTTTTGGCCTCCAATTGAACTTTTGAGGAAAATTTTCTGAATTGTAGTTTAGGACTTCCTGATTCCAAAACAAGAAAATTTTTCTCGCAATAGATCTGGTTTTCGATTTATAGAAACGTTTCCTAAAAAACCATTTTCTCATAATTTTCTAGAAGACTTCCCAACCCTTTAAAAAACCCTTTTTCTCTAGACTTTCGGAAATTGATTCATCGATTTCCAGGGCTCTCAGCACCGAACGTTCGTCGGAACGCAAAACAGGGAAAGAAGTTCGCGAAGAAGAAGAAAAAGAAGAAAAAGACGATTTTTCTGTGGACGATGCGGCCAAAGACAACGACTCTGATGTGATTTCTTTGGGTTAGCATAATTTAACTCGAATTTATTTTTATTTTTCATAATAAATGAACTAAATTGACGACATGAATTTTAGAAAGGAAAATATTCAGATTTCAGAAAGAAACTGGTTTTTATTCCATATTTCCTCTGTTTCTTTCTGTTTGAATGTATGGAAAATATCAAAAAAATTAGTTTTTTTCTGAAGTGTTGGCTGGATGAGAGGAACTTGAAAAGATCAGACGATAAAAAAATCAGAATATTTTTTTGTTGAATTTTTCCATGAAGCTTATTGAGATTGAAAATTTTTCAGACGTCTTTGAGATGAACCTCGATGACCCGATCATTCTCAGCGACTCCGACGAAGGTTTTTTTCTTATTTTTAAAGTTCAATAATTTGTTAAAATATGCTTGATTTCTCTAAAAACGAATCAAATCTCCCAATCGACTTAAAATTACATCAGCTTCTAAATGTTATAAAATCATATTTTACTTTTTTAACACTTTTGGTATGATAAATAAGGCTAAGGAAGCTCAGTTTGAGGATTTTTCTTCGGAAAAACTCTAAATTACCGTTTAGATATCTTTTCGTTTGCGAAATAGCAGCGACTTTAAAAAAAACCACCATAAATATTTAATTTTTTTTTAAAATTTGACTTAGCGATTCATAGGATAATTTTAGAAGACGTCTTTGAGGCCAGACTCGAAGAAGTTTTTGAACATGGGCGACCGCGAAAAAAAGGTGTCGATAATTAGAAATTATTCCCGTTTTTTTATCGTTGTTATTTATTCCAGCCAACAAAAAAAGGTCGGCCACATGGGAACCGAGTCGCTTGATGAGGCTTCGAATACTCGGCGAATTCAGATTCATATGGCTGTGAGTTTGAAAAAGAAAAAAATGAAATTTATAACCGAAAGTATCAAAAAAATAAGAAGTTAAAAAGTTGTATGCGAGTGAATTGATTTGGACTATGAAGAGAAATATGTTAGAGGAAAGTATACTTATTTTTTTATACATTTTTTTGAATTAACTCCCCTTCCTGCCGTTTCATTTCAATTCTGTCCTGTCGATTTTTCAACTTGCTCTGTTTTACTACGCGGAAATTTTATATTTTCATTGATCTGATCAAAAATCTAAGAATAAAGTTGAGGATCACCTTAAAAATTAGAATTTTCAGCCCTTTTCATTGAAAATAGTCAACTTCATATATTTAGAGTGCGAAAAAAATCACATCCTTTTTATTCAATTGTTTTTTCTTACATGCTCGGGCTCATTTTGAGTTTGAAAGTAGTATTGTGATCCAAAATTGAAGAAAATTTTTCTTTGAGCATTTCCGTGCGCCTGATAAATACTCGCTTGCTACTTTTAGACATGCTCGACTATTTTGTTAAACGCGGTTCAAAATTTGAAGCTTATTATTTCTATACTCGAAAAAATTTCGAAATCTCTATAAAACGGATAAAGACTAGAGTTTCAGGGCATTTACCAGCGAATTTTCGACAGAAATCCTGGTCTCGAGAAGGACATGAAAGAAAATCCGCATCTCGTCGAGCAGATGCTCCAACAGATCCCCGAGGCGATGGCCAACGCCATCAAGGCGGACAAGAAATTCGGCAGTGTGGTTCATGAGGAGCACAAGGGCCCGCAGGAGTACGAGGAGATCGATGGGGATATCAGTCCGTTTTTTTTTTGTTTTTTTCGAGTGAAAAACGAGAAAATCCAAAATTGCTTGAAGTTACGAGTCTAGGTTCGAACTTTTGAAAGCCAAAAAACTAAATTAACCAGAGAAAAAAAGGCCCTTCCATGATTTATGAAAAATCTTCAATTTTGGAAAATTCGAACGTAGACGGTGAACTACGTAAAAAAAAACAGAGTCTAGGCTAAATCTTTTTTTTGTATTTTTGACCTGATCCCTTTCTCTTTCTTGTTGTTTCTTCCACTGTCACATCTCTCTATTTCTTTCTCCTTACTCTTTTCAATATTTTCGACGATTTCAAACTTCAAGTCTGGTGTTTTAAGAAAGGTTTCTGTTATAATCTTGAAATCTAACAAGAATATTCTTTTCGACATTTTTTTCGTTCAGCGCGGATCATCTCCATGCCGGAAAGAGTTCCCGTTTTTCCGATTATGATCGATCGCGAGGATCGAGAAATCGCTGAGAAAGAGAAAAGGGAAAGAATGGCGGCTCAGATGGAAATTCTCAGGTTTGTGTGGAAAAATTGTCCTTTTCAATCAAGGAAAAACACTTCTTTATTTTTTTATTTTTAGTATTAAAAAAATTCCACTAGTTGAAGTCAAGTTTTTGGAAAGAGATATCACTGGAAATAATATTTTGTTCGAAAATTATTGTTAAATGCGCAAAATACTTGACTTGCTTGGTCATACTGACAATGTAAATCGAATTTCATGAAATTTGTCTGTATTCTTTTGGAATGTTTTGAGATTAACTTTTGGGTCAATAAATTTGAGTTCATAAGTTGAATTTGTGAAGAGAATAATAAGAAATTTTGGGAAAGCAAAAATGTCTTAAAAGTTTAAATCCTCGTTCAAATAGTTGTATTTGAATATTTGATTCAATTGGCAACATAGAGCAATACAATTGAAGAGACATTACTTTAGCTTTTGTATGAAGTCTTATATGATAGTGAGAGTTGATCAGTTCAAATTGGGAAAAAGAAGAAATTAGTTTGGTTTTGAAGGGGGCAATATTTGGCGGCTCGGAGTTACTATGCTCGTTTCCCTCCATTCCCGTATCCGCCGCCGTACCAGGTACATTTTTCTTTCGTCTTTCAATAAAGAACCTGGAATTCGAGATGCCGCAAATGCCACACATGCCTCCGCACATGCCGCCGTTCATGCCGCCCCACTTCCAGCCTTCTTATCCGCCCTTCGGACCTCGTTGAATCCTCGAAATGTAACTAACCAGTTAATCTGAACGCATGATTCTTTTGTGTTGTCTCCTGCCCTTTTTGAAAACTTTCTTCTCACTCTCTAATGGGTGCCTTGTCTTTGAATTTTTTTTATCATTTTTCGACCACAGTTTTACATCCACGGCATTTTCATGTTTTTTTTTTCTGTTGTTTTTATTCTTGTTTTCTGTTTCGTTCAAGCCTGTGGGAATATCATTCGAGTGGAATGAATTTTACCTGTTACATTTTTCGATTTTTTGTAAAGTTTTTTTAATCTTTCTTCTATTTATAAAATCTTATACGTTCCCTGTGAAGGTTGGTTGTTTCGAGTGTCGAAAAATATTTAAAATAGTAATAATTTCGTTCGAAAGAATTTATATCTTATCAAACGCGCTAATTTTTTTACAAAAATAAAAAGTTTTAAAAAAATATCTTTTAATATTTCTTTGAATGTGAAATAGCTTTTTCTAATTATCAATTTTTTTACTCTTTCGTAAATTTCTTAAACAATATTAACGTCTTCTGAAAAAAAGTTTATTGTCGCTCTCAAAAATTTGATACATTTTTATTTACAATCAGCGGAATGGTGTCTTTTTTTCATTTCTGTTCTAACCGGTAGAAGAGGACACGAATTGGGTTTTGGGTTATAGAATAGATTCAAAGGAAGGTCCTTTCGTTGGAATGTTTTCGATGGACTTCAGACATTTTTTGAAAGTTGCATAAGTTATAAATAAGTCTACCCATTGGTTTGTAACTAGATGAAGAACAAATAGGAGAAAAAGCGTGAAGAAAATGGAAATAAGTTCATAATTGACTTTTTGGTGGTTGTGGGATTACTCGGCGGCGACGTCGTCGTCGATGAACGGCCATGTGAGCGCCTCTGTGAACGAAACGCTGCGCGTCGAGTTCGGGGTGCTGCAAAAGATAAGTGTTTTAAGGGGTAAGTGTTTTAAAAGCTTGGCTTGAAACTCAAATTTTGGAAAACTGAAAAATCATTTCTTTAAAAATAGAAGTTTGCGCAGATAGTGTCTATAAGGGGGTCTAATATAGACCTTCAGAAAGTGGTTGAGCTAATTTCTAGAAAATTCCAAACCGAGAAGTTCAATTATCACTCGTGTAAATAAACCTTGTTATTTTCCACAGCGAAGTTAAAACTGTATATTTTCATCAGGAGCTTGAAGCTTTTGAATGCGAAGACCGATAAGTTTGTTCAAGAAGGTTCAAAAGTCTTCGCTGTGGTGTTTTAAGATGTTGATCTTCTTCTCCTTACCTTAAACCCTTCTCTTCAATACCGTTATGACCCCCGACTATGCTCTTTTTTGTAACTTTGCAATCCTTTCTTTTTCACTTTTTGATTTTTAAAAAAATACGCCTTTTTGAGTCGATTTTAAAATGTTTGCTTCATTTTTGATTTTCAAGCTTTTTATTTTTTGTAATTGTAGTTTTTTTTTCTCATATCATTCAAAGGTTTTGAGAAAAAAAGAAAGTTTATTATTTTTTTTCCTGGTTCGTTCCCATGGAGTGAGTTTTTGAGTTAAGACCCCAATTTCTCGAAGCAGAAAGAACTTTATCAAAGACTTCAAAATCGTTGATTTTCCTATAATTTCCCTCCCCGTAGCTTGAAAAAAATCGCGTGAACTTTGAACTTGAGTTGGAAAAGATGGAAACCTGAGGTCGGAGTAGGTTTCGTCCTTTCTCTTGAAGAACAATTTGGTCGGCGAGCTGCGCGGCGATTTGAGCAATCTTCGCACCGAATAGGCGATGTGATGGCCAAAGTTCCTGCAAAATTGAGGCTTTCAGTCTGTTTTTCATTTGGGTAAAAATAGATTTATAATATATTATTTTTGTTTTTTTAGTTTGAGATATGCTGAAGCTAGCTGTAACGTTCGTATCTGATGACTAAAATTATAAAAAATCTGGGAAAACGGTAGTTTTTGGAGGTTAATTTAATGTATAAAGAGAGCCTTATCGGGCGGAAAAATATTGATTTTTGAAATGAGTAGATATTTTTTTATCAGGAAAAATAATCCGTGAGATATTTTTTTAGTAGAGTAAGAAAAAAATCGCGAATTTTTAAGCGGGTAAAATATTTTTTTGCTCTTGTTATCTTTCTGGACAAGCTAAGGGGCTCATGAATCATTTTTTTATCCCCCCTTTCACTACCTTCGTACCTTTCCAATAATTTAGACCCAACCTAAAACTTCAATGAATAAGACATGAGGTGTTGCGTGCCAAGACGAAGTTAAACTACATTTTTTGCCAACCCAAAAGTCCCCCCAAAACTCGTTGTTTATGTATGTTTGGCGCGTGAAATCCCTTTTCTGGCGTTAATGAAGATGAGCCGAATATTGGCTTAGTTATGCAAATTCGCCGTGGCCGCGCTCCGATTAATTACCAATTAGACTGGCGGCTCTTCATTGTTTTTCCTGCCTTCTGAAGGAGGTTCCTGTCTTTTGAATCAATTAACGAAGGGAGGATGATGGGATTTATGGGAGTCATGATGAGAAGTTTTGTTTAGAGTCTCATGTAGGGACTTAAAAAGGTTGAATATTTTAGAAGGCTTCAAAAAATGTATAAGAAGCGAAACTGAAAGATCATGACAATACATCAGATATGATACATTCTCCACTTCTTTTTTTTAAACTTAATTTCACAATTTTTAGATTTTTCTGAATAGTTGGATGTCTTTTAAAATTCTCGATTTTTTCAAGTCTTTTGCTAAATTTTATGATCTTGAAGCTTCAAAAGTTTTTAGACCATTTTAAAGAAGTGAAAGTAAGCACTAACCGAGAAAATTTACCAAAACTCTATTTTTAAAGTTTTTTTCGAAATGTTTCATTTCCAATCAATCTTTTCCAAGCTTTTTGACCTTCAATTCATTGTATCCACTTTTTCGGGCGGTGATTCTATTTTGATTTGGCATCCAGCCAAAAGTTCTGAGTCTCTCTGAAACTTCGCAACATGGAAAACTCTGTCGATTTCCGAAACGCCTCCCTGAGAAAATTTGAACAAAATAGGAAGTAATTGAATGAAAAGCACACATAGGAATTGCACAATAGGGAAGGGCGGCAAGGAGAAAAAAGGCACGAACAATGGGCTTTTCGTGTTGATCAAGGGAAAATGTGCCAAATTTTTTATTCTTTGCGTGGGCAACTTGTTGAAGAGTCAGGAATGGCCAGGGTTCACTTAATTCGTGAATGGTTTTTGATTTTTCGAACTTTCAACGAGTAAAGTGTTGAAGAGTTCGAAGGTGGTCTAGGCATTAATTTTTACAGAAAAATACTTTTGAAATATCCCCAATATTAAATCTTGAAAGTTTCGAAAACTTTCAAAGCCTTTCATATAAACTTTGATAGAGTGTTCAGTTAACTGCTAGTTGTGTATAAAGCTCAAAAAAAATTTTTTTTCAAAATTTCACTTGGAAATATTCATTTTTCGAAAAAAATGCCCGGTATCTTCTTATTCTTTTAATAACGTAACTTTTATTCTCATGTCTTTAAAAATATCTTGGAAGCTTCAATATTTCTCTCAATGCAAAGTTTTCATTAGAGACAGCGAAATCTGAATAATTCAGCTCAAATCCACCCAAATAGAAAAAAAAATCCTGCAAAAAGATCGAAAAAAAAGAGAAGAAGCGCAGTTTGTCTTGCCACCAAATGGGGTTAGTTGGGTTGACTTTTTTATTTGACCCCGGCAACATTTGTCTGGATTTATTGGATGGCTTTGCAAGAAAAACTGGCTTTCTAGGAACATTTTGGGACTTTCTGTTCGTTGACTTTGAAGTTAAGTCTTGAAACGAATTCGAAAAGCACTGAGAGCATTATCGACTATCAGAAAATCAAATGGCAGAATCGGGTTCAAGAAAAGTAATAATGATAAAATAATGTATTTTCTGTACCCTTTAAAACGAAATTTGTTAAGTTTTGGGAGACTTTTCTTAGTTTTTCAATAGTTTATTTTTACCTCGATTTTTCATCATATGCTTTCGAACGTTTATTTCCTACTAGGTCCTTTGAAAATCCCTTTTTCAACCTATTGATGCATAAAGTAACCTCGCGCCAGGCTTTTCCCGAAAATTACACGCTTGACGACGGAACTTTTTATGTTGTCCTCGTTAGGTCACTTTCCGGTCCCTTTTCTTTCCTTTCCCTTGTGATTTCCTTTTTTTGGATTAAAAAAATATAGTAAAATCATAATTTTTGTTGACGGCAAGCAAAGGAAAAACGAAGCCATGAGAATACGAAACGAGATGAGGAAAAGTTTTTTTGAAGAATTTTTTTAATGAGGCCGAAAGAGAGCTCTCGAGCAAGTTGTTCCTACTCAACTAGGAGCTCTAGTTGGACCAATTTCGGAGGAAATTTGGAAGTAGAAGTCGAGTTTTGTGATATAAGAAATTTCAAATTTCAAAATGAATGAGATCTTGAAGAATCGGTGTTTTTTCAACTTTGATATTCAGATCACAAGTATCTGACCACAAGTTGAAACTTTATAGTGTGAAAAGTTTTGGAAGAGGTTTTTTTTTCAATCAAATTTTAACCTAAAAAATCGCCTAACTCTTACTTTCTTGAACGAAAATGAAAACCAAGAGAAAAAACAGGCAATTTTCTAAGTTTATAAACAGCCATTAATTTATTTCTATGCATCCTTTTCAAGACCTATCCGTTCCCCGTGTTCTTCGTCTTTTTCCTCCTTCTCAGAAAAAAATCCAGCTTTGAAGCCTTCAAAAAAAAAGAAGGCGCGAAATTCGAGAATCTTTGCCAACTGACGCCTAATCCAGCCACACCAAAAAAGGAATTATAAACGGAAATAAATGTTTACGCAGTTAGAAGCAACCAACCAAAAAAGGCGAAAAAAAGACGAACTCGAGCAACGAACAACTCGAATTAGATGCTCGATAAACACAACGTGACGTTTTTTTTTCCTTTTTTGCTCTGTTGTTTTTTTTTTTGATGGCCCATTTCCCACTGACATTCAGTGAACCGTGAAGGATTTTCGAGGGTTCTTCTCTTTTTCGATGAAAGAAGAATTTCCACCCATCGAGAAATTCAAGAAAAAGAGCAAAGTCCGCAGTTGACACCGAACACTTCATCGAGTCTTTGGCCCGGAGAAGAAAAAAAAAGAAGACTTCTCCATTTCTTTTCTTTTTCGGGAAACCGATGGCCCGAAGAGATTAGAAAACCTTCGGAGAGGATAAATAGGTATTATGTGAAAGAACGAAAAAACCCCACAATTTGACACTACTTCTTCGAAAAAAAAGGCTGGATGCGGTAATTTCAGCCTTTGAAATTAGATGTTGAAATTTTTTCAGTTTGGTGTCGATCTTTTTTAGTTTTGAAGCAGCTTAGTCGCTTAATTTTTGAGAAGTAAAAGGGAAAACGAAGAAGAGAGAGAAATAAGTTTTTGAAATTTTTTTTGGGGCCAGATTCGTGTGCGTAGAATTGAACACGAAATAAATATAAATTCACTAAAGTTGTCGCTAAATGGCTTAAAATTGCCCAAAAACGGATAGCGCTCCAAAAGTTTTTCGATAAAAGTTTCTGGGAGGTTACTGGCTTGAAATGTTTTTCTTATTTTTGATATTTCAAGATCTTTATTTTTTTTTTTGGTGTCACTTTTTCCCAGAGTGTGCTAGATTGCATTGGAGAAATAAATGACAACCTTTTTTTTAAAAATCTCTATAGGTAGTTTTTCTTCTCAAGATTTTTTTGGCCTTTTCTGGAGATACATCATTTTTGAAATGAACAGCCCCAATCTCTAGAAGACCCCAAAAAAGAAAAGGTCTCAGAAATCGCCACAAATTTCTCATTAATCGATCCTGAGTCGGAGTTCCAAAGAATGGGACTTGAAAACCCAAAAAGGATAGACAAAGCCGAGAGAAAGCACTTTGCTTCGAATTTCGAGCACAAATTTCCGTTGGTAATTCATTTTCTCCGAGGAATCCAAAAGTGGCTCGGAAACAAATTTTGTGTTTTCTGAAACCCAGATTCTTGGAAGAAATAAGAGAAGTGACGTTGGTTTTCAGGGCAAAAGCCCGTTTGACCGGAAAATCAGCTGAGCGAGAAACTGCAAAAAATGTCCGTCTAGCCAGATTTCGACGCAGAAACGAGGTTCATTGAGATTTTTTTTGGGAAGAAGTTTGGAAGGGCAAAAAAGTTTTTTTTTACCAAGTTTGAGCTGAGTTTTCAAAAAGAAAAAGCGAAGAAGGCATGAAAGTAAATCGAAATCGAGGTACTTTTTTGGTCAAAAAAATTCTTTTTTTTTCCCTCATCTATTTGGAATTTTCCTCATCTGTTTCCATCCACAAAAAATCCATCTTTACCGATTCCAAAGAACGAAAAAACCTTCTAATCAAGATTAAACGAGTTGGCTTCTTTCACATTTTCCCCATTCGTCTTTTTTTCGTCCCCCAAACCGAATTTCTGTTCTGCTTCTTTTTTCCAAATTGCTCGGATGTACTTTAAAGGCGCACCACAAAAAGGTGAAAAATTGTCCGGCTGCCAAAAAAATTTATCGTTTACTTTTTTTGGTTGTTCTTTTGTGAAAGATTTCGAATTTTCATATAGGCCTTTTTTTATAGAAAATATCTGGAGATTTTTTTCGTAATTCTTATCATGAAGGCTTCATAATTTTACTTCAAACGGTTTTTTTAAATTAAAAAAAGGTTTCAAGTTAAAATTGAAGGTTTAGATTAAAGTTTATAATTGTGGAAAAATGATCCTATAGAACTTTTTTTCGTGACTGTCTAGACTATCAAGGGGACTGACTTGTTTTGGAAGTGTAAATGAAATTTTTTTAAAAAAATTCGATATTTTTCAATGTCTGAGAACCTTTTTCACTGTTATATCTTGCAAAAAAATTTTTGTGTCATCAATTTTTTAAGGCAAGTTTTTTTTTGAAAAATAAAATCAAAACTTCTAAAGAAGAAAGAATCAGATTGGTGACTGGGCGGTTTTCTTTTTCAGATTTCTTATTCAAAAAAATTGAAATCGAATGATCAAATATCAGTGCTTTTTGAAGTATATCTTTATTGTCTTACAAAAAATTTTCTAAGTAATTCAATTCCAAATTCGGAGTTTTGAATTGAATCACCAACTCATTTTTCCATCAGAATGAGAACTTTGACCTAATTACAGTGTCCTAGTCCAGAACTTTGAGCTTTCACAACTTTTGGGCAACAGATGTACTATAAAAAAATTAGTTGCGAAATACTTTATTCAAAGCGAGCCGAGCCATCGAATAAGTGTGCGGCGCAGAGAGAGAGAAAAAAGAAAAAATAGCTGCCTAATAGTCGGAAAAGTGCGATTTGGCCGGAGGCGATCGACCTTCGAAGAAGGCCAAAAATCTGCTCTTATTGGCTAAGATACGGTCATTTCCATGGCTCATTGCCTTCTTTGAATATCTTTTTTTTCCTCTGATCCTACGGTGGATGGGCTTTTTTTATGCTTCTTCTCTTTTTTTTACGACCGCAGTTCCAGGGATTACTTTTGGCTTGTAATGTGGGACGGGGGATTTTGATGCCTTTCTATTGATTACTGTAGATTTATTATTTTTAAGGGTTACTTGGAAAATGGTATAATGTTTTTGAGGTTTGAAGGCGCCGAGTTTGCCGTTCATTAATGCTAAAAAAATATCTTCACTTCGAGACCCATATAAAAATTTTCCAACTCTTCTAGAAACTCTTCGAAATAACTGAACCTAAGAACTAAACCTACACTTGGAAAGTCCAAATTATGTAAAACGAAGACGTCGAAAGTGTCAAAACGAAGCAGCTTTGGATTGTGTTGCCCCTGGAGCGCGTATGAATAATAGAGCAGCGGCCGATTTGTTCTTTATTTCGTTTTTTGTCATTTTGGTTGAAAGGGATGAATCTTTTTAGACTGCTTTTTTAAAAAAGCTCATTTTTTGGTTGAAATTTTTTGACTACTCTGGATTCGAATACCTTTTATTCAAGCTTCATTAATAGAATTTGATTTTTGCCATGATATTTTCGATAATCTCAACATTTTTTTAGAATATTTTTAAAATTCAAGAAGCATTATTCCATCTTATCAACCCATTTCTCCTGTTTTTTTTTAATCTGACATGGAAAAAATGAGGAAGGAATTGGGGCTAATTGGCCGAAGGCGCGGTCAAAACAAGCGGCAATTCAGTTGGAATCGAGATCCCGCAAAAATATTTACCTCCGCAAAAGCTTTTATTTTTCGTCTTCGGAAAGAGAAAAACTTGTACTGCCCCAGCTGTACGTATAACATTTGTAGTCTAACGGCAGCTTTTTTGTTGAATAAACTCTTATGTTTTTGGAAAGAGAAGGGAAAAATAAACGTAGGAGCTGAGAAGAGTCCTTCGGCGCAAGCGGCGAAAATCGACACGAAAATGGCATTTTTCGGCCAAAAATGATGGGTTGTCAATGAGGCGCAGGTAGAGGTAGAGTATGGCCATTTTTTATTCAAAAATTTCTTTCATATAATTTATGTCACTGAGATGAAAGATTAAGTTGTATCTTCATTTTTAAACCTTCATCTGGTGGACAATAGTTTTGTGGAAGTCTTTGAAGTAGGATTTTAATTATTTCTGAGTGACTAGAAAATCCAAAAAAATATGAGAAATTTAATATTTGCATTTTTCCCTCATTTTCCACGACGACCACACATGGAGCTTTGGATTTGAGAAGCTTATTGGAGAGAAAAAAGCTTATTTTTTGAACTTTCGAAGACGTCGTGAGAATTTGGAATTTTTTTCGAAAATAATCAGTTTTCTGTGATCTTTAAGCTTTGCGGTTTGAGAATACCAGCTGATTTTTATGAAAAGAAAAAATCGCGGAATATACTTTTTTTGGTTTTGTGCAGTGAATCTTGTGTGAACATTATATTAGAAAGTAGATTTTTTTAGCGTGAAAATTTTTATTTCTAAGGCTTATTGGATTTTAAATAAAAAAAGGAACTTGAGAAAAAAATTGGACTTTCCTGATTGGATTATTACTCAGAGTAACTTTTTAAACCATGTTGAATAATATAAATTATTATTTTTTTCTGTTCGAAAACCGAAACTTGATTGAGATTTAAAGCCCAATAATGCTTTTTTTTTCAATTCTGGTCTGCTCGATATAAGAATTTTAAATAGTTTTCTTTGACCAAAAAAGGAAACGCACCTCAAAGTGACCATGATGTCTGAATCGGCAGCAAAAGACGGAGGAAAATTGGATTTCCTGAAAGATTTTCGTGGAGTAGAGTAAGTAACGCTTCACGCTGTGTCGTAGGTGCGTGCAGAAACGAGCAGCAGCAGAGTGCCGTCGGGGGGCGGAGCTTCGCGCACCCAGAAGCTCGAAGGAAGGCCACGCCCCCCGACGTGATCTTGCCGTTTTTTGGAAGGCTTTCGAGATAATTAGAAGCAATAAGCAAATGAACTGAATTGGGGCTTGTTTGCTGTATGGAACAGCTTTTTTGGGAATTTGATATGGTTGATTCAGAAAAGCGCTTTGGGTTTTTGACTGAATATCAGATAATGGGCTCACGTTTCTGGCGATTTTTCTGAATTTTGCCATCATTAAATTAGAACTTCTGAATTTCTATACAAAAATATAAGATTCTAAAAAAAAAACAGAGAATCGCAAAAGTTTTAAAACGCTGTACAGAAAGAGCTTTTTTTAAAATTATTTCTCGAAAAAAATTCTCAATCTATCGAAAGTAAAAAGTTAAGTGACTTTTTTTAATAAGAAAGATTGTTAAAAAAATACTATAAAAAAATTAGGATTACGGCGACATTTCGAAATATCGGCTTTGAAGACAATTTTTTTCTCAAAAAAACCACTTTTTTTGAATTACATAGAAGAGTAGCTAAAATGATTCCCCTTTGCAGAAACTTTCAGAAACTGGAAGAAAAATAGCAAAGGCATCCAAAAAAGAAAATAAAAAATGGACTGTTTCTTAAGAAGCTTTGAAGTGTTATCAGTTTCATAATCCAGGATTTTACACTTCATCCGAATTTTTTCATATTAGTTTGAGGAAATCCATGTTTAAAATCCCAAACGGAGGTGGATGAGGACCTTATTTCTTAGCAACAAGAAAAAAAAATTAGAAGATAATCTTTCGAAATGGAAGAAAGTCAAAAAATAGGCTCTAAAAACCACGTTTCCGGCCAGATGCGTGAGAACAAAGTATTTAAAAATCTAGACAAAGGAGCGAAATCGCAGCAGTTTGATCAGGCGGAAGCTCGATTAAATTTTCGTCAGATTTTTCGATCGGGAAAAAGTGTTTTGAAAGGTTTTTCGAGCGGCTTTCAAGATTGAATCAGCGATAAAAGTTGGCGAATCGTACAGGCCGACGAATTTTCCATTCTCGCTTTTAGTCCTGGGGAAAAAGACAAAAAAATGTAACAATGGGAAAATTGTGGCTTTTGTCCTGTACGGCTAGCATTCTTGCAGATTTTTTCTGTAAACAACTCGAAAATTTCGAAATTTTGATTATATCCACCGACTTGACTTTGATGATCAAAAAAATTATTATCTTCAGCTTTTTGAACGTTTTGGGGCTTTTAATCTATTGGAATGGAGTTGCTGGATGGAATTTCAGCATTTGTTTGGCAACTTTGCAAAAGTTCAGTTATAATTTTCGTATTCCATTTGAATGATTAATTTTTTTTAACTTCTGAACTCTTGGAAGACAAGCTGAAGTAATGTAGGAAAGATAATTGTTGATTTTTTGTTCCGACCAAAAAAGAAGGGAAGAAACAGTTGGATATTAAGCTTGTAAGTGCTTTTTTCAAAAACTAAACGGATTATGAAAATGGACAGTCTCCTCTATCGAACAGTGTGAAAAACATATTTTTTGAATCGTTCTGAAGAAATGGCTTGCGGACCCTATGTAAGTCAACTAAAATCATTTTTGAGTAAAATGAAGCTTGAATAAAGTTTTTTTAGTGATGAATTTTTGGAATGTATAATCATAGAAAATTCTTTATAATTGGCTTAAAAATTAAAAAAAATATTTACTAAAAAAATTGAAAGTTAACCAAGAAATTACTTTTTTCCAGGGCAGAATGCCTTTTTAGACGTTTTAAGTTGGAAAAATTTGAGTAGAAGCCAGCCTAACTTCAAAATTATGGAGAAGGCGAATAAATATGAGAAGCTATGATTTTTGGACACATCCAACCATAAAAGGCGTCAACGCGAATCAAGTTGAGAAACCGACCTGAATAAATAGAAAGTGGAATAAATCATGGTTTTATAAGAATTGACACTCTGAACGGTTCCAAAAATGGCAACCTTGTTTGAAATTAAGCTCACTAAAAAAACGTCTTCCCCCACAGGACACTTTAAAAAAACTTGAAAAAGTGCTTTTTTGACATAACGTGTATTATGCGAACTTTGAAGCTCCATAACGCGAAAACAAGATCTATCGCAAAAAAATATTTTTTTGTGTTATCAGGAGGCCCTAAAGTACACTTCACCGAAATTTCATCAAAATTTCAACCAGGAGGTAAAAAACTTTCCCCTAGTCAGGAGCCAGCCTGAGTCATTGAAGAGGTCGATAGAAAGAAAAGACTGAAAAAATAAGACTTTCCGAAAAACCTCACCAAAAAGCACATCAACTTGAATCAAGTTGAGAAGCCAACCTGAATCATTTACAAGTCTAATAAATCATATTAAGTCTGCTCGAACCATTAAAGAGATGAAAAACATGACTGGCAATACTTTTGGACAAATCTAACCAGAAAAAAAACACATTCACTTGGATCAAGTTGAGAAGCCAGTCTAAATCATTAACAAGTCGAATAAATCAAGGCATATGGTTGGCTAAGACAGAACGACTTGTGGAAAATTGCTGTGAGCGGGTAATTGGTCGCGTTTTTTTTTTTGAAGGCTGCCGTGGAGCAGCCCGAATCCGTTCCGACTGCACACGTCGCTTTTCATTTGGTGGGCTGGCAGGTGTTTCCACTCGCATTTTTTCCGCCTTTCCTCCCCGCCGCGCACACGATTCTCGGATGTAGTACCGTTTCAAAATGATCTATAGCGAATCACGGACTAGCCCGGTGTTTTTTGGGGGTGTTTCACAACCTCTATGACGCATCCCGGATAGAGAAAGGATAAAATCACAATATAACTTCAAAATTGAACTGAAGTTTCAAATCTTTGAAGTCAAAAAAAATTTTTTTTTTTGGGATTTTAAAAGCTTGAGCAATGGTGAAGAAATGGAAAGGCAGCAAACATGGCGCATGAGGACCGAGAAAATGGCGAAAGAAATGCGGCCTTTCTTAAAAAATGTTCAGCTGAGTTTTGAAAGTTTCGGTACTTTTAGCGGCAAAATACGCATCTAATTGTTTAATTTTGCTTTAAAACTGTAAGAGAAAGGTAACAAAAAGCCGATAAAAGACTTACTCGGGTGTTAAGAAAATTACGACATCACAAGTCGAATTGGAACAAATAGCTGTTCTTTAAGCGTCTCTGTCTGTTATTTTATTCCGGAACAATTTAGTTGCATCTCGAATGAGTATCTTGAGAAGTTCAACTATACAACTTTGCCATTCTTGTAAAAGATATGGAAAAAAAACGTTTCCAGGAAGAATCTGCAGATTCTTTCCTAGTATCCGTGTGACTAACTTACTCCTCATGAGATGTTAATTCTTGTGATGACACTAATTTCCTGGAAAAACGTGAAAGTTGTTCTCGGAAGGGTCCAACAAGTAAGCCGACACGTGTCACGATAAATTAATCGCAAAAAAAACCTTCGTTTTTTGCTCCGTTTCTTTTTTTCATTTAGGTTCGCTTCGCAGCGTCTGACTTTATTGGTTCTTTCCGGGTTGAAACGCCTTCATTTTTACTACTTTTTGAGAGCAATACTACATGTTTGCGTGGAAAGGCGTAATTATAATTGAGGCAGCAGGGATGGAGTTATTTGTCGAAAAATCTTGGAACTAATAAGGTAAACATCCCGTTGAATTTCTTCTACACATTTCGTTGCTTTGGAATTTTTCGAGAAAAAAAAAATTAAAATTGTAAGACATCGTAACTTCATTTGAAAAAACGTCAACGAGAGAAAAAAAAATCCAAGAAACATTCATTAAAACATTTTTGAAGACTTTTTCAGAAGTAGCGGTTTAAATAAAGCCCGAAGAATTGTTCGAGCTTTTCGAAAAAGAAGATAGATTGAAAGGGTTCTTTATTAAATATAGAAATTTCTTTCATGGTTACGAAGTGAAATTAAATTCTTTATTTTAAACAATTTTTTTATAACTTGAAGCTATTTTTAAAGTTTTCTAAAATAAATTATTAGCGCTCATTCAAAAGCGAAGAGAGAAACGGTTGATGAAGCTCAAAATTTAGCTTCATGAAAAAAAATCAGAAAAAAAGCTGTACTATTCATTTCGATCTCTTCATATCAATGGATAAACTCAATATTATTTTTTGCAGGATCAATTTTACTCCAAATAAACTCAAGTTGAAATAAATTTGGAGGAGTGAATGTCGAAATTATTCATGTAACGTCAAGTTTACCGTATTTCGACGTGAAAGGAGCTGAAAAAAACCTTCATTTTACAACTTCACTCGAAGGAGATACGAGCGACTTTCTTGTAAGCTCCTTCGGATATTTTCATGATTTTAATCGAGGCTCGATGATAAACTTGATAAGAGAATGGTTTCCAGAACAATGGCTAGGCGAAAAAATGAATCACCGCGAATGCGATCCCGCCTCGACATTTCGGCCGATTCTGGAAATTCTTCGTTTTCCAGTTCGAGTAATTCATCGCCTCGTTCTACCAGGTTCAAGGGTCAGAATAGTGGAAAAGGAAGATTTGAATTACGAAGAATATTCGTGAAAAAGATTTAGAATAAGTGAAACATAAAATTTATTCTTTTAGACCGGAAGCAGTTGTGAATAGTTTGCCCCAAAAAGTACCAAAACTTTCAAAACTCTGCAGTTTCCCGTGAAACTAAGAATTTTTGAGGATGGCTCCTTTTTTGCTGCCTTTTTGCACCGTTTCATCGACCCTTATGCATCATTTTTGCTGTCTCTTCCTTTTTCCAGCATTTCTTGAGCCTTTAAAATTGTAGATAAAAGGCTCGATGAAGGGAATCTTTTTACAGCCTTTTGCAGCCTTTCTGCGGCCTTTTTCGAGCCTCTCCCTTTTAGCGGCCATTCCGACTTTGCCCGAGTGTTCACCAATTTTATAATAATGAAAAAGTTAAAAGAACCGTTTATTCCAAAAAGAGCCTTCTATAAAAAATCAGAAACTATGAGAATAATCAGAGACCGTTTGTGTTGAATTTTTTCTATTTGTACCATTTTAATCTAGAGTCATTTACATTAATCTGAAATCAGAAATGAGAAGATTTTCTTTGAAATCGACATTTCAAGTGACAAACTACCTTTTCAGGTCTCCGTCGCCGTCGGCTTCAGATTACGATTCCGGCCTGGATGATGATTCCGTGACGACAGATCAGGAGGAACATTCTTCGCGTTCTGATTTTCCGAAAACGCCCGAAACTTCGAGAAAAAGGAAAAGCTCTTCCATTACAAGCGGAGAAGAATTGAAAGGGATTCCATTTGTTTGAGTGGACAGGTTATATTTTTCAAGAATTCGAGTTCAGGCAACTATGAAAAGAATCGCCCAACAATACGGTTCAAGTCACCGTTTTACAGCTGGCGCTATCAATTGTCTTCGCCAGGTGAGTTTTCAAAATATTAAAGGGAAAATGTTAGAAAAGTGTGAGAGATTAGAAATGTACGGATGACGCATCATTCTTTCACAATTTCAGCCTAAGAAGTTAATTTTTTGTTGAATTTTCATTTTTATTTTTGATTGCTATAGTCTGTTCAGATTTTGAATGTCAAGTCGTCGCTCAAGCTCCGCCCCTAATGGCCGAATAAACCAATCAGAGAGTGAGCCGTCCACAGAGTGTTTTTGAATGACGTCATTGCACTCGACATTAAAAATCTGAACAGACTATATTCTTGATTTTTCTTTAGCCATTGCGTACTCAATCACGAGAAAATTCTTTTTTTTTAGTTGAAAAAAAGGAATTCCAGGTAGCAGACGAAGAAATCCAACGGCTTTTGGTGAAAGCGGCGGTTTGCGCGAGGTTCAGCGGCCACAAGACGGTCGGTTTGCAAGACATGAAGCTCGTCTTGCTTCTGCAGCAACTATGATTTTGACATTTCTCGGAACAAAGTCTATTCTTGTCTTTATTCCAAATGTTGAGAACTGTTGCTCTTCTGCAGCACCTCCACAAGCTTCATGACGTCGATGTCGCCGTAGTTCTGGCGGGTCGTGAAATGCATCTTGGCGATGTTCAGCAAGTTGGTCACGTTCATCGCGGTCCGAGTCCGGGAACGACGTTGTTGCAGTTTGAGATGCCAGTAGTGGTAGATCTGAAGAAGAAAAGTTGGAGATGATCTTTGAGAAGGCTTGGTAGTCGGGATGAAGAGTCAGGCGCTGATTCGTTTTGCGCCAAAGGGTTTTGAGCTGATTTCAAACAATTGGTGTTAGGATAACTTTTTCCCTGAGTTTGAAGCTAATTTTATAGTTCATGGGTCGTCAGAAGATGTCTAAAAGGAAAGGTGTGCAATTTTGAAATTTCGAATTTCGAGTTTTCAATGATTTTCTGTCTGTGAGCGAAATAAACATTTCATTCATAAACATTTTATTTTCCACGAAAATTTCATTGTTCTGTAACGATTTTCACAAAAACCGGAAGTTTTGAGTAACACCGAATTTCCAAATTTTCGAAGTTTATTTTCATAAGTTTTTGCGCAGCTGCTTCATCTAGATCTTCAACGACTGTTCCGCAAGTTTATAGAAAATTTAAATTTGAAGTGACGGAAAAAATTGAGAACGAACTTCTAGTTCTTGGCTTCAGTGAACCGAAGAGTTGAATTTTTGAGACACCGAAAAAAATCTGAGCTCAAAAAGTCAGCCTGAACCTTTCAGCGTTAAAAATTAGTCTTATAATATCGGATCTTTGTTACGCGAACCGGATGCGCCCCGGGCGTGTCGGAGCATTTCTAGTGACCAATTCAGTAGATTCAGAACTCTCAAGCTATCCTTAGAATTGCTCAGAAACGTTCGACGCACGTCCGGTTCTCGTTACCGAGGTTCAAAATGTCCCTCTCTAATTTTTCGTTATCAGAGAAGCGCAAAAGCACTTGAAAGCTATGCCAGCGGTTGGAATACCTTTCTAAGCTTTTTATCCGTTCTGGATAGTCTACAGAGCTTTTTCGAACCGGAGTAGGTCTAACCTCTGCGAAAAATCCGACAATGGAAACGCCGAGTCCGATAGCGCCCACCATGAATATACCGACGACGGAGTCGAGGTCCAAAGGCTTGGTCGCTTCTGTTTCGTCGTATTCACTGGAGTCGCACTTTGCTGGCTTTCCGAGTTGGTAGCCCTTTAAAAATCGGACGACTCTCAGCACTAGTCGAAGATTTAGTGCTAACCTCCAAGAAGTATTTGGTGAAGGTCCGCTGGACAAAGTACTGCTGCATGATAATTTCTCGGTTGAAGTCTTTGAACAAAGGAGTGTCGTTTTTGAAAACGAAGTAAGCCGATTGCTGCGGCATTCCTAGAACTTTTTTGACATTTGCGTGGCTTTCGGATTCACCTTCGCTGACATAGACGTAGTTGCACCGTTCCAGGCTCATTTGCATCGCTAGGGAGTCTTGTTGTATTGGATAAATGTATTTTCCGGTGTCTACCAGGTCTAAGGCGTCGGAGACACTTTTGGCGACAACCTGGAATGTTTTAGAAGATGTTTTTTTGAGTGAGGACTAGAAACCACGGGGTTGGCGCTGATGGCTTGTCGAAGGGCGACGAAATGGGCTTGATTCGAGTTCTGAAGGTCGTCAAAGTACCAGTTTCCCATGTAGTTTGTCGTGAGGTGGAATTTCCCTTCTCCTATCAGCTTGATCATACCGTCGGCGTCCTTTAAGGCACTATTATAATAAACACGACGTACAGTCAATGTTTCCCGACTTGAAAGGCGAGGGAGGCGGGGCAGCGGGCGGGACGCGTAGCGTGTGCGTACGCGGTTCTTGAAACGAGTTCAGTTCAACCGCCAGCGACCATTTGGAGAGCTCGTTTTAAGCTTTTTTCTTTTTTTTAAACTTATTCATTGATCTTTTTCATGTACACATTAAAAAATAGTAAAACATAAAAAAGAGCGGTGATCGAGCTTTTTGAATAGCCGGTCGCGTTTGAATCGAAGTCGTGCCAAGAACCGCGTACGCACACTCTACGCGTCCCGCGCACTGCCCTGCCTCCCAAGAATGAAGATAAGCCTGACCTTGAAAGGATTCTGATATCCTGACGTCAGCAACGCCGTCAGCAGAATTCCTTTGTAGAGTTCGATCATGAAGCCGGACTGCATCAAGGCGAACGCGAACATTAGAATAGTTCCTGTATGAAAAACATTAAACGAAATAAAAACTATGAAAAAATCCCTGAAATGCTGGAAAAGTTCATCTCCTCGCTACGTTCGTCGAGTTGAAGTTGGACGACGTGCCACGTCATCTATCGATCTTTTTTCGGTTTTTAAGATTTTTATGATGAACCTCAAATGGTCTGAAGTGCTCCCGTAGATTCATTTTGACTTCAACTTTTGAGACGAGTATCATCAAGAAGAGGTTGATGAGCAGGCTTGCTGAAGAAATAAACAAGACCAAGAAATCTTTGGTATAGTCTAGAAAGACGCTTGAAAGTTTATTTTTAAGTTACCCAGAAAAAGGAGCCAGACTTCGTAGGTGAACGGCTTGAAGGCGTTCCAAAGTACTGAACTCAATGTTTGCACTTGGCGTCGCGCCACGAAGATCGGTTGGATCTAAACAAAGATGTTTTTTGTAAATCCTATCCCATCCTATTCATTATGCTCTAACGGGACTGCTCGAACGGGATAAACTCACATTTGTGACGGGATAGGAAAACTGGTAGTACTGGGCTCGTTTTTCCGTCATCTGATACATTAGACAGGCTGTGTCGGCCGTGTCGTTCTGCAGGTATCCCAAGACGCCGGTCCACGTCTCATTCTGAAAACTCACACCTTATCGGCTCACTTTTTAAAAGCTAACAAAGAAGGTTTTTAATGTAAGTTTGGGATTTTCTGAAAAATGATTTGAAAATTATCTGAAGGTGTAGATGAAGAATCCTCTTATTATTTTTGGAGATACTTAAATCGTGAGAAGGTGTTCAGAAGTTTCTGTTTTCTGTTTTCCGGATGACGCTTGGAAACTTTCCAGACAGCTCCCAACGCCTTCATCCTACCAATCAGAAGCCTGCTAGAAGCTTGCCGAAAGGCTTTGGGCAGGCTGCCCGGATTTTTCAATTTTTCACCTTGCAAAGGCTCTCCAACTACCTTCTGAACACCTTCCCAAGGCCTTCTCAAGACGTTATAGCTCCCATTAACTTTCCGACCTCCTGATGGTCACTTTCTCAACACCTTCTCAGAACTTACCGGATAAAAGATTTTCAAAACTGCAAAACAATGGTTCCAGGCTTAATTCTATCCTAAAAGCGAATTTTGAAAGCTCATTTTCCAAAAAACTAGAAGTTTTCACAAGTAGCAACATCCAGGGGATAATTTCAGAACAAAAAAAAAGAAAATCGTACGGCGAGAGTTCCCCAATCAAGGCCTCCAACGACGGCCGGACTGATGACCTTCTCGATGTCGACGTGCATCGCGTCGCAGATTATTTTGAGCACCTCAAAGAAGTCTCTGAACTTGACAAATCGATACGGACCTCGAGACACCATCCAGGAAATGGACAGTAGAAGTTTGGCGCCAAAGTCGGGAATCTGAGGCAGTTGGGGAAGGCGTCGGGCGGATTTCGGGCGAACACAACTCGCAGCTTTCTTCGCAGGCTCGACTGAATTTCAGGTTGGTAGGTATCGAAGAAAGAGATTCTTTCAAGTAGGGGATTTCGTAAGAGTTTCAGAACGAGGTAAACGAAGAATTTTTTGAAAACTTAATAAAAAGTTGTAAAGTCTTGTTTCCCGTTTCAAAGAGGCAAATTTTATATTGGTTCTGTTCATTTTGTAGTCTTACGTAGTTCTAACCACTTTTTTTCTTTCATTAATATTATTTTGATCGAGAGAATTATTACTCCATGATCTGGTTTTTTTCTTAGTGAAGAGCCTCTGAAAGTTTTTTTAAAATCAAAAGTTCGATCAAGAAAACATACCTGAAGAGTTACATTATCCATGGCCCAGGAAGGAAGGGAAAAGCTCGAAATGATGCGCAACGGAGAAATTTTTCGAAAATATCCATTTCACCCAAAAATCCAATGCACTTCGATAAGGATTCCGCCCTTTTTACTTGAAATCCGATATGAAAATGCATTTTTTGAGGCGAAAAAAGTTTTGAACCAAGTTTGTTGGAATAAACGCATTTGAAGAAAAATAGATAATTTTCGCTATTTTTTCAAAGGCGATAATTAATCGAATAATGTGGTACTGAAACCATTATCGCAACTCAGATTCTTTTTTTTATATGATACCTCAGGAAATCAAAAATCAAATTTTTCATACCTTTTTCCCCGACTTCTTATGGAATTTTTCTATCGAAATCTATCTACTTCTGCAAATAAAACAAAATATCGCATTTGAATAAGCAATTAATAAAATTTTTGATTGTATTCGCCGAATTCGGTCCAAGTGCAACCGAGGCTTCCCTTGTCTGAGGCAAAACATGAAGTACACGCTACGAAAGACTCGAAATGAATATTTTATTGGCTAGTTTTCCAAATTTTCGTCATAATTGCGGCTTGTTTGTAGGGGTCTTCGAAAACGTGGTTTTCAAAAAAAAAGACCTGGGAAATTTTTAGTGACCACTATAGGGGCTCGCCAAGGACTACTTGGAGAGGACACTGAAGTGGCCACTAAACCCACCTTTATAGTGGCCACCATTTTCCGTTTTAGTGGCCATTATAAAGGGTCTCTATTTAGTGGCCACTTCAGTAGTTTTTCATCCAGTATTCCTTTCATCTAGCATTCCTTCCAGTAACTCCGATAACAAACAGATTGGACCAGTTATGTTGATCCATTGACCCCTAAAGTGGTCACAAAAAGTTTTAGGTAGTAGCATTTAGACCTATATTGTGGCCACTAATTTTTAACCCCTTAGGTGGCCACTAATTTGACTACTATAGTGGTCACCAAAACGTCAAAACCTTATAGCGGCCATTAAAAATTTTCCCAGACCCTTCATAAAATTCTTTTCACTGCGCAGTTGGGATTTTCCTGAAAGTTGGCCAAAATACTCTGCGATACATCAAAGAAAGATCTTGAGAGTCTCAAACTGCCCAACTTTCTATTTTTGAGCCTCAAGGTCGAATAAAACCTTAAAATTTGGTTGAAATAGGCGATTTCGGAGCTTTGCGCCATTATTTCTCGAAAGCTAGGAAGTTTTGCAGGTTGAGACTTTCAGAACCTTCTTCTGGTACATCAAAAAGTTTCTGGCCTAATTTCAGGTAACTTCCAACCTCGAAGTATAACGACCTTCCTTGTTATAGTAAAAAACTTCCGTTTTTCTTCCTAAAAAAGTTTTTTTTTCAGAAAAAAGGCTTCGAAAGCTTATCCGTGGAAAATGTTGTGGAAAATGTTGTAGATAAGCTGAGTGATTTTTTGAGCTCAAACTGCTTTTTTGGCTTTTTTCTCATACGATAGTACTTCTCCTTCTTGTTTTTCTTTAAAAAAACTGGAGTTTCCAAAAAAGGCTTCTAAACTGTACTATTTGTTTCTCAAAGGTTTTTCTTTATAAAGAGGGCAGAACTGTAGGTATTTTCCAGTCAATTCCCAAGGAGCCGCCCCCAAGGTTCCAGAGTTTAAGCTCACTAACTTTACTCATTTCTTACGTGGGAGCTTGTACTTTTCTTGCAGCGGTTAATGATGAGAAAGACCTTTGCGTTTTTCTCACCGACCTCGGGTCTTCAGATTCTTTGTTGTGATGATATCAACACTGAGGAGCTTTGTATTGATTCTTAAAACTTTTGAAGTTTTAGTGTATTTCAAAATGAGTTCACAGGACGAAAAGTATATTTCAAAACGTTTAGCCGTGTCATAAGCCGATGTTCGACCGTTTTGGAGTAAATCCGAGATAACGGAAATCTTTCCTTCAGCCGATATTCTCCGCCGTTTTCGGAGCGTCACGTTAAATCTCCCAAAGTCGGAAAATTCCTCCCTTGTTAAACAAGGAAAAGCTTCTAGAGATAATAGCCATGTGCAATGAAATTCTTTCGAATTGACTGCTTTTCAAGCTCACAATTAGTGTTGAGTTTGTTTTATTTTTAGATCATTCTTCACGTCATGAATTAATATCATTCTTTTTTTGCTTTTTTTCTTCATACAGCTGTAGAGAGAGAGAGAGAGAGAGAGAGAGAGAGAGAGAGAGAGAGAGAGTAAGAGGGCACAGACAAGTGAGACTAATTCACTTTAAAATTGGCTTTCTTACTCTGTTTTAACCCACTATCTGCTCGCATTTCTAATTTTCAAATGTCAGTTTTTGAACCTTCGCTTCTATTATTATGTCTGAGATTTCGTAAAAATGTTCACTGTTTGATTATAAAAGATGTGCCAAAAATAATGATTTTTTGATTTTTTTGAACCCATCTGCTTGAAAAAAGAAACACATGACATCATGAAAACCAAACGTCTAGACAAACTTTCAACTATCCCTACACCCCAAAATAAAATCGAAGCCCTTGAAAAATTTTCGTCGGACTCCAAACACGGATACTGACATCAAGATCTGCTAATCTCTGCAAAATTCTCGCTTCATCCGCATTTTCCTCCTTTCAGCAAATTTTATCAATTATTTAGTAATGCTCAATTTGATGTTTGAGACAATATTCAGGCTTTTTTGAAGATTAGTTGCTCTTTTGGCTTTTCGACTTTTTCTCACGGTATTTAAAGCATTACGATTTTAAGAGTTTTTTTAAGATTAAAATTTTTAGGATTTCCAAAGTGATCTCTATAGGGGCAGCCTTAGAGACAACTTTACCTCACTATAGGGCCACCAAAGCTTGCGAAAATGACCCCTATGGGGGTTAGGTTAGTGACCCCTAAAGGGGACATACAGAAAATTCGATAAATTAGCGTTATTTGGATGGAAAATATCAGCAGAGGATGATTCCATCAAGTTTGTCTTTCAGTGAATAAAAAATTAAAGACCCTATAGGGACCACTTGGGCTTTGGAAGCTTAGAAATCAGACGTCAAGTCCCTATAAGCAGAGCTGTTCTCAAGTCGGGGCGACCCCGGCCGAGGCCGCCCCGACCCGACCGCAACGCGCCCCTGAGCGCCCCGGCCCGCGAAGCGGTTTTCATTCAGGCCCCCGAAGCGAGCGCGAGGATTTTTTTCCGTATTTTTTTGTTTTTTTATTTTTAGTTTTTTTATATTGAAAATGAACTTTTAAGTTATTTATGATCCATGAAAATTTTAATTTTTATTGTTTTTTTGACAGAAATCGTGCTTTTTTGATTTCACTTTTTTTCGCATCTTTTTTTCGTTTTTTTCTCTTTGTAAATAAATAAAATAATATTTCAAATAGCGGTTTAAATGAATTTTTTTGCAAAAAAATGAAATTCCTGATGATGTGAAAATTTCAAATTATTTTTTTATTTATCAATTTGTTTTCTCTAGTTCTGTAAATTGTTCTGACCACTTAGAAAACTATTGAATTTTTGGATTAATATCTCATTTCATCGGTTTTTCTTTTTATGTGCTCGATAATAAATGTTTTTTTGTTTCACTTTCATTTCAGTAAAACTTGCGCTTTCCATAATTCGCAAAAAACCGGGAGTCAAAACAAAATTTGTATCTACGGGTCGACCGAGTTGACCCTTACCAAAGGCCGACCGCGGCCGCCCTCGAATACGCCGCAAGTCGGGGGGCCCTCGGTCGACCGCGGTCGCCCCGAGAACAGCTCTGCCTATAAGGACCTCCTAAACTTTACCTTGTTCGGCGTTTTTTTTTTCCTGAACCCCTATAGGGAACACTCTGGCATTCCCAAGACTTTGATTCTGTTTGAGATTTATCAAAGAGTTCATCTGATGTGTTTCGAAAAGTCTGATTGGCAAACTACATAATTGATAGGTAATTATCGGGTTAGAAACAAAGAGAGGCAAATGAAGCAGAACACGAGGTGAATGAGCTAATTGTTTCGCTTTTTCTGTGCAACCCATTTCTCTCGGAATAACTTTCGAATCAATCCTTAATTTTATTCTGAACGCTCACGTTTCCAAACAACTGGCGTCAACCAAATTGTCCCTTCTAACACAAAATATAATCATATAGGTAGACAAAAACCAGCCAAAATGGGTCCTACTATCTCTTGGGAAATTCACAAAGCCTTTCAGTGGCGCGAGAATTTCCGAATCTATTTTTCTTTCCATTTGTGAGATCAAACCACTAACAAATTTAAGGATCTTTAAGCGATTAAAGAGTAGTTTTTTGAAAAAGAAGCTTCTTTAGGTTTTATGAGGCCACGCCTTTGGAATAGCTTTAGTTATGGGAACATGGGCGTTTTTCAGCTTGCATCTTGTGCACTCAATCCAATCATTGTGAATAATTTTATCGGCTTTTTTTCAAGGAAAAATTGAAAATTAGAACGGAAATGTCTTAACAGATATAATATTTTTTTTTCACAGTTTCTTCCCGAATATTTGAGCCTTCCTGTGCGTAAAAGCTCAGTAGAGAAATTTTTTCAAGCTTTTGAAGCGTTTTAACTCAAAAATAAGACTTTTTGCGAGACATTTGTCTTGTTTTGGGATCAGGAGGTCCGAAACTACACATCAAAAAATTCTCAAAAGTTCAACTGGAGGCTAAAAATCGTTCCCCAGTTAGCGGATCGATCTTTATTCCAAGCAGTTTATTTCTTCCAGTTTTTTTTAATAAATAATTTCACGACCTTTTTCGAGGAAGTAGTGATGATTTGTAAGCAATGCTTGTAAGCAGTAATTTTCCCAGCACTGAGCGAATATTCGGTCTGAGAAAGAGACGTAAAAGCGACGGCAGGTGCCCCACAATTTTCCGAAGCCCTAATCATATCACTACCGTGGAAACATGTTCATTCTCGTGCCTTTTTACTCTAAAAATTGTTGACAAAATACTCCGAAAACCAAGTTAACTGGTCATTTTACGCGGATTTTCCAATGAGATATCATTTTTGGGCTGATGCTTGATACTCCAACTTTTGCGTGAATTTTGAACGAGTTGGTTCCTTTTCTAACAAGGAAGGTGATTTTACTTTGCGGTTTGGATATTCCTGAAGTTTGGCCAAAACATTTGTTGATGTGCTGAAAGAAGATTCTGGAAGTCTCACCCTGGAGAACTTCCTAGTTTTCGAGAAACGAGGGCTCGAACTCGAAGAAAACCCTAAAATTCCGTTGAAATAGGCTAGTTGGAGTTCTGAGCGCTTATTTCTCAAAAAAATTAGAAAAATTGTGTACTTTGAGACTTCCAAAAAAAGCCTTCTTTCGGTTCTTTGGGGGGTGGCCGATTTTTTTCCAGGAAGTTCTGAACCACAGAGTAAAATTGTTAAAAGGTTCTGCATTTTAGAACACTTTTACTTTATTTCTTCTACCGGTCCCGGCGGTTTTCAGTGTATTTTTCATATGGAAGTTGAACTTTTTCGTGGATTTCCTTAAGGATTTTCTATTTTTCTATCGAGTATTCTTGTATGACTCTTCATATTTTTTTTTTCTTTTCTAGTGGATGGACATTTTCGGACGCCTGGAGCCCGTCTTTTACCAACGTCCGCCATACACTGTCTACGGGAATGACACTTTCCCGGCTTCTCGATTATACAGACCAACTGACAAGGAGCAGGAGCAGAGAACACATGTTGTTGGTCCATTACAGGTAATTTAATCGATCAATATTTTTTTTCTATTTATGGATGACGTGGACTTTTGGAGCGATTTCGCCTGAATTTGCTTCAAATTGATGGTTTCGATTTAAAATGGATGCTTTGAATTTCGCCCCATTTTGTGAAAATTTAGTTTGTGTGTTGATTTTCTTAAGTTTCGGAGCCTTTTCGAACCGAGAAATGTTTGAAAAAATTTGAAAGTTGAAGTAGAATGTGGGGAGTTTTGAATCATTCTGTCAAGATTTTCAAAATCGGCCAAAAAAATTGTTTTTCTGGATTTTTCTTATCAGATATTAAAAATCCAGTTGTTTGCTATTTTTTTCAAAAATAAAGTTTTTGAATTTTACCCTTATTAAATTGCAAATTGATAGTAATATTCTTTATTTTTCAGCGAAAAACCGAAAAATGCCGAGTTTGCTCGCGCGAAGGCGCATCACTCCACTATGGGGGCGTCGTTTGTGGGTAAGTTTATTCGAATCAAAAAATACACGTGAAATACGGAAATATTCGGGAAATTGTGTGTGTTTTGACCTTTTCCAGCTGTCGTTTTACTCGGAATCAGAAGGATCACCTGCGAATTGCGAAAAAATTTGAAAAGTCCGAATTTTCAATACAAAAATAAAAATTTGGAAGGTTTAAAATAGAATTTTCAAAATAAAATGAAGATTTCAACGTCAAACCGTATTATCTTTTTTTGAAGCCAAGAAGCTTCATTTTTTCCAGTTGGAGGACCGTTTCAGGGATATAAGCTGGATCGTAAATTTTATCAAAAATTTAAAACGAAAGGTAAAAATTATAGAGGCTGCAAGATTTTCTTCGCACGGGCCGTCAAGAATCCTCGCGGATTCGCTTGCGAACGACAGGGTTCCTGTGAGATGGGTCCAGGTAAGGGATATTACAATGAAATGGACTTAATTGACTTTTTTTTTCCGATTCAAGAACTCATCCTACTTTCAAAACTTTTTTTTTTCAAAGAAATATTCTTGTCCGAACGCGTAAAAGTTGGTTTCGATTATAATAGCTCTGGTCAGGTGGAACTGGCCATTTCTCATGTCAACCGGGATTTTTCGAACTGATATTTTCGCTTTTGATAATCCAAAACATCACTTATCAACTTTTAATTTTTATTTTGGTCAGTTGAAGACGGAAGAAGAGAAAATGAAACGAAACGATAAACTTTATAGTATTTATTTTCCTTTGACCTCATACATAAGACCATAATCTCAGTCTCTTGATCTTGTTCATATTTGAGCTGATAAACACTTCAAAAAGCTTTTTCAACAAAGAAAAAAAGGCATTTGATAACTTCCATTTGAGCGGCTTTGAGATGTCTGAAAAACTTTGCCACTTCTTGGAAGTGCAAGTCCTTTATTTTGATGGAGTTTCAAACAAAGAACAAGAAAGAGGAAACTACGTAAGATTTAATAAAGTTTGTTTGGTTTATATCTTTTCTATTAGAAATCATGTGAAGCAGTGAATAATGGACTAAAAATTCAACAGTTTGATTGAAATGGGCAAGTGACTAACTTCAACTTGACAGTTGCAAACGTGAAAAAATTCAAAAACAACCCAAGCTCAGACTTTTGAAGCAATTTTGAGGCTTGAATCAAATTTTTTTTGAATCCAGGAAAAAAGAAATTCAGGCCGGCGATCAAAATGTCGTTCTTGTCGTCTAAATCTCTGCTACAAGGCCAGAATGCGATCTGAAGGTGATTTCAAATAAATTATAAATTTTTACAAAATCCTTATTTACAGCAGTGGGACAAGTTCGAGACTTGAGGACGAAAGAAGAAGATTCGACGGACGAAAGTTTGCCGACGACTTCTTCCGCCTCGCCAGCACCCGAATCGAAGCCGATTGTTTCGATTATCTCGAAACTGGAGTACCAGAGAATCGATCCCTTGGAAGTTCCTTCTGTAAGAAATTTTGAGGGAAATTTGGAATCTTTTCTCGTCATTAATGGCTTATGATGAGATTGATCTTTTTCAAAGACTTGAACTTTTTTCAGATAGTAAAACCTAACTTTTGAAAGAGCGGGAAAAAGCGACTTCGGAAGGAATTTCAAAAAAATCTTGATATTCTTTCTTTTGAAATATTTTTTTGATCTTTGTTTTTCTGAACATATTTTTTTGAAAATTTCCGAGGAATTTTTCCAAATTTAATACTATAATTGTAAGGAGAAATTGTTTACAGACGTCGATGCAAGCTCGTTGTCACCAAATCCGATCCCACATCGATATGTACCCCAGTTTCGATGACCGCGCAATCGTTGCGATGTTTCATAATATTGAAAGGTTTTTTTTCAAAAACTATTTTCGAGTGTGCTTTTCTTGAGTCTACCTTCTAATCTTCGAAAGTGAGAATGCGTTCCAAAAGGATGGTAGAGGCACTTTTTTTCTCTGATCGCCCTCTTTTTTACCAGTGCTCTCTCGAAAATTAACCGTACTTAGGAACGCCAGAGAGGCCCTATAGCGGTTAGGAGAAAAAACAGCCCAAATATGGGGCGAAAAGTGTCACTATAAGAGTAACAGTTAGGTGGTCCCTATAGGGGTTCCGGGTCTGATCCCTAAACTTCTAAATCTTGAGTGTTCCTTATAGGGGTCACTTCTGCAAGGTTTAGTGGCCCCTATAGGGGAGGTGAAGAGCGGAAAGGTTCTACTATTTAGACCACTCTGAAGTTCCTAAAACCTAAGTAGACTCTTTTTTCCTATAGAAACTGCGACAACAACCTCGGATACGCATCGGCCGGCAAATATCCATCCGAATTTTCGACTGACGTGCCCGTCGATCTGGCTCTTTTGCATCCGAGACCAATTTCCGATGAAGTTCCGGTCAGATAAAATGGTTTACTTATTACTGAGTTGAAGGTTTTCAGATCGCCTATGTACGCAAAAAGTTCTCCGAGAATCCAGAAGAGATGTTCAAAGAGTTCTATTGTCGGACGATTGTCCATTTTTTCGCCTGGACTTCGGCCATCGAGGATTTCTCGCAGTTGAACATGAGACAGAGGGTCGGTTGGTCAATGCTTTGAGACCTATTTTTGCAGAATCTCAAAATGTACTGGAATCTTTCCAGACAAGAATTTTTATAAATAGGATCTTGTTCCATAAACATGTGAACAAAAAACAACTTTCAGAAAATTCTTGCAATCGAAGCGGTTGTTCCTGGCTGTTTGATGATGCACGCCTTCGGAATGAGCCAATGGAGAGTCAAAAATGGAGCTCCGAAACTGCCGACGTCTTCAGAAATCGATTTGAAAACCATGATTGAGTGAGTTTTCAAAAGTTTCTCAAACATCAAATGTTTTCCATCAAAAAAAAGTTGGTAAAGTTCTTTAAATTCTATCCGCGAAACTGTGACTTCTTTCAACTTCAGTTTATGATTCAGTGACCACCCTCACTTGAAGGAAGTCATCGAAACGTTCCAATTTCACGTTTTGGAACCGATGAACGTCTTGCAAATAACGGCCGAGGAGTATTCCTGTATTCGATTGATTTTACTCTGGTCGGGAGGTGGGAAATTAATTCCGTAATTTTCTGTTGAAAAAAAAATATTTTTAGGCGAGAGCGTTCTGGATATGGAATTGGCGCGTGCTTTGAGAGATAGGTAACAAAAATAATTCAAGGATTTGAAAAAAGAAAATGGAATTTAGGTACGGTATTCTTCTGATGGCGTTACTCCGGGCGGCGCTGCCTGATGCCGCTGAAGAAGAAGTCAAACGACGATATTCTCAGCTTTTCGAGTATTTCAACTCTGTCAAAGTGGGTTTCTTTCCATTTCGAGATGTACTCATGGCTGTAAATTGAAATATAGGCACAGTCGGTAGGTCAGAAAAAGGCTTCATAAAAAGGTTCCTTTGAAAAAGGCTTCTATTGAGCTTTCTTTTTGCACCTTTTCATTGGCTCATATGCACCATTTTTGCTGTCTCTCCCTTTTTTCCACCATTTCTCGACCCATTGAAGTTCTAGAAAAATGGAAAGCTCGATAAAGGGATTCTCTTTGCTGCCTTTCTGCGGCCTTTTTTGAGCCTCTCCTTTTTAGGGGCCATATTCCGATTTCGCACGAGGATATTCAATTGTTAATGTAAAAACGGCTCCTTAAAGTTTATTTTCTGAATTTTCTGGTATTTTTTCTTTATTCTACTGCGGTTTTGTTTCGTTTCAAAAAGTTATTGTTTATTAATTTTCCCAGCTTCTGATTATTTTTCGTCTTTCATTCTTTTCTTTTTTCAAAAATCAAGTTTTCAATCAGAAGCCTCTTTGACCCGTATATTGCACTGATCTTCTGAAGAAACAACAAAATAAAAGATTTGATTGATTGATTGAAAAAGAAACTTTGAATCAAAATGAAAAAAGAATCGAATCCAACTCTAAATTTCTTCAAATTTTTTTCAGTTTGCCTCTTAATTCTTTTTCTCATTTGTCATGAAGAAAATGCATTTTCAGACGATATCTACTCGGTTTGTATCTTGGATGACTATGATGTTCGCCCGGGACTTATGCGGGATGAGGGACACTTTGATCTACGATTTGCACGTTCATTCACCAGGCTCAACGACCGGAAAAGTTCCCAAAGAAGAGAAAATCTGAAAACAATTAGTTTTTTTTTTCCTTTTTATTTATTTGTTATTGAGTCTGTTCAGGAACGATCGATAGGTATTATTTCTGTAGATCAATGTTTTGATCGCGAAAATTGGCGGCTGAGGTTTGGCGCCTCTACTTGGTTCCTAATAATCCCAATTTTCTGTATATTCTGTTCGAAAATCCTTTATTGTTAAAGAGAAACAAAAATTCCTTAAGAACCATAAATACCACGGAAAGAAGCTATTTTCTTCGATACCTCAAGGAAAATGTTCTTCTTAGGCAAAGTCAGAAAGGGTGGAAAAAAAGCTCGTTAGGAATTTTCCTTTTAGGGTGACAAAGCTCCTTTTTTGCTGCCTTTTTGCTGCCTTTCTGCGGCCTTTTTTGAGCCTCTTTCTTTTAGCGGTCATTATACAAAGGCCATTCCGCGCCAGCTTGTCACATTTTTCTTTCCGCCGAAAGGCCAGGTCAAACTTTACCAACTTCGCTTCAAGACTTTTGTTTTTTGCCGTTATAAAAGCAGAATTTTTATCTAATTTGGTATACGGTCTTTTTGGCGGAAAGGAAAACGTGAAAAGCTGGCGCGGAATAAGCTATACCATTCCGACTTTGCCCGAGTTCAAAAAAAAAACCCAGGACGGATTTTTTACCAGAAAATTTACTCGTTTCACGTTTTTTGCTCACATTTGCTTCCATTTTTCACTTCATACACTCAATTTCTCAGGTGCTATTTCCGTTTTTTCATATTGTTTCAACTTTCATGATCTTTTCTTTCAGAACTGAATTCAGTTCATCTCACTCATCATTCATAAAGAGTCTTTTCAGTGCAAAGATGTTTTTTTTCATTCCAAGAAAAAAGACGGAATAGATCCCGCAGAAATCGTTGTGTGCCTTGATCTTTCCAAGTGAGCAAAGGCACTCGAGAAGCCGCGATATTTGCGCGAAAGGCGCAATTTGGCGGCCGGCCAGGCCAAACACCCTTTGACCATTCTCCTATATCAAATAAACTGTCAATAGAACCGAGTCGTGAGTTCAAAGACTTGAGCTGAGATCAAAAGATTAAATCCCATTGGAGAAACGTTTCTACTTATTTTTCGGAATTTTTTGACGGTTCATAGTCATATCCGCTCTACTTATGGTTTTGGCCTTGGAATATACAGTTCCGTCAGAAAAGACCCGAAAAAACACCTTTTTGATAACAAAATCGTGCTCATTTGTGCTAAAATTTGTGCTCAAAAGGTGCTCAATACCCCTGGAACTTTTTGAAGTTGTGATGAATGTTATTTGTAACACGCTGGTGAAATTTTAGCTTGCAGAAAAAAACGCAGTTTGAAAATTTTCAGAAATATTGAGCTCCACACGATGGAGTTGTGAGTAAAAAAATTTTTTCCGTATCTTTTCTGACGGTACTGTACTGTAAGATATTACGGTAGTCCCGAAAAATGATCATGTTTTGATTTTGTGCTCTTTCAAAGATTAGTTCCCCTATTTGTAAGCATCTTATTGCTTGAAAATTAATTTTTTTGCGATCTTTCATTTTTCTATCGTTTCGAAATTCTATAAAACCCTTCTCGAGTAAAAACATCAGCTTTTATTTAAACTTTTGCATTAAAATATATCTCACGAGGCCGCTATTTGGAGACCAACTTTTTACAGTAACTAAACTTCTTTTTATGGAAACTTTTTCAAGACCCATTTTGAAAAATCCTTTTAGGCCAGCCGTAAATGAACTAAACTGAAGTTTTTCTTTTCGATTCTTTGGAATTTCTCTAACTTCAGAGGAAGTTGTAGATGAGATACTGATAGCTGAAAGTTCACCTTCTGGGGATTGTTATATAGTATTTTTCTCCAACGAACTTCTAACTTGTTCCGAAATTCGTGAATTTTCAATATTAGTGAACTTTGAATACCATGTTTTCCATAATACTAACAGGAAATTACAGAAAAAAGAAATATAAAAAAAAGAGAGATATATCTGCCCTCACGGTACCATAAGACTTTTCTGCATCAAGCCAGCTTGGAACCTACTTAAAGAAGAAAAAATTAAATAAATATTCGGTGTTGTTTCAATGCTCTCAAGGGCTCATTTTTTGGTCGAAGCAACAGTTTTTCACCCGGAGAAGGCAGGCAAACAGTGCCTCGAGGCGGTTTTCCAAGACGTTTTTTGCCAGAAAGACCATTCTTCCGGATTTCCGCATTTTCAGCCCTTCCCGCTCATATCCCACTGTTCGCCTTGGAGCAACTTTCTCGCTTTTATCCGTATTTCCACCCAGGAAGCCTTTTTGAATTTACCCAAACTTCCGTGATGTCATTTAAGTTTACACTCGTCTTCTGCTGACGTCATCGGTCGTTTGTCAGACTTTTTTGCGTTGGCGTGCGCGTACGGTATAATGCGGACGATTTATTCGAGGAGATTCCACCCGAAAATGCGATTGTTATGGCATCATTCCAGACAAGTGCGTCATGGATGTTTCTGTATGGAAAATTGACCTTGATACCATTTTTAGATGTTTTGCTGAGAGTAGAGAACTCACGATTTTGAGAGAAAACTCATAAAATCTGAAAAGCTTCGTAGAGAAAGTTCTGTGGGAATTTATGCTTTTTTTGAGTTATCCGTTGAAAAAGTTACTTGTTCATTGCGTGAGAAGTTTCTTGAGAATCATGAGTCAAAAGTTTTGCTAACAGCAGTTTTTTCAGCGTCATCAGAAAGTTTTAAGTCATCAAAAAGCCTTTTTCTCTCTAAATTTTCAACAAGGAAGTTCAAATTACTTTGGGCCTCCGAATTCCCTGAAAATGACCAGAGCACTTCTTAATGTACCAATAGAATATCCTGAAAGTCTCAACCTACAAAACTTTCTATTTTTCAAAAAATCGGAGTTTATAGCCTCAATGTAGCCTATTTTAACGGATTTCGAAGGAAACTTTCCCGAAAACTACATATTTTCGTAGGTTCAGACTTACAGGATCTTCATGTGGTTCATCAGGAGGCGTTCTGGGTAATTTATAAGAAAATCCCAACTGCGAAAAGTAGAATTTAAGTCCTTGTAAGCACAAAACGACCAGATTTTCCTTGCTATTTGATCCATTTTTCCATAAAAATCTTTACATCTGATAGCTCTTATCACAATAAACCAAGCTTGTCTACCTCTAACACCTGATTTGAATAAAGTGATTATGATAATCGAGTAGTACGTGAGAGTTTGGTCGTTCTGAGCTCAATCGGATTATTCAAATTTGGGTTCATCGAAACTGCAGAAACAGAACATACATGTTTGCAAATGTGTTCGAAAAAAATTGAAAATGCAGGTTATTCAGGTTAAAAAGGAGCAGTTTGTTGGACAATGAAAAATTAAGAAGATGGATGAATTCAAAAATCATTTTCTAACTGTGAATATGGCTTATCAGCAGTTCCATGCCAAGAATTAAAGCCTTATTTAAATTTTTTCCTGAGAATAGAATTTGAATCGAAATTTCAACGATTTTTTCTAAAAAAAACCTAATCATAACACGAAATTTTCTCAAAAAAAACCCCAGCATTTCATAACCCCTAAATTCGACGTTCGTTTTCAAAGATCCCTCTCGAATCGTAGAAAGGACAAAAAAGGGAAAAGCTATTTGAGTTCCTGTTTCAAGCCTGATTTCGTATTTATAACGGGCAGTTGGCGTCGTCATTTATTCATCTCCGTTTTGTCCGGTTTTTGGCTCGTTCACAGATATCCACTCTAAGGAAATTTGCACTATTCGATCATTTTGGTTCACTAATTGAGGAACAGCTTGGAATTTTATTGACAATGGACTTGTCAATAGAGGAGTGAATTTCGAATTTTTTGTCATCCCTTTTATTTATCTGAAACCGAACTTGCCTTCCTTATCCTGCTCTAATAGTCTAAGATTCGTTGCCTTAACTGGATTTCGAAGATTCTCTTTTAAAACTGACGATTTTCGGTCTAACCAGCTCATGCTAGGAAATTAGCGCCTCCATCAGCTTTTTCCAAACTGAAAAGTCCCTAACCAAGAGTTATTCCCTGTGACCGGAATGTGGGTTTTGTCTCGCGCTGTCGCCATCCGTCTCAATACGCCAGAATCGTCGACGACGGCCATTCATCAAGTGTTGCCGACGGCGTCAAGGCTGCAAAAACGCTCCCTTACCGTGCGTTTCCGTCTTTTATAAGTCAGTGGGTTAAACAAAGGAAAAGGAAGCTTCCTATTACTTCCTTCTACGGAGATGACTCGAATTCTTGAAAGGAATTCACTTTTGTATCTGATTATCTCCTTTCAAAAGTTCTTTTTTCACTGGGGTTTGGTCCCCCTGGTGAGCTGATGGCTGCAAGGGGAATGGCTTGAAGCGTGATGGACCCATATCGTGAGCGCGCCCGACTCGGAACGGCTATGGAGCCAGGCTATCGGAAACAATTAGGAAACAATCAAACCAATATTAAATTCAGGTTTTCACACTTTTTTTTGTCGACCCATTTCAAAAGTAGGATTTCTGCTGTAATATGAGCTGGTGGAGCTCATCTTTTCTCTCATCTTTCGAAAGAACTTTGTTCTCGCCAGCTTCCTTTTTTTTTCAACTTTATTCATGCTGACAAAACTCACGAAAGTTCTAGTGTCCCTGTAAAGTGCGGCCTATTCGTTGGCTATAATCTGTCCTAGAGTAGAACCGGTCCAGCATTCACCAAACTTGTCATAATCTGCATTGAAATTCTGGAGCGACGCCAGCCGACGACTCTGCAAGGCGAAGAGATGATGTCACTGTTCTCTGAACCATGATGTTTGCTAAATCTTTGACTCCAAGTAGGGCAAAGTGAAAAAGGAAACGATTTTCGAAAAATAGTTGTTTACCTCATCAATCAGATGATAGTGTCACACTTCACAGCATCATTGGAATTTATACATATTTAGCGGCATTTTTGATTGATGACACGGCCGCCGAATTCCATGATCCGTTGTTGATCGACCGTTTGCAGGAACCTGGTTTTTGGTTCTTGATGGAGTACGATAATACCGTATTCCTGTTCTGGATAGTTAAGAAAGAACGATCCGACAGGAAATTTATGAATATCTTTAGTAATTCTTATAGTTGATTCTTCCCGACTTAAAAAGTGATATGGGTAGATCGGCAAACGTGAAGCGTTGCGTATGCGAAGCGGCTTTTTGGCAGAACCTTGAGGTCAAACGGAAGCCGCCGTTTTCTTCCCTTTTTGACGGTTTTTCAATTTTTTTTATGACTTCGAATTTTTGAGAGAATAAAGAATAAAAAGGATACCATTTTTTAAAATTTCTCCATGGTTATGTTCGACCTCAAATTCCCAAGAAGCCGCGTCGCGTACGCAACGCGTCACCCTTGCTAATCTACGCCTCTCAATCCGCTAAAAATCTAACTAACTTTTTTATGAGGGCGCAGAATTTCTGAATGATTAGAAATAACACTGAAACGACTCCAAGGAATATTCTGTAAGCCTCTTCAAGGCTTTCCAAAAAATACTGTAATAAATCTCATTTTCCAGTTTTTCCCGTTCAAAACGACCTCCCATGTGGAAGTTCTCCGCTCGTTTCCCAAATCATAACACGGAATCCAATCAAAACAATAGTTCCCCGGGATCCGATTTCATTTCATTGCAGCCCTTTTTCCGGCTGCAAAACAGTATACAAAGCTGCGAAACGGAGCCCCACGGCTCCTCCGATTTCAACGACGTCACAACCAAGGACAAAGTGCACAAAATGTTGCCAAAGTTTGATGACAGCTGCGGTTTTTTGACACCCTTGTCAGCCCATATCAATGTCAAATTTTAACGCGATTTCTGATCACTGCACTTGAAGCTCCACTCGAGTTTTTTCGTACCTATCTGAAAGATTTGGAACACGGCCTTAACTTCTGCAATTTAATAAGAGATATAGTCGATTTTTGAATATGTAGCAGATGCCATTATGGCTCAAAGTGAGCAGATTTGGGTCGATTTGGATTTTTAAAGCATTTTGATGTCAAACCAATCCCGGGAGATTTCCCTGATTTTTCTCAAAAGCTCAGTACTAGGTGGATTATCACAAGCCATTTTATAATATTTCAAACTTTGATGTTACCAAAAACCCCCAAGATTTATCACCAATCGAAAAAATTCTGCTGAAAAACATTTTTCCATTTAGTTGATCTCAGGATCTTCTTCCAGACTGATCCCGAGAGTTTCCTTGATTTTCCTTAAAACAGGAGCTTTCAGGATCTTCTTCTAGAAATTAAGAGATATTTTCGGTCATTTCTCAGAAAATTATGCCCTCGATGAAATGACCTTTCCAGTTAGCTTTCTGATTCCAATTGGTCCCCTGGAAACTAAGAAAACTCCAAATAAGCATCGGAACCAGTTTGAGTGATTCTTGACGCCGAAACAGCTTGAATTCCGGAGATTTTCCATTCTCTCATTTCGAGAAAAGGATCATTTTTCCAAAATCGACGTCAAATGCAACATTTTGACGTCAAACGGCGATTTCTTGTCATGTTTCTCACGTCACTCGTAGCACAGCTGGGCCAACCGTTGATTCACGTGCCCGGAATTCGTTAGTCACCGCAAAACTCAACAAACAGAACCAACCGACGTCGTTTTTTTTGCAGCGGCGTCGAGAATGTGGCGCCGTACAACAATGGTTGAACGAATTTCGCGTGGGAGTCTTTTTTTGAGGATTTTTGATGCTGAGGTCTGGTCAAGGACTCGTGACTAACTCCTGAACACTTCAATCTTTCTCCAAAAAAAAATTTCACATTTTTGTCAATTTTTCCGGAATTTGAAGGCGAGATGGGTAGACCGGCAGAGTGGAGCATTGCGTACGCGACGCGGCTTCATGGCGGGAAACTCGGGTTCAAACACAGTCATGGAAAAAAGAGGAAAAAATAGGTTTTTAAAAAAAAGTTGTGTTCATACTTCCATTCGTTCAACTAATCTTTTTCAAAATCATTAAAATTAAAATTTACTGGGAAACGATCAAAAAAGGGGAAAAAGATTCAAAAAAGTGGCTCGAGTTCGACCTCGAACTTCCCGCCGAAAGCCGCGTCGCGTACGCAACGCGTCCCTATTGCCATCTAACCATCTCGCCTTTCAATTCCGGAAGAATTGACTAAAATAATTCGTCGGATATGGTTGTGCTGAATACCGCTATTTCAAGATCTGAACGATTATAAATTTCTCTTTTTTCGTTTTTCGTAAGAGAGAATTCAAGAAATATAGTCCGTGTGCCACGACTTGAAATTTCACCGAACGACATTCCGCTGTTCCGCTGCGTGTCTTCGCCAAGCGTTTTTCGAATCTAGTTCACGCTTTCAATTTATTGTTATTGCTGTGGCAGCACATGAAAGTACAGTACCTTAATGAAAGAAAAAAAAAGTTAAAAGCGCGACCAAGGTTCGCAAAGACGCGCAGCGGCACAGCGGAATGTCGTTCCGTGAGATTTCACGTCGTGGCACACAGACTATATATGGGATTTTGGATGAAAAACCTGAAGTCAAACTCACAAGATTTCTCAGATGAGTAATCGAGCCAATTCTATATATAAAGCGTCTTTGAATATCGTCACAGCCAATACTGTGAACTCCTGCGTAAATCCCCTTCTTAAAACATATTTCCTCCGAAAAACCTGAATTCAAAATACGTATCGCCTTATTGGATGACCTCCGTGCGTGCTGGCACGTTCCCAAGATTCGCCAACTGATTTTCGGTTGTCCAAAAAGGCGACGGGTGGTGCCGCCAGACCAGACGACAGTGAAACAGTTATCTGACCGTGGAATCGTGTCTTTTGCGAAGACTCGAGCGGAAAATCGTTCTAATTGTCTTAATTCCTCATTGGGGCCAGCTTTTTTTTGCCAATTTTAAATCAAGCACGAATCGGAATGAAGGAGATTTTGAAAGATAGATATAATTCATTCGAATTAGCTATAAAAAACAGCTTTCTTACGAAAAGCTTCCAATAAACAATGGTATGCGAGAAACAGAATGTTCAAAGATTAAAGAACGTGAGAAAAACGAACAAATTTTGAAAATGAGACTACTGTATGTAAAGTCCGTGCAAGCATCCTGTACACGAAAAACACCAAACCTTACGACACCTGTTCAATAATTTCACGCGCTATCTTTTTTTTTCTTGGTTTTTATACTACATTCTAAATTTTACACCTTTTTCATGTTTTAAGCAAAACTTTTGTTAATTTCAAACTTTTGGAATATATGCACATATTTTTAATATGTCTATTCTCGTCGTTTTTTCCTTTCTTTTTTATTTTTCCGTGGTCCTCATTTTTTTTTCACAGAGACACGGATTTACAACGTCTACAATAATGATACCGATCCGGCGACGCGAATCGATGCTTCAGATGACGCTTATTAGTCCAAGTCGGTCTTCTCCAAACTTTTTTTTCCCGCGATTAAATTTTTAAAATATTCAAACAAGATGTGAAAAGGAAGCAAAATAGCCTTTCGAAATCAGCTGAAAAATCGATGGTTGCAAGAATTTTTAGAACCGATGTTTGCGCCGTTCCCCTTTTTTTTTACCTGTTTTTCAAAATAACAACTTTCTCGATCTCTTAATTCATGACGAACTGAACACTTTTTTCTGTATTTTGCACCTGTGAAACATTGGATAACAACCTGAATAGACAAAACAAAAACTTTTTTGTCGTTCAATGACCGCGTTCTGTTGATTTTGATAGTGTTATCGGAGTGAAGTGGGGTTTTTTGATTGGGGAGGAAGTAGGTGAATGAATGAGCTATTTTTATTTGAAGGAAAAAATAGGGCAAAAAGTTTTTGACTATAGTTTTTTATTCAAGATTCGATATTGGCTTGAATACTTGAAAGGAAGATTCACAGTAACTTTGAAAGTTTTGTGGAGTTTGTTGAATATTTTGAGCTTTTTCGGGCCTAGAAAAAGTCATATGAATTTCTTAAATTTTTTCTTAACGAAGAAAAATGAGCTTTTCGATTTTAAATAGAAGGGAACTGGCAAAAGACTAAAAAAAAGATGTAAAATAGAAAATTTTACAGAATTCATTCTCGAAAGCTTAATATAGCCGTGATATCAAGTTGCATCTTGAAGGATGAAGGTATTAGATCACCAGATATTTCGATCGATTCAAAAACTTTGAGCCGTCTATTTAGAATACTTTTTATCGGAACGGAATTTTATCTCCAATCCCAACTGAAAGAGCTTTTCTAAATGCTGCAAGATCAACCTGATCCCTCCTTTGAACGTCTTTAGAAGATCACAAAGATTTCTTTCGTGTAGTAATCACGTCAGAAAACCGAGCTTCGAAGACTGATAGCCGTTATTTTCGTGTACCTGACAACACGGAAGTTACTCGGTTTCCCGGGAACGATCAAGAATTCCAACGACAATTGCCAACTATCAAAAGCGCGCTTCTGCAAAACAGCGAACAGCCGCCAGCGCCCGGTGGAACTCCCGGCCAATCAAAACAATCACTTCGATGACGTCAATTGTCCAGAATGTTCTGGCAAGTTCAAGGAATGTTGGGTCGGCTCACGTGGCTGAAATATACTCTTTTTTTTCGAAGACTTTAACCGCCTTTGCAGTTTTGATGCATGAAAATCGCGAAGCGGCAGTTCAAATATTAAAAAATATCAAAGTCTGATCCTTTTATTTTTGAGAACCTGCATTGAGAAAAATTAGGTGAAAATGAGTTTTTAATTCGGAAAATTACAGAAATCTTTGCGCCCGATATACAAATTTTAAGAATTTTTTCTCATTGAATTTACATTGAAAACTTGATCAGTACTCCCACAGAATTTCTATACAGAAAGTGCAAAAAAAAGCTCTCTAAGCTTCTTAGAATTTTCTAGCTGATCGATATGATTTTTGCGCAATACAACGAGTTAAAATTCTCAAAGGCTTTATGTAGAGCCTCGATTAAAGTCGTTGCGAGACCTTTTTCTGAACTCAACCTAATATTTTAGAAAAAAGACAATATTTTTTGTGCAGAACGTACTCCCAGGTGCGGCTTACTTTCATATTTCTTCGCTCGATACGCAAAATTGAGGATAAGGAATTTTTTTCTCATTTTGTTACCGAAAATCTTTGGAAACTGAACTAGCAAAAATATTGTGATCAACAAAACAACTTTTCCCAAGTAACAATAGCGTTGTAACAGTTCTATGGTTCCTTTGAAAATTTATGGAGGAGGAAGTCCAAAGAACTCCTAACGATTTTCGATCCTTCTCCTAGCATTCCAGAAAAATAGGAGAGAAAAAAATAGTTAGCAAACACATAAAATCCAGGACTGACGGCAGTCTTTTTGTTTTCTGGCCAATGTTTCGCTGGACTTTCAGTTGACAAGGTTCTGGTCACTATTTTGTGTGATCAGTCGATTAAAAATCACCTTTTTTCTGCAAGAAATTCGTTTGTTTTCGTAGGGAACCAACTTTCTATTGATCAAAATATAGTCTTTTGGGGAGAAGTAGGAATATCTATAGTCAGGAAGTGAAAAAAAAAGCTGGTAGAATTTTTTTCTTTATGTGAAAAGGATCAAATGAAAAGTGGAAAAAAAATGAATTTTGAAAAAAATTTTGATGAAAAGTTAGATGTAAAATAACTATTGAACTTTCCAACTATCAACAGAATTTCTCAGTTATTTTATTATTTTTAGAAGCTTTTCTACATTTAGAAAAAAAAGACAAAGAAATTTTTTTCGGATTCATTTAAACGTCTCGAATTTTAATTTTTTTTTATTTTCCTGGAGTTGCAATTATCAAAGAACGACTGATTTCACGTGAAAACAGATCGAACCAATTTTCCCTCGATGAGTCGAAGGATGAGAAGCGTTTCTGATTTTCCTGAGACCAAGAAACAAAAAAAAAGTGGTTCCCAAACTTTTCTTTTGTTTCTTTTCCTTCAAAAAATTTTTTTTGGCAATTTTCTGACTCACCATGAATGGAAACGTCCTGTAAATGCCCTTTCGAGTCAATTTTTTCCCCACTTTTTTTCTCTCGTTTTTAACTTTGTTACGTCGAGTTTGCGGGAAATTTTCTGCTCGTAGAGTCGTGAGAGAAGACGAAACTTGAACGATCACTGAACTATCACTCTTGTCTGTCCGTTTTGGAAGCATTTTTCTCGTTTTAGAAACGGAAAGGGCCCCCCGACAAATGCGATTGCTTCTGACGTTTTGTAAGCGTACATGGCGTGCGGAAAGTCTATTGATATATTCTGTACGAATTCCTCTCTTACGTCCTTTTTCATGTTTCTGGTTATGTTTTGAGTTGTGCGACTTGAGGTTTGTGGCGCTTTTGAAGTAATTAAAAAGGTTACCGGTATTCAAATACCCTCTAGTGACCACTCTGATGATTTTTGTCCTTTTTTTCAATTTTCCAGCGGTTTTTTCCTTCTCGCTCCCTAATTAAGCGATTTGAAAAAGGTCGTTCTTTCTCTAAATTCTTTAAACTGATCCAATCAACTATTTTTGCCCTTGAATTCGAAAATAAAGTCTAGGGTGACTCACTCTTCCTCCCTAAAAATTAACGAAATTAAAATACAATTTTGTATTTTTTTCAAAAGATTCAGGGGAAGTTTTTAAGTATGATAACGTATTTTAAAGTCGTGGAATTCTTTTTTATGAGCTATCGTTCGTGAGAATAGCGTAGGAAGTTTCCTTGTGTCTTATTTTGTTATAGTAAAGTTTTGGTGAGAGGAAAAGTGATTAGTAATATCAATCAACCACAAACTAATGCCGCAAAACAAAAATTATCTTTGATTTTCCAAATTTTAGATTTTTTTTCACGATGTTTTGCGGAATTACTTTGAGCACACAAGCGAAGCGGGAGTTTGACGGGCCAAAAACGGTTTCGTAGCTTCATAAAGCACTAGAGAAGCTGAGAAGTCTTCAGTCTGATTTTTACATCAACCGCAACGCGACCGCTACGTCTTGAGTCATTCCATTTCCGGTTCTCAATAGTGGCCATAGAGTTTTTCGAATTCGAACTAATTTTCAACAAAAATATATTTTGTACCTTTTCGGTTCTATCAGAAAAATGACGCTACTGTATCAAAAAAAGTGATCTGGAAAAATTTTGTTAGGGTAAGGAAGAATTTTAATAAAAACAGTCTCAGATCTCCGTTCCTAGCTAATATTTCATAGAGGTGCCTTCAGAGTAACGTTGTTTCTAGTAAGTTTTCCGATGAACTGTACCCGTTTCCGAAAAGAAGGTTGGCATTCTTTGTTTCTCTTCCTAGCTACTCTGTTATAAATGGGTTCTCCTTGGAGCTGTTGCATCAAGGAAGTGTTCCAAAGAACTGTACCGAGTGATTTCTGGTCTCCCTCCGCTTCCAGAAGACGTCGTTGTAAAGCGATTGATCACGCGTCGTCGCAACTTCTTCTTCTTCTTCTTCTACTCGCTGTGTAGTGTGTTATTTGTTTTTGGGGTTTTCGAAGACGGTCGGTTGGTTTTTGAAGCTGCGACCTCGTCCGACAGTCGTTTTGTACTATCTATCGGCTGACGACGTTGGAATGCGAACGAGGAAGTTTGGCGAATGTTTCGTTCCGCGCGCTGATATCACTGATTCGGCTGATTGGGACGAGTCATTCTTCTACTGTACATCTTTTGACCTTTTTTTTTCCTGGTTTTGATGTTCTGGGTGATTAATTCAAGGTCCTTGGGACGCGTGCCGATTTTTGAACTTTTTTTGTTGTAAGTTTCCGGTCTTGGAGTTTTTTTGGATGATGGACGATTGAAGTACTTGAGAAGGGGAACAGTTGTGGGAAGTTGAAAAAAAGGGATCACGGTGATCGGAATCTAGAGCTTCGAGAAAATTAGTGGAAGATGGAAGAGTAATAGATTCAGAACTATGTGATTGAAGGAAGCATTTCGAGTTTTAGAATGGCCTTTTTCAGACAAGAAGGGAAAATAAGCTTTTATTGAAAGTTCTTTGAAAATTGGCCAGAGAACTTGATGAAGATCTCAGAAGTCTATTTGTACAATCCTAAGTTTTGAGAAAGATGAAGTCTGCGGATGGCTTATTTTAACGGTTCTTGATTCCCTTCAACCAAATAGTGTTTTTTTCCCGAACACTAGGGAGTTTTGCTAGATGAGACTTTTGGGACCTCGATGAGGCTCAGCAAGAAGTTTATGGCCGATTTTCAGAATTTTCTCTACCGCAGTATAAAATGACCGTTCTTGTGAGAACTTCTTTCTCAGAAGAGCATTCTTTCATATGAGTTTTGAGCCTGTCTTTTCACAAGGGAAGTTCTAAAAGACCTCAAGTAGCTCTACACATGTTTCTGACTGTCTAGAAGGAGTAGCTCTTCGCATTAAGCGTTGATGACAGCGCTCTTCTCAAACAAGTTGTTCCGGCCATCGGCGGCCAACCTGAACTAATCCGCTTCATCCCTACCGTTTTCTAGAGATCGTACCTGCGTTGTTGACCAATTGGTCCCCTCTCTCTAGTGTCCTCGGCGGCGTTGGCCCAACGCCAAACCGCACGACGATTCGGCTCGTCGATCTTTGTAATCTCCTCGTATCCGTCATATTCGCGTTCTTTTGCACCGAAGCAAATGAGAGTTTTGGCGCAGTGCCCGGACAACTGTCGCCCTCCGGAAGGCTCTCGTTTCACTCGGAGCAGTTGGAGGACGCCTGAGAGCGGCTTCCGATAACACAAAACTCTAATGACCTCCATTACCTGTTTTAAAGGCTATCAACTCGGAAATTCCGTGAACAAACACAGCGGCAACTCGCTTTTGTTCTTTTTTATCGGTGCTTCTGGGTTTTAGTAGCACTTAGAAATGAAGAAGAAGAATGATTCTTGAAAAGCATTTCGAAAGAAATTGAGAGGACTGGAACCTCACAGCTAGATGGGAAGACGTTTCGATAAAGCGCATCATAGAAACTGCATGGAAATTCGGAATTTCTTGATTCACGAGAAACTGGCATAATATCAGAAAAATCTTTGAAGCCTGAAATTTTTTGGCGCAATAATTTGATATGATCAAAAAGTTGTGAGAATTCTAGAGTTTTAGAGTTTCTATTAATTAATTGCATATAGCCATATGATGTAGAGTTTATGAGGTTTCTAAAATACCTCTTGAAGATTTTTCGAACAGATTAATATAAATTTCGAGAAACTTCAAACATATTTTCAATTTGGAATAAAAAAAAAGAAAATTGCGATTTTAATTTTGTAGGTCGTATTTGCCTCAAAATTCTCGTCTCACATGTTTCCTTTCACGTGTTCAGTTGGCCCAATGATTTTCAAAGGAAATACTAATTTTCGAGAAAAAATCAGAACTCTGGATCAACCGTCTCCCATATCAAATACCAAAGCGATTCCGATCTGAAGCAGAATTTTCTGTCACTTTGAACATTCCTCAACTCTTCTGGAAGCGCTTTCGAGAGAAAGAGCCAACGTGTGGGCAAAGCCACTATCCGGCCTTGATTTATTATCTGTTGGGAGGGAGAACATCAACTGCGGCGTTCTTGGAATGCTTTGTTTCCCACCGTAAGGTGTTTTTCGCGCAATTTATGGCTGATAATAAAAGACTTGGTGGAGGTCTGACTTTCTCACCTCGTCCCCCAGCCGGAGTTGCTTGCTGTGATATTTTTTATGGGCCTACGTTCGCAAAATAGTTTCTTTGATGGGAACCTCTGAACTTTGCAGTCCAAGGAAAAAAAAAGAAGAGAAACTGCGTAAAGATGTTTCCAAAACGGCTCTTGTCATTCGTTTCCAACGTGATTTGAACCGATTGTTTTCGGTTTTTTCTGCAGAACTTCCTTCAAAAACTGACTGCAAAACAAAAGTCTTTTTGTTGGCCTCCCACTTGGAATTAGCAGTTAATTTTATTCCAGACGTCAAAAAAGGTGTTGATTCATTTTGAATTGGGGCCAATTCCAAAATTGGGAATTTTGTATTTAAAGGTCATTTTTGGGAGTAAGATGAGGAATGTCTGGGCCGCTTCGGACTTACTTTTTTCAAGGAAATCCCCACCCTTTACCTTTGTTTTTGAAGTATTTGTTGATGAAACGATGAAGCTTGATTCAAAATTGCAGACTCGCTCGGAAAAGCTGATGCCCAAAATTTTATACTGATCCAATTTTTTGCGTTTTAAGCTTACTTTCTCTAGAATTTAACGAACTTTGCAGTTTTCTCTAAAATGGTCTACAAGTTTCTGTAGAAATTTCAGAATAGGCGTGAAAATTCAGAAAGCTCGGCTTTCTCTGAAGGCCTTTTCTAAATTTCGAATCAATTTCAAGCCAATGAATTCTCAAGTATTTTCTAATTTTTTTATAATCTCAAAGTTTCAAGTTTGAGTTGTTCTGCTTTCCAGTATCATATACACAATCTTCACCTTTTTGTGATTTTTTTTACGGAGGTACTTTTTTTTCATGGATTCTTTCTGAAATTTAGTATAATAAGGATGTTTTCAGTCAAATATTTTCAGTCAAAACTTCGAAATTTTGATTTCTCTCGATTTGACCAGTCAGACAGACAGAGAAACTTTGAAAAGTTCTACCTGAGTTTTTCAACTTTTTCCTTCACCTCAAGTTCAAAAGTCAAGTCCCTGCCCCTTCAGATTCCTTGTCCGAAACAGCAAGAGTTTAGTCGGACACACTGAGACAGAGCAACTTTTTGCTCTGGCTACTTGAAAGCCATGCGCTTCCTCTTCATTCCGAACGGAATGTGTTTGTACAAGCTGCATGTTTGTAGAGAGACCATGTCGGTTGCGCCTTTTGTCTGTTGCCGAACCGAGGCTACCGTTTCTGTCTGTCGTCGTCTTCTTCTTCTTCTCCGAGATCCCCCGTCGTGGAAGGGATTTAGGTGATATGGTGTTTGTCCAACTCACGTGTGTGCGTCAGGATCATATTTTTGGGGACAAATGAGAAGCGACAGGGGATCTCCTCGCCAGGTTGGCGAGTCGCCAAGTGGCGCGGTTGTCAGACGACACTTTAGTCATCCTCCCTCTCCCTTCGCATTTTGACTGTTTCGAGTGCGGCCCCCCATCACATCGTAGTTTGTCAAGTGCGCTCTAGGGACGATGTTGGCAAATCTTGCTGCACACAGTCTTGTGTCTCTTTTTGAGTTGTGTGATTTGATGAGCCAGGTCGCCTGAGGCTAGCTTTCTTTCAACGAGAACGTTTTTTCGGAAAAAAAAAGTTGCTGAATGATAAGAAAATTGACTTTTCGACTACCATAAATAATTATGCGGAATTCGATGGTCTAAAGGATTGATCATCTTGATTAGATTTTTTTTTACGGTCATTCGCCTGATGCCCCAATAAGGGCGTTTCGACGTGCTCAGCTTTGAAGATAATAGATCAAGAGCTTACAGACGCTAGAATCTTGATTGGAGCCCCGGAAGTAAAGCTGACAGACAGTGGGAAGAAAAATAACCTATCCTTGAAGCTTAGAATAAATCACAAAACTCAGCCGAAAATTCCAAGAAAACCTGCTGGAATTTGAGTCTTTGAGGACTGTTTCTTTGGTCGATCTAGTGGTCTCCCGGGAGGTCTGTTATTCTTTCTTCCGTCGGTCACTTAAGGTAGCACCGATTTCCGGACGCCGTGACCTTTGACTCCCGTGTTGGCGGAATGGATTTGTCTCTTCTGGAATGTTTGCCGAGCTAGCGAATATAGCCTATATCTGACGTACATGTCGCCTTTTTACATGAGATTTCCCGTTTTTGCGTAGGCGGTAGAATAAACTGCGAAAATATTTGAGCTGTTTGAAAAAAATCGTTTCAGATTTTGAGGAGAGACCTTTTCTGATGTAGAAAACAAAGTATTTTTTTTTATATAAAAGCCGGATTCGACTTGAGAAGCTTCGACTTCATGTGGATTTACTTATACACTTAACTGCTGTATTAGACCATTATGAAGCAGCATCCGACAAAAAACGGTTTTCGCCCCGGCGTATGAGCTCTTAGAATAGATCAATATGTTTTCTCATTTGGCTTGAACCGCAGCGCGAACGCAATGCATTGAGCCATTCCAAATGCGCGATTTTCAGCTTGTTGCAAAAGTCGTATACCTGGCATTTTTCTTCATAGTTTGGTCTGAAACATTCCACCTTTTGTCTTTTGGAGAATTGTGGAAATTTCGATTCGTCATTTGGACGTTCTTTATACCCAAATTGTTTTTTTTTTCGCAATCTTTCTTCCACATGAATACTTCAAAACGATGAGCTCATATATTTGCTTCTTGCGTTTTTTCTGCTCCAACGCTAATGAGAATGATGTCATCAACCGAAATAACCGTGGATGACGTGTTCGCGTGTTTCTGCTTCATCCTTTTCTGTTCTTCTCTGTTTTTCAGAGAGTTGGCCTTTTGCCCACTATCTTTTTTTTCTTCCTGCAATTGGAATGCCGTCCCGAAAATGTCATTAAGAGGAAGATTGCGCCGTGACGTGTGTGTTGCTCATGTTAGGTGTTTCGAAAGATGGAAGAAAAGGAAGGAAATGGTTCGAATTTTTCGCTTTGAAATTAAGCTAGAAGAAGTATAGAAATAATAAGATGATACAAAAAGTCTATAACTAAAGAAAAAAACAAATTCATGAAGATCAAAACTTCGTCTTTTTTTTTTTTGAAAGAATCGTTTTGAATATATTTTTGAAGTTTTCCTTTTTAAGAAGTGAGTTTTTCAAGCCTGGAAAATTCCTACTTGGAAAAAAAATGTAGAGATTTCTTTTCAGTATACATGAGTCTATCTACACATCTAAATAGAAATGTTATAATTTTCAGGTTTTCTTCCAAAAATAATAATCCCCCCACATCGTTCCTGAGTTCCTCCATTTATCCATTCATCCTTTCAGTCAAACAAGTACATTTTTTCCACAAATTCCGTTCTCATTCGGGATAGACTTCCTCGTCGTATCCCTTTGAATTGTTCGGCGGCAGTACATCTGCTTCCCTAAAAGGATATGTTTGATCAGCTTCGGGCGTTTTCTCTTCCGAAATACAATGTCAAGTGGGAAATCCACCATTGAGCCCCACGTGAGGAGCGTCATCCGTGTGTTTATTCGACGCTTCTGGAAATGGCGCCGTCCTGTGACCTTTTTCGATGATGCTCTTTTTGCTCGAAATGCCATTTTTCGAAGCGTCGAGTGGTGGCTCGTGTTGCGATGTTGTTTGCCATTGGGTGAAGAAATAGCTGGAGACTTTAATTGCGAAAAGGAACAGTATGAGTGGACTTCAAAAATAGCCGTTGTGGAAATGTCGCTCTGTTGATCAAAGTAAGATGTTGCATTTTCCCTATACTCGGACTTTGGTAAGGAAAATTGGACGCTCTTGGGACGCTTCTGAGCAATTCTAGAGAACGCTTAAGCTCTGACGCTACTTAAGAGGTCACTAGAAATACTCCGACGAGTCCAGGGTGCTTCTGGTTCGCGTTACAAAGCCCCGACTAGTCTTCTCGAAAATAATTGCTGTGATTTTTTAGAAGATCATATACAATTTTCTCAGATTTTTTAAGCAAAAGGCCGTTTTCAGTTCTGTATTAAGTCATCGAAGTTTTTAGCGTCTTTAAAGAAGCTAGACTTGATGAGAACCTTTCGTCATTATGACGCTGGCTCCTCAATTAAATTTAATCCAAGTTTTTGAAAGGATTGAATGGTCGCGATGATGTTTGCTCTAGAATGGGGAAACAGCTGAAAGATGACGTTAATTACGAAATTAAGGACAGCCAAAGTTGCGCTAAAGCTCGAATTTTTTCAACTGAAGTCTCGGAGCTCAATCTCCAGGTAAAGTGATAAACTTAAAATTTTTTTTCCCTGTAGAAATTTGACTAATAAAAATGCAGAATATTTTCTTAAATCCCCAAGAGCATGCTTTTTAGACTTTGAAATGAGAAAACAACAACAATCTTTCTGGAACGGCCTAGATGTTATCAGCGAGTGATAAGCAAGTGATGGCCGGGATCTCCATTTGTTTTGGGCAGCTGGAAGTCGGAACATGACGAATGGCGGCGATCAGGCGGCAGTTAGCAACAGGAGTTCGGCTGGAAAGTCAGTCGAATGTCCAGCCGAAAACACGTCGTCCATCAGCAGCGTGTTTTGCGAGAAACCGTCTCTCTCCGCCTTGGAAACGTTCTTCAGCCTGTCTTTCACGGAGCTCTATCCTTTGTTTTCCTCTCTGATAACACCCCGTGTTTTCGGCTTGTCACGCTCCTCGAATTGTTATTTATAGGCGGAGAGCTGTCGGCATACGGTAGCCCCAGGCTTACCTTAACCGCCAGCAACAAACAAATGCAACTCGTATGGAGTCTGGTTGTTTGTTGTTTTGTAACGACTGAGAAACTATAAAGTGGTTACTTTATGGAGTGTGGTAGGGGCTCTTTTAGGCATCCCAATAGAGACTCTTACGCTTGCAGATAGGGAGTTGTAAAGCTTCAGGGTTTTAGTGGACCGCTCAGAAAGCGTTATAAGGACCACTAAAATGTTGGCCCTTGTTGGGACCGTGAAGTTTCTCCCGGATTGGTCCCTAGAACAACAAACGCCTATAGTGATCCCTCTGAAATTCCTCAGGTCTTTGCTTTTCAACGTGAATCGATGGAAACACAGTAAGAGCGTTTAGTTCGAAACTTTTCGTTAAGTAAAAAAACAACTTCCGTACCATGAAAAAAGGAGGAGTAGTAGGTTAATAGTAGGTTTATATTTTGAACAAACAAAAATGAAAAAGTTCTTTCAAGCCTAGCTGAGAACAATTTTTTATGGAGAGTTATCACAAATTTAGCAAATTGTGTGGAAAAAAAATATTTATAAGTCTTTTCCCTTTTCATGTGAACTTTAACAAAGGTAAAATGTCATTTTAGTTGCTCTTAAATAATTTTTAAAAAAATTTTCGAGGCAGAGACCAGACTTAAAGTTTAAATCCGTAATTATCTTGTCCGGTTTCCCGGAAGCTCAAATTTCCTCGACTATAGTTTTCGAAGCTCAATTTCAATGTGTCAACTGAGCAATAAATTTATTATTTTTGCCTTTATCAATGTTAGAAGGGTGCTGCAGCTTTTCTTAGGTTTTTTGAAACTTTTTTTTGAAATTATAACTTTAAAGCTGTAGTTAAAAAAAATTGATATCATACTTTTTTACGAAGTTTTTGATTTTCCCAGGTAGTCTTGCGAAAAGCAGTGAAATTTCCTATCAGCTGAGCTTAAGGAATTCTGTAAATAATTATTTAGGTCGAAACCCCTTATCGAGCGTTAGGCTTACAAGAACATTTATCAATTTAATCTTCAAAATCATCGAAAAGCCGCTCTCTTGAGGCTTTTTTGTCCGTTCACCGGAAGGAGTTTTTTCGAATCGAACAAATCGTCCCCATTTCCTGCGTTCGCTCGCGTTTGGAGTTGTAGGAACGCGGCTGTCAGCGGCGCTTCTTCTTCTTCTTCTTTTCTTCTTTTTCTTCCTATTATTCACGGCCACGGTAAACGGCGGCATTTTTGTTTCTTTGCAAGTCTTCCTTGTTTTTGCGGGAATCTCGCTCAATGAATTTCCCGTGTCCACGTACGTCGACGGTCGTGATGAATGACCCTCGGTGGTCGAAAATTCAAGAGAAACTGAAACGAACGCGAATTTCGCTTTTTCCTGCAAGCTCTGGCCGGCCCCGCCCCTTCCGGTGTACTGTGACTTCTGAGTTATTCCCAATGGCTTTAGCTGCGCTGTAAATAACGGTACTGCGAGTGATAAAGCTTCTGCGAACGCAGAGAACTTTCAGAAGGCGGAAAAAGAAGATAAATTCCTGGTTTTCGCTTACTGACTTATCTTAATCTTTCTTTATCCGGACCAGAGCGGTTCAGGAGGTTGAACCAATATTAAAACGCTTGAAAACCAAAAACCTCGGGAAAAATTTAATTTGAGATAAAGGTCCGCTTTTAGATAGGCGCCTTGCTACTTGGGACATCAGAAATCTCAACAAATTTCCAAATTTTGATAAAAGGTTCGCTTTTTAGTGAATGGTGAGCTGCATGTTGATCAGTTCGAGTCCTTAACTCACCAGAGAACTACAAGAAATCCTTTAAAATTGCTATTTTTTTCAAAAAAATGGTTTTTGATAACGTTTTTTTTTGTTCAAAGTAACGTAGGGCGATCAAGCCGGATTCCTGTTTGAACCCGTTTTTAATCGAAACTGGAAAGCGAATTCAATTAAGGATTTTTGTGAATCATCTAGAAAATCTATTTTATCTTTCAGAATCCTTTTTTCGGTTAAATTTTTGTATAGCGATGGCAGCTGGATACAGAACAGTTTTGAGCTAGTTTGAGGCGAAATTCAAAAAAGAATTTCACATTAAATAAATAGTTTATTTGCCAAAGCCTTGTGATCGTTTGAAACAAAACTACTCTTGCATACGAAATTAAATAGGTTATGTGAAACATATTTTGAACTGGTTGGTAAAAATTTTATTGAGTCGGATAAGGCTTTCGCTGACATGAAAAAAAGAATTTTTTTCAAAAATTAAAAATTAAAAAAATCTCATTTTTTTAAAAAGAATTAATATAGATAATATTTCAGCTGTAACCAACACAGTAATTTTCTCTCGAAGTGAAACAACTCGGACATTTTGTCTGAACCGACGGAAGTCCCAATTCTTTCTGTGATGAAATGTTGTTTACTGGCCAAAATCTCACCGTAGACCGACTAAGTCGGATTTGGAACAGTTTTGGACAAGTGCCAAAGCGGATCATCAGCGGCGCCTCACAACATCCGCTGATCCCCTCCATAATAATATTCCCCATCGAATCTGGCTCCAGGCTTTTTCCCCAATTTCTCTCTGCAAGCAGTGTTCCTTCGTGGTCGGCTAGAGGGCAGGAAAAAAATGTTGCGAACGTTTGTTTTGTTAGGACGTAATCGGAGACAGCAGAGCTCTCTCTCTCCAGCAATGGACCCTCGATTTTTTTGCACTTTTATCCGCTGCAGTTCCCATTTTTGGACGGGGTTCGATTTCATGACTCGGAGTGGAGAATATTACTTTTTTTCCCAGTAGTTTCCCCCGAAAAACAAGCCGAATTCGAGTAAAATGCCCTTTTGTTCCGGCTCGTCAACTATAATTATGTGCTCCCGTGCCGGTTTATGTCTATAGTTTGCCGCGAGATGCTCATTTTCCGGTGGTCGTAAAATGAATGGGTTAGGTGGGTGGTTAGTGGTGAGTAGATTCGGAAGATGTACTTTGATTATGCGGCTTTTGACGTATTGAGATGAAGACGTTGCGGCCGCCGGATCCGCGCAATCGACGTCCGTCATCTCTCATTTGACATTTGTCAACTTCTTTTGGGTTATCCACTAATCCCATCTCGACGGTCTGGTGCCCTATTCCTTTTTTCGACGTGCCGCTGGTTGGATCCGGTTTGCGGGAGTCTTGTTTTTGATGTCGACTCGGCTTTTTTGAATCGGAAGCTTGGCACTTTTCTACAGTTGGAAGTAGGGATCTCAAAGCTGGAGGGAGATTTTTTCTATTCTAGAAGAGTATGGATGATTATTGGATATTCTAGACGGTTTTTTTCCGAGAAGAGCTCTTAAGGTACGTAGTTGACATTCCTATATGGCGTTGTCGCTCGGTTAGAAGACGAAAACTGGAATTCCGAGCTTTTAAAGGTTTTGGATTTGATTCCTAAATGAAATTAGACATCTCTTAGATTGTTCATAATGGAAAGGTAAAATTTAAGAATTTTTTTTTGAACTTCGGAAAATGACACAAATTGAAGCATTATGATAGTACCTAAAAAATTCAAAAACTTCGCAAAGTTTATCAATCATTTTTCCGCCTAAAAATCTTTTCGATCCTGAAGTGTATACTTCATTTTTTGTCACTCGAAGCTTCTTGTGACAGTTGGCGTCGCGACCTGCGCGGTAACTTCTTTCGGCGATTGGAACGAAGATCGAAAATCAGCTGCTGCCGTGCAGTGTAATTATACGAAAGAAGGGAAAAGCCACGATGTTGCACTTTTTTTCTTTTTGAGACATGCTAGGTTAGGTTTTGCGCACCGAGGGCGAGCAAATATGCTCGACGGCGACCAGTATAAGTGTTTTCGCGCCCTTCTCAATGATTTGCCTCGATCCGCTGGATTATGAGCTGATGCGCTTGGAATGCAGTCGTTTGTTCCGATTGCCACTTGAGAATGGCTAATGAGGACAAGCTTGGTGGGTCAGAGAGGTTAGGTTTGCCGTTTCGATGGGGTTGGAGGTCCGGTTTTTTGATCTCGGTCAGAAAAATTCTTTTTGGTCCGGAGTTTCCTGAAAATCACAGAAAACTTCTTGATGTACCAGATGAATATTCTAAAAACTTCAACCAGTAAATGTTTCTTGTTTTTGAGAGAGGACACCTCTAAGTTGAAGAAAACCCGCAAATTTCATTGGAATAAGCTTTCTGCAGAATTTGAAAAGTTTTTCTCAAGTTTTCGAAGAAATCCTCGAGTTTTTCTTCATTTTTGGTGTATGGGAAGAATTCTTAACGAAAAAAAAGTCTAATCTTCCCTCTCAAAGCTTTTTCATCGGTACTGTGATCCTCATCCAGAAACAATTTCACAGAAAAGGCCAAGTCAGTCGGCTCTTCTCAAAAGAGCAACCTTTCCCTTGTCATTGTCATTCTCATCAATTGGTGACTGGTCTCTTACGGATCTAAGCCGATCCAGCGGCGCAATCCTTGTCCAACCGAGCGGCCGATTATCAATCACGCCGAAGTTTGGCACAAGATGAGGTCGCCCTTGGACTCGTGTGCCCTTTGTTGGCGTGGAGATGGTATCAGCGACTGGCGGCCCTCTGATAGGACCGACGGCGTCTGTCAAGTCATTAATATTCGTTATGATTGTCTCAGGTGTCTCGGCTGTTGTTCAACCTGAGGCTGTTTGCTGAAGAAAATAATCGTTTCCGTGTCATTAGTCTAGCGGCTTTCTCCGCTTGTTTCAACAAGAAGTGAGCTTCTTGAGAAAATTATTTTGGTACTTAGGTAGAGACTTAAAGAGTTTTAATAAGCTTTGGTTAAATAATTTTTTGTTCCAAGGACTTTTTGTGAAAGCTATAACAGATGCCCAATCATATAAGGCGTCAACCTTCTACTTTGGAGCTTGAAATTGATCATTTCACTTCAAAACGAAAGAAAGGCGTGTTCAACCATTCAGAGGCGTTGTTCGTTGGGGCGCACTTCAGAACCTTACCAAGCTGTGAAAAACTGCGCTTTTTTTAAAATTCGAACGTTTCTATAAGAATGGAAAGCTTTTTTCTGGTTGGGAGTCGAGCCTTCGACTGTTGGACGTTAGAAATCAGCTTCGCCAGCTGCTTCGTCGCCTATTTTCAAAGGATAACTTTTAAACGTTGAAATCTCAGAGATAAGTTAGGATTAACGACAGTCTTTTTTGAGTTCCTTCTATTGAGAGGGAAATATATAAATTACGCATGATTAAAGGGTAGACCTACTTCGAATTCAGAATAATTCACCTGGAAATCCACAAGGGAAATAAGTTTCAACCAGGAATTTAAAAATAATAAAATTCCATCTGTATACTTTGGCACCCTCAAAACACAATTTCGCAGCCCTCGAACTTTGTAAAAAGTGCAGAGTTAATTTGTCGAAAATTTTCAACTACAAGGCGCGTGATCGAATTTCACCTGTCTCTTTTTTTGGGGTTTTTAGTAGGCCTTTCGCCCACTTTTGTCTTTTTCGAATCACCTGTGGTCGTCACGTGGCCTTTTCTTTTTTTTTTTAGTCTTTTTAAACGTCTAGTTAGAAATATTGATTATAAAGTTGAAGTGTTCCAATGCGAAAAAAGACTAATTTCGACGTTTGATGAATTTTTTTTTGGTTTTATTGATAACATTTGATTCTCAGCAGTCACACTAGTATAAGAAAAAATTTTTAAAATCTTTTTCCCAATTCTGAATTACAAAGAAGACGTGAATGTAAAATAAAAATGGAAAACTCTGAATTTTTCATACTGTAGACGGATTTGTTCCTTGGTGTGTGCGTGTTCACAGACTAAACACTCCACTTTACGAGATTTTTTTGCGAAAAATTCGAAAAATTTCGAAAGCCCAAATGAATTTGACGGAAGTAGTTTAAAACAATATTTAAAAATATCTACAGAAACTGATACCTCAAGTAAGCGTCATTAAGTAAAATATGCGTGATGGGATCAACATTGCTCATATTAAAGAGCTTTTGACGAAAATTCGCGTAATTCGCGTTAGGATAAGCAAGTGACCGCTTGAGGGCTTTTCCCGGCGATTGTTGACTCTTTTTTGGCGGTTTAACAAAAGCGCCTGAAGCACCCCATCGTTTGCTGCTTCGTTTTTGTTGTTCCTGATGCTTTGTTTCTATTTTCAAGTCGTTTCGGATATTTTTAGAAGAATCGTGAAAAATATTGTAACGTTTTTTTTTTCTTTTTATCTCCGACCGAAATTGATGGATTTCCTTCTCGAAATGTCGTTTTGTTTTGTTACTCGATTTATGTTTCTTTTATTGCCTCTTTTTAGCTTTTTTCTTTTCTAGGCCTTCTTTATAAGCATCATTTTATTATTTTTGCAAAAAAACGGCATTAAAATTTTTATCACCGAAATCTCGCCACATTGAAAGTTTACAAGAAAAATGATCCCTTTGATCTTTTTAGACTTGTGGGGAATTTTTGTTTTATTTTGCGATTTTATTTTTAAAAAAAGGTAGTTTTTTCAGGTCAACTAACAACGACACGAAACGAAATGGAGCCTGAAAGTTCGCCAAGCGAAAATGTTGAAGAAAGTTTAGGTATGCGTTTTTTTATTTATGTTTTTCATTTTCTAATAGACATTGCAGATTATGTTTCGAGAAAAGGGGGATGTTGACAGGGAAATGTTGATAGAATTCAAAAAAAGAAATTTATAGTTTGGCTTCTGAAAATGGGTACGGGGGATAAAAGTTGAATTTTATTTCATTTTCTCATAGAGTTTAACGTCTAGAGGGTTAATTTCAGAGTGAAAGCCACAATTTTTGATTTTAAGCTACTTGGTAGCTCTATAATAATTATTTTTTGTCCTTTTTTTGAGGTTGAAAATGAAGGTGATATGGGTTTTTTTCAATATTTTCAAGTAGAGTAATAGAGAAAAGAGTTAGTTTTTTGCTCTTTTTTAGTGAGGACTCGAACTTGGACCGAGTGTTATCTATCTCACTGGCAGTACTGGGAAGTGCTTATCTTTCGTCGATTGATCTTTTGATCGCAAACTTTCTGGACGCTGTGCACGACACACTGTAGCCGTTGTGCTCCGCGGATGTTTTTCTGATCGGAGTCTGTAGAATTGACAAAATTTATTTAAGAAGTCGTTCCGTAGTCTCTAATAGAGATCTTCAAAAGATGTTTTGTACGTCAGTTTCTTTTTACTAGAAAAAGTCATTTTATCACTGTTTTTTTTTTCAAAAATTAAGCTCTTCTCGGTTTATTTCGATAATTCAACGATAGGGAGATGGTTTCTTATAACTAACTATGGACAGGAAATCAGGGAAAGTTTTGAAAATCTAATGAAATCTTTCAGGGTGTTCATAGTACTAATCCAAAAAAATCAACCAATTAAAAAATCGAAAAATTCTGAATCTGAGAACATGGGAGTATAGCTATCTTGATTAAAATGAAATTTTCATGAACTTGAGGATTTTCATGATTTTTAAAAATTGTTTACTTCTCTTCCTACTTAAATCGTAAAAGAATTTTTATTTTTGCGTATTATCCATGGAGCGCATTTGTGATAGATTTCTTGATTGATTAAGCTGGAAGTTTTGAGCTCTTTCTCTGTTGTTGTCCAAGCTCTAAATTATGTGCTGAATCGTTATAAACCCATAGAAAATCCCTTCTTTATGATGATGAATCAGCGTTTTTTGGTCAAAGTTGCACGTGGACGGCATTCCCGTGGTGCGGGGTATCCCTCCTTGGCGGAGTTATCTGCGGTGACCTCGGCTCGGCATATTTCTGGCTGAGTTTCTGAGGCTAGTTAGGGTCAGTGTGGATGGTATCGCGGCCTCCGCATCGATACTCCCGCTATCTGTTCCTGCCATCGTAAATATGTGGCGTGGCGCCAGCGAAAGTTGTCATCTTCAAAGAATGAACGGAGAGAGAAAGAAGAGCACTCGACTGACTTTGCAGGAACTTATCGTTTCATTGGTAAAATTATGGTTAGATGGAGGGAAATTTGGGGTTTTTAAAACAGCTTTCGGAGCTTCAAAGATGGAATTTCGGAACGGTCGAAAATTCTGAAAAAAATTTTAATAATTGTAAGCTGAAGAGTTTTCGCTATCGACCATCTTTCAAGGATTCGGCTATTTTTTTGCCAATATATATTCTGTTGAAAAAAACGTCTTTTTCTTGGTTTAAAGGAGCATAGGCCCGACTCATAAAGGTCTCAAAGGGAAAAAGCCGTTTTAGTGCTATTTTTGCGCTTTCAAATATTCCAGGAAAAACTTCTAGAATAAAAATATTTTTTTAAAAAGGTTGTTAAACGTTACTAGCATTTTCATGGTTCAAGAAACTTTTGAAAAAAAAAGTTAGAACCATAATTTTCAGTATCTACAATAATTTTTCCTTCCAAACTTTCAGCAAAGTTTCATGGTTTGAAGACTTTTTTGAGACATTTTGAACTTTGTCTCTTTATTTCTCTATTGTTTTGTTACGGTACCTAATCTTTCACTCAGCATCGCACTTTTGTAAAAGCTTTGGTGGAAACCCCATTAGATATGTTTTGACTCGAGCCCAATCGTATCCTCAGAATCAATAACAAAAACGTGTCTGGAAGCTTTTTGTCGACGATTGTTCACGGGAAATTTTGTACGCAGTCTACGAGTTTTTACAATCGCGCTACAATTGGTTGAAAAAACAGTTGAAGAAAAATACTGGCTTTTAAAAGAGAAACGTTAGTTTAGCGATACTTGGCTTTTTCTACTATAGAAACAATGATAAGAAGAATTTCCTGAGTTAAGTTAAGAAGGGAATTTTTGGCTAAAATGTTGAGAGATTTTTTTTGATTTGAAACTTCATAAAACATTGCATTGTTAAGCTTTACTAAGAATTCAGATGAAGAATAGTGAGTTTTTCGACTTTCAGTACATTTAGGCCTTTCAAGATCCTAATTAAAATTTTATGAACTTTTTTTAAGATTTAAAGCAGCTTCAATAAAGAATTAAATCATTACTGGTACAGTAATGGCCCCTAAATGAGCTGAAACTCGCTTCCCGGACTTGAAAATCTAAGATGATCCCTAGTTTCCACTTTAAACTTGACCAAGAACTGTACTTCTTGATCCGAGTTTCGCGTTCCCCTCTTTACCTTGGCACGGAGTCAAGAGGACCTGCCAGATGAGTTGAACTCGTGCCAGTCACCCCGGCGAACGCCTCAAAGGCATTTGTTAGCTTTTACTCCTTATCCCTAACCACTCGCCGCACTTTTTTCCTCCTTTCTGCGCGAACCTTTTTTTTGTTTCCTAGCACCCGGTGGTGCCCTTTTTCATCGCCGAGTCGGTCGCTTGTTGAACTTTTTTCCCTCATTCGATCCATCGGTGATGACGGAAATTAGGTGTGGCGGCTTAGATGAAAGCTGGAGATGAAGGGTGGTGCAGGTGTGAGCCTCCGAATAATATTGGCTGGTTTCGATAGAGTTGTGGAGGTTTGGGAAGAGTTGGGAAGTCGAAAGATCGAAAAATCTGGTTTTTGAGCTTGAAATTGAACTGTTAGATTATATACGAGAATGAAAGATTCAAGAAAATGTTTATCAAAGCTTAAATTAAATATTCCGAATTTCCCACTACATTTTTTTCGAGCTTGAAAATAAAGAAATTTTAAGCACATTATTTTTTTTAAGGGCGAAGAAAATTCAGATGAAGCTCAAAGTTTTTTGAGCCACGCTGGAAGCTAGAGAAAAATCATTGAGATTTTGAAATGTCCTTTTTCAATATTTTTGAAAATTTGAAAAGCTCAAAAATTACGGTCGAACTTTTAAGCCTTTGGCAACAATGATACTTCCAAAAAAGGCGTCTTCTGCCTGAACGACGACTGTCGGTATTTGCGCGGAACCTCATAGATTTGCTCGATTCTCAAGGAGTCGACCCCCTACCTTACAATTTAAGGCCTCTTGACCTTTGCGCATCGGCACTCCATCAGGACACGTTAGGCCCAAAAATGACCATGTTTTTCGTTCGAGCCAAAATTTGAAGAGTAAAACGTTTTTTAGACGGAAGTTAGAGTGAGGCGTGGCTAGTTTGAGAAAAAATTTTGTTTTGTAAGGGACATTATTTCTTGAATTTTGAGCAAAACTAAAAATTATCAACCTTTACATTGACTTTATAACAAATTGAGGTGAGCTCCGAAAATGACATGAAAATCCACACAGGATAGTTGAAAATTGTCAGGATTACAGCCATATTAGTCATGGATTCTGATGGATTTTCGGTAGAAGAGATAAAGATAGAAAGCTCTAACGGGCTTTTCAGCCATAATACTGACCCATCTAAGCTCCTGTTTTTTTTTTTTCGAATTTTAACTCTTCAGGATTTCAACCTTGGCTATTTTATTTCTTTGTTTAGCGTCCTTTTGTATTCCTGGAAGTGCTTTTCAATAGAGTTCTTGTGTATTTCACGTGAGAATCGTCTCGAATCAAAACGAGAAAGAAAAGTCTATTTTTGTTTTTTCCTCCCCAGACCTCCCAACTGCAGAAAAAAAAACCGACCGTTAATGATTTATTTCTGGCCGACGCGTTGGGAACAAAACTTGGTCCAAAGTGCGCGAAAAGGACGAATTTACGAGAATTTGGCGGCTGGCCAGACAGATTCTTCAATTTTTCCAACGAAAACAACGATGATTTGAAGTGAATTCACAGCTGGACGGAGGTGGAAAATACGTGCAGAAAATGACCTCCGTTTTCGCGCCGAGGTTTCCGTTGGCGCGCTAGCGATGCTCCTTTAATATGGAACTACATCTCATGTTTTTGAAACACTTTAATGTATGGCAAACATTGAGGGGAAAATCATTTTCATGCTCACGGCCTCTGGCTCATCTTCCCTGCCCAATTTGGGCATTGACGTTGATCCCGTCGTGATAAAGAAGATGACTTTTGAAAGGCGTGGGTTTTCGAGCGGAAGCTTTTCGCTGAGGGAACAGTCGTTTCCTCTTCCCGTGTCATTAATAAATCGCCAGCGGCTCTTTCCTCCACACTTTCTCTCATTTTCAGCTCTTTTTCTCATCGCTCACGTTTGGCACGGAACACTTGTTGGCCTCCGTGGCGAATATATTGATATATTTTCCTGGGGGCAAAAATCGTCAATCTGTTTGAGGATAACAGTTGGTCGGCCGACGCTTCATGAATGTTTCTTTCCGAGAAATTTTCTCGGAATTCGTTCGGCGCCATTTCTCATCCATCAACCTCCATACATTTTCCATCGCGATGTATTCAGTTTGATCAGCTTTTTTTTCGAGATGTGTTTGTTCAGGCTGGATATTTTAGATTGTGGGCGTAATCAGAGGGTTTTTGAAAGTTTTCTCAGTTGGAGAGAAGAGTGGGATAGAGATAAGGAGAAAAGCGGAGAGAGTCAGACGTATGGAGGTACCGCAACGATCTGTTTCTCTACACATTTCGCGTTCTCTTGAGATTTCTTCAAATGGAAACTTGTTTCAGCTGAAGTAAAATGAGCTGATGAAGGGTACGATCGGAATAATTACCTCAAAGAACGAAGAACGAGAAAATGTTTCTTGATACTGGATGTGAATGTAAAAGCCTGACAGTTTTCCGGCCTGTTCTGCAAAACTTCCTTCAAGCCTTCACTTGTCATCTTGAGAAGTTTAGAAGATACATTTTATGCTTTCACTTTGGTTCATGAAGTTTCAAAGTTTCAACTCGATCCGCAAACAAAAGTCCACGTTGTCCTTAGTCAGCAGCAGAACAAAGCATGGAACTTTTTGCTGATTTCTTGCAAATTTTTCCCTCCTGCTGACCGAATTTTGGACCATTTCGGAGAGAGCAGCTGACAAGGGTGGAAATTTTAAGGAATTTCTTTTTTTTCGCGGTCCGTTCTGTGCTCTAATCGAGTGTTTAGCAACAATCCGCAAACAGAGGCGCTTGCGTCAAATAGTTCGTGCGCACTACCCGGCGCAGAGTGGAGCGCGAGAATTTGCTTCCTTTCCCGATGAAATGCACTGTTCCGATGGTCGAGATCGGGTCAAGACCCTGGCTCCTTTGTCCCTGGGCGCGCGACCCGTTTGAACCCAACGGGTTTCCAGATCAAAAGAGCAGTCTTCCAATCTACATACGTTCCATTTTTGTAGTTTCTACAAGGTAGGAACCTCAAATTTTCTAAAAAAAGTAGTGAAATTTTAGGAGAACAAGCCTTAGGGGATATCGATCTTTTTTATTTCAAAAATTATCATTTTATCAACAATTTTTCTGAACTTTTTTGAAATGAATGCTGGAATTACTAAGAAAAGACATGAAAGACATAAAAACGATGTATTTTTGTAGCTGATTAAAAAAAAACGTTCACAGAATTTTTACTGTCGGAGGAAAAATAAATCAAAAACTTTCTGTAAATATTTTTACAAACGCTGAATACAAACAAGAGCGTATTCGAGTGATTCCAGCAAATTCTCTTTAGTGACCACTTCGATTTTTTTTTCGCGCATGTAGCACATAGTCACGGAAGAAGCCTTTTAGCTTATTCTCATCAAAAAAAAATCATTTTCAACTGTTTTCCATTAGAGTAGTACCGGAGCTCGCTCCAGAACTGTCATTTTTTCATCATCTCCGTCATAAAAGTGGCTTTTCCACGTGTGGTCCTCGCTGGAATTCTCGTCATTTTCTTATCGAAGGCTACAACAAAGACTACAGTACCCCGACTCGTGCCTATATGGGCCTCTGGCTCCACTTATCACCGATGGCGAGTGATAAAAGAGGCCTATCTTGGAGCCGATGGCGTGTTTGCTCCGTCGCCCCCCGTCGCTTCGTTCGCAACTTTTGAAATTGTTGCCATTGCCCATGCAGCGATGATAATTGGCTTCCGTGATAACATATCAACTTTCTTCTTTGTGTGGGTATTCCCTGGGAATATTTGGTCATGCTTCGGCAACAATTGAGCTTTCCATGACAGCTGGGAGACTGTCGTGGTTTCACTCAGAAAGGATTCAAGCAAAGTTTGAATTGAGATTTTCATTTTCATGAAGCTGAAAGAAACTTCATAACCTTTTGGCTGGAAATGCCGTGAAAAAAGTAGGTTTTCGTAATCTCCCCGGTAGATCTGAGGCTCAAAAGGTCTGGGCAGTTGGCTGAAGACTGTCTCCTGACCTTGGAGCAGCGGCGGTAAAAAGAGCCTCGGATACCTGGTTGCGCAGGTCTGGCGCGGCGGCTGTTTTATGCCGACGTCTGGCGCAACGACTCCGCACAAACCGAACCGTCGTCGGCACCTGGAGCTGTCGCGATCTTTGCTCGCGGAGCCCCGGCCGTTGCGAACGTACGTTACGTCGACGTGTCGTGTTTCTCCTTGCAACTGAGCAGCCGCCTCGTTCTCGTTTTTGCACATTTTGGATCGCAATGTGCCAACTGTGCGACGGGTGAGAGAGTGTAGGTGAAGACTGACATCTACACGCTGATCCAACATCACCCCTAGCCACTTGATCACAGATCGGCTCGTCTGGCTTTTTAAGGCTGAGGTGTGATCGAGGCGGTGGAGAGATGAGAAACTCTTTTAGAAGAGCTTAGAGGGTTTAGGATGGTTTTTAGGGGTGAGTGAGGTGGGATAGAGGTGAGGAATTGCTTTCGGAAGAGCTTAGGTCTTCTTAAAGAGGAAAATTATAATCTGATTGAAGAGATTAGTTCAAAGAACTATAAGTACTAGAAATCCAGCCACTTGATTACAGAATGGCATTTCTGGCTTTCAAGGTTGAGGTGTGATCGAGGTGGTGAAGAGACTTGGGTAGAGTTTAGGATAATTTAGACTATTTATGATAGTTTTTAGATGAAGGAGGAATTTTCAAAAGATCCCAGATCGACTTGAAATATATTTCTGACCTTCTTCGAAGTTTCCTGATTCAGAAGACCCTATTCTTAATCATGCAGAGATACAACAAAATTGAAGACACTGGAAATAATTTTCTCACGAAAGCCTAGAGAATCAGAGAAAATGAGCAAAACTGTCTGCCGCGGTCACACGAATACTGTAGCATAATTTTTTTACCGTGAAAAGTTTTTGGCGCGAAGTTGAAATTCAAATACGAGCCGCAATTCAAATTTCTATTTTTCTATGCGAAGTGAAATTGTTTTATTTTCGAGTTTTTATTAAAAATCAACTGAGAAGGTAAATTAATTATAGAAAACTGTCAGAAAAGTATCACAGGTTTTTTAAAAACAGTGATTTGTGTTTGAATTTTCATTTCGCCGCTAAAATGTGATTTGTGACTGTTATAAGCTACTACGGTAGTTTCGCGACCGATTCGGATTTTTGAATTTTCATCAGCTTCGAAAAAAAAATTTTTTTTGAGATTTTTTCTCAACGCAAATGATTCAATATTCAAGTAATTTTCACTTCACTTTTTGAATTTTCTAATTTTCAATTTTTGAAAATCACCCCCATGAAGTTTACCTTTTATTTGAGCCAATAGAGATATATGTTTCTGACACGGGCTTATCTGTAGAGAGACACCCGTAATTTTATTGGCTCATCGCCTTATGAGGCCACAAACAACGCGATTTGTTCATCGAACGACTATAATAACTGTCAAGAAAGAATGGTCGTTCGCTGAATTCTCTCAAGCTGTTAAAAGTTCATCTTTCGGCAAATACTGACCTTCAGTGAAATAGTCGGGGAAAATTATTTGCGAAAAAATGAAAGCCAAAAAATTAATGAAAATTGATCCATCGGCTCGGAAAAAGTTTTGAAAGTTCTTTCCACAAATTTCAAGCTGAATTCCACAAGAAAAAAACATAGAAGCATTTTTTCTTTTTCCCAGAGTTCCATGCTTTTTTTCCGGCTAGACCACCACGAGACACCTGAAATATGCGTTCATGAATATTTCCGACCGTTTCCGAGCCCATGTGATCTTTGATTTCCATTTTTTTTTTGTTCCTATTTGTCATGCAGGTATTTTTCTTCCGATGCAATTTCACAATTGTCATCCCAAAAGTTGGCTTTGATGTTTTCCCCCCGCCCTGCGCAACATTCTGTAAGATTTCGCAACCTTTTCGAAAATAACAAATAGATAGGTAAAGTGCAAGTTTTGGCAATTCGAGTGGCATTTTGGAACGGCCCCGGCCACAACAGGTGAAAACTGAGCCGGCTTAATGAAACCTTTCGAAAACGGATGAAAACTTTCTGTGTTTTATGATTGGCCTACACGAGGCTGTCTCACGTGTTCTTTGGATTTGGGGGGTTTATCTCACTTTTTGGTACACAGTTTTTCGAGTTTACTGTAGTCATGAGACTTGGAATGATCTTCGCTACTGTAATGACGTTATTGATGAACACCTGAACAAGTTTTTCAGTATGGAACAGGGGAATTTTTGTAGTTTCGGTTCTTTTTGAAAGCAATATATTTTCGAAATGATAGTGGGTGCTGTATTGCCAGACCTGCACATCTAACTAATTTTCAGAATGCCAAAAAAAAAACAAGCTTTTGATTTCAAAGCTCACGGGACAATCTCGGATACTGTAAAAGCGCGCCTTTTTCGAAATTATTGAAGGAAGTAAATTTTTTTTTTCTCTCGCGTGCGTCTTGCGATAGATAATACAGTATCCACGAGAATTCAAAGATATTCGAAGTTTGGAAGAGATTTTTGAGCGACGGCTCTTATTTTCGAGACTTTCTTAGGGTGTAATTAATTTCCACTTCCTTGTTTGTCATTCATTTTTTTTTTTGTGAGAATCATTCTGTTCATAGTCTGAAGGCTCACATAAAGGTTTTTTTTTTCATTCGAGACCTGCTCAGGATTGATTCTGTTCGAGATTCGTGTTGACAGGAAATGTGGAAGCGGTTGCCGTGGTGTGAGGGATTTGACGGGATTTTTGCAGACGTTCTCTTTTTTCGCTTCTTGTTTTTCACGTGTCAGCTGCATTTCCGAAATGATAATTATATAACCGAATCTGCACGTGAGGCTTTTGGCCTGCGAAACGAGATTTCCTTGAGAGCAGCAGGAATTTGTATAGTATGATTGAATTGGGTTAGAGGCAAAATTTTGAGGAAAACTTTTGTAGATAAAGGTTTTTTGCTTCCTGCAGCTTTGAAGGTTGGTCTCCAAAATAACTTCAGAACTTTTCAGTAACTTCAGCTCTTCTCTAGCTAAAAAGAGCTTCTCAGATTTTTATTCAGAGTTAGATTGATCTCGACTTCTTACTGTTCTTTATGGTCTGTTCAGAGGTTCTTACTGTAGTTATTAAAGGCGCAGAAGACTGATATGGTCTGAAAAAAAAAACTTGGAAAGGGCTCTACGCCTTGGAACTTGATGATTTCTCATGCTTCTTCCAAATATCCAGCAAGTTTTCGGGTTTTCAAACGCCTATAAACTATTTCAACAGACTTTTCCTTCTGTCTTTTTCCTTAAAGTTCGAAATTCTCCGTAAAAACCAAAGTTTCTGAAGATCTTTTTCAACTTTACGATCTTTCTCATCTTCTTCTGTCCCCTTTCCGGTGTTACCTTCACCTCCAGTTTTAGTTTCTCCTCTCGAAGTTAACTGTTCTCCTCAAGGCCACACGTGTGGTTTTCAATTGCCGACCACCACTTTGAACGAAATCGAAGTTCGGAAGCGAACGGAAGGAAAAAATGGAATTCTCGAGGACCACGCCTACAACCTGGCACCGTTTACAGTGACTTGGTTTGGTGCCAGCCGCCGGTTGTGGGAATCTTTCCGAAGACCGACGTGACCCCGAAATTCCTCATCATTTTTGGTTTTTCTCGCCGCCGTAGACGTCTCTGAAGGTGGCACGGCCTTGGCGGCCGAACCCACGTATAGCTAGATGTGCTATTGCAGAAGAAGAAGAAGACGAAAAGAATTAAAGCGAACACGGCTTTTTTTCTTCTCCTCGCGATGTGTTTGCATAACTACCTTTCTCACACGATGATCGAATTTGTATCTCACAAGTGTTTTTCGGCCTCCTGGGTGGTCTTCGTCGCGGGTTACGGTAGAGGACAAGCTGTAGATTTGCTTCTATCAAAAAGATAAGAGTTTCTTTCAGTTGGTAGGAAAATCTTAATTGCTGAACTTCTATTAAGTTTGAACTTTTTTGCATGTGAAATGGCGGAAAACGTAGCGGCTCAGAATGAAGCTCAGTTTTTTTCAGTTCTCATGGTTCTTGGATAACTTGGAACGGTTTCCGAAAAAAGAAGCTTGTAGTTCTAGTTTTTTGATGAAGACCTACAGTAATACTGGAAAAAATACATAAATATGCTGATCTGAGTTTTCTCGATCGCAGCTAATTTTCAGCTTCTGGACACTCCTAGAACTTTCATGCAACCCTAAGTTGACCCCAAGCTTCACCATCGACGGTCTAGCGCCCCCCATACTTTTTGAACCTAAAAAAAAAATCAAATTTGAATGCACGCGTCGTTTTGTTTTGAGCCGTGTCCAGACGATTCATCAATCAAACAGTTTTGGGCGCCAAAACCTCATCACCAACCGTATTGTCTTTTCAACCGATCTTGGCGTCGTCCCAGGCGGTGCCGTCCTGCCATTCATCACCGGCGCCATGGCGCGGACACGCCCATTCATACTTCCTTGTCCTTTTTTTCTGCCTGTCGGATTTCTTATTTATGATAGTTAGAGGATATGGGAAAATTTTTGAACTCTTGGAAGGTTAGAAAAAATGGGCGAAATAAAAATCTGCAAAATTTCCGTTCATTCCGTCAGTATTTTGAAAAATCAGCTATCTTAAGCCCAAAAAATCAGTATTTTAGGAAGCTGCAGATCTTATTTCAAAATCAAGACGTCCGTGTCGAAAAGTTGCAAATATTGAAAAGAAATCTTTCTACACTTCAATATATTTTTTTCTTCTTTCTGAGAATTTTCGGTTTGGCTCCAGACTTGCTCACCTGAGTATAATCAGCTGAAGTTGATTACGGCGATATTTTTGAGGGTTGGTTCTCACGATTTGGCTCCTTGCCCGTATCCCAGGTGCTAATCTAGTTGCTCCAGGCACGTGAGCCTCCGTTATTAGACGTGCTCCTGCCGTCATTTGCTATCTTTGTGGTTTATGTATTTATAGATGGATGGAGCACCGTCCTTTTTGTTTGTTTGTTTGGTGAAGGCGGTGGTGGAATTCGAGCTCTTTTTTTTTCCTGCTTCCTTGCAGAGTTGCAGTAACCAAATGTTTAGAGGTGTTTGGTTTCCGATGGGAAAAGCTCGGATGTAGTAGTATTCTTGAGGAATTTAGTAGGGCTACGGATTGGTAGGAGTGGAAAGGACCTCTTTATTTCAAGATTTCCGATTATCACGAGCTACTGTAGACTGAGATCGACGATAGGTGTTCTAAAGTAAGACTCGGAAGCTTTTAACGTCCTCATCGAAGCTCTTCCAGTGATCTGAAGCTCTTTTCAGGACTAGGATCTAAATTTATGAGAGAGGGAGATCCCAGACCATCTTTCAGATTTTATTAGTCGATAGGTCTTCCTTGGTCGGATTCTGAGACCCGAATTTATTTTGGGAGGTTTTCAGATCCATTGAGAACAAGGACTTCTGCTAGTTAAATTCTGAAGGACTGAACTTCTTTTCATCAGTTTTCTTAGAGTTAGAATTTAGGCTAGGACACTCATTTGGTCTCATCTAGGTTCAGAGAGGTTGAAACCCATGAAAACAGTTTTTCTTAAGATCTGAGCCTCTAGCCAAGACTAGGATGGTCTTAAGGTCCTTCTCAGTCAAACTCTGAAGCCTCAATGTCACCTGAAGAAGAAGACTTGCCTCGGGCATCGACCTCTGTCCTCGTTCCCGGACTACAGTACGACCGCGGCTCTGAGAAAGGACGGCTGCACTTCGTGACACCTCTCCGAGCTTTTATCCCATCGTTTTTTTCCCCTTTTTTCTGACTTCGGCCTGTAGAGTCGTCCTTCCACAACTGTCCGACCATCTTGAGGACGTGTCCTGACGGAGCACAAGCCTTTTTTCCTTCATCGTCGCGCCGACTCTCCGCCTCCAATCACCGCTCTCATCTTGGGCCTTGTCGCGCACCCTCCACCAAGGGATTGTCTATTTCGCATCTCTCCTCCTTTCAGCTCACATGGTTGGCGTCGTGCCAAGGCTCCGCCCACTCGGGCCACGCCTCTTCTCGTTGGCGCGCGGCTGCTGTCTTCCTTGCCGCGCTATTTCGTTTCTCCGCCCCGTCACTGTGTGTGTGCTAGTGCTAGGCTGCGTCACTTTTACTGCTGCCTCATTCTACTATTATTTTTATCAATACTTTTATTTGTTACATTGTATCCATTTCGATCATTGTTTGTTATTACAGTCAATTTCCGTCCGATTGCACTTAATTTGTTGTCCTTCTTCGCGCACTCTTAATTGACCTTGTTGAATGGAATGGACGTTCTCTATCGAATTACTTGTCTCTTCCGATTCTCATATCATTTGGTTTCCTCTTCATTGATATTATACTTTGAATAGTTCAATCAACTTTCAAAAAAAGTTTTTCAAAAAGATTTCGAATTTACTTATTTGAAAACTTTTTATCAAACTTTGTATGTATATTTTTCGCCAAGTAATCAATTTAGACACTTATTATCTTCACAAGAAAATTTTTATTTTTTTATTCTGATTGATAATGATAAAATATCGGGCAGACCCTTCCAAGATAGACCAGAAGGTCGTATTTCTCTTTCAAAGTCATCCGACTTTTTGGATCCGCATCATATCTCAGCTGAGGCTCTTGTGATTAGAAAATAACGGGAGAAAGAGCGGTACAGGCTGCCTCTTGTATTTGTTCTACGCGGCGAATTATCTATCATGCGCGGAGGGTCTTTCTTTTCCTTTTCTCTCTTCTTCTTGTCCTCATATGACAGTTTTTCTTCTCCTCCTTTTTTATTTTCTCTCGTGAGAATTTGCAACCTTTGAAATGGCAACATTTTTTTTTCTCCTTGCCCCTTTTGTTGACCACCCATGTACTTGTAGGTCAAATTTCTTCGCGCGCGCGCCAATCCGACTGTTCTTTGACCTGAGGAGGACATCTGTAGGTCTCCAGTATTCTCTAGGCAGGCTTCATAAGAGAACAATCAGAAAAAGTCGCCTTTTCTCATGCTTCAGAACATTCAAAGTTTTTCAAACAAGTCAAATATATGCATTTTTCTACCATCTTCTCCTTTCCTCGATCTTTTGACAAAATTAAGTTTTTTAACGTCAATAATTGAGTTTATATAAACATTTCTAGTCTTGCCAAGTCTGGCTTTGTTCTTTATTGAGAGTTTTCTTTTGTCATGAGAACGCCTGAGAAAATTGGCATTTTCCAACGTTTTCCGCCTGATTGAAGTCGATTTTCTAATAACTTTCACAAGGTCGAGCTCATTTTGACCTTTTTTGAACGTCTTTCTAGTCTGAAGTTCTCTCACGTTTTTTCTTCGTCTAATCAAGTTTTCTTTTCTGAGAACTTGATCTGGATGATACTTTCTCCCACGACGCCCGCATGACTTCCGCAATGACGTGCAGAAAAATCCAAACTAGGCTGAGGAATGAGTAGTTTTGGTCGCCTAGCTGCTGACTTCTCTCGTTTTTTCTTCTTCTCCTCTCCATAGATGCTTCCATCCCACTACTTTAGCTTCACCGCATTGCTGTTCGTCGTTCCGAACACGCTGGACTCTCTCCTTTTTGCGCTGTTCTCTCTTCAAGCTGGCGAGTCACATGCAAAAAGGCGGAGAGTCCCGTTCTTCCTGCCCCTTTTAGCTCCGCCTATTTTTCTCTTTTCCGCGCGTTCACTTCTTTCCAGCGCCGGAGGGCGTGCGTGATCATTTTAGTTTTTTTTTTTCTCCTGGCTTTGAGCCATGCCGATGTGATGAGCCATACCGGATGGGCGGGGCTTCCGGTTCTGAGGCCACGCCTCCTTCCAAAACTGATTGATTCCAGCCGAGGCGTGGCCTGAACGCCTGAGTTCCTGAACTGATATACAGTCCGAGGGGCGTGGCCTCCAAGCTCCTAAGCCACGCCCACTATTTGAATCAGTTGGGATCCAAGGTTGGAAACGAGGAGGTGTGTCCTCGCTGAATCTTTTTATGACTTTTTTTTTGCTGACAGCCACGCCTATCTGTAGGTTTGAATCTTCGGCCTCTGCCTTTCTATCTACCATTATCAGTCGTGTCTTTCGATCGTCGTTCCTATCGCGTCGTTCTTTAATTCCTTACTCCAAACCGAATCAAACCCAAGTTTCTTTGTAGGAAAGCAACTTTTCTCAATAACTCTGTCTCAAACAGACCATTGTCCTCCGGTAGAATTGTATCGACAGCCTATGCTGAGAAGCATCAAGAAGATGGCGATCAGCGGATTTGGAGCGAATAGCTCCGATAAGCGTGAGTTTCTTCTTCTCTTTTCGGACTTTCTACTATTGGCTCCAACCTTCTCGACCCTTTTAATTAGGGCTTTCAAGGCGGTTGGTGTCAATAGCAATGGAAAAAGACTTGTTCTTTACCCACCTCATATCATTTTTGTTTGTATTTTCGATTAGGTCTAGTGCGGCGAACACCTGACCACTGTTTGTTATTGTTTTTGGAAAAAGAGGTTGATAACAGTAGTATTAGGGCATAATGAATATAAACATGAAACGTGATGGGGATTTTTCGATGTTTGACATTGCCACCGATCCATCATCCTAGTGAATTAGCTGGCTTGGCTCCAAGCCCGGATGAAAAGAGCATCACATGGTGGGCGGTCGTTGATTGACAAGCTCATCCCCGATGTAGGAGATCGTATCTGAGCCGGCTGGCCAAAGTTCGAAGACCGACGTCGCGATTTTAATTAAACCAAAAAGCCGAAAGATTTTATCTCAAGGTTGAAGCCTCAGCTTAAGCTTCAGCTCGAAGTATTTCGATATTGCTATCAATTTTCCCAATTTAAGTCCCACTAGAAGCTTTGAATCGAAAAAAGACTTGCCTGCTCAAAGTTCGACGCGATTTAGCCGCACCAGAAGCTGTAGGGAATCTAGTTCAGACCGAGGCGCGCGCCCAAGCAAAAAGAAGCGGTTTTTACACGTCATAATCGGTGGTCGCAAGACGAAGTGGCCTACAAAAGTTGTTGACAGACTGTCTTTGATTGTCTCTGTGTTTTGGAATGTTGTAGGTGAACTATGACTAGGCCAGAACTTTGAAGCGAAAATAGAAGAAGAAAAAAACGAAAATCTGTCTCTTTCGTGACTTTTTCTCGGAACTTCTAAGAATAGCGAACTCTCAGTTAGCCTTTTTTCAAGTTTGTCTCGAAAAAGAGAAAGAAGAAAGTTTCAGCACTCAAAAATAGTCGAAAAATAGAAGATTGCCCGAAGAAAGGCCAAACTTAATTATCCCTTTTGCCAGCCGGAACTGACATCATTCTCTTCCTTTGGCCAGAACGATTAAGCCCAGTTACGTCACTTCTTCTCTCCTTTTTTTTGGCGCCAAATTTCGAAAATCCCATCCGCGCAGCCAGTCAGCCGACCGAAACCGGATTCCTCAACAGCTGGCTGCTGGAATATTTCACAACAGCGCGACTGAAGATTCGCGAAGCATGTGACCTGGGGCGGTGACAATTCATTCCTCCGACCAAACATCGGTTCCTCCATTGTTCCCATACTAATGGCCAAAAAAGCAGTGCAAACCAAACTAGAAAACTTGCACCTACTGAATAAGTTCAGCCAAGGAAACTTTTCCTCTTTCCGAGCACGTGGGTCTCAGAAATGCGTGACTTTTTGGTTGAATAACTCATTCAGTTTACTTCTCCTATTAGACTTTTCTAAAGGTAGCGGTGAATGAAAAATTGAAGAGGAAAAAAAAGGGAAAAGGAAGACCAAACTTTGGAGTGCCCTTTTCTGCATAAATTTCGCCGACTTCTCTCTTTTCTCGAAACACGTGGGCATGGGAGCTTCAACTTGAAAGAAAAAACTGAATTTTTGAAAAAAAAAAGTTTCATGAACATTTTAATAAAAAGGATATTTTCAGCGAACGACTACGCGCAGTTCAAGCTCAAGTACAAGTTGGGCGCCGAATTGGGCCATGGCGGCTTCGGAACCGTCTACGGAGGCTTCAGACGTGAGGATGGCATGCAGGTCGCCTGCAAGTTTGTCGCCCGCAACAATATCACCGCTTTCCAACAGGTTTGTTTTGAAAAAAATCGAAAATTCTTCTTTTTGAGCGTCTAATTGGACTAGAAAGCTTGAAAAAAAATAAAGAAAAATTTGAAATTGAGTATTTTCAGTGCGAAGGCCGTGAAGTCCCGATGGAGATCGTGCTCCTGCAGAAATGCCTTCCAGTTCCTGGCGTCATCAAGACCCTCGACTGGTACGAACGCTACGACGGCTACATGATCGTGATGGAGCGTCCGACACGAAGCACCGATCTTTTCGACTACATCACTGAGAACGGCCCAATCAAGGAGCCGGTGGCTCGCGAGCTGTTCTGCCAGATCCTGGAGACGGTTATGTCGTGCCACGAGGCCGGCGTCCTCCATCGCGACATCAAGGACGAGAACATCGTCATCGACAGACGCACTGGAGCCGTCAAGCTCATCGACTTCGGCTCCGGCGCCTTCGTCCGCGAGAGCGAGTACACCGACTTTGAAGGTTTGTTTCTTGATCTTTTCCCTTTCATCATAGTCTACTTCATTAGTTGGTTGTGTTTTCCGATCAGGCGATTCTTATCAACAGCACTTTCTTACCATTTTCTCAGCTTGTCAGCAATTTTTTTTTCCTTCTTCTCGCGGAAATCTGATCGTTCTTATCACTTCATAAGGTCGTTAAATTTGTCGATTCTTGAACCGAACGAAGAATTTTTCGCTGACGGCGCTCGACGTGTCGTTGGAAAGTTTGACGTAGGCTGATAACCGCCGTGGCACCTCTGAGGACTATAGACTACACAGGCGACATTTCCGACCAAGTCTGAGGATGATCTGCGGAAAATTGACCGTTATCTGCAAAGGACGGCGCCGACGAAGAATTTGACCTCGTTTCGCCCAAACTTCTAGGACCTACTGGAAGTCTCAGGAGTTGCTTCCGTGAACTCAGAGAAGCTAATCCAATAATCGGACATGGTTCCGTCCAAAGTTTGCTCTTGCCGCATCTCACTTGTGACGTGCATTCCTTTCTCGAAGAAGGAGAAGAAGAAGGTCCTTCTCCTCCTCGTGCTCTCTCGTCGTATTTGCTCAGAGCTCTGGCAAATGGCCAAGAGAGCCAGAGCGAGAGTGCTGGATACGCAGCAAGCAAGTGTGGGGTAGCCGAGATCTTGGCACTGCGCCAAATGTGTGTCTCCGCCTCCCATCCGTTCTCGTTTGCGCGCGTTTTCTATAGCCACTTGCGCCAGAATGGCCAGGGACTCGTGCTGCATTGGAGTGACCTCGGATCGGAGGAGGAGGATCAACCAGCTCCACGTGACTGACCTGATGGGGACGCGCGCGGGAGAAAGACTACTAGGTCACATCGGAACCGGTAAACAACCTGAGCCGGTAGGTCTAGGTGTTGGCGAGCCGTTTTGCTAATCTTCTAAGTGGCTCGGGAAGGATTCAAGTTACATCCAAGAGAAGCGCGATTATCGCTTCTCGGCTGGTTGGTTCGATGGTCAACCACAGCAGATGAGATGCGCTAGATTTTTGATCTTTTCCCTTCCGAAAACCAGTAGCTTTTTATTTTTGACTTTTCTTGGCTTCAAAATTCTGAGTTTCTTTTTGATTGAAAGTGAGATTTTTTTTTTAGTTGAAATGAGCAAAAATGACTTTTTTGAGTAATTTTTTTCATTTGCCAAATTTTCAAATTAAAAAAATGGCGTATTTATTTCGGTAATTAAAAGGAACATATGACATTTGGCTGTTGCGCAAATGCGCCAATACAGTGCGGCATCCAGCTGGGTCGAGCTCGCCGTGCAGAGAAAAACGACACCCTGAGTTGTTCCATATGCTCGCTTGCCAAAGTTTATGTGAACTTTCGAGAGCCTCTCACGTGGTGACTACTGAAAATGAGGGTGTGTGCAGGAGGAAGCCGCACATGATGGATTCGTGCTTCAGATGTGTTGTTTGTAATCGGATCATTTATTGCACTCGAAACGGAGGCAGCCTTTCCTCCTCCGGCTGAACAAAAAGGGCAACGCTTTCTCGGCTTCATTTTCTTCGTCTTTTCCTTTTGTTTAGTTGACGGTCACGTGGAAGCCTTTCGAGTGTCCTTTGGTCTTGTTGAAACTTGAAATTCGACACCAACGTCCTTTTCGGCTTCAATTTAGCGTCGCTGAACTCTGTTTCAATGAGGTCCAATAATCTTGAAGTTGAGAACAAAAGGTGTGCGGCGATTTGTTTGAGCTTCGCCGGAAAGACCTCTTAAGGTGGACCGGTTGTTGCAGAATGCACTTGGCGGCTTTCTGAGCGAAAAAAAAACCTGAGAATTTGTTCTTTCATCCGGAAAAGTTAGTCAAAAAGAAGAAGAAGACGTTCTGAAAAGTTGAACTTTGCTCTGACGACGTCTTCTGCACAGCGAGAACAAAAGTGCATTCCTCTGAGGAATTTTGCAAAACGCACAGTCAGCCGTTCTGGTCCGCCAGTGCAAACAACTTGACACGTGAGTACACACAGTCGCCGAAAATGTTGCATTTTCATAAGAATCTCTCCGTCAGAGAGAATGTGTATTGGCGTTTTTTAGCCGCCGTCGTGGGAGGTAGAGAAAAAAAGGAGTACGGTTAGAGGGTGGTGCTGGCCTGTGCCAGCCGTCTTTTGTGATGTTTGGAGTTTTTTTTTTTGTGTCGGCGCTCGCGCAAACGAGTCGTACTTTTTTCCAGCTGTCTTCTATGAATCACGACGCACTTTTTGAGCACTTTTTTAAGTAAAATAAGAAATCGGCTTAGAAAAGTTGAAAATGAATGATTTTTCCAGGAACTCGCGTCTACAGTCCTCCAGAATGGATCCTCGAAGGACGCTACCATGGAGTTCAAGCCGCAGTTTGGTCTCTCGGAGTTCTTCTCTACGACATGGTCTGCGGAGATATCCCATACCGTAGCGACTCCGAAATCATCAACGGCTACATCCGTTGGCGCACCAACATCTCCAGTGGTTCGTTTTTCGTTTCATCCTACAATTTCTCATTTTTCTGCTTCAGAATGCAAGGATCTGATCCAACGCTGCCTGGCTAAACTCGCCGAAGAGCGACCCAACTTCGACGACATCCTCAACCATCCATGGATGGTCAACGTCCCCGAAGACGAGGAAGTCGTCCGCGCCGAGCTCAACTCTCAGCGCCACAAGCTGGCTTCCGTTCCTGACCGTCTCGTCACTGAAGCCAAGCCTCACCAAGTTCCACGAGTCGCCATGAACGTCACTCGCAGCGAGACCGACTTCCCGTCTTGCTCTTCAGAGCTTTTCGAAGGAGCTCCTACCATCTGCATCAAGCATCCTGAGGTTTCTAAAAATTTCCGATTTCCAATTTTAATTTCTGAATTTCAGATTGAACCGAGCACCTCGAACCCAAGACTCTACGGAACCTATCCGATTGGTTCGCCCCAACGTCGCTACGACTGGCCAAGAAAGACAGCCCAGCCGATCGTCCTACCCGAGTCGGAGCTGGCCAAGCCGGAAGAGCCGCAGATCGACGAGCCAGTACTTGAAGAGGCGCCGATGCATCTGCGTCCGGCCCCTTGCGAGAAGATGGTGATGAAGAAGAAGAAGAAGGAGATGCCGGCCAAGCGAATGCAGCAGCGTCACCACGCCAACCATCCGCCGACCCACGAGTACAAGCCCCATGCTCACTACCACCAACGCACGGGCAGCCTCGGCAGCGCTGCCAGCTCGGCTGCCTCGTCCTGCTCCCCGTCGGCTCACTCTTCTGGAAGCTCCGGCTACCAGACCGGCGGCCATCGTTCCTCCGACGAACTTTTCGCCGGCTCCTTCTAATTTGTTCATTCATTCCCCTTGATTGAACTTTTTTGAACACTCTCAAATCGAGCTTTTCCACATTCTCACTGTGCGGTTATTCGCCCGGTGTCCTTCTTTTCTCCTTTTTTCATTTTCTTTCGCCTCTGTCTGCGGTCGATGTCCCGGAATTGTAGCGTTGTATGGCACCCAAGTGTTGCCAACCGTTTGACTCTCTTTTCCTGCGCTTTCAGTCAATTTAGGGATAACTATCGAATTGCAATCATCTCTATTTATAGGCTATAGTTTTGAACCCCTATCAAAACTTCTCTTTCTTTTCTCATTTGAGAGCCTTCTTGGGAGGCCTCCGAGGCCACCTCGGCTTTCTCTTGTTGTGTACATATGATGTGTATAATCGGAATATTATATTTACTCAAAAAATCTTCTGAATTTTTTCTTTTGTAAGTTTCTTGTTGTCTCCGTATATTATTTTGTACATACCAATATATTCTATCAAACCCTGTTTTGTAAGTAATATTTAGTTTTCTTTTGTATCGTCAGAGAAAAAGCTGGGAAGTTTTGAAGTCTCTTTCGAAATTTTCGCCTGAAACGTGGAGTTTGATGACTTCAAAACTTCCCAGTGCACACCTTTTTTTGGCAGTCTCCACACCCAACAGATTTCCTCGTCGTTCTTGTGTTTGTGCTCCAATCTTGCTGCTTGTAGGTCTCGTCTAACTCTTTTCAATGAAAATCTTTCAGTCGCGCTCCCATTTTTGTTCTTTTTTTTTGTTTTGCGTTGTGAACCCTCGCCGGAGCGTCGACTCTGTCACTTTCTTTCCGATTCTTTCTTGCTCTTCTTTAACCTACAAGGAACTCATATTGTGCACACATCAACGAGAGATGATATCTCTACACCCAGCCGGCTGGCGAGCCTTTCCAAGCTGTTCCTTCCCTATCCGAAGGCTCCAACTCAACACAGAGAGCCTTTAGAAGTAGCTTCAAGCTAAACCCAAAAATGAAAAGAATTTTTCTCGTCAGGCTAAGGAACAGCTCAGAATCGCTCGTTAATGGTACCCTGTTTGCTCATTTTGGAGCTCGACCCCTCCTACCACAAGCTTTTTGCCAAAAAAAAGTGTTTTCGACAAGCTTTCCTAATCGGATCCAACCCAAACATGATGAAGCCCCCTCCGCAACATAATCTTAATTTATGAATGCTTGTACTCGACTCTCTGTCTCTTTTCCACTCATTTACACATGTATAACGTTATTAAAAACGTATTGGGTCGGTGGGGCGTAAATGTATCCGAGACACCTGACGCATCCTCTCGAAAAGAAGAGAAATAGAATCCTTTGATTGTACCATCCAAACTCCATCTCTTCGACTGTTGTACCGTCCGCGTATTTCGATTTGATGTGTTTTGCGTCGAGAACCAATATGGCAAAAATAAAATGTGTAATCAAACAGAAGTTTTAATGTGTTCTGCAAAAAAAGAAGAAGTTTGTTCTAATATGAGCAAAGTCCTCACACTCGGCTGGCTTCTTGTGTTTCTCCAAGGCTTTCAGAGTCCTCAGAAAATAGTTTTGAACCATAGAATTTAGTTGGTCTGGGAAAAATTCCGAATTTTCAATTTCTCTCAAGGTCTATCTACAGAGAGACTTTTTGATCCTATTGGCGTGAGAATTTTCGTCGGAGAAAATTAGTGTAGTCTGAGCAATACGCTGGGAATAAATATCGTGAGAATTTCGTCTGTCTTCTTGTTCTTTCGTTTCGGAGTTTCGAAGATTAGATGAGAGAACATTTTGACCTCGTCTAATTGCCGTGGGAACTTTTGTCTTGCCGAAAATATTTGACTCCTAGGGTGTAGTCTGAGCAATAAGGTGAGAATTCGTGGAGATTTTTCCTTCTTTCTTGGTTTCTTTTCCGTTTCAGAGTTGCTTTCAGAACCCCAGAATACTTCAGTTTTTCTTTTAAAATGAGCAATGTAGAGATTTTTTTCAGATTCTGTTGATAGTAGAAATTTTCTTTTGCTGCTGTTTTTTTTTGAGTTTCGATTTCGCGTTTAGTAGGAAATAAGTAAATTTTGGCAGAAGGCCAAAAACAATCAGAAAAAAGTGTTTTTTGTGATGGTTCAATGAAAGTACGATAAATTTCAAAAGCTTCAAAAATTTTTTTGTCCTAGGAAAACGAATATTTCGATTCAAAATGACCTAAAAAATTATTTTCTGAGAAAAAAAAGAAATTTCCAAGAAAACTCATTATATTTTTCCTGTCTACTGCTAAGCTGTTATGAATGAACTGAATGTTGCGAAGAAGCCTAAAAAGTCAGAGATCTTTTTTTCCTTTCTCTATTCAGCCGTACACCCAGCTGGCACTGCATCCATTCACTTTCGAAAGCGGCTACGTCATGTCTTCTCGAAAATGTCAGAATTGGCGCGCGGCCAAGCCCTGGGGGAGGTCGACCTCGAGTTTCTCGTTCGTCTAACGCCGGAGGCTAGAGAGAGAGGATTTTTTTCGGAGAGAGAGAGAAGAGCGCAGGCGGAGGTGCCTGTCACGGCGTGGCACTCCTCCTTCCAAACTCAATGAACGCTCAAAAAACCGCTCTCCGACGCTCACAAGAGAGAGCTGTAGTAGCTTCGGTAGTACGTGGGAGAGGAGAGAAAACTTTTCCCTCTTTCTCTCTCTCTTTTCGCGCTTCTTCTTCTTTTTTTCTTCTTCTTTTCATCGCCTTGGGGCGAACGCACGAACACGCACGACGCAGCAACAACAACTGGCACGGCGCCAGCTGAATTCCTTCGCTTTTCCCCCCACGGAGTAGTAGTTTTTCTCTCGTAGAAGCATCGGCTCACAGGAAAGACCAAAGGTTCAATAGCCGTGGGGATCATTTTTGAAGAAATTCACGAAGAAAAATTTCATTCAATTTTTTTTTTGGTTCACTCAAAAATGAAGAAAAAAAAATAATCAGTTAATCAATAATTCGCTTATTTTTAAAAAGCCTTTCCCGATCTGAAAACTGTTTCAAAGAAAATTCAGAAAATTTGATAATATTCGTATTGGAGCGCAGTTGACCTCAGCCAAAATATTCATCGTTATTATTCTCCCCTCATTGGGAATTTCAAGCTAAAAAAAGACTGGCTTCTTTAATAGACCTTTCTTACTGCTAGGTTATCAATCAATCAATTCAATTTATTCAGTGCTAGGTTATACAGAAGAAAAAAATTTTTTTTAAAGCAAGCTTTCTCCAAAATTTATTTTTGATAAAATTAGCGTGTGTTCCGTTTAAAAAAGTAAAACTCCTTTTCTAAAAGAAAAACGAGCAATTCGTAAAAATTCTCAATAAAATCCCAATAGAGCACGCTTGCCGTATAACAAACGGCTGTTTTTTTTCGCATCTTCATAGCTTTTATCATTTTTTTTTCGACTGAAATCACACAAAATTTAATTTTTCAAGTCTGCAAATACTATCCAAATATTCACTTCCTGCTTTAAAGAAACTGGAAAAAATTTCAATAGAGCATACTTGCTGCCTACATCGCGGCTTCTTTTCAAAAATTTACAAAAACTTCAGACCATTTTCTAAATTGTATTTACTTCTTTTATTTTTTCCTCTCCCCTCAAAACTGAAAAATAGATACTCCAGGTCAAAAATAGAAGGTTTCTGGCCGTCATCCAACTCTTCTTCTTCGCTTTTTCATGTCCTCACTTAGGTATGCATGCCACGGCGCGGATCAAAATACGGACAGAGCAAGAGAATCTTTGCTCGTTTCTGTCTTTTCCAAAGAAAAACGAGACAATAGCCACAGGATTTGTGGCTTCTGTTTCTTTTCTGTCTGCCTTTGGCTTTTGCCTCGGTTTTTGGGTCTAGACCTGAAGTATTTGCCTCGTAAAAAACAAGGTGTGGGAAAAGCTTCCAAAACGGCGGGAGGTGTCAACAAAATTTGACGGGATAATGAGAATTGATGGCTGCGTTTTTTGCGGAACGCCGTTCTGTCGTTTCCTAGCCTTTGACGGAACTACCTGGACTTCAGGTGAAGTCTTGGCATTTTTCGGGGACTATGGAGTCGACTTGGAGTTTCGAGATACTTTAGAAGAGCTTTCTGATCAAAGTATCAAGTGATGAATAATCTAGAATTTTCTATGTGTCTCCAAGGTTTTTTATAAATCTTCTAGCAAGATTGGAAAGCTTTGTAAAGAAAAATTCCTTAACTGGAAGGTTTTCGGAAACATTTTTGGCCTGGAGTCAAAATTTGAGAGCTTTTCAGGACCAAGGTATTTAAAAACGGTTCAGTTAGTCCATCAGATTCGGTAGAAAAGTAAAAATTCTGAAAAAGAGATGGTCTGATAATTTGACTCGTCTGCGCTCTCTTGTTTACGGGCTATTTTCACTGACATCGGAGGCGAGAGAAAAGAGAGCGCAGACAAGTGAGAATTTTAGAAAATTTGGCGAATGAGGTATTTTTTCTTGGTGTTTATGAGGGAAAGGTGAAGCTTAAATTTTCCTACCTAAGCTACGTAAACTCTAAATATGTTTTGGAGACCTCGAGGTTAAAAATCGAAAGTTTTTCTCCCTTTTTCAAGCTTTCAGTTCCTCTTTCAGTAGAACTGACGACAGATTAGACATTTGCCTGCTCAACTTTGGGAAATCCATCACGGCTAGTCGCAAAGCTGCAAATCTGGCGGCCTCTTTCTCTCCCTTTTTGGAGGAACGACATTCAAGCTGCCGCCAAGTGATAGACGGCCGAGGGCAAATCCCGACGGCTCATCGCTCAAAAAAGTCGTTGGCGGAGCGCCAGGCCGCCGTCCGAACTCGGCGACGAATTGATTCTTGTCGCTAGGAACGCTGAGGACGTGTTGCTTGCTTCGCCGTTCGGGGAAAAGCCGCTGGCGCCGCGCCAAGCTTCTCTTCCCTTCTTTGGACAGAGATCGACAGAGTTCTTTCGGGGTTCGCTAATGGAAAAAGCTTAGGTTGTCGGGAGGGGAGTTCTGAGTCATCATTTAGAAAAGGCCAAATATCAGAATGTCTTATGAAGATTATTGAAAATACAAATTTTTAAAGAATTTGAGTTTTTTGAAGTGAACCTGGTACTGAGTCATTTTTAGAGAGTGCAAAAACTTTGATTTTTTTTTTCGAATTTCCTGAGCTCATCTGAATAAAATTCTCCAAGTTCTCCTCAGTTCAAGGAACAAAACCTTACGTCCAGATTCATGAAAAGGTTCAACTCCAAAATCCCCTTCTCAAAATTAAATTCCATGAAGATTTTCCATGGAGCACACTTGGATGCGAAGGAAGCGCCCATAATTACAGAGGAACCTCGTCCTTTTTCCCATTCGCCTTTTTTTTCTCTTTGCCTGCGCGTTCAATGGGCCGTCGAACTAATTTGTGTAGACCTTAGTGCTTTTTCTGCCGTCATAGGACAAAGTTAATTTTCCTCCTGTCTGGCTATTTTTCGGGCATTGTTTTGGCACCCGACCTGCTCAGGCAGGCGTTCCGCGTAAATAATATGCTTTTGCAAGGTTTGAATCGAGAAAAAATGTGAGAGCAAAAGCAGGTAAATACTTTTTTTTCACAGAGATCATTTTGTAAAATTCCGGGGATGCTCTTGTTAGAAGTGGAAGAGGAAAGAGATCCTCAGATATCAAAAGTAATTGCTCATGTTAGCAAAGGCAATGAGAAAGGTCGTCTTTAGGTCTGTCTATAACATGAGCAAAGATGCTTGAACCAAAAAGCATTGCTCATGTTACCAATAGTGCTCGGAACTTTGTCCAGACCTCCGTGGACACAGATGTTCTGCATCGGTGTGCGGAAATCACTGGAGGTCCGCAGAATGGCCTTGGCGGAAGGCCAACTTCTCCCTGGAGGCGTTCTCAGACCTCACACGACGTCATTCGTCCGCAAAAAAACCTTTCGCGATGAGACCCATTCTCAAAGCCTCGGCGATGTTTTTTATCGCTTCGATGGGATCTGCAAAGGGCAGTCCGTTGGAGACACGAGTTGGCGAGAATTAACGACCCACGGGGACAGGTTCATTCCGTGAGCTTTTGCCAGGAGGGTGGTCCTTGCGGAAATTAGGGGAAGGGGTCTTTAGCATTTTGAACAGGATCGTTCTGCAAATGTGAGTGGAGTTTTTCAGAATTATTTTGAAAAAGTAATGAAGTGGTTGAGGGACATTTCAACATTACTGTTCTTCGAAAGTTTCGTTCTCATTCTTGCTAATGACATTAAAATGAGAAATCGAATACTCTAATTTCCATAAGAACCCTCAGAAACAGAAAACTCAAATATTTGTGTTTCTAGTTTCACATCAAAATAAAACTCCAGAGTCTTGGTAATGTGATTATAACCACGGAAAGCGATTCTTTACGCTTAATCCGATTTCAAAAACGTCTCACAAAAAAAATCGGTTTTTTCACGCGTAGCGGCTGCGCAGCGTTCATTTCCAGCTTTCTGGACCCGATCCAACTTTTCCACGTGGACATTGCCATTTTCCCAAGACGCCCGTCGGTCTCCCATTCAGAACATTTTTATAGTGCGACGCGTCTGGCGGCAATTCGAATTTCGGCGTTTTAATGTGTATCCGAGCCGATGGACGGAAGACGTCGCCGTAAAAGGGCAGAAGAAGCGCAGCGGGACGTCCAGACGACGTCGTGTGTGGTCTCAGAAGACTGTCTCAACGGTTAACGACGCCTTTTTTAGCGAAGACGAATATAAATGGTTCCTACGGCGATGGAATGCCAAACAAAGCAATTTCGAGCCTATTTTTCTCTTTGCAAAGTCTGGTTGAAAACGAGTTTGAGAAGATTTGCACTTTTAAAAAATAAACGTCTGCAAAAAAATCTCTCATCATCTCACTGCAAAGAACAGCTGAAAGGCCTATAATTTTTCATAGTAGGCCTAAAAGTTCAAACGTGGAGGCGTGTGTTTGTCGCCGAAAACATCTGGAGCAACCAAACTCATCTGCTGCCGTCTTGATGGATCACTCCGAGGGAACTTTCCACGCCCGTGACTCATCTTTTAAAATCGCGATGAATTCGAAAATCGTGGAAAAAAAGAAAGAGATTTGCGAAATTTTCGTTTTAAAGGGGCGACGCGGTCGCGAAGCGGTCCATTGAAAAAGGAGTCCAATCAAAAAAATCGCTTGGAACTTTTTTTTACTGCCTGAGATCCTTAATTTCGCAATCATAAAGCAAAAAAGAGAATTTTAAACTCAAAATTTAATTATCCTCAAAATTCAAAATTACAAAACTTTATGCAGCCTTGACGCGTTGCGGCTCTCAAAAAACTCACGTCATCATTTTCTTTCTCCTTCAAAAAACCGCATCTCATTCTACTTATCCGGCAATTTTTCAAGCAATTTAGAGCTTCCCACTCCTTGATTCAAGCCCTAATAGCCGAATTAAGGGTTTCTTTCGGAGAAAAGGCGCAAAAAAACCATTCCAAGAGCAGCTGTACTAGTCGACGCGGCACCTCGGCCGGCACCAAGGTTTTTCGGCGGAAAAAAAAATCTGAAGTCGAGAGGATTGCCTAATACATTTAGAGGTTTATTGGACTGTTAAATTTAGCTAAACTGCTCTTTTTTGTTCCTAAAGAGTCCGTTTAATGATGGATTTTAAGGGCACTAAAAAGGTTTGATACGGTCTCTTGAATGCTTTTAATGTCGTTTTCGCGTAGTCTGAAGATTAGAAATGTTGCGATTTATCGAGAAAAAGCTGAGTATTACAAGCCAAATCAAAAAAAAAATCATAGGTGCTGGAAAAATCTATTTTCTCCACAACTTCTGATAAAAAATGCAGAAAACAAAAAAATCCTTTTTTTTCAAGCATCTTCGCCCCATTGATAATACCAACAAAACCTCCGCGGTCGCCTCAAATCATTTCCGAAAGCTCAGTGGAATTTCCCGTGAAGCCTCACAAAACATTAATGAAAACCTTACAACACATTTCGAAATGGAATTTCAGAAATCACGTGAGAAGCCCTTGCCAAAAAGTGCACGAAACCTTTAATTTCGACGGATTTGCACCTGCCACACGGCCGACATGTGCGGTAAAGCAGCCAAATTAGTATCGTGTAAACTACACAGGGGACAAGGTACATAGTTGGATCTATACCAACGTTTTTCGGGAGTAGCGGGTCTTGAAAGTGAATGGAAAAAAAAAGGAAAAGGCTGAAATTTCGAAATCTATCATGTAAAATTCATCTATAAAAGAGAAAAAAGCTCCTAAAAGAAGAGAAAAATGAATAATCTTAATAAGTTCTTTATAATTCAAAAGGGAAAAAGCTGATATACATATTGTAAGTGCGCTCCAGCGAACTAGGATTTTTTTCTAGCTGGTCTTTTTCAAAAAAATGAATATTTTTTTAAAAAAATCATTATTAATCGTCATTTTCAAAAAGCCGAATATTTGAGTTTCAAGGCATTTGTTTAAAAAGATAAAAAATATTTTCTTACGTTAGGAAAATTACGAAAGAAATGAGTCACTAAGCTTTCAAAATTAAAGGAGCAACGATCAATCAGCCAATAATATTTCGTAACGAAGAGTCCTTTTTTCAAGAAAATTATTCTCATCTTCCAAGTGACCTTATGAGAAGAGCCAGTCTAATTTTAGAAGCACCTGCGTCTTTCTCTCTCACTTCTCTGCGCCTCTCCTCTCTCTCTCCCTTAGCTGATCTGATTGGGGTTTTTGGCACTCGGCCAGGCGGCTTATTTATATCCGAGCCGAGTACGTATTTCTCTTCTCTTCATTCCGCCGGATGGGTTCCTCTAGCATAATTGGTCGCCGAATGAATGCCCGGATTCCCACATGTGGCGGGAATCTTTTCCGTTTCAGCTTTTAAACTTCTTACTCACATTTTATGGAGGCATTCAGCTGCAAAGTGCCGGAAATCCAACGACAAATCGATAAATCTTCCGAAAAAGGAAGTTCCGCAAAACTGTTGGAATAGGACAAAAAAGGAATATTTCTATACTTCTTATTGAGTTCCTAGTGGTACGTCTTATACCCTAAATCCTTAAATACACCTTATTTATTCCCAATTTGCATAAAACCCTTGGTCAAAGTCCAACGCCGCCTTCCTCCCTACAAACAACACAAAAACCTCTAAAAATGGGCCTCATCTCCAAAAATGGCAACACTCCGTGTGGCTGATAACCAATGATAACGACTTTCCTCCTGCTGAAACAAAGAAAAGCGTGATTTTTCAAAGTGAAAACCTTGCAAAATGGGCCTTATCGACGAAAAAACGACAATTAAACCTCTCCTAACCTCCTACAATAAAGCTGAAAACCGTAAAAGGTCCGAATTGAGTGAAAAACGAGGCCCGAGCTTGAATAATCACGAGAAAAGGGGAAAAAACAAGACGCATTGGCCTAAAAACGGTCGGCGGACGTGGAGGTCTCTGTTGCGTGCGTTCGCGTCACGTTCCGTCCTGTCCCTTGGCGCGTACTTGCGCCAAAGTTGTTGTTTTCGATATGTCATCCTGCAGAGAGGGAAAAAATCAATTCATTCAGGAACACTTTTCTATAACAAGTTTATATCCGTTTTGCACCATAATTCAATAACATATTAGAAACAACGGCCACGAAGATGGGAAACAATAAAAATTGGGATTAGTTAACAATTGGGGGATATTTTTTCTTCTATAGGCACTTCAGTTCTTGCCGGCGTCCTCCTTCAGAAGCACCGTACGGTTGAAGACGAGCTGAAAAATTGAGAATAAAACAATGGAACGCAGAAAAAAAGTTTTCAAGACGAGAGATCGGACCAAGGGATTTTATTTTTAATTTCGAATGAAGTATAAAATGATAAGAAGATAAGATCTTCAGTTCAAATTCATGGATATAGTGGTAAGCTCAGAAGTTTCGAGACACCCAACTCCACAGGTCGAGGTAAAAACCACCAAAACAACCAAAAATAACCCAACGCACAAATCGTTGCGTCATACGCCGACCTGAAGGTGTTGAGTGACTCTGAACCAAACTCATGTTTTTATTTGCATACGATTATGCAATATGGACCAACCAAGCGGATCTCAGTCCTAATCCGGCGCATGATTGCGCGCAAACACTTGTTTCGCATCGAGACCTGACTTGGGACTTTTCACGAGCTCCCCCTTTCAAGTAGGAGATTTTAAAGTTGAAGTTTTCGAAATAACAGATACAAAAATTTTTCTCCGAAGATGAGGACCGAAATTTTTTCAAAATATAACTTAATAAGAAATTTATAGCTCAATGGAGGCAAAATCAAGATGAAATCAAGTTCGAAAACTTGATAACAAGACAATAAATTCTTCATCGAAGTTCACTGCGTAATCTCAAAATTTAATTTACAAGACGAAAAAATAGCTGCCAAAAATTGAGCTTCTGCGCTCTGAAAATAACTGTTTGTTAATTTGATAACTAAGTCTTATTATTATTACTTGGACTTTCTATTAGGAATTTTCTAGCCTTTTTTCAACCGATAATAGAGTTTTCTTCTCTCGTCTTATATCCTCTTCTCTACAAATCTGCAAAATATTGCAAAAAAAAAGCTTCCTTTTTTGGTTCAAAAATAGACACGGATGTAAAACAATGAGTTGAAGGCTCTACAGCCAGATGCGTTCCTCGTTAGGAGAAGCGTCCCGAAAAAACAACCAATATACTATTCGCAAAACTACAACACGTTCTAATTCAAATGCATCGAATTCTCCAGAGAACTTCTTCCAATTTTTCCTTTCGACCCCGAAAACAATGGACGAACGAATCGCGGAGTAGTAGTAGTATCCAAGGAAGGAGAACAAATGGGAGACGTTCCGGAGCTCCAAAACAATTAGGATTACGCGACATATCCGCTGCGAAAAACCGGGGGAGAAGAGATCCTTTTTGAGGATTTTCTGATCCCGTCTACTACACGTCAAAAGAATGGGACCGACCGATAAATAGTCTATTCAAAAGCGGCTGAGAGGGATTTTATCGTTGGAGCGCACAAGCTCAATTATCGCTGACTAAATATTCTTTGTTGCGTAATCTCGGATAGCTTTGATTAATTTTTGCTCTACAAATTCTAATTTCTCTCTAATTTACAACTCAATAGGTGCAACCATCCAAAAAGATCTTGTGATATGTAGTTTTTTACTCAATAACCGTCAGATTTATGTCTAAAATCACTTCTGCTTCCTTTCATTTCGAAAAGGACGCTCCTTAAAAGGGCAAGCCTAGCCTTTTCAAAAGGGAACACTCGACTAGAAACGCAACATTTCGATCTCCGGACCACTTGAAAAAGGAAAAGACGGGAAAGAAAAAAAAAGCAAAAGAAAAGAAGAAGGCCAGATTCGCCTGTCCACTTCGGCCCAAGTGTGAAAAAGAAACATGTGTTCGTCGCTGCTTAATTGGGTCCGCAAAAGTGCAAAAAATGGCTGACTTCGTTCCAATTACCTCTTTTTGCCCTCAGGGAAAAGTAACGAGCTTTCCAAGTTGCAACAGCTTCGACTAAAGGAAGACTAAAATACCTTTCTCTTCAAAATAAACCCGAAAAATTCCCCAAAACCCGTTCCATTCAAATATTCGTCATTTAAAATACCTTGTTCCTCAAAAACACTCAAAACTACTCAACTCGTCTTGCATCCACACACACATTCGCCCCAATCAACGGCCTAAAAACAGCAAGAAAAGCGTGACCGACCACAGTAAGACCAAGTGGTCGCTGTAGAGTCTTTTCCCTTGTTTTCAGAAATTTTATGAGGCAGGAGAGAAAAAGAAGAATAAAAATTGGAACTGTCAAACTTTCCTTCCATGGTACTTTCTTCGTTTGAAAATGAAAATGAACGACCAAAAAAAGAGAACTTGATTAAAATGCAAACTTCTGCCATTTGCGCTCTACGGACAATTTTTTTAGACTGAATTTTTTGACTTCACGCTCATCCTTCCAATTAATATTGTTTATATGAAAGAAAGATTTGAAGGGAAAATTGTGTTCAAAATCTCTCTTCAAACCTTTTCAGAAATTTCGCTTTTTCCTAAAGGGCACTTTTGTTTTGCCTTTTCGATTCCATTTTTTTTTTTGCAAAGGCTCAATTTCAGTGTTATTCATTTGTTTTTCGGAACCTAATGCGCAACATGTGTTCGGCCTACACCGAAGGCACGTGCACTTGCCAAATAGAGCTCTCGAATGTTTGGGAGTGAGTGTGTGACTTGTAATGCTCGGCGAACGCTTTTTTTCCTTCCGTTCAGAGGCTCGATGTTCATCATGAGGATCGAGGATCACGAAGGAAAAACACCCGAAAAAAAAGAATCTGCTCCTCTATTTCCCAAAAATGATTACCAGTACTTTAATTTCTCTCCACTATGTGAAAAAAGCCTCATCACATGCGAGATCATCACCAGACTTCGATTTCTTCACGCTACACGGCATTTGAGACAGAATTAAAGATCCTTGTTTACTCGCTAACTAATGAACCCATCATTGTTTTGCACGAGAAAATGAAGGAAAAAAAATTCGCATCTGAATATTTGTCCCTCGAAAAATACGGGAGGTGAAAAACACAAAACTCATTGAGATAAATACCCTTGTATTGTCATCGGCTTCCGTGGCCTGAAGCGGATAACAAGAATAAAGATGACACCTTTTTTTCCAACTGAGCCCTCAGGGCAGAATCCTCGAAAATACGGCCGTTATTACTAAATGAAAACGGAATCGTCCACTTGGACAACATCCGCGTGAAGAGCGAAAAACACAAATCTTTGAACAAGAAGGAGCCCGGCCAAATGAAAATCTTAGAACTTCAAGAAAACGGAAGTTTATAGCTTCATCTCTTCACCTTGACATCCAAGTTTCATCAGAAGATTTAAAACCGAATAGAAATCCGAAAACAAAATATCTTTAACTGAAAACTTTTGGTTGAAACTGTTCCACAGAGCACACTTTCTTTTCGAATGATTTTTTTTCGAATATTTCTTTATATAAACAAATATTTTTGCAGAAAAAGATACATGTATAAAAACAGTAAAAAAAACTTCTTTAAGAAAAAATAACTTGAGGCAATATTCAAACTCAGATTTAAAAAATTCCCCAAATTCATCATTTTCCTCTCATTTCTGGCCTCTTGAATTAATCAAAACTGGAAAAAACTTGTATTTTCCTGATTTGGAAGATTCTCGGCGAGCAAAACACATGAACACTTCCGCTGAGCAAGCGGCCGAGAGTTCGCCATTTCCTACGCCGTGGACAAAGATCGCCGCTTTTCCACTACCGGATAAGCAGTTGCCAAGAAGAACCGAAAAGGAGGAAACATCTTTTTCGATCAAAACAAGCTAGCTCCAAATCTCTCCGAAAAAACAAGACTGCGGATACAACTTTTGTGGTTTTTCAACGTCTCCAAATGAACGACTACGAATATGACTCAAAATACCCATGACCAAGCTTCCAGCCAACCAAATCGGCCGGTACCAGGCGATACCGGTCGCTCCTCAAAGATGACTCAACCTCCATTTTTTTTTTTCCGCCGCCGCAAATCGTTCCTTATAAGCATCCTGGCCGCATTTTCAGCATTCCAGTGTCTTTTTTTGCTTCTCAAGGATACAGACCCAGTTTTCGAGAAGTTGTGAGGATCGAAGGTCGAAAAAAGAAAAGAACTCTCCGTATCGGAACCAGCAAACTTCATAGATATAACAGGATCTTAATAATCTTACTGTCGAGCTGAATTTTTCATGAAACCTTCAGGTTCAAGTGTTCTCCAGAACGCTATTAACGACGTGTCGTTTTTCACTTTACCATACTATAACAACAGCTTCCAGCTCGTCTCTAGTCGAAATCCTTCTAGTTTTTCAAGATTTCTCTGGCGAATCTACTTATCCTTTCTGAGCACACTACACATTTTTGATGACTAGTTTCCGCTTCTCAGACCTACCGCACAGGACAAACATCTTGCTCATTTATCCTCGAAAAGTGTTGCTCAAAGTGTCCCTCCTGACCATCCTCACGTGGACGAGAAGCCAACCAAAAACCGAAGGCGAAATAAACACAAAAGGGGGAAGAAGACGTTGAAGGACGAGGCCGACCGAGGAAGAAAGGGAAAAAAAAAATTTAGGAATGCGAACGCCTTCAGGATGAGTCATGGCGAATTCCACATCGCCGTATCGGTTGCCTCAACTCGGCAAATCTCTTTCCTTTCGATTAAGGAGGCACAAGAACACGTTCGCTATTCGCCGACCACCACGCAATAAACTTGAAGGGCCGCACGTGCTCGTTCGTATATCGTAGTGAGATCGGAAGCCAACATTCCAGATCCCAGTCTTTCCGAGCTGAAGGAGAGAAAAAAGCCCGGCAAGGACGAGACTCCAAAAAATAGGACAAATTCAGGAAAATTCAGATTTGGATTAAAATCCTCGTGAAATTGCGCTCCATGGACGATTTTCAAGCATTGCACAGACTTTCAAATCTTGCATTGCCCTATCAGATCGTTCAATTTCTTCATCAGAAATGAGAAGTTCTTCCGGAAGAAAATTTTCGGATCTCGAGAACCAGAAACTAAACAATGCCCAAAAAAAAGCATATCTAGAAATTCACATGTAATTGCGCTCCATGGACAATTTTTAACATTGCTCTTTATTTTGGAGATTTTCTCCCACGAACAATTTTATATACTCATCAGGAACGCTAATCGTTTATTATTAGAAAAAAAAACCGAAATTCACCGTTTTCCTTGGAGCACTCTTCGGCAATTTCTCCAGTTTATTCCACAATTCTTTTCTAACTTTCTGAAAACTAAAGAGAGTAACTCTCCTTCTAACTTCTGATCATTTGACCTTCTGCCAAAATGATTTCTGCAACACTATAATAACACGTGGCTAAATAAAAGAGCCCAAAAAGAATCGCGAAAAAAGCGCCGATTCCAAAACATCCGATCAGAAATCTCGCCATTCTTTTGTTCAAAACCCGACAAAACACATTTTGTTTCCCGCTCGAATACACTCTACTACAGCAGAAACCAAACAGAAAACACTATTTGTTCAATAAATTGAATGGAATGCTGTCTGGATATCGATAAACGAGTGTCTATCCCAGCTTCACAACAAATAGGCTCTTTCCCAAGGTTGGGTCAACAAAATCCTCGTTTTAAAATGACAAAAGCGATGTTGCTGTGTGGAGATTGAAAAGGGGAGTTCTTTGAAATTTTTTGAAAAATACTCCGTGAAAATGATTTGAAAATAACTTGAACAATTTGTGAACGTATCGCAATCGCGAAACCGTTGCGACCGACCCAGATTGGCTTATTCTCTGATAAATAAAAATAGAGCGGAAAGATTCCGCACGCTTCGCAACCGCTACGCTTTGAGCCATTCTCCTCGCGGCCTTGTCCTCGCAAATTTCAATTTTTTTCAGAAATCATAATACACCGGGTTTTTCAAAAACTATGACACTAAATTCCTTCCGTTTCCCCGTTGCTTTTCACACAGGAAGAAGCCTAATTCGAATTAATTCAAGAATTTCTCGTCCTTAAGCCTCTCAGTCTGCGACCATCTACCGCGCTGTCAAAGGAAGAAAATTACCGATTTTCTTGTTCCGCTTTTACGGTAAACAATGATCACAACCAAAAAAATCATTGCAACAAACAATTGTGTGAAGAATGACTGCTACTCCGAATTTTCCTTTTCTCATTTTATAAAATAATTTTGAAAAATAAATTTGAAAATTTCAATAAATACTTTAGGCGGAGAATGAGCAAAGAGTACTTTCTTCCTCATTAGTCCTGATATTCTCAAATTTCACCCGGAACTTTTCGTTTGTGTCCTAACAAAAAGAATCCTCTCAAGATCTTCTAGCCACTATTCATTCACCATTTTTCCCAACGATTAAATTTCATTATTCCTATTAAACTCTAACCAAAGCGCGACCAAAAACCTCAACCAAAGTTCTCCGACATCCGGTACAGTAAAAAGGCGACGAAAGCCTTGGGAACCAAACAACCCATGTTATCACACACATTACGAGAAGTGCTGCAATCGGTTTCTTATCAGTGACAACTGCCGTTTCATTGAAATGGCTGCCGTTTATCGCCATCAAAAGTCAAGGATTCCGCCGGGTTTTTGTGTACTCGGCGACTGTGTGGTTGTGCGTGAGCGTGTCCGACACACACTGTTATCAGCTGACGAGCGTGAGAAACTGGCGCCAGCCTGGTGAAAAAGAGGCTTTGATAACTCTCTGATAAAGACCGACGATCCAACAACGCTACGATGCAGCAAAAAAGACCGGGAATGATATCAACAGGGATGATAATCGAAAGTTGCAAAGTCCTTCTTAAAACTTTCTCCAAATAATGATAAAAGCTCAATTCAAAAACTTCTGTAGCAAGAATAATGTTTTTCAAATAAATCCTCAAATTTGAACTACTTCTCGCAGCCGTTTGATAAGTTGAAAAGTATACAACTAAAGAGCCTCTAAACGGTCTGAAACCAGTATGTCGAGCTTCTTAAACAGCACAATTACAATCTCAAATGTTCTAAATCCAATAATCCTGACAACCTATTCACCAGGTCAAACTCCTCCACACATCACACTTCAGGACCAACGGCGATTATGTTCAAAAAACAAACAGGAAGGAAAAAGTCAGCGCGTTGCTCATCACCTGCTCTAAAGACCAAACTCTCGACGGAAAACGGCGCCAGCACATCATCGGAAATGACATCAGTTTCCAAATAAAGATGACAATGTTAACAGGCGTCGTTTTTACACCGAGTTGGCGCCGTCGAGGTACCCGAATCCTGGGCGCGGCGGCTCCGAGAAGGCGCCTCGGGCTACGGTAGAAGGATCAACAACAACTCGCGGGAAGGTGAATCAAAACAATCTGCGCGAGTGTCGAAATATTGCGCAACGTACCGAAAAACCCGATCATTTGATGAAGCCATGATTCGAGCAATAGTATTCTGTTATGAGGGATTTAGTCCAGGTTATAGAAAAATTCTCGAAGTAAATTCTGAAAATGATGAACCTCAGAATGAGAAATACGTGCTTGTGGTGTTGCGGACGCAAAAATTTTCCTTCTGTGAAATCCAAAAAAACTGAGATGCAAACTCGATTCAACCAGTTCAAAAAAAAATTTTAGTCATATACTTTTAAAAATAAGTTCAATCTTATGAGGAAAAAATTTTTTTCAAAATATTTCGTGAATTCTCTACTCAACTGTTTCGTATGGACCTTTGCCAGAATGACTCTAGCCTTCGAAATTTAAAAAAATATTTTGCAGAAGACTCTCCTGATTTAAATTTAAAAAAATCTTTCGAAGACTATTTTTCAAGCCAAAACTAAGAATTCGGAAAACGCGGTCTTTTTCGAAAAAAATGTCCCCGGAGCAAATTTGCAGCTGAGTTTCCACTTCAATTTTTATTTTTCTCCTTTGTTCTCCAATTTCATACGATGTGTACTTCTGCAGAAATTTTGAAAAAAGCTTTGAAATTATTTTAAAAAACAACTTAACAATTTCAATAGCTTTTGCAGAGCATAAAGCTGAAAACATCTTTATGAAACTTAATACTCCCAGGATCACACCTTCCAAGTTCTATTTAAAATCCCAGAAAAACATATTTCAAAATGATTTCCAACTTTTTCGAAACGTTGCACAATCTCATTTTTGCACGAGACTTTTGCAAAAACGAACGTTTTTAGTGGTTTTTTCTCCACTTTTACAGTGTGAGTCACACGTGTTCTTCTTTGTGTAAGTGTATGTTAGTCGTGAGTATTTCCATCGTTTTGTGGACACAAGTACCACCGAAAGGAGAAAAAAACTTGGGACGAGCATGACTGGGCACCGTTCCAACACATGTGTTTGTATGTGTGGGCAGAGCATGTTTAAAAAGATGACGAAGGTCGACGAAATAAATAAATACGGTTAAAATGCGTGTCGGGTTGCAGTGACTCAACTCGTTTCCTATCACAACTCTCAACTCAATCAAAACATTCCCCCCGGAGTGCAGTTGAGGGACAGGACTTTGTCCACGGACGATGTTTGAGAAAAATGTTCAAAAAATCCAATGTCATTTTCTTTTAAAGCTGGGAATTCTTTAAAGGCTCATGTAGGCTATTTTTACCAAGGTCCTCACACGAAAACTGTGAAGTTCTTAGGAAGTACGCAAAAACTTGAGAAAAGGAGAGAAATAAGGAAAGTTGAATTTTAAATGTTCTTGTTGGGATGAAACTCATGATTTATGAAGTTCACAATTAATTTTCCGTTGAAGCCTTGACCGGTCATCGAAACGAGATTTTTCTCCAATCGTAAAACTTCACCGTTGCTATTTCCTCTTGCGCTCTTGCAACATTTTTTTTTCTCTTCTTTTCAACTCAAAATTTGTCCTTTATCAGATAAAAAAGTCTGCGAGAAAATCACGCAGCTCAACGATCCGATCAACCACAACTTTCACCAGGAAAAGGCGATCTTTGCCCTGAAAAAGCCCTAAAACGCCCACGGGCCATTGTTAGAACACATTCACCCACACACGCACACACATTGTGTTGCAACAAACCAGAAAATAAAAGTCAGAAAAAAATACGAGAGGTTCTGCAAGCGCAGCAGAACGTGATGTGCTCTTTGTCATCAGCTGATCGCGAGGAAAACAGAAAAGGCTTAAAATCCAGTTTCTGTGACTTGAAACAGTCTGCCTTCTCTGGGCCCTCTTATATCATGAGAGAAAAGAGAGCGCAGACAGGCCAGATTGTTTCGAGTTGTGGCGTTAAACCAGTATTAAAGTATCGAATTGATAAAATCGGAGTTTGAGAAATTTGCTTGCAGAAGTGGTCGAAGACAAAGTTTTCGCAGAAAACTTGGCAGTTTTTCAAAAAAATGAGCAATATACAAACAAAAAATTGAAGTTATGAACTCCTTTCAAAAAAATTAAACTATAAGTTGTCACAAAATTGAGGAATTTGAGTTGGCACACTTATTTTGGCTTCTTTTGCGTTAACCTAAGGTCGCAATGGGAATGGCTCAACTGTGGAACGATTTCGTATTTTTTAAAGATTATTTAATTTTACAACCGCAGAAGATGATTCCAGCATCCCTCAGGAAGAGTTTGAAAATTCTCAAGCCCACATTTGAAACATCCACCGTCACCATGCCAAGAAAGACACAAAGAAAGCTTCTTCTGTACTTCTTACACAAACTGTTTATGAACGTTTAAAGATTCTCATTCTCAAGCCTACGATGAAAGAACTACAACATAACACACTACACCTTCATGAATCACTTCTTGACTGCTGAATTTCCTGCTAAAACGTAGCCAGCTGTTTGCTGCAAACGTGTAGGTCGAATTCTCTTCGCCAACTGATAAATCATTTGCTTTTCTATCAGCTGATCACTGGGTACACTCGCCCGTACCTACGTTGCACAAAAGCTTCCGGGCAAAGTCATCAAACAATTTTCGTGTCCGTTTTTCTTTTGTTTGACGATGAAAATCGGGCCGCGCGTGCTCTCACGTGGCTTCTCAGCACTGAATGACGAGGCTGACGTCAAGAACGGGGCAAAGTACGGTCATCAAATGATCGACATTAAAAGCTTTTTCTCCTCTGTAGAGGTTCCAGACAGAGAAAGCTTTCAACTGTTACAGTACTCAATTCTTCGAAGGTTGCCGATAGTGTAAAAAGAGGCTCAAAAAGTTTTAAGAAATACCATGAAAAAGTCTTTTGAAAGTTTTTGATGCAAAATTCACTTACAGAGAGAAGCACAAAATACATTCTAACTATAAAGTAAATTTCTTAAGTATGCTATGAACATAAAAAATTTACTTTGAGAAGGTTTTTCACATGAAAGCTTAAAAAAGCTCTGGAAAGAGTCATTTGACCATTCTCTGAGTTACTTCAGTCTGCTCAAGTTGAAAATTTTCTTTCAGACAAGAAAGATCTTCTGAACTCTCTCAATTCCTACCGTACTGCAGATTTTTCACGATCAAAAACCGTCAAAAAGGCTCGTAAAAGCGTTTCAGACTCATTTGACAGGCCGAAACATCGTAAAATACCACCTTTCAAGGAAATATTGACAGCCCGCTGACAGCCTTCGACAGCAAAAGAAGGCAGTCAAGCGAAGGTCATGCATCCGAAAAAATCGTATGATAAATTCGGTACTGAATTTATGGGTTTGATCGGGAAAGGGGGGAAAGTCCGAAACTGATCTGCTGACGTCTTCAGGCGCCATTGAGCGGTCAGATGACGGCGATTCTGACACGAATAAATCAGCTGAATCAGAATCCGATCCAAGCTTTGAACCTTTATCGTAGACAGGAGAGTGGAAAAAAAAATTCTCCACGTTAAAACTGAACTTCTTCTTTCTTCTTTGGTACACACTTTACCCACACTCGATGCTTCTTCGAAAATCAAAGCATTTTTTTTGTCTTTTTTCAATTTTTTTTAAAACTATATAAAAAGACGTTTTCAAAATTATACTCTGTTCGCCACCACTTTAGAGATCGTTCCTTTTTGATCTTTCAACGACGATCTTGTCTTTGAATACTATTCTTCTTTCAATGGCCGCGACGAAGAGAGAAAAGAGAGCGCAGACAAGCCAGACAGTTTCAAATCACAGTGATTGAAGTATGAACGAGACCCGACAGTATCCAAATATTTCTCGAAAAAGACACGCAAACAGGTTTTGCTTGCGAAAACTTCGCACAGGCTTCACAGAATTTTTTTTGTACGTTTGATTTATGCGTGTTTTCGGAAGGAGCGATCTCATCTCAACCGTCGGTCCAAAGGCTAGAAATCCGCATTCCATTTTACCGGACATGTTTTGTTGGTTTCTCTGGGAGGCGACGGAGGCCTCCGAACCGCCAGAAAAACCGGATTTCCCACTAGGCACAAGACTCCCTGAACCAACTAGCGATGCGCAATAAGACACCTAGTAAAAGCGAGTTTATTGCGCGCAACTCGCAGATAAAAAAAAAACAGAGAGGGAGAAAAAGCTTCACGCGTTCTACAATAACAAAAAACCGCCGGCCTATCAAGTGATTAACTTTCGGGGATCATCATGTGATGAAGCTGGATTTTTTTTTCAAATAATTTCTAAAAAGTTCAGAAGATCAGAAACATTTCACTATATCAAATGGCTGCACTTTGAATGTTTTTTATTGAAAAATAGATTCCCGCAATATTTTTGAATAATCTATCGTTCTCAAAGCTTCTATCTCAACCTAAAGTCTGAGGAATATTGAATTTTCGTGTTTGAGTGACACTTTTGCTCCACGGAAAGAAGTACGCTGATTTAAATTTCCTCGTTCTTTCAAGAATGAAGTCCTTGAACATTGTCTCTGTAGGTCACAAGTACAAAACCTCTTATCCTAGGCTTCTAAGTCAAGAATCAGCTCTGACAGGCTCAACTTCCAGCAACCATGCAAATTCAATGCTTTTTTCCAATCTTGAGTCCAAACTTCCGTTTGATCCAAGCCTCATCTCTTCACTGTTGCCTTGCCAACCCCGAAAAAACCTTCCAAAATCATAAAACTCGGTCTTTGCTTGGAAACGAAGAGCCCACAAATTGTTGGAGCCATAACAACGAGGAAGATGATCAGAAGCGCAGAAACAGGGAGATGTGCCTCGGCGAAAAATCGGGGACAACCCAATGATTTATAATAGTCGTCTCTTGTTCCTCTTCTCGCCCGTACACCAACACAGACAAGGCAGCCGTCGGCGCCGCGTAGACGACGTCGCCAGATAAGCCTCCGCCACGAAGACGTCAGTCCCAAGGTGCACAATGGACCGCCACGAGGGACACCTTCCGTCAATCACAGAGACGTCTTTTGATACTGTTTCAAGCACGTGAAAGACGAGAATAGTAACGGCTTCGAACTTCTGTTCTACCAAGGTCCATTATAGAGAAACTTTCTTGACTTGTTCTGTCAATTAAAAGGAGACTCCTGTTCTGCAGAAATTTCCTATTCCAAGCTCAAAAAAAGCTGAAGAAGAGCTACTTAGTCAGTACGAAAAAAAAATATTCAAAGACAATTTTTTTCTTTTTCTTGACCGATGATTTTTTAATTAATTTTAAAAAAATTTACCGTAACTTTTCTAACCTCTTTTACGGCCACTCTACTTGAACTTTCCAAAAAATCATTTTTTGTCGATTTGAAAACTTTTTACCAGTCACTGCACTCTCCAGGCTATTTTTTACCATTAAAAAGCCTCAAACTGGTCCTAAAAGTGTCATGCGGAAGTTTAAACATTCCCCGGTCTAAAGGGAAATAAAAAAGTGAGAAAAGTGAACTTTTCTCATTCACGTTAAATGATACGACACGTTGAGAACTGGGTTAGAACAATTTTCTTTCCAACAATATCCAGAAAACCTTACAATCATCAGGAACAATCAACGCAAACATTGTTAATGTTATCACAAGAATTTTCTTGTTGTAAATTCTTTTTTCTTTCTCTTTGTACAAGCCACCAGTTTCAAATGAGGAAGTTATGTCTTCGACTTGAAGGAAGTGTCAAACTACACACAAAGCGTTTCTTTATCTCCGAAACTTTTAAGAGTGCTAGATAAACGGGTTCTCACGGTCGCCAAATCAGACCGAATTTCCCGGGTTTTTAAAATCGAGAAGAACCTATCAAAGGGAGAATCCAAGACTTGAGCTTCTCGACTTGCAAACTTAAACTTCCGAACTCTTGACGCTACCGACCAAAGAACAACTACCGAGAATCACTGTTCAGATGGTCCGAAACGGCTTTTTACCTCGTTCAAAGTAAATAGCGATGCTGCGGCACCAGTTTCACCAACTCTAATCACGTGCATTTCAACAAATAAACATACAGAAAACTCCCAAAAACAGGCGAATAATGTCTCATGTTTGCCCAATCGCTACATAATCTTCAACTTGGAAGTTCATCCTAAAATGACGAGTTTCACGATCTGATGAAGTTATTGAGAAATTGAGAAATACGAATTAACCGAAAACTTGTAGGAAAAAGTTCAAAGAGTTTTCTAAAATTTAAGTTATCTCTTGAGTGGTGTTATCCATGGGGCGCCCATTACACAAAGGAGAGCTGAAAATTCTTAAAATTTAGTGTTTTATTTGCAGTTTCCCCTTTAAGCGTTAACAGCTGAGATATCAAGCAAGAAAACTTTTCTTTATCATTTCCCACGTGTTTTTACGTTTCAAAGTCATATTATAGCTACCAAACTCAAGCCTATGCGTTCTTGAAATGACCTTCCAAGGTTTATGATTTCAAAAAAAGAATAGAATGCCTCTGGAACTCAGCCACCTAAAAAAAGAAAGTGCTCTATGGTTGACTAATGAAAAACCATTCCCTAGAACCTTCTCCTTTTTTTCCAAGGAACTGATCAGCTTCCGGAATCAATCTGATCTAGGAGGAAAGCGCAAAGATCATCAAATAAGAGGGACCAGTTCACTTGGCAACACACTCGGCAAACAATCTCTTGGAGCCGACAACTTTTGCAGGAGAAGCGCACATCCATAAAAAAAAAACGTCGCCAAAACGCTATCCGAGGCTATTTCGAGCCTCGGTTCGTTCTTTCTGTTGATTTTGGCGTCAGCAACGGCGTCGCGGTGGGGACCGTTCCCAGAACGGCGCCTAGAGGTGCTAACAAAACATCTCCGAGTAACTATTGGGGCCCTCGAGCAAACATTCCAGCAGCTTGATCGCCGTTCACCTAGTTTTTCTTTTCTCATAAGAGTTCCGCAGGAAAAATGAGGTTATCATTGGTATACTTTGACCCCAAGCTTTTGATTTATGACGCCAAATTCTTACTTGTCGAATTATCGAGAGGACACATTACGCAAACCTAAAATTTGAAGTTTCTTGATTTATTCAAACTTCAAGATGAATTCTGACTTTCCCCAAAGTTTCCAAGCTTCAAATCAGTTACAAAACTTGCCAAAGTCCTCCGAAACAGTAAAACCCCGCACCCAAATGACATCAGAACACCGAAACAGTTTGATCAGGTCGTTAAAGAAAGAATCCTCCGAACGATTCCACGTGATAACTGACAAAAACATCATCTCCAGTTCAAGGAACGGAACAAAGAGTTGGTTCACCGAACTAAACTCTCTTTTTGTCTGTTTTTCAGTTCAAATCGTATCGAAAATAAGTTGCCGAAGCGGTCACGCAGCCGTTTATCGTTTCGTCGACGGCGAGTGCTTGGAAAAACTCTTTCCTTTTTCCTCAAACAAAACACTAGGGTCATTTAAGTGTTTGATGAAGACTCGGTGTATGAAAATTGGGTTTCACGGTTCGTTAGTAGAAATACATTAGCAGTCACATATATATTGAAAATGAGCAACTTGTTTCTCAATTCAACACGGTTGAAAACTGTAACGTGGCGAAAAGCATTTTTTATGAGGTGAAGATGTCGAAGGTTCAAAAAATTAAATTAGGGACACATGAGTTTCAATTTTCCGCAAGTTCTTTTCTTTCTCTCAAGATTGTTTAAAAAAAGGCGTCATGAAGTATTTTATTGCACAAAGGGTCCTCATTAAAATTCCGTCGAATTTTGATCAAGGTAAATGGTCCATAGAAATTGAGATCACAGGTGGAGAATTCGTGTGTATTTTATTTTTGAACAGAAAGAAAAAAAACTACTCTTAAACATATCCTTGAATTTCAGTGCTCCAAAAGGATGATCAACCTACGAACTCCCCTTTTTCTTGACCCTAGACAAAGTGCAAATGAGCGTTCTTTGTTTCCAGGATAAGGCGTTCTTGTTGAGCCTGAGCTCATAAAAAACGAAGAAACATCGGGAATAACTAATTTGATGGGCAGAAAACTCGCAACACAAATGTTAGTAATGCATGTTCAGTACCACTTCCTGAGCGACTACATCAAGATTTTGTTGTTCTTTCGGGAGGAAGAAAGATTGACCGTTCAAAAATAAATAATAGTAAACTTTTTGAATGGTTACAGATCCCTTCAGTTTTTCACTAATTTAATAAAAATTTCATGTACTAAACACCCGTAACTTTAAAAAGGACGAAAAGAAAACTTAGATAGAAAGTTTGAAACATCGTAATAACCTACAAATTTTCACTTTTTGGTTTTTTGCTTTGTGAAAAAAGGTAATTCTGAAGCTAGCAAACAGAAAATTATTGGATCTAATATTGTTTAAAAACTCTGATTCATATAGGGGAGCCAAAACTAATTCACCAATTTCGGTTTCAATTTGAAAGGTATAAAAAATATAAAATAAAACTTTTTTGCAAATTATGGAATTCACAGTGATCCAAAAAGCGACTATCAAGAGACAGAACGATTTTGCCTTTTTAAGTGAACGTATAGAGGCTCTCAAATTCCCCTAGTGGTTCTTAAAGTGCTCAAAATAGTTCGACCGTCATTCTTTATGATGTTCAAAAGTTTGAAAATCGGAATATCTCACATTGTGCTCAAAATTTAGCTTCTTCGCTACTTTCCTGTTTGAAATCGAATATTTATCCATGGAGCTAACAAGCTCCCAAGTCACAATTTTTTACGGCTCTTTCTTCCTAGCCACTTTTTTTGTGACCATTACCTTGCGGCTATTTTTCCCAGCCAATCAAAGTCGATGTTTTCACATAAAAACCGAGCAGACATCCTCACCACTACCGTGTGTAAACATGTTCAGTTAAACTATGAGCGAGCAAAAATCGCCACTTTCTTTGTCCTTTTTTCCGTTTTCCAGACGATCTGATGGGATTTCTGATCGAGTTAGCTTCTCGTCTTCCCTGGGAAAAACACACATAAAGAACGGTCAGATGCATCGCAGCCGTTCCTTTCTCTTAAATATTTTTCGATTCGCACTGTGGACATTCGAGTAAGAAAAACTGCACCGAAAGGTCGAAATGATCAGGTGCTTTGCAGCTGCGAAAAGTCTGGAGTGTTCAATTTGAAAGCAGAACAAAATAAATGGAGAAAAGGGGTCAAAAGATCGAGTTGAACTTCAAAAAAAAAGTTATAAGCTTATTGGCGCATAAATTCAAAAAAAAGTTTAAAAGGGACCGTGAATAATTGGATAACTGATTTTTAAACTATGCGTCTTATGGCTATTGGCTAACTCTTTCAGAAAAAAATAATCGAAAAAGGTACGATGAGATGAAAAAAATTGAGTAACACATTCACTACTCCATTTTTATAACTTATTTGTTAGTTTCGAGAAGTTCGAAAACTTCAAACTTAAATTATATTTCCTCTCTAATTTTTGAACCACAGCTACTTTTTTTTTTTATTAAATTTGGAAAAACTATGATGGTTAATTTATTATTCTATCATTTTGTTTTTTTAGTTTTCAATATGTTTTAAAATTTTCGAAGTGAACCTCCAGTTATAAGATAATTCACGCCAAAAGCCTTAAAGTTCATAAAATCCTCGAGATTTTCTCTCTTGAAAGTGCGACCACAAATCACATCCAAATCACTGTTTACCCTGAGCTAAAAGCAACTCATAAATGCTCACGTCGCCCACTCAAACCGTCGAAAAAAAGGAGAAAATTTGCTCATAATGTATTTGAACAAACAATTGGTCGCGTGTGACAGCGACAAAGATCGAAGCGGCTCTCCGGATGATGATCATCAACATCATATGCCTTGTTCATCGACAATAACATGCTCCAAATATTTGCACACAGTATTTCAACAAGCTTCCGTCCATCGGCCAACCGAAAAAGGAAAGAAGACCGACAATTGGTCGGGAATCGAGCCAAATGAGCATGAGCAAACATGGCGACAGTACGTGACTGTTTCGCTGAGCTCCATTATCCGAATGGCTTCAGGTATATGCAAAAAGGGAGCAAATCTCTTCCAAGAGACTATATGATAAAGCGTGGAAGTTATTTTTCACTTTCCAGAAAACGGTATCTACTTGCAGTAGGACTTCTGAATGAGACCAAGTTCACTAGGTGTAGTTTTTGACGTTGGTTTGAAGTCTGGTCTCAAAAACTGCCGCGGAAGCCTGTGGAAAAAATTATGGGCCCTCGAAGGTCAGAAATGTTGACTTATTTTGATTGAGATCATGGTCAGAATAGCTAGAGGAGGCTGTCCAACTCATAACAAGCATCAAAAAATCTTCTGAGCTACAAGGCAACTTTATATTTCATTCCGACCGCGACGCCTTGAACCATTCTCCGTGCGTCCATTCAAGACTTCCCAATACAGGAAGTATTGAGTATATTAAGCTGTCGGAAAGATCATTTTTTGAAAACGTGTTCATAATCAGATTCTGTAGTTTTCAATTTCAACTTTCTTTCTCCAGAAATTCCACTCCCAGTAAGTCCTAATTTTCAAACCTTCTTCTCCCCTACGAAGAAGTACTGACCACCAACAGCTCAAACTGAATCAGTATCCTATTTTTCTTCGTAAAACTCTCCTTCAGCACAGCTTCCAGCCTTCCAAACAATAAATCCCATTCAGTCCATTGTCTCAGCCGAGAAAGGGCGTCCACATGTACTATTTCGAATCGAAATTGGCTTTGGATATATAGCAAATGGTAATAAATAATACGGGAGGACATTTAGGATTCTTCTGGAAATTGGCCCATGTGAAATATGGTTGAAGATGAGGATCCTCTAAACCCGAGGCGTTACAGGGGAGCCGGTTTTGGTTTCAACTTTTACTGAATAGTTTCTTTCCTTGAAATCAAAAAAGAAGTTAAAAAATGAAGATGCTGTGCGCAGAAGCCTTAGCATCAAAAATATAACTGAAATCGGCTTCTCAACTTTTTTTTATTTGAAATTCGCTATGCTTCTCTTAGAACCGAAAGAAAACTTCAAGGAGATTTCGAAAAAAAATTTTTTTGCTGATTCCTGGAGATAATCAAGCTTGAAAGCTGTCTATTCACGGACAAGCTCCTACACTTCTATTCAATAGCTATCAAACGCCTTCTCCACTTTCTAAAGCCCTTGTTCTGATCTTCTGGTTCCAATCTCTTTCGAAGCAAAAATCCTAATCCGACAAGGAAAAAGCCGCGAAAATGTTTGCAAACAGAGCAAAACACATTCTTTTCTCACACAAGGGAACGTCAACAACTTTCAAAGAGTTTTTCCTTCTTCTCTGCAGGGATGCCAACGGCCTTTTCCGTTCAGTTTTCTCTCAGTTGGCTGGAAAAAAATAACAAGGCAACACAACAGAAAACGGCTTGAGGCCACATGCGCCGGCCGGCCAAAAACGGAAATAATCTCAAGTAAACAGGGGCACGCGCCAAATGTACATTGGTCACTAGGAGCAGCACATTTAATTGAAAAATTTGAAACCTGCAGGATTGGAAAATCAGACCTGCCATCTAGAATCGCCCAAAAAATGATCAGGGGAAAAAATCATATTTTAGGCTCAGTAAGAAAAAGGCTAAGCTTTCAAACTTGTACATGTTTCGCCAGATATATACATTAGTAAAAGATTTTTGATCCCTCTCGGAACTGATTGGTGATGTAGAAAAATTTTCACGCTCACCAAGGGAAAATTTTGTGAGCTCCATAACTTATTTCTCAAGAAAAAGAAATAAAGGTAGCTTTTAGATTCTTTTCCATAAAAAAGTAGCTCATACCGTCTCCTTCTGAAATACGCTTTAAAAGACACCAAGAAGCCATACAGTACCCTAATCCAAAAAGGATTTTTCCTTTCCCTCCTCGTGAATCTAGAAGCGTCGCAGTTCGTTAGCCAATTTCTGAAAAAATTTATTTCTTCCGCAGCATGTCAATTGCAAATGCTCTTCTGAACTCTGAAGTTCACTCCAGGTGCACGAAGAAGACCTACAGTACACTTTCGATGAAGCGAAAATATTATTCAACCGTCAGAGCAATCTCCAGCAGACATCCGCCACCCATTAATTCGCCTTCGTCGGAAACTTCACTCTCAAAAAAAATCAAAAACAAAAAGGCATAAATTCGGGCATTTCCTTTGTGCCAACACGTGCCATCGGCGAAGACGTGCGCGCGAAAAAACGGCGCGCCAAAGGACATGAGTTTTTGAAAAGACAGCCGAAGGAAAAGAAAAACAAGAAAAAACGGGCGCGAACGTACGCGTTTTGTCCTTCAAAACATCCGTTGGCAAAGCAAAAACGACTCATTTTGGCGCACATCTAACCTCTCTTCATTACTCGGGTGCAAAAACTGTCGCCTCGCATCAGGCCCAGGCCCAAACATGGTAATAAAGCAGACTGGCGCGCCAAAAAGGACACCTTCTGGAGTTTTCTTGCCGACAAGTTTTTCTTCGATAGAAAAACTAATATGGGGGGTCGACTTGGGAATAAAAACCCTGAAAGTAAAGTAAGAGTTACAGTACACCCAATTTGCTTTGAAAATTCTGTTCTCCAATAGAGATTATCTACTAAAAAAATAACTGAAGCTTCAGGTAAAAGTTTAACTTAACCATATTTTTTTGCCGTTTCTGATTCTCTTGAAGTAGTTCGTTCTCTAGTTGCGGCCAATTTCTTGGAATCATATAAGAAAAGATTATTCCAGCGGATTCCGAGATCCATGACGCCTACAGTACACCTAATCTACGTAAGAATAAAAAATGTTGAGAAGGAGAAAAATTTTTCTCATACGGAAACTAGTGAACTGAACCTTAAATAAGGGTTTATCAAGTGAGTTGTTGTGCTTTATCTTCAATTAAAATTTACCACAAAAATTTTCAGAAATGACTTCAGAAAAGAAATGCTACCGTAACTCTCGCACAACCTCTCCAAAAACCCTCCAAAAGTCCATTCCAAGAGTCACTTGAGCAGTAATTATTATGCATGGAACTCGAGAAAGGGCCAATCAACTCCGATCGTCGGATTTTCGCGCGCAAAACCGTCGCCGACAAAAAGAGCCACCTGTGAAGTGCGCCCTAATCCGAAACCACCCGCCGTCATGATAGGGATTTGCCGCCAAACGGTCGGCGACGATAAATCCGATTCAGCATTCCCATATGTAATTACCCACGTGCGAGACATAATCGAAAATACACCGGAAATCGAGTGTAGTTTGGTCAGTGAGAATGGGGCTCAAAAAAAAGCTCGGAATTTTTGAGGGAACGAAAACCTTGAGACTCTCGGAGAAGAGCTAAAAAAAGTATAAAGGTAAAAAAAAGCTTTCGACGCAAAACTTTTTATGTTAGAACTCCATTTAAGACTTCTATCAAAAATTTCAAAAAAAAAACTGCTCTTTTTCTTTCATTATCAATAACTTGAAAATAAAGAAAAAAGAAATTCCAACCGGTTTATATTTTTTCTTCCTTATCGTTCAAAATTTTTATCCATGGAGCTAAAATGCCATTTTTAAGCTTCTCTTTGAAAGAGATTTTTTTCACAGCTTGTTTGTACTTTTTCCATCGTTAAAGTTCCACTAAACTGTGTTTTAAACCCTTTTTTTTTTCTCAAAAAAAGTCACTTAACTCTAAAAATTCTCATTCTCCAGAACACAACCTAAGTAAATCAAATCCTCTCTTCTTCCTTATCAGAAGACTCGGTCTGACCTCGAGTTGTTTTAATAGCCATTAAGTGGATCGCATATTGCGCGAGAATAAACGTTCTCCCTTCAAATGCGTCCATTGGTTTATTCCCACTCCATATTTTACCATATGTGGTCCGAGATAACAACTTTATAGTGGTCATCGGCCATCGGGGAAGGATTTCTGAGCGATTTGAAACGTCTCAGAAGTAGAAAATGCGAAGATTCCTGTTACACTCTTTAAAAGCTTTATTTCAGCTTGATTTAAGGATTTTGACTCGCTTTTTTTCCCATAAACTCCAATTAAGTTTTATCTTTTTTTTTCTCACTCATTACAAGCTTTTTCTAAATATGCTAATTTTTAAAGAACCCACGATTTGATCTAAATGATGCCCTTTCCAACCGAGCAAAGTCCACCAAGAAAGTAAATAAAAGCGACTTTCATAGATCTCTGAGTAGAAAAGGGTTGATTCAATTGCCTCCGTCTTATAGAAGCAATAATAAACGTTCGGAGTACTGGTTTTTAATGCATCAAGTGCTTTTTCGGTTGAATGGCATAAATAATGAAAAAATAGTTGTTTTCTGTAACTAATTTTCAAGATAGACCTGAAATTTTGAAAATTCTTTAGTTCAAAATAACTCTTTTGATCTTGAGATGATTTTTAAGGTACTTCATCAAAAACCAATTTTTTCGGAAAAAAATTTTTTGAGGGTTTATTCATCTCATCATTAGAGCGTGGTCGCACGTGGAATGGCTCAACGCGCCGCGGTCGCGTTGCGGTTGTCAACAGCTCAACCAAAAGTTCTCAAACTCGCGCAAGCCGTTTTGGGTCAGGCGCAAGGCAGCCGTGGCGTTTAGAAATATTTCTCGCACCTCTAAAGCGTTCCAAGTCCTACCATACGCTTTCAAAAGATTCGTTCCCAAAGTATCTCAGAAAATACCCATTCCAACTTCAACTCGATCTATGCACTTTCAAAGCCACGAAACAATCCTAATAATCCATTCTTCAGTACCATTAATATTCCCAAAAAGGGCTCGTCCTTTTTTCCACTTCCAAAAAATGCAAATGGAACAGCCATTTTTTTCCATTTTTGGAACGGCGCCCGAGTCCAAACAAAGAAAAAGATGAATAAATAATGAAAAAAGAGGCTGCAAAGTGCGGGGATCTTTTCCGCTAATTCTAAACTTCAAAGAACCAAGTTTTTTTCCTCTCTTGAGCCAATCTAGTGGTCCTTATCCTGTTGAAGGAAAAAGAAGAAAGAAGAAAAAAAGAAGGTAAAAACGGACCTTTCCAGCAATCGAGTCGCGATCCACACAGAAATAACCGATTCTTTCAAATTGGAATCGATCGTAGACTTTAGAATTTCCGATCGATTTGTCGATCAGCACGTTGTACAGCACCGTCAGTGTGTTCTGAAACATTTCTTTTTGATTTCTTTTGTTTTAAATTTAATATTCTCTCATAATTGTGGAAGTAATCCACACACCATGTCTTGGGTGGGTCTCTCAAAAATTCACATGAAGAACTTTTTCTTTTTATGGGAAAAAAATATTCAACTCGCTTGAAAAACTTTTAAAAGAGGTCAGATTCAAAATCCAAAGTTGAAAAGGCAAAATCGTATTTGTTGAATATTTAATTTCTTTCGAAATTCAAAGGAAACCAAAAATATTTTTCCGTTTTGGTTATACAGAGCCTTTTCAGAAAAGTTCCAAACCAAAAAATATCGGTTTGTCTTGATGATTATCTGGCCTCCTTTTCTGTTAACGAACTGAAATTGAAAAACGATTCGCATTCATTTTCAAGAACCAAAGTCAGACAAAAAAGAAATTTACTGTTTCTGATGCCACTCAAAGTTGCAAAAGAATTGAAAAGGTATCGTCGGAACTCTCAAAAATCGACTAATACTATCCCAAAAGGACATGATGATCTACGCGCCGTTCATGATCAACGACAGTCTCGAGATCCGAAGAAAAACTCGTCAATTACTTCATTATTCAGCAGAGAATCTTCTCTGAAGAATGAATACAAGTGTAATCAGTAACTGATTCGAAAACCAGTTCAACCCAAGGCTCAGAAGCCTTTTGAATCCCAACTTCCAGCCAAAATGCAGCCTTCTCCGATTTTTGATCAACCCGTTTGGATGAGCCAACACCACGACACGGAAACGTCGTTTCCAGGTGTGATAATGTGATAATTCTTCCGCGAGTGCAACAAGGGTCGTTGTATTGGCGACGGAAAAGCCGCGGGCGTTTCGCGAGAAAGAGCCAATTGGCCGGAATTTATGGTCCGTGTTTCCATCCACCTCTGTCTTTGTGATCGAAACACGTGTCTTCCACATATTTACAGCTTCACCGGCCGAGCCAAAATCTCGAGAGCCGGTGTGATTTACAAGCCAGTTTTATGGCGCCCACATCTCAACTGGTGCCACTTCTTCCCGACAGCCTTTCTAATTCTTTTTCGCGGATGTGCTCGACTACGGTGGATCCGAGGAGGAAGCACTTTTTGGGGACCTTTCAAGGTCGAAAATTGAAATTTGAAGTTATTAAAACCATCAGACTTTTCGCTATATTGTAGAAGTTGCTTTGATCATTTTTGATTCTAGTTAAGTTTTGCTCTGCTTTCCCAGCTGAAACAGACTTCAAGGGAACTTCTGGGAAGCTTTAAATTTCAAAATTAGGGCTCTAAAGCTTTTTTATGAAAAGAAAGTTTTTGGAGGGGGGAGGGGGTTCAAGACTTTAGGCGTTTGAAAGCTTTTTTACAGCTTTTCCCCTACAGCTCAGATCCGACAAGAAAAGAAGATTGAACTGTTTGATTTCGATTGAACTTTGTAGTATTGAAGAATTGAGAAACAGCCGCTTCTGATTATCCAGAAAAACATCTAATCGAGGAAAATCTCAATACATTCTGGCTTCAGAACCAAAAATGGCGCCAACAACTTTAGGGTAATTTCGGAACCCGCAGAAAGTCAAACTACCGTTAAAGGTCAATCGCAACGTCTTCAGAAGCCACCCAGACGGTTTTAACGACATTGTCTGATGGGTTTCGGAACCGATCAGTTGTTCGCTCAGCCGAAATCGCTCCAATCAAACCAAACGAGCCGAGATGCACTTTTGAAAGTGCAGCCGGTGCGCGTCGTGCACAACACAGACGGCCGACGACGTTCAAAAAATGTGTCTCTTTGTTTCTTCCGTTGGCCGTTCGGTCGGAAAGTTTCGAAAGTCTGGCGTCATTTGGCTAGGGGAGAAGTGAGGAAGAACAGATCTTGCCTTTGTTTGCAGAGTTTGATCTGCAAGGTAGGGATTGAAGTGATATGAGAAGTATGATGAAGAGAGAGATTGTATTGGAGACTTTGAAAAATGTTTTTGACATTTACTAGATCTTATCAGCTCAGCTCCATAACTGAGATATTTTTTACCAACTCGAGAATATTTCTCTGCGAGATGAAACCATCTCAAGCCAAGAACTTCCGATTGCGAGGCTTCAAAAAATTATTTTACTGATGTAGAAAATGAAAAAATTCCCATTCTACATTATAAAATGTATTTTGAGATTTTTGAGTTCTGAGTAATCTGTAAAACAAATCTATTTAGACCTTCCAAATAAAAAGTTAAACCTATTTAAAATTTAAAGTTTCATCAAAACTCCGTCCAATTTTACAATTTTCTTACATCTGGATTGGTCCATCCTCTCAAAAACTACAGTAATCCTTTTCGAATTCATCAAAGAGAGTAATGTCATCCTTCGCCGACGCCGTTCGAAACTTTCAAAGGTTGGCAGAAAAAGGTTTCCTCAGCCACCACACGTCACTTTTTTGTGATCTGTCTGGTCGCGGCCGCAAAATTTCGATCTTTCGATCTTTTCGCGGGCTCGCGCAGAAGAAAGAAGTCTAGACAGGCTGGCCACGTGTGGACAAAGGTTTCGAAAAGTTTCGAAAAAGAGTTTGTCTGGAGGCTGTGAGGCCAGAAAGCGAAGGGGTTGAAAATCTCAGGCTTCTAGAAAATCTAACAGGAAAAAATTTCATTTTTGTCTTTTCAAAAATTCTTGAATCCGAAGACGCAGAAAATCTACAGAAAAAAAGAGAATATCTGATCTCCTTTAGACCATTATACAGTTTGTGCTTCTTTATACGACACGCCAGCAAAAATTTTCGATCAAACTATGAAATTTTTTTCCAGCTTCATATGAAGTTCTTTCCGAAGATTCAGGTCAACCAATTTTGAAGACTCAACTTGAGTTCAAAAATTCAGAATTTGAAAAAGTTTTGAACAGATTTGAAAGTTCAAAAAGGTTTTGCTTCAAATTATTCTGATATTATGTTCTTTTTATAGTTTATCATTCTTGTCTGTGGAAAAAACTCAAAAACTCGAAACCAAAAGTTCGATTCACATCGTAATCGATAAAATTCGAATCTCCTACTTTCTCGCATTTTTTTCTTCCGCCTTTCCCACATCCCGGAAAGATGCATTAACGACTATCAATAAAAAAATTTCGATAAAATTCAAAAACGAGGAACCAAATGTTCACGCGATCAAACTTTTTAGTGCAGCTTTTCCCTCGTAAATCGTCATTAAAATCGGAAAAAAATTTAAAGGACGATCACAATTCCAGCCATGTCGCAGATTTCCGGGGGAGTAGAAGGTTCTTACTTTCAGGAGTTGAATCAAAAAAATAAAAGGGAATTTTCTTGGTAGAATTCAGTCAAAGTATTCAGGGAAGTGAAAAAAATGAAAAAAATTTCTATCAACAAAAAGATCTCTTTTTTTATATGGCTTCTTTATTTTTAATATTATTGTGAAGTCCATAGGGTGCTTTAAAGCTGCGATTGATTATTTAAAAATGTCGTAATTCATTCCATGACGGATTCATTCCACGTTCATTTCATCATATACTTCAATCGTTACACTCCACCTTTTTTGCTCCTACAAAAAGTTCCAACAACATGTTTTCAACCTGCCACACTTCCCGGAACTCAGGCGGAACATCTTAACCCGGGAAAAAAACGACTGCGAGCACCTGCATCGAGATCAATTATCAAGAATCGGCCACTGCTTGATTCCTCGAAAACGCGGACATCTGTGGGACTTTTTCTCCCGTTCTTTTCACTTCGAACGGCACACAGATGTAGGCGAAAGGTGTACAAACGGAAGACATAACGAGTATTTGAACGATCACTTGGTTTCCATTTTATTAGTTTCTTTCTTCATTGCACGTCGTATAGTAGAAGCTGACGACCCTTCGAAAAAGAAAGCGCGAGCTTCAGATTCCTTCGAGACACATGGAAAAAATGTCGGCGTTCTTGAAAAAGAATCTCGTCGCAAGAAACAGGTGCAACTCTCAAGAGACGCGAAAAAACAGGGCTTTTCTGAGAGAACATTGAAAAAGGATAAATTTTACTTAAAAGAGATCAGTACCAAAAAAGGTTCTGAACGTTTCACCATGCAAAACTTCGTAGTTTTTGAAACATGATGGCTCTAAATTGGACACTCACGGATTTCGAGAGTTACACCGGCTTCGTGGTTCCTTTCTCAAAAAGCAGAAAACTGTGCAGGTTGAAACTTCCAGAAGCTTTTCTGGATATATCAAAATGTGTTACTTATGGCCAATTTTCAGGAAATTCGCACCCTAAAGTAAAATAACTTCTCTGTTTGAATACTAGTTCAGGGTCTGTAAAAATAGAATCAGGGAACTTATTTTTTAGAAGATTGTAGCCTAAAATTATCCGAAGGAGAAGCTACCTTAGAATAATAACACCATTTATAGGACGTTCCTCTCATTCCATTTTCGAAGACCTTCAATTTTCAAAAAATCGCAAAGTACTAATGCCATTTATCAGATGACTTTCCTCTTTTTTTTCCGTTGAGAAAATCTTGGCAAAACTCCGAGGGATGACATTTGACGCAAGCGAATCCGTCTCATCCCATGTATGATTCATAATCTGCATTCAATTAAAAAGCCATAAAAAGACGGCCTAAACGATGATCAGAAGAAGTGCCGAAGAAATTCCCACAATCCGACCAACGACCTCATCATTTCCAGAGGAAAAAAAGAGCCGAATCTTCCCCAAAAGTCAACATCTTCCATCTTTGACGGCCTTCGAAACGGCTGAGAAACCAAATATTCAAATGTGGCGCCAAAACGGGTGTTCGGCGAGTCCGTTTGAACGTCCAAAAGACAAATGGAACGGCGGGTTGAGTCACAAAAGTTCTTTTTTTTGCAGATTGGCGAGGAGCAGAATAGATGGAAGAAAAACTTGTTGGCGTGAGGGCCGAAGACAAAGAAAAAAAAAACAGTAGGAATTGGTCATTCCCGTCTGGAGGTCCTAGTACAGAGCAGTGTTATACTTACAAAGGAAATCGTTTCAGGGAGGTTTTCAAAATTGTCCAGAAAACTGATTTTTTTTTTGAAGATTTAACTGAAGATATCGAAAAAATAAACTTGTTAAACTTCTTCGATATCGAAGAAGGACGTTTCAGAGATTTTCAAGACGTCAGTACTGCAAAACTTACAGGTCAATTTTTGAAAACTTTGAAATTTTATCTGTGTGAAAGATTTTGACCCATCATCAGAGAAAGCCCCGTTTAGGACGAAATTCTGTTGTGAAGGATACAAGTAACTACCGTCTAGCTGCTTCGGATTATGCTAATCGGTGTTCGTTTACTAGCTGCCGGGTACTATCTCTATAGTACTGTATAGAAAAACTTGCGATTGCTACCGGCTCGGCCGTTTATTTCGCACCAGTTTTTTTTGTAAGCCGTTTCAAAGCCTTCCAAGACCTTGTTGGCTAACTCTGAAAAATAGAATAACTACCCGGGAAGCAATACCAGACAAGCCGGTAGAAATCGCAAATGTCAGGTACTTACCCGGTACACCTGGATACCATAGAGATAGTACCCGGTCGCTAATTAACGACCGACGATTAGCATATTCCTTTGAAGCAGTTACCCGTTAGCTACTTGAGTTCCGAATTTCAGCTTTTCGACTCTCTGGGCCATTTCAGAGCTTCTAAACGGCTCATTCCAGAGTTCTCATTTGTCTCATAACCTATTAATCTCGTAAAAAATAATAAAAAATCTCTTTCAACTGCTCCAATTTTCCAGCTTTGAAGTCCTTCTATTTGCAGTCATTCTCGGCTCGTTGCACACACACGGAACTGCATTGTTCTATTCAGAAACAAAGAATCGTAAAAAGAAAAATATAGGCCACGTGTTGAGATTTTTCGAGAAATAAAGGCTGTGAAGCCTCGTGAATCGTGAAAAATTTGACTTTTACTGCTCGATGTGACATTTTTATGGACAATAATAGGTGAGAGAAGCTAAACTACACACTTTTTAATGCATCAAGTAAAGTTGGGGAGATATTCTCGATTTTTAAAATAAATGAAAAATGAAGGTAAACTAGTTATATTTTTTTATTACTGCTGGTTTGATATAGTGCGTCTAATAAAATATGAAAACGCTTCTGTAGTTTTCGGAACACACTAATTCGTTCCTAAATAGTTCTAAACAGGAAATAGCCTTGAAAAAATTTTTTTTTTTGCAGAAAAAAAATAATAAAATACAAGAATGTTTTTTTCAAGTTTTACTGGCGCCTTCTGACAACCGCTTTTTCAGTTTAACGTCCGTCTCAAGTTTTCTTTCAGTGTTATCTAAAAGAATATATGAATTTATAAGAGTTACTGTAGCCTTCTAACTGAACTCTCAGAAAATGACTTTTACCAACTTGATGTCCGTAACTTATTTCAAAACTATTTTCAAACTCACTACTATATAGTTGAGCTTTTGCAAGTTCAGCTTTCCAAAAGCTATTCCTGGAAAAGCTAGTTTTACAACATAGCTATGATGACGGGGGAAAAAAAGATTAGTTTCCGCTATCAGTCGAATAACATCCTGCAGGACGCCGACAAAGAATCACGAGACTTCCGGAGAGCAACGACGATTTCTCACCTTTTTTCGTTGATAGAAAAAAGTTCACAAAGCGGCGGCATCATCAAAAAATGAAGGGGCCAAAATAACAAATTCCTGAAGAATTTCTTTGAAACGAGGGACTCAATACGTTAAGGGTTATAAGATCACTGAAAAATTTGTTTCCAAGCTTTTTTTTTTTGGAGAGTTCTTACTAGTTGATCTACTTCAAGGGAATCGATTTGTAGTTGGAATATTTCGAGAAAAAAAATCACCTCAAAACTTGGGAATCTCGCAAATTCGAGGCTCCATTTTTAGACAAAAACCAGGATTCGAGTGATTTTAGAAAAAAAAAATCTTCGCGATCCAAAAATGGAGGCAGAGCATACCTTATTTAGCCTATGCCATTTTTGTCTGTTCTTTTTAAACTGCATGCTCACGACTCGGTCTTTTTTTAATTTTTAAAAATCTCTGGGCTTCAATAAATTTCCGAGTGATCAAAGATGCTTCTCCTCAGTCAGTGCACCAAACTACGGACACCACGTCGAAAACAAGAAGAGTCGAACTCATCAATCAGTCCATCAGCCCAAACAAACAGTTGCACTTGGGAGTGCGTCTTCCGGAGCAGACTACATGGAAAAGTGTACTGTGTGCACTTGATCTGCTCCCAGAAAAAAAAGCCTTGAAAACAACAAGCCGTCGACCAGAAAACAACTGTCACATTCTCCTGAGAAACTTATCTTATCGCGAAATATTTAGGGCCAAGGATCCGGGAAAGATCAAACGCTGTACTCTTGGAATCGTTTCGTGGAGATGGGGCTGCATAACAAACAATTCCGTCTAGACAAAGGTCATTGATTCATTAAACTGTGTGGTGGAACTTTGGAACAAAATAAGTTACACTATGAACTGTTTTCCCAATCGGCGGAAAGTACAAATTCGCCAGAGTAACTTATCATTTTGATAAAGTGACAATTTTATTTCAAAAAATAAAACGTGGAGAAAATAAACGCTTCGCTGATATCAACAAATTTTTCTAACTTATTTCTCTCAAAATGTCTTCTCTTTTTTTTCGAAAAACTGATTCGGCGGCTTACTCATTTCCACAGCTTTATCAAGGATAAATCATTTTATTGAAAAATATCGAATTTTTGCAAGAAACTTTAGGGGCCGCTTAAGAGGTTTCGCACTTTAAAGTGGCCACTAAAACCACCTCGATAGAAGCCACTATTTGCGCCTTAGTGTCCACTATAGTGGTTTTTAGTGGTCTTGTAGCACCAATTAAACTGATACAGAGGCAACTTAATTTTAGCGACTTAAGCGGCCACTAATTCATATATTATAATGGTCACTAATAAGTCATAACCCTAAAGTGGCCACTAAAAATTTTCGCAGTTCATCTTTTTCCGAGCTTTTTTAAAATGTTAGATAGTGTTTCGTGCGAGACGGTCACGATTTTCTACCGTAAAACAGCTTTTCTTGCACCAAAACTACAAAGAAGAAAGCAAAAAAGGTCTTGAAGCGAAGTTGTCCAATTATCGTCGAATTCGGTATACGGTCTTTGCAAGAAAAGGAGACAACCTGACGCGAAATGGGCCATGCTCTCTGTTTCATTAGAACAAAATTTTTTTCTTTATATTTACTGTGTTTGATAATACATCTATTGTAGGCAGGGGATGCAAAACAGAAAGCTCGATTCAACTTTTCCGTAGTAAAATCAGTAGTCACGTTTCTGAACCTTGTCCTCAAACTGAAAAGAGAATTAGTCGCGATCAACAATCGAGCGATTGTCTGACAAACATAAAGTAGACTCGATGAGAGGGGGACAAAGCCGGAAACAAAGCAAACCAGACACTACAGGATGACGATAATAGGCCGAGTAAAACAACAAAAAACACGGAAGAAAGTTCGGGAGAGGCGCCACGGCGGCGGACGTCTCCCGATACCGACTCCAGACGACTCCAACAAACAACTATTCGAGCTACACAAGGAGGTCGATAAATCAACGCCTTAAGCAAAATTACGGGGACTTCAATGAGCAGGAAAAATTCATTGATCAGAAAACGTTCAAAGGAAAACTTAACACTGTTTCTGAAGTCTTAGCTTGAAGTGGTATTCTCATTTCGAGGTTATCAGGAAGGTAATGTCCCTTTTTGTGAGAAATTTCCGGAAAATTGGCCGGAAAACTCCTTGATTCATCAAAACAAATTTCTGGAAGTCTCAACCTGCAAAATCTCCTAGTTATCAAGAATTAAAGGTTCAAAGCCAAAAATAGCCATTTTTACGGGGTTTTAGTGTTCTCAGTCCTTTCTAAGAAACTAGAAACTGTGCAGATTGAGAATTTCAAAATCCTTATCTGATACATCAAGTTGTGTTATAGACTATTTTTGGGGAGCTCTCAACCTCAAATTAATAAGACCTTTCTTGTGGGAGACACAGTTTTCATTGAAAATTTTCAATTTCTGGCAGAAATTCCATTTTCCAAGAATTCACTAGTTTTTAGCAGTTAGAATGTGTGTAGAAACAAAATTCCTTTATTTTTGAACTACTAGACCCACGAAAAACTATGCCGTAATAACTTTGTGCATCGTTGGAAACGTTATTATAAGGTAGTTTCTATTCTAAAAAAAACGAGAACGTCTAGAAGTGAAAAATAATTCCTATAACGAAAAAAACTTTCAAAAGCAGCAATTGAAATGAAGAAATGAAAAATACGAAAATCATTTGAAGGCACCCGATTACATATCACGCTCTTGGAACTGTTTCCATACTTACTGGATTTAGTTATTCAAAAACCAAAAGCGTGAGTGTGTTCGAAAATTCTTTCTGACATTGATAACCGTATTTTTTCAATCGCAAATAGTGAAGATCTTCTTTTCAATCACTGAAAAAAATCAAAGGAACTTCGAGGAGGAGTTTAGCTTCAATCTCGATGTTCTTTTTACGGAAACATGAGATTTTGAAAGCCTTTAGTGAGCTTATCCCGCCGAAAAAAAATTGAACATGACTTCAAAACATTTCTTCTTCTTTTGTTTAACTCTATTAACTTTAATATTTCAAGTTTTCTTTTTTTCTTGTCTTTGCCTTTTACATTAAACAACCGTTCCGACCTGTAACCTCATTTTGAAAAGAAGCTATTTTTTCGAAATTCTGTTCTCTGTCATTAGAAAAAGTTATTTTTCTCGTAAAAAGTCCAAACTATGTCCTTTCTACAGAATTTGAGTGAAGCTATACAAACAGATTCAGACAGGCGAAAATTCTTTCACAAAACGTGCAAAAGCTCTGTTGCTGAACAAACGAATCTTGACAGCTAACAAATTTTTTTGCATCAATTAGTCTGCACCTTAGATCATCTCCTGTCCAAATAATTTTTTTTCCAAGCTGAAAAAAAGCAAAACGGACCTCATTGATGTCGGACAAGAAGCCTCCAGGTACGGCCACCGGATCTTCCGGATTCTTGTGCTTGAACCTGAAAATTCAACCTTTTTCTTTCGTTGCAGTTGTTTCCGTGATCCCAAAAAGGGCAAAAAACAGCATGAAAGAGATGTGAATCCAATCATGGCCATTCTGCAGCACAATGGCATCAAAACTCAAATTTCCATGAATGAAAAGAATGTGTTCCAAAATTGAAAAGAGCCAGAACATGTGCAATTTCCGCTCTATCGCAACAAACAGAATGTTCTCAAAAAAACTTTTTGAGATTGAATATCGTATATCTGGGGAAAATTCGTCAACAAGTTTTTTTTGATCAAAAATTAGAGCAAACTTTGGTCAAAATTCATTTTCAAGGGGCTTTTTTCCAGATTTAAAATAATTCTCGATCAAATTAATGTATGACAGGTTGATGGAATCTAGATGGAATTTCTTCAGATTTTAGGACTTTCCCAAATGATTTAAAAATTGCATGATCATCACAGCGCATTCAAAATCGCTTGAGAGGTTTTAAAAAGCGTCAAATTGTCGGGAGTTAACTTTTATTTTCTAGAAAAGAAGATTTTTTTTCGTAGTGTGTAGAAAAAAGGTAGAAACCTCATGCATCTGAAATTCATGATCTATCAGACACGTCTTGCGCCTTTAAAGGCCCGAGAAAAGCCATTTTCCGTGTACTGGCTCCAATCGGTCCTTGTGTCCCCACTACCAAAACTTCTTGAACACCTTGGTTTGGTCCCGACCGGGATCGAACTTGTGACCCTGTGGACCGTATACAGGCCCATCACCTGTTGTGCTACGGGGGCAGCATATCTTCGATCATATCTTCCCAATAATTTTACTTCTGCTATCTTCTTCACATCTTCCATCCAAAAACAAATGTCTCTAGGTTGATGCATGTAACTCTGGTTGTCTTCAACCGAAAAGGATGATGAGTTGGGCAGAAAAGAGAAGCGAGGCCACAGGGGACGAGCCACAAGGAAGTGCGGACATAGTTTCATCCGCCGCCGTCGCCAATAATTGTCCCGAATTAGTTCTTTCGGATCTCGACGGGGAAAAAGTTGCCACTCAGACGGTGGAAAAAATGAGTAACAAAAAACAGGGACTGGATTTGAAAATCTATCAATATCAATATTATAACCATCCAGGGAGCTCCTGGAAAACATACCGACTAAAAACTGAGCTTTTCGATATGTATCTTTTTTCTTTGTTTTGTTTATTTTGTAGGAATGTAAAGAGATTTTGTTTTTAAAATGCCTTAAGGCTAAAAAATTAAACTTTCCAATTAAAAAAGTTAGAATTGATCATCTGCGGCACAAACCAAATGCAATACCAATAATGAAATTTACTCTTTTTTGCAGCTTGAAAATGTCGTGGTCGCACTTGGAATGGCTTAAGCGGTGCGGTCGCGTTGCAGTTGAATTTCAATCTACTGCGGACTTGGAATAAATTGAAACACGAAGAAGTTCGTTTTCACTTCATTGAGCGATGATCTTCTTACAACGTAAACTTGAAATTTGCCCAATTAAAAATTTTTTAAGTGCGCTCCATCATTAGAACTATCCTTTTTATTTTATTCATAAATTCGGTGAAAACCGTTCAAAAACCTACAATCTATCGTAGAGGCGAACTTCGGCCGACACCGGCCTGGCGACCCAATGGACGAAAGCCTTGGGCTTGTCCTCGGCCGTCAATTTCTTGGCCCGAACAACCAACTCCGTCACGTTTCCTGAGGCGTCCTGCAACTTCTTAAGTAGCCTTGAGTCGATTCATCAGTTCTACCGTCACTTCCCGAACGAAACTGAGGACGAGGCCAATGTGTTTGAGGCCGATCGGCTGCGACTTGGTCAATCGTCGGAAGGATTTGTCGTTGTCGTTCTGTAAAATTTTTGAGAAGTCTTCCAGTTTTTTTTTTCTTGAAACTCCAGCTCCAAAAAAACTAGAAACAGAGCGACTTTTTCAGCATTTCCAAGTAAGTCGTGTAACAATCGTACAAACTTAGTTTAAATTTGAAACTTTTGGGAACGAGGAAAATGAGAGTTTGAAAAAAGGACAAAAAACTTTTGACCTTTTTTTTTGATTTCTTTAAAATATTTGAATATTTACAACTCTCGGGTACATAGGACATCAGATTCAAATAAAGAAGTTTTTGAAATAGTTTCAATATTCTTTGAGATTAAAAAGAAATTTTTAGACCGAGTATCCATATACAACATCTTCCGTAGATTTTTTTAGAGCAAAACGGAAAAAAATTTTTAAATTTTTCTTCAGGTTGTCGTTCAGGTCATCATCCTCACTTTGACACAATCCAATAACTTGTACATACAGTCAAAAATAATAAGTTTGAACATTTTTGAGCCTAGGGCTAATTTGAAATGAACTGTTGTTGTTTCATTGTGCTACAGTGCTCTCATGACCCGAAAGAACTGTAGTTGTGCGACGTGATCAAACAGAACGGCACATTTCGGTTTGCTCACCAGAAGACTACTCGAAGCGCATAATTACACTCGAATCAAACGCTGTCGGATTAGGTTACCCACGAAAAAAAACGATCCGTCACTGTTTGCCGAGCAGATTTGTCTAACCTTGCAATCATTGCGAGAAAAAAGAGCCGCCGCTTATTTATAACCCCTAATTTGTTATTAGAACTATGCAACAACACCTGCGGATTTCATGGATATTATTGTGATCGAAGAAAAATGGATAAGTAGTTTTTTTCGCGCGTAAATTTCGATCAGAACTATAAATTTCTACATTTTTTTGTATTGGATTTTGTTCATCATCATTTTTTTCTTGATATGAAAAAGTAATAAAAAAATCGAAAAAAATACTAAAATGATGATTTTTATTTTTTTTAGCTGAAAATATAGAGAAAATAAAAAATAGTTTATCAGGAATTCTGAAGATTAAAAATTAAACTTCTCCATCTTTTCAATAAAATTACTTCACCATGAAAATTTTTTCCCGTGGTTCAAGCCACAAAAACTTAAAAATAAATTCTTTTTCTGTCAGTACTCCGAAGCAAAAGCACGAAGAAAACAAGAAAAAAGTGAAAATGAAGATGAAGTAAATACTATTTTCGCCGTCATTGAAATCAAATTTTTTTGAAGGAAGTTTTACCGATCGATAGTCGGTCTTCTCGATGAAGATCTCCTTGTCGAAGGCGACGATGTGAGTTCCGCTGGTCTGCGGATCCGACGGGAAGTCTGGAACCGAGAGTTCCGAAGGGAGGTTCAGCTCTTCGAAGTTCTCGATCGTCAACTTCAAACCGTTCAGCACGGCCATCGTTCTGAAGAGATATTCGTTCAGATAAAGAAAAGCTTTTTCAGTAATAATTTTTTTATCGAGAAGAAAAAAATTTTTTTAGACCGATGCTTTCAAATTCAAAAAAAAAAGAATAAGAAACTTCAAACTAAAAAAAAATCAATGAAAAAAATTTTAATTTTTCGGTTTTATGCCTTTTTATTAATTTTTCACTCGTATGTCTCGTCAGAATCAAGTTTCAATTTTATAATAATCTAAGAAAACCTAACTGCGAAAACTTTTAGTGGCCACTATAAGGCTCGCCAAGGACTACTTGGAGAGGACCCTGAAGTGGCCACTAAACCCCCCTCATAATGGCCACTATTTTCCGTTTTAGTGGCCACTATAGAGGTTCTCTATTTAATGGCCACTTCAGTAGTTTCTCATCCAGTATTCCTTCCAGTAACTCTCATAGTTTTAAAACAAACAGATTGGACCAGTTATGTTGATCTATTGACCCCTAAAGTGGCCACTAAAATTTTTAGTGGTCTAGTAGTAGCACTTCGACTTCTATAGCGGTCACTGATTTGTAACCCCTTAAGTGGCCACTAAACGTCAAAACCCTAGAGTGGCCTCTAAAAATTTTTTGAGAAACTTCTTCTTGCGACCTCGTCAAAGCCTCGCTATCATTTCGCTTTTTCAAAAAAAATTGAAATCTGAAAAGACCTTTTTTAGTTTTTTTTTTCGACTCATGTTATAAAAGGAAAAAATTAGAGAATTTTAGAGAGCGATAAAAACGCAAGAAACTTGCGAGATCGCAGCGCAAGACAAGCTATATCGCTCGCAGCTCTCGGTGCGATATAGTCCACAATATTGGGTTTTTTATTTGCATTCGATTCCGATCCCTACCTCGGCGCATGAGTATTCAAATAATCGCGGACAGTCGCGTCGAGGACATGAGGATCGATGACCATTTGCGACATCGTCAGGCCCAACTTGGCGACGAACCGATTTATCGCCTCCGAGGGGATTCCGCGTCGTCGCAGGGCAGTCAGCGTGAACAGTCGCGGGTCGTCCCAGTCGCTGAGATTAAATTAAAACTTGTGACACTTGGAAAAAAATGAAAAAAATTATCAAAAGAAAAAGCTTTTCGAATTTTTTTAAAATTGCTGTAAAAACCGAAAAAAATCATTACGATTGCGGATAAAATGCTTGTTGTAACAAAAAAAGTCTAAAATTAATTTTTTTCAATATGTTAATTTTTAGAATTGTAAAAAAAAACAAAATTAGAAAAAAATCAAGTTCAATGAAAGTTTTCTCGTAAAAAAATTTCAATCAAAATTTCATGAAAAACCCATTTTTTTATCATTATTCTCGAATAGTAATAGTGCTGTAAAAAATGAAGACATTCTGAAGATTCAAAAATTCAAAAAAATTGCTGAAAAAAAGATTGAAACTTCCTAATTTTTGTACAGCCGACTTAAAAGAATCTGTTATTTAGAATTTTTCGCAAGTATTACAACTTAAAGTAAAGAAAATGTTGATATTTTAATCTTACAAGATAAAAAAATGATGATACGTAGATTTTAAAAAAGATGAAGTCAATCCTCACTTGACGACTTTCGTTTCGATGAGCTTCAGGATTTTCCTCTTCGAAACTACAGTGTAGTTGACGTTGAGCCGACCGTATTCCCACTGTACCGGGCAGTAAATGTCCAGAGCGTTGCACAGCCAATAGTAGCTGCTTCGTCTTGAAAAGGGGAAAATTATGAGAATGCGTTTAAAATTTTCATGGCACGTTCAAAGTGATTCTTCTCGATAAAGCCGTCAGAGAAAAGAAAAAAAGATAACTGAATTTTTGGAGATTCAGAGAAATTTTTGGATTTTTTTGAAATTATTTTTGAACAGGGCATTCAAAATAGCTAACCTATTTAGATTTTACTCCTGAACATCTTTTTTTGGCGTCGAAAAATTTTATGAAAATAAAAATTTTTTTACTCTATTCCAATTTCATATTTTATAGCTTATCCCATTGTCCTTTTTCATTGGTATTCATAAATTTCCTTGCAAGTATGTTCAAAAAAGATATTTTTATAGCAAAAAAATATATTTTACAATAGAACAAAGCCGAATGACAATTTTTCAACTAATTCCCCCGTTGAAGGGGAATTTTTTGCATGAAAAATAGCTAATTTCTGGGCCGAAAGACTCCTTTTCTATCACAACTATTGCTTTCAAAATATCTAGTTCTTTTTTTGAGGGATATCCGATGATCAAATTCGCCAAATACTCTGCAGGATGTTTTTATTTCTTAAAAACATAAAAAATAAAGAGAAGAACCTGGACTGGAACTCCTTGGTGCAGAGAGAATGAGTGATATTCTCGATGGAATCGCAAAGACAATGGGTGTAGTCGTAGGTGGGGTACACGCACCTGGAAGACCCGAATTTCCTCCAGTTTTCAAAAAGAAAAAGCAAGTTTTCGAAGGAAACTGTTTTCCGAAAAAGTTTATTAATTACGCAGTGATTTAAGAGAAAAAGAAATCGGTTTGAAACAGTAAATTAAAAGTTTTTCAGAAAAGTTCTTCAAAAATGCTTTTTAAAAAAATTACTTTTTTTCCAACTTTTTGATAAATTTTGATGAGCTGGTCAAATTGAAAGAAAAAAATTCTTTCGTATTAGGGAAAAATTTCTGTAAATCGCATCTTTCTTTTAAAAATTTTTCTTTACCTTTTTTTCCGAAATCGAAAACTTAGACGCCTTCAATTTTTTTCAGCATATTTTCTATATTCCTTCTGAAATAAATGTGAAAAAAAGAAAAATATTCTCAAAGGAATTTCTAGTATTTTTTTCTTCTTTTTCATCACGATTTCGGTTCAGTCAACCACTTCACTATTTTTATGAATTTTTTTCAAATCTTGTGTACACCTTTAGTAGTATCATTTTGTTTTTTCACACTATTTTTTTCTACGGAAAATTCTTGGATCTATTAGAACAGTTAACAAACTTCTAGTAATCCTCCAACTAATTCATAAGTTCTTAAAAAAAAATTTTTATTGATTTTTTTTCTGATAAACATACATTTGAACATATTTTCGGTGGAATCTTTTTTCTCAACCTTTGTCAAAAATAATCTAACAAAAATTTTCGGATATTTCAAAGCTTTAAACCAAATTTCGTACACCACTTAACTGCTTTAAAAAATCATCGAAAATGAAATTTTTTATTGATTTTTTTTCCTCTAAAAACGAACCACTGATCCCCACTCCGGTGATGAGGAACAAATTTGATCCGGTAGGCGACTGGATCAACCTATAAACGTTTCAAATTCAATTGAAATTTTCAGAAATCGGAAAAAAAAACCTTTCCCTCTTCAAGGGTGAGTTTCAGACGGAGAGTCGCTTCTCCTTCGTCGAATTTCCCATTTTTCATGTCCTAAACTCGCCATTTTTGATGGTAATCCGACAAAAAGACACCTCAAAAAGCTGCAAAGATTCCTCGATCGGCCTGTCCCTCCAGGGGCTCAATTGGACTTCGAAACCTCGCATTTCTTCGACTTTCTGGTGGCAAACGTAGGCCAAGCCTTTCTTTATCAGAACAACGGCCCACTGAAATTTTTGGAGTTAATTTTTCAAAAAAACTTTCCTCGAGTGATCATTTCATAAATTTAGCGAGGAAAATTTTTGTAAAAAAAGGAAACTTGTAAAAAAAACTATCTTTCCTCCCAAAAAAATGTCAATTTTTTTCAAAAAAATGCTTCTTTTTAATATTCATTTTCACAGATTCTCTTTGAAATTACCTGCTGAAAAATTTTTTTCAAAAAAACTTTTCCTTGAAAACTTGGATTTTTTTCTGTCACAAAAAAACACGGAGAATTAGTTTCCCAAAACTGAATATTTTTCTTAATTCCTACTGTGGCAACGGTAAAACTATTTAGAAGAAAAATCGTACTGATGTGGAAATTTATTGAAAGCGGAAGTCCCTTTTTTCATCATTTTTTTCTTTCAATCATTTTTCTGCACACAATCAATAATCACTAACATCATAAAGCTGCTGGAAGTTGTCCGAAGAATGTGTGACTTCCGCTGGTTCGTATCCTGAAAAACGTGATCTCCGTTTCAAATCTGACTTTTGTATCTCTATCTAATATAGTCGATGTGCCACAAGTTGAAATTTCATGGAACGACACTCCGCTGTTTCGATTTTGTGCGGTAGCGCGCATCTGGCGAATTTGCCAACTTCGGCCACGCTAATTTTTTTTTTGGTTTTCATTCTAATTTCGATCGTTTTTTTTATTGTTTTATTTCTTTGAAATGTAATATTATCGTTGAAAAGGATTGCGTTGTACAAATGTAAAAGAAAGAACACAGTAAGTTTCATGATGTTTCTCGAAAAAAAGCGATTAAAAAAAAGTTTGAAAAACTTCATGTATTCTTCAATCGCTTTTGATATTGTTTTTTTCTCGTTTCTCAAAAAAAGTTTTTCAAAGACTTACCAAAAGGATTTGCGGGTGAAACGCCACAATATTCTACAATAGTTTCTGTGTTTTTTTAAAGCCATGTTTTAATGTTTTTCATCGTTTTTTTCTGTTTGCAGTCGTTAATGGTTTTTTCAGAAATTGAGTGTCTTATAAAATGAAGATGTGTACTTCCATGAGCACATGCACCATAATTTGAAGAAAGGTTTTCGTTCCTTTTTTTAAAATGGAGCTTTAGATAAATCGTATTGCGGAACTGTGCGTCAGAAATGGGGCGTGAACAGTGGGCACTTGGAACAGTCGAAACGATGTGCTGAACGAAATGTCCAGAAAACTAATAATTTTTCCTTTGAACTTATGTATCTGTTTTTTTTTAAATAAAAATTCGTCAATGTAGAAACATTCAATTTTTTTAAAATCATTCACTGTGTATTTTATTTCTGATTGGGATATTTTTTACATGATTTGAAATGAAAAAAGAAATGTCGATAAAGGCTCAATGAAGGTAAAATAACGGAATATATTGAACAAAACCAAAGACCATCTCATGAAAAACTTTCAAATATTATAAACGCATTTTTTCGCTTAAAATTCGAAAATTACTCTACTTTATTTTTATCAATGAAACAGTCTATCCTCTAGAAAAGATAATTATGATTTTGGCGCGAAGAAAACTATTAAAACATAATTAAAATAATGAAAATTTCGAATAAAACAAAAAAATGGAAAGCGCGACCGAAATTCGCAAAGGCAAGGCGCTTTCACGGCCACGGCCACCCAACGGAGTGTCGTTCCATGAAATTTCAAGTCGTGGCACATCGACTATACTTTCTATGATAATTGTTCAGTTATATAGTTTTTCTTCATTTTAAGCGATCAATTAGTTTTTTTATCAATTCCAACTCCACGATAATTAATGAATTCGAGTTCAAAATGTTCTACTAACCGAGCCACCGGACAATATCTTCAATAGCCGTGAAGAATTTCTCCTCTTCTTTTTCAGGATTCGTATCATCGAAACGAAGATTGCACATTCCGCCATGAGCCTTCAAAGGAAAATATTAATTAAATGAAAATGAAGAAAATTTCGACTGATTCTTCAAAAGAAATCACAAACGAAACTTTGGAACGAAAGTTGTGAATAGCTCGAATTGAAACAGGAAAGTGTGGAGATCAAGTTATTGATAAATCGAACAAAGAAATAAACATGAAAGTTCGAAATTTGAATAAAAATCAAACTTCACGCATTTCTACCTTTTTCGAAATAACACATAAGCTTTTATAAAAAAACCCTAAATACATGAAGAATGACATATTTTGGAAAACATGAGCTTTTAAAGAGTTTCTCAGCCAAGCCGGAAATCGCAAAAACATTTCTTGGTGTCCTATTAGCGAAATTTGAGTTGGGAAATTATGAAAAACTAACCAGTGGTAAGAAATTTCAGAAAATTTTTTCCGGCTTCTTTATTTTTCAAATTTCTCCAAAAACCTACTTTAGCATATCCAAAATTGATATTGATGGCCTTGGCATGGCCAATGTGAAGAACTCCATTCGGCTCCGGAGGAAACCGAGTGACAACCTGCAAATAAAAGTTTTCTGATCATTGAAACCGTTTGAATTTCCCTAGAAACATGAGCAATATGACAACTGACGGATTTCCTTCTCATAGATACGATAAAACACTGTCAGAGAAATTGGTTCTTATGAATGTTTCCTAATGATATCAAATCAAGAACCCCTTCGAAATTGAATAATTTCAAAGTAGGGACATTTTTGAAATGCGGTCATTACATTTTCTTTATATAATGTTTCTATAATTATTTATGCTTAATTTTTAAGGCCAATACTTCCTTTTTTTATCATCCATTCTTTCATCAAAAAAATCAATAGTTTTTTTATGAACCGAAAAAAATAAGACAAAAAAAGTCAGAAAGGGATTTGTCGGAAAGTTCCGTAGCGATATGAAAAAATCGGAAAAGTCGCCGTTCTAAAATTCGCTAGCGTTTTTTTCATACCACCTCAGAAACTATATTGAAAATTTAAATCTAAAGTTTGATTATTTAAGTTTCGAATTGTTCAAAACGAAAAATATACGCAATCTTGAAAAAAAATAAAGTTTAACTGAAAATAATTATCATAAACCGACTTTTTCCAGCCAATAAAGTCTCATTATAATATCCCTAAATAAAAAGAATTAAATAAAACGTGGGAAACGGTAAAGATATCTTCTATTGGAAATTTCAAGATGAGTCAGACTTTATCTTTGGATTTCTACAAAAATGAAATAACCTTGCCGCCGACGGCCTGAACGTGTTTCTTCAGAAGTTCTTCCGTTTTTGGCGTCGTCACGTAGCCGTCCGTCTTGAAGTTCTCGCCGACCTTCAGAACTTATATTATTCTAGGAAAAAATTGAAAGGATGGGAAATTTGAATTTTTTCATCAATTTTCAATTAAACCTTGTGAAAATGCGCCCGCGTGCGCATCAACTCTTCCATTGTGGCGGCACCTCCTTCGAATTCTGAAAAAAGTTAAATGTATTAATCCCATTGAAAAAAAGAGGCTTCAGATCTATTGATTTGAAAAAGATTTTTTTGATAAAGACGGAAAAACTCCTTTGAAGGTTCCTTAAAAAAATCTTCTAAGGGTTCTAAACCGACCTTTTTATTTTATTTTTTTGCATCTTTTTTTCACTTCTATCATCGAAAATATGCTGAAAAAGAAGTCTCAAAAACTCTACAAAAAAAGTTCTTAAAAAGACTTTTTCAGGCCATTTTATTTGAGTTTTTTTCAGCAGAACTTTTTTAAGCTCCTCAAAAAAACTTTACCCATTTCGCAAAAAAAAAACGGAAAAATTTTCCTATTATGCTTCAAAATAACCTTGTAACACCGTCTATTCATGAATAAAATCCCGAAGAATTCAAGAAAATGGTAAAATAAGAACCTTCGACAGCTTCTCCCGTCTTTTCCGTTGCTTTTCCAGCGGCCGGAGCACTTGGTTTCGATTTCGAAGCGGCCGGTGCAGCAGATTTTTCCTCTTTTTTAGCCTTTAAAGGATAATTTATTATTTTTTTTGAGCATAAATGTGATCTGATGTAAAACACACATGGGCAGACCATTTTTAGAGGCCGCCGAACCCTCCTCCCAAGTTTTTCTGAATTAAAGTTAATAATATTTCTCTGAAGCTGAAGCTTGTATTCTTGTGGCCAGAATACCTCCCCGATTTCTTGGAAAGGCTCATAATGAAAAAAAGGAACTAAAAAAATAATTATCATTTTTTTGTTTCATTTTTCCGGAAATCTTTTCGAAAAATTTGCAATCAAAGGCAAAAAGAATTTTTAAAAAAATTCGAAAAAAACTTCTTCTTCATAGTCAACACCCACAAAAAAACCGGATTGAGCCTTTTTGAATAACTTCATTTTCAGTTAAGAATAATTTGAACCTTTGCAAAGTAACCGAATTGCAAATTAATGTTGATTTTGCACAAAAAAATATGGCGAAAAAAACGGTAAAGTGAAAAAAACAGTTGAATTAATTTTTTTGGAATATCCGGACACAAAAAAACGTTCATGATTTCCCTAGATTGTCGAAAATATAAATAAAGTCTTCAAGAAAAGTTCAGTTTCTTCAAAATTAAAAAAAATTTCTGATCCAGAGAATATGGATATTAAGAAACAGATAGCCCATACTTAACAATAGAAAAAAATTAGAATTCCGAATAAATTTATGAAGAGAAACGGTGAATTGAGCTGCGAACTTTCTTTAAAAAAATTCGCAAAAAAACTTCAAAAAAATTAAAAACAAAACTTGAATTTTTCACTACTCTTGTCTATGAAAAAAAAACATGGAGTGAAAAAAAAACAAGAAAAATTTTTATAAAATTGTAATTTTTAGAAGTTTAGAGCGAAAAGTTGTTTTTATAGAAAAATTGCACCAAAATGATGATTTTTTTCTCACTCTTTCCCAACCGATACCTTTCGAAAAAAACCACAAAGATCTTAACAAGAAAATAAAAAAATAACCTTCTTTTTTTAGGGGCCAAATCCTCGGCGTTTTTCGGTCCCAAAAGCTCTAAGAATCTCAAATCGACTTCTTTTTTGACGTAGGCCCCATCCGCCCATGGGAGCGAGGCTCGAAGTTCACCTTTAACAATAATATTTTTATTTGTTTCTTTTTGCAATCAAAGAAAAAAATCATACCTAAAAGTTTTTCCCACGTTGAACGTGTATCTATCCGCGATTATCTGATCCTTGTGTTTATTTATGACCAAGGTGACCTGAAAAATTATACCTTATTTCCATAGGAAAAAACAAAAAAACACTCAAAAAAAGATTCATTTTTCTTTCATTTTTGAAAAAAACAGGGTTTTTCAATTAATGACATTTTCATTTGAAAATAATATAAGGAAAAGTTAGTATCTTGCTAAAAAAACCGGTTTTTTTTTGATTGAAAAAGGTTTGAAACCATAATATTCAATTTATAAAAGAAAAAAATGTTTTTCTCAAACTACGGAAAGATGCGCTGAAACTTTTTAAATAGAATCTTTGCCTTCAATGCAAAACAGAAAATAATTAGGAATAAGCCTTTACGTTATGTTACACTCAGTACCTTTATTTGAAACTAAATTTTACAAAATATCAAACAATTTCAATTTAAAAGCTTAGAAACAACGAATTGCGAATGTTGTTAACTAGGGAACTACTCGGACTCGGGTACGCGTTTCGAGTTGAAACTTTGGTGGCTTATAGACCGGGGTAAGAGTACTTGGAAACAAGAGAGATTATCGGCTAAACCCCATAGGCTTCGGAGAAAAAGCTTTTTGAAAATGAACAGTTTAGGCTTGAAAATTATCAATTTACTGCTTTCCTCCTTCTCTTGACTGGAAAAAAGTTTTTTAGAGTGTATCATAGCCGGATAGTTCAAGGCGATTGTATTAAAATATGAAATAAGGTAAGAAGCAGTAATTTGAAAATTTTCCTGAAAATTTTCAAGCCTAATTTTCACATTTTTCTACTAATTTTTTTCTCAGTTCTCTATTGGGTTTAGCAAATATTCTCACTTGTTTTCAAGTATTCTTGCTTAGTTCTATAAACCCCTAAAGTTTCAACTCGATCCGCGTACCCGAGTCCGAGTAGTTCCCTAATAAGGTAATGGATAGCCGTAATGTTGACTGAAAAAACCTTTTAAAAAAATTTTTGTACCTTAAAAGTCTTGGTTTTTAGAAAACAGAACAAAAAACTTTGAAAAAACTAGCCTAACTTCAAAATAACGGGTCATTTTTGACTGAAATTTCGAAGAAAAAACTTTTTTGAGATTTTTCTGAAACAAAAAAGCTTGAACCGAACTTTAAAAACACTCAGAAGTTAAAAAATCTTACAGCGTCCTCGATTTCATCGATGGACACAACAATTCCAACTCCGGCCGCCTTTTCGAAATCCTTGACATCGATCCCTTTCACAGTGTGCGACAGAACGTATTCGATCGCCGCGGAGAGCTCAAAACTCTTTTTATTCATCAATTAACGTAATTTCCCACCTGAGCTTCAGACTTGAGGCCTTCGGAAAGGATATACTTGACTATCAGAGGCAGTTGAGCCGCGCACTGGGGCTTTATCTTGGTCGATAATTGATAAAGAAGAGTTCCCTCAAATAAAACCATTTTAATAATCCCACTTAGAAATTCAAACTTTAGTCTTGGGCAAATCACCCGGAGCGCCGGCTTCTTTCGCCGCGGAAACCACAGTTCCTATAGTTTTAACTAAATTTGCATTTTTCAGCGTTTCGGCTGCTTTCTGCTGTGACAGTCCTAGCCAGAGCAAGTCGTCAGTCGACATTTTTACCCTGAATAATATTATTTTTTAAAAGATTTTGCGGGGAGTAAGCGGAATGGACGCGCAGAAAATGTATCTGATTGAAATTTCAACTATCTACTTCGAAAAAAAAGGAAGAAAGTTGTATAGTTCTATTGAAAAATATTGAGAAATCTTGTTAAATCGTATCGCGACCGTTCAAAGATTCCATTCAAAAAACGCCTTTTCTGAAAAAATTTTACTAGAAAATATACAAACTTAAAAGCCTTTTTAGTCAAAATGAGCCTTTATACAAATCAGAACAGCTTTGAAATTATCTACTGAACACGTTGGAAGTAGAAAACGTCGAAAAACCGTAGAAAACGATAAAAATTGACTGGCCAGCCCAAGCCTTTTCTTTTTTGAAGGACGTGTGCGGCGGGGCGAACTTATCACGATAGTCGGCCGCGGAGAACAAACTTTCAAAACTTCCGGTTTCGACCTTGCAAGCTCTCGATGGAAACCATTGTCGTTGGAAATCGTGTTTCAACATGTAAGTAAGGAGGAATTTATGTTATTCATATATTTGAAGTAATATCTTTCAGTTAGAGTTGAAAAATTCACTCGTAAATTGTATTAAAGTACTCAAACTACAAAAATTTTTCAAATGAGGTTTCCTTCAGACGTTCCCTTACTCGATAAGATGAGTAAGATTGGGAAAGAAAGTTCCGCGAGGTGCTCTTTCCATGGAAAATGGCGACGCGATGACGAAGCCGTCGCGAGCAAACAGTTCTGACCAACGGAAATTGTCCACTTTCGTGCTTTTCCTTTCCTCTTCGATTTGGTTGGATGAAGCTTTTCGGTTAGTTTTTTTTAACCAAAATCAGGTAATTAGCTGGAATTACGGAGCTAAAGAAAACCGCGAATAACAGCTGTCAGTCATTATTCTTCGAGAAATTCCTTATTCAACACCTGTTGTTTGACGACCACAAAAGGTAAACCTTGCTTTATAACTGTACGGCTGTTACGAATTTGCGACAAGCCATATGCATGTCCAGGAATACATTTGTCAACGGTTTCGGGCAACGTTCATTAGCTATTCGGCTCCCTGAAGAGAGGGCATTTTGCTCCCAGACGATGAATCGTTTCGATTTTTCTGCTTTCCGCTTGGTGTTCGGTTTTTTGAAAGCGCTTCAAAAATTTCGTTTTGTTAACATTGAGCCTAAATAATGATCAGAATGATATAGTGGAAAGTCAGCGTGAACTGATTTTTATTCAGTTTTTTTGTGAATCAGATGAGCTCCTACAAGTTGATTTCGCCAGAACTCCGTACATTATGGCCTTTCTGCGCCCTCTATTCCTTCAAAGTTCTTTTTTCATTCACTAACTGCGTTTTGATGTCCTAGGCGGTAAACAAAATGTAGGAAAAGAGAGCGCAGACAAGCCTGACGGTTTCAAGTCTTAAAAAACTCGGTTTATTTGTTCAATCGAAGTTTCTGTCGAATTTCGAAAAAAGGAAATCAAAAATGTGATTTTTTCTTTCATCAAAAAGTCTGATATTTGAGCTAAAAAAAATTTGCCCACTTTTGGACCGGACTTGTCGTTTTGCTGGAGCCCTCGTTTAGGCCGGGCGGAATCCGGCTCAGAAAACAGCCAAGCCTGACGGGCCGGCCCTCGCACAAGCCTGATCGTGCCGAAAAAGGTTTGGGCCGTTCTCCACGTACTCTTCCTCCACATATCCCAATAAGAGGCCATTTTCATGATCTTGAGATGATCAATTTTGTCCTGAAATGCAAAAGTAGAATGTCGGTTGACATCTGTTGGCCAGCTGCCCTCGGATGACCCGGCCATTTTCGGCCAACGTCTGCCACCTCATTTCCAGGGCTGCTCCTCTCCTCAAGAGCTCCCTCCACGCAATTATTCGCCTCCGCTCAAATCCGAAGGAGCTCCGCCCTGTCGCTTTATGCGGTTGTCCTGTTTCTTTCCAATAATTTGATCCTTTCAACTCATTTGTTTTTCAGATTCTAGAACTTCTAGAGAGATTTTTTGTTCGAAAAGTCGTTTTTTTGAGGGAAAAAAATTAGAGTTGAATCTTCGACTGGACTTCTATTAAAAAAATATTTTTCTCAGAATTTAGCCATTCCCAGATTTTTTTAAGGCTAGTTGGAGCAGATGAAAAAGTAATATTTTACTAAATTTTTTTCCTTTTTTTGTTCAGTTTTGTCGCAATAGTTTGGTCTTTTTTTGACTTCAGATTTTTAGCAGATCCATAAGTTTTTATAACTCAAAAAAATTTGCATGCAAGACAAAAAAATTGACTCAGATCCCTGAAAGGTTATTTTTCAATATTCTCGCTTTTTTCAGAACTTTCATTGGGTTTTTTTTCAGATTTAGAAGATCAATAAAATATTATTCAATCGAAATTCTTTACTTTTTTGGTTTTTCTGGTCTTTTTTTTAAGCTGAAGTGGTCTGCGTTCTGTAATTTACCAAAGTATTCCCATTATTTCAAAATCAAACGATTTTTTATAAGGTTGCACTGTACCGTAAGCTTTCCCCTTCAAACGTCATTCCATTAACGGCTTCTACAGTTCTTTTGACTCATCTTCGACCTTTCAAAAGGCCAAATTGTTGCTATTTGATGTCCCCTACCTTTCATGACATTCCTGTAATTCGTAACCTTTTTTTTCTTTTTGGAAAGACTCTAGACTTTTTGAAATACTTTATTTGTCGATCAGAATTTTTGTTTTGAGATCTATTTTTCAGACACAGTTGTTTGAATTCGAAAATAATCTCTTGAAATGAAAAAACAACCTTCAAAATTTTTGATCTCACGGCAAATTTTCGTGAGAAATAAAATCGAGCGCTTGATTTTTATTTTTTGAATGTTCATTTCGAATTTCAACGGTCAGAAGTAGGTTCATTCTATATTAATATTAACTTTTTTTTGCCGTTTCTACCAAAAAAAAACGAAAAAGTTTTTGCAATCTTTCTTTTTCTGTCAATTTCCTTCAATTTTGGACTTTCTTTTCTTTTTTTTCCAGTCAATTGTGACCCTACATGAACGGTAATATAAATCAGTGTATCCGTGACAGGATTTCAATGGCACCATTATAATACCGTCACATATCCGGTCAAGCCAATCAAGTCGGACAACAATAATAATGGCCGGAAATTGTCGTCGGTCGGCCGTTTCTCGACCGTTTTTTGGCGCCAGGTCGTGCGGGTCACTACAGACACCTGCCATTGAAAGACTGAAAAGGGGCCAAGGAAATCGCTGAGCAGTTGTTGCCAGCCTTTTTCTTTCGGAATTCAGTTGGAATCCGATTTTTGAAGACATTTCGCTAACTATTTGAACAATAATTAGGTTCATAGAAGGTTCATTGAGGCGCTATGAATCACACCGCCTGAAAAAAGTAGCAAAAAAAAGTTAAAAATTCTTTCTCAAGCCGGACGATTCTGGAATCAAAAAATCATCCCGCCAAGTTTCTCGGACATTGCAAACGCGAAACGGACGTGCTTCGGACGTTTCTGGACGATTCTAGGGATCACTTAAGAGTTCTGAGGCTACTAAAGTGGTCACTAGAAATGCCCCGACACGTCCGATTGGCGTCCCGTTCGCGTTACCAAGGTCCGAGTTCGAACTAATTTTTTGCCGTTTTGTCCGTGGAGCGTACATGAGTTGACGTTGAATTTTCTTCTGGACTTTTTTTTTTGATTTTTTGCTTGAAAATTTTACTCGTAGTGTAGTTTGTTACTAAAAATATCAATTTTTGAATATTATTCCATTTTTTTTTCAATCAGTTTCCTTTTTCTAAAATAGAGAAAGAGCGGAATCCTTTTTGAAAAATAACATTAGACGGATAAAATTCTTCCTGCAGCCCTGTGCACGTGCATAACTGATGTCCATGAGGCCGAAAAAGGGATTAGAAAAGTTTTTTGCGGACAGCCGACAGCTGCGCCGTTTTCTTCAGTTTTTCTTCTTTCTTAAGACCCACTCCCTGCACAGCTGGTCGTCATGTTTCGGAAGATTTGTACATTTTTATCTTTTTTTTCCTATTGCAATATCAAATCGATGTTCTAATATCTAAAAAATAGCCATTTTAGATTTTGAATCTAGTTTTATGTGAGAGAATATACTCAGAACTTGTGTCAAAATTTCAAGAGAGAAAATTTTTGGAATTTTCATAGATTATACAAAAAATTACGCTTGCAATGGCTCATCTTAACGGATTAACATGGAGCAGTTTACGCTAATACTTCTCGTTGCCCAGGCGCGCAAGTCGTTTTGAGTCGGGCGCGATTTTAAAAAAACACTTTACAGCCTAGGCTTTCCCATTGAAAACATCATGGGACTCACTTTCATATTTTTGTTTTCTTTTTTTTTTGAGGGGTCAGTACAAATTATCCATCTTAAACCCTGGATCTGGTTCTCTGAACCTTTTTCATCGCTTTTTAGCGGATAAGCCCCAAATCAGCCCAGCTTTCTAGAATTTAGGAGTTGATCTCTATTTTTTTAGAAATTTTTTTGAAACGTCAAATGGAGAAATTTCTAGAAGAGTTGAAAAGTTATTGATAACTCACAAATCTCATAAACTTTGAGAGAAGAAGAAGGAAATTTGAGTTTTTTTTAAAATTTCGAACAGTATTTTTTTCAAAAAAATAGTCTCATCCTTTTCGATGTAGATATAATTTTTAAGACTCATGTCTTCTGTCCTAATCTTTCAAGTTCAATGTTAAAAGTCAGAACCCTTGAAAGAATAAAGTGAGCCGAACCGGAACCGGCGTTGCAGAGGTCAGCACCTCTGAACAAACATGAACGGACTCCCGTGGAGCAAACGAGTAAACGAGAGTTGGTCAAGAAAGGGCATCCCAAGGAGTCCAAAAAGCGGCGTCAACGGTCAAGCGGTCCACCAACCACTGTTAAGCAAACACCCAGGGATTGGCTCGGAAAGAAGTGTCGTCAGAAACTTTTTTTGAAAATTATTCTCCTGTCTCTATAAGAACTGCTTAGGTTTATTCTATCTTATTCCAACTGAGGATTCAAGATTTTATTAGTAAGAAAATTTTCGAAAAAGTTCGGGAAAAAAATCCTGCCCTTTTCAAGTGTCACTGAAAAAAAGGTCTCCCTTCAATTATTTTTCAATATTTCATTCATTTATTCAATTTTTACGACTTTCTTCACCTTTTTTAATCTAACAAAGCGGTCATTTTTACTGGAGACTTTTTTTTTCTATAAGTCTTGAAAAATCATCTCCCTGTATCACCACAGAAGCTTCTCTTCTCAGAAATTTCACTTTTATTCTTACTTTCCCTCATTAAATCTGAGATTTTTGAATATTCTTTCGACTTTTTATAGCTAGGTATTCTCGCACAACTGTTCCAAAAGTTGTAAGAATTGCTAGATGACCTGCTCGGAAACGTCTGGCGTTGCTGACCTTTCCTACGTCGTGGCATTCTGGCACCACTTTTACTTTTTTCTCGCCGTTTTTTTTTTGCCAATCTCGACATTTGGATAGTTTTTTGAAGTAAATTTGATGAATAAAAAAATTATAAAATTGTAAAAACAAATCAAGAAAATTTCAAAGTTAAATTTTTAAATGGCCTTTAGAAGTTAAATTTTTAAATGGCCTTTAGAAGTTAAATTTTAAATGGCCTTTAGAAAGAATACTATCCTATAGAAAAATGAAAAAAAAGTTTAAAACTTGACTTTGGAAAAATATTTTTTTCAGAGCATTTTTAAGCTATTCCTACTCTAGCTATTTTCTCAATGGCGCGTACAAATCTTTAACTTTAAGCCCTGAAAAGGTTATCTTCAAGGGTATTGTTAGGGACCGCAGACGAATTTTCAAAAAATTTTTTTCAGCATCGAGCTTTGTATGGTTTGATAGCTGTTTCGATTCAAAACTCAGAACCGTTTAGTTTTTTTCGAAAAAAAGATTGAGGATGAAAAAAAGTTATGACGAAAAATGTGGCGCGCCGCGCACCATTTTTTTAGTACTGAAATTTTTAGTATTATTCATTTTTTGACATTTTTTTCTCGATTTTTTTCTTCTAGAAAAAGTTTTTGATACTGGTCTATTATGATGTAACAAATCATAATAGAGTGCTAAAATGATGCTAATCAGCTATTTTGCCGAAAAAAAGTCGGTATTTTTGCAGAAAACAAAAAAACTGATGCTTGCGGGTATCGAACTCGCGACCTAAAAATGAAAAAAATCGCAGCGCACGCACTGCGCCAAGCTGTCAGGTCTAGCGCGGGGAGCTTCCATCCGCCTTACCCTTGAGCCGTTTAAATAGCACAGATTGTCTATTTCAAAAAGAAAAAAACTTGAAGTAATTTAGCTATTTTTTTATCAGAATATGTTCGCAAATCTTTACTCAAACGTTTCGTGGAAATTCACTTCGAAAAAAACTGTTTTTTTCAGTGCTTTTTTTGCCTCTTTTTAACGATCGCTGCCTCAAAACGGCCCCGTAAATTTTTTTGGCAAAAGACGAATTTTTTTATTTTATTCTTTTTAATTGAAAGATTTTTTTACTAATAAATGTATATAATCGTTTGAAAAAAACCTGCGTTCGACCGCTTTCGGTGTGATAAACGCCGCTAATTTTATTCTCTAGTTTCAAGAGCATTTTTTTGCGTATCACAAAACTTTTTTTCAAGTACATATGCTGTGGAGAAAAAAATTTAAGTAAGCCCATGGTCTAAATTTTTGAAAAAAACAAAAAAACTCGATTATATTCGCTTGTTAACGATATTTTTGAATTATGACTTTCGGCACTCCCTAAAATTTTTTTGGCAAAGACGAATTTTTTTATTTTATTGTTTCAAAATTACCGTTACTTGAATCAAAAATCATTATATAAAAAAAGAAAGAGTGCGTTCGACCTGAAAAACACATGAAAAAAAGCAAAAAAATTACAAAAATTTTTTTAGTTCCATTCACGTTTTTTTGTACGACATTCCGCGAGAACGCATCAAGAAAGCGTGAAATATTTTTTTAAACGAAAGAGGAAGCTTTTTCTGTACATGTGTGTCAAATTTTTATTCGCCAGTTCCACATATTTTACAACTACAACAAAATGAAAGTTGAAAACCAAAAAAAGCCACTTTTTTTCTATCGCGAAAAGGGGCGTGGCTTTGCGGTCCCTAGGTATTGTTTTAGAACCAGTTTTAAGGTTTTCTTGAACCTTTTTTTCGGGATAAAAAAAATAGTCCTACAAAAGTTCATTTTTTCATCGAAGCAGAAGCTCAACTGTATAACTTTATGGGCTCGAAAAAACCCTTTAGTTTATAATCAAAACTGATTATTTATGCTAGCCTCACCCTGTAAGAGTATCATTTTTCCTACTGTACCCATAATTTTCGACCAAATTCGTCAATTTCCTCCGTTCATTCACGTTAGTCGGCGCTGTTTTTGTGGTTGGGGTGAGCCGGAAACGGGAAATCCTTCCGATTCTTGGCTGTCGGTACGGCTCCCAGTTGGGAAAAGCCAACAAGGGGCGGTTGTTTGCTCCGTTGCTCGGCCGGCTCGACGAGTCCATTCAAGGTGTTCCGCCAGCTCTTTTTTTGGGGACGATTCTCTTCGTTTGCACTTCAGTTTTTACCTATTTTTGGTCATGTACAACATTTTTCGGGTGGTGACTTTTCTGTTGTTGGTTTCACGCTTCTAACCAAATTCAACGCAGATTTTTGAGTTCTGATGTCATCTGAAAACCCGCACCGCGACCCTTTGAGTCATTCCAAATGCGACCTTTCTTGAAGATTTTTTTCACCTACTGTGAATTTTCCTATTTTTAGGATAGCCAGAAGCTGTTAAAAATCCAAATCTCAATTTCCATTAATTACTGGGAAAATTTTTAGTGGCCACTGTAGAGGCTCGCCAAGGACTACTTGGAGAGGACACTATAGAGGTTTTCTACTTAGTGGCCACAGTAGTTTTTATCCAGTAGTTCTGATAATTAAAAAAAACAGACTGGACCAGTTATGTTGATCCACCGACCCCTAAAGTGGCCACTAAAAATTTTCGCAGTTAAAATTGATCAATCTTTGATCATTTTTTTAAATTAGCAGACTTGTAGCTTTTTTCAAGGCCTTGAACTAAATACAACTTCTCCTTCTTCTTTTTTTATATTGAGATAATATTTTCGAAGATTCATGTGTAAATTTAGTTCATACCTTCAAGGCGTTTTGTTCGAAATTTTGGAAAAAACAGACGAATTTCATGAATCTTGAAGCGAAAATTTTTAATTTTCTCAACTAATGAAAGGTTTCTGCCATTTCAAACCTTTTAAAAAGATCTTTGAGCAAACTAATCTTCAAAGATCCTTAAATCCCACCAAGAAAAAAAAGAAATTTTTTTCCAATTTTCCGAAGTAAGACCAACTTTTTGCACCTCTCCTTCAGCGTGATTCCTCATCCCATCTACTCAAGAGAAGAAGAAGAAGCCCTGAGGTTCTTCTTTTTCTGCTCGAATTTCTCAACAGGCTCTGACAAACGGGAGAGGCTTCTGCCTCAGGGGAGAGCCGAGAATGGGAAGCCGAATCGATCGTTTTCTCGCGCAGACCACGGCTCACGCGCTCTTTTGCTTCTAAACTTGGTCCTTTTGTTCATTTTATGCTATTTTATGCTTTAAACTGTATCAATGTAGTAGGTTATCGAAATAGAACTGAGGTAGAAAATTTCTTCAGAAGGTCGGGTAAATCGAAACCTGCTTTACAAGATCTTAAAAGGAGACCATAAACATATTTTGCGACATTTGAAGCTTTTACGAACTCTTATGATAGAATTTATAAAAAAATAAAATTTTTGAGAAGATACGAAATCGATTTTTTTCATTAATCTTATCTTTCTTAAAGATTTTTTTCGAATCTCAAAAAAATTTTTAGTTTTGTTATACTTTACATCCGAGGATTACTGTTTTGCACAAGCTATTTAGTTTCTTTTGCTCTCGAAAAAATGTTTTCATGTAAATTCCTTTACTCAGTCAATATATTTTTTTCTGAAAAATTTTTCCAAAATGAATTAATCTGAACTTTTAACATTTTTTTCTTCTTCCCATCAAAAAAAAATTCTCGAATTATTTTTTTCTTCATCCAAGATGTGCTCAAAATCATGACTGAAATTCAGGATTGTTTTTCTGGAAGTTTCAATCAAATTTTTTTATAAATTTTTTTACAAGAAGGAATAAATTGAACTACTTGAACAACGGTTAAAATAGATGTAGTTGATCTTTCGCACTGATTTTTTTAATTAAAAAAATCTTTTTTTATTTCTTTCTTTTTCAGGTAGAAAGGAAAAAAATTCATATGCTTTATTTTTAACCTTTTTTTCGCTTTAGCGAGTCTCTCTGTATTTCTTTAAATTTTTTACACTAGCTTCTGAAAACTTATCAAATGACCCAGGAAGAGTCGGAGAAATGAAAAAGCCTCTCTTCGCTTTTAATTCCTTGGCCAAACTGATTTTTTGACTTCCCAGCACACATACACACACACACAGCCCTTTTTTGGTGTTTCATGAAGAATAAAGCGCGGGAATTGACCGTCAGGAATGTTTATTTAACAACGTAGAAAGCACCGGCGCAATATTTCCGCTCCAGCACCGTCCTTTCTCGTTTCGTTGTTTTTTGTTCCCTTCATCGTAAAGTTCATATTCTGGTGTGGTCAGTTTCCTGCCGGGACTTTTATCGTTTTTTTTCTATTTTAATCATGAAAAAGGGAATATTGTTGCAGAGATGGCGATAATCGGCGAGTTGGAGGGACATTCGCGGCAGAACTGCTCCTGCTCGTCGGCCTCTTCTCTGCCGGAGTCCGTCGAAGACTGGGCCAAAGGTCTTCAGCCGGACCAGTGGACTTGGACCTCTGAACCGGTTCGTTTTATTCATATTTCCTAATAAATCAAACTGTTACAAAACGTTTCTCGGAAAATTTCATGCTTATGTTTATAGAAACATCAGTTTTTCATTTCTCTCTCGTTCTTCGTAGTCCAAATTTAACTTTTTGCACCAATTTAATTTTTTTTTATAACTGATTTTTTTCCATCTTTGGGTCGTCATTTTTTTCCAAACACAGCTAGTTTTCTTTTCTTTTTTTTTTTGGAAGAAATCATAGTATGAAAAGTTTTCATTCGAGATTTTTTTCATTTTTTTTTTCATTCAATTTTGAAAGTCCTAGGTGGACTTATGATCATGTGAAACGTAAAAAAACGGTTTTTTTCGAAAAAAACAGGAATTTTTTTAGAAATATTTTTTTCATAAAGAACTTTTTTTTAACCTGTATTTATTTTATCGTAAACCCCATCTTTTGACAGAGAATTCGACTGTTTGAACAAATGAGGTTGTTGTATAAGGTGAATTTTTAAAAAAATGACTTGGAATAAAAATGAAATTTGACTTTTCTTCAAAAGTTTTTTACACAATGAGTTGTTGCAGAATAACATGGAGGCTGTGGTTCAAGGCGACAGAGTGACCTTCCATCCGGTTTACGCTTTCGGAACTGCCGGCGTCCGAGGCGGCAAGAAACTGACGGCTACGACAGTCGCCTACTGGGAGATCGAGATCGCCCAGCCGCTCTACGGCACCTCCGTCATGTTCGGCGTCGGCACGGCTGACGCCAAGGTCAGTACTTTCCTTGTTCAAAGTATCATGATCATCAGAAGATGAGCCTTGGCAAAAAAAAAAGGCAAAAGGTTGAAGGTTTTGAGCTCTAAGGAACTTTGCAGAGAAGTACTTTCAGACCTCCTGATCACAGAAATATTGACATATTATAGAAAAAGTCGCCTCTTTTTGAGTTCATATGCTTTTAAATGCATAAAAAAGCCTTTCTTCAGACGCTGGCCAGGTCGCAGTTCATCGACCTCCTCGGAGACGACGAAAATTCCTTCGGACTCAACCACCTCGGAATGGCCTACCATGGCGGCGTCGGTGTGGCCGTCTCTCGCGAAGTCAAATCCACCAAGTGAGTCGAAACTGGGAAAAACTCTCAAGAAGCTCCTCAAGGACTATTTAGAGGGAACACTTGAGTGGCCACTCAAAACCACCTCTATAGAAGCCACTATGTTTCGTCTTAGCGTCTCTGTAGTAGTTTCTGGTAGTACTAGAAAAAAAAGGCCAATAATTTTCAGCCAAGTGGTCACTGAACCGTCAAAACCCTCAAGTGACCATTAAACTTTTTTCATTTTTCTTTTTAAACTGAACGGTTTCAGCTGCGTGATCGGAGTCCTATTCGACGGCCCTCGCCAGAGAATCAGCTACTTTGAAAATGGCGTCTATCTCTGCACTCCATTCGCCGACATCAACGTCTCTCTGCCTTTTTATCCCATGATCTCCAGGTTTTTCTCAACTGATAACGAGAAATAAAACGAAATATTTCCATTTCAGCACTGCCCAGCAGTCTCAATTCATCGTTAGAAACCAATTTGTTCACAATAAGGTGAAAAGTCTCTACGACGTTGCTCTGAGACAGGTTGGTGACGTTTTATTACTTGAAACTTGATAAATTTAGGCTCATATTTCGAAACTATGCTTTCAAAATGAAAGTTCTCAAAATATTTTTTTAGCCTTGTTTTTCTAGACAATTCTGCTTTTCATAACAGCTGTAAATGAATTTTTGAGACTTTTTTCATCTGAAACGGTATTTCATAGGGTCTTTAAACGATTAGCGAAATAGTGTACAAAAATAAGAGATTCAGACATTTTTAATATCATTTGTACCTAGCGACGATGGATGAAGGAAAGGTTTGAAATGTTTAATTTCGTATTATATTTTCTCTAGAAACTATTAAATTTCCACATCATTCCAGAGCCTAACTTTCAAAGTTCTAAAAAATTTCAGGTCCACCTCCGAGTTCCTGGAAAAGCGCTGGACTCTTTGCCCCTGCCGCGAACGATGCTCCGACAACTGCGCGAGATGGACCGCAAGCGATCCGCGACGCAGATGACCTACCTGCGACAGTCGCGAAAACGCGTCAACCACGTCTCCGCGACCCTTCGACCCATGTGCAACTTCAGCTTCACCGCCTCGCCCCGAATAGCTCGGAGTTGAGCTCCCGATTTCTAGGTTTTGACGAGTTTACGGGTCGTATTTCAAACTTTTTTTGTTCATTATGACAATTTTCGTGGCTTGGATACATTTCCTTTCTCTCAATCAATTTACATTATGCTCATTTTATACCCTTTGTCATTGTTAGCTTCTTTCTCAATCAAAAAGCTTTAAAAAAGTTCCCCTGTGACATATTTTATTAGTCCTTTATTGCATCATGTCGGATTATTTCTCAGATCTGGTCTTGAATCATTCGTATAATTTATTTGCCCTCCCTCGTTCACTTTCAACATGTTATTTTTCGAAATTTATTCGGATATATATTCATGTATTCGTTGATTTCAGGTATTTTCAGATGTCTTTTTTTTTCTTTTTCAAACTTTGTACAGCTAGTCAAAGTTGTTTTTTTTTTGACGCAAAGAAGAACTGCACAAAAACTTCTTTCACTATCTTACCACGTCTCACCAAAGATTTGTACAGTTTTTTTTCCTAATCGCGTTATTTAATGAAGCTTTTGATGCATTTACTTGTCATACAAGAATAAAAGATGCACAAAAAAAGAATTTGCAAATCAAAGTCAAGCTCTCGATAAAAAAAACCAGAAGTACAAGACATATTGACGCAATAATACAATGGAATAAGTGGAGAAATATAACTTAAACAAATTGAAAAATAATTCCAGAGAAAACTGCGCGTCAACAAAAAGCTTACGGTTTATTCGTCTACCGTGTCACTGTACGAAAAGAGCGCAAAGTTTGAATTTGATAGTTCAAATATTTTTTAAATTTTAAATGTTCTCTTTATTCAGGGAAATATGCTTTCACCACGAGTACTCAAAAGAAATCGTTCGTTAGAAGACGTAGAAAATGATCCCGATATTTCTTGGGTCGTCGACAAAAAGCTCAAGGCGACGTCGCCTGCAGAAAAGCCTTCGAAGGTAGTATTTTGTATTATTCTCGTTTAAAATGGTTTCCTAAGGAGTTGACATCACCGATTCATCGTGAAACGCTCGTTGAAAAGAGTTTGGGTGCTTTCAATACTTTCCCAAGACAGAAAGAGGCTTTGGAAGCTTTACAAATTTCTCGGCGAGTTTTCAACGACGGCAGAATCTTCAGCTATGAGGTCGGCGACGAGGAAAATCACACAGGTTTCAAAAATTATATATTTGGAGTTTGGATTGATCGACAATAGGAGCCCGGAATTATGTTGTCACGACACTATGCCGTTTCTGGCCGTATTATAGCGAAAGAGAGGAGGCTCACATGTACGAGTTGATCTTGGAAAACACGCCTTGCAGATTATATTTCGATTTGGAATACTCGAAAGAAACAAATCCAGACGCCGATCATTTGGTTAAAATATCTACCAAGTTTTTCAAAATTTAAAAGCTTTTAAGGTAGTTCTGAACCACTTTTTCGGATGCGTAGACACGATTTTGGACGATATGTTCCTCATCAACGTCTCCAAGAAAGTTTATTTTCCATTCCAATCGAAGTTTAAGTAGATTCTTAGAACTTTCTTCTTTTGGATTCATCGAATGATCGCAAATTTTCTTGTCATGCGATTTGTCATTTGCCTGAAAATTTGTTATTTCCATCCAATGTGAGTTTCTAATTTTCCTTCTTGTATGATCAACAGTTAAGACATCCATGCGTCCTTTTATCAAGTCTCTCTCCGAAGAGCTGCTGAAAGAACCTCCGATTCGTTTGATGAATAAAGACACTAAGGTGACTATAGTCCCAGAAAGTTCCTTCGCAGGTGTTTGATGGTTTAAAAAAATGTTTTCAGGAGATAACGGTCATGGACAGTGCAGTTTACTCAAAGAATCGAAATTTCCGTTTATTTTTGTCTTCTAAATTGGGAAAAACAAGAGCCCTTGTCTTAGCTGATTATTGTACATTTTATGGTTAGTATGGAAGAATAAAAAAGTTAGACTAAATTTGGACTGAAGTGTTTAGGAATTAAAAAGCCCACCAAACGAGAAATCTTTTACGATTCTCTCTGTGTTCCTGATGACTTTGACAGATTCAAGCTTCTTCCAGTGGAAGTACCTTCTTCTGAGCCGCTCACAGCGACTTCTTCTTCACTAAAATTCAAAGAGAAAGGTACTTAAAAAAAGGAAAAACATTCTTGATAATATTTTTAGAAGAATTTTCCAATGGAAGCTCGCCCTACCCTGATCTTGACGACTTCATGCTCGAATTCGTTTTTTTCGGTCCTTCCAGGGAAAAATATTTTATTATTCTAAAAATTCCAGAAAACGAAACTGTTCGGCGTACATTCGTCAGTGGAAATTGTTGGAAGAAAATGGGAAACCAAAGTCAATTATTTATTATGTCGGTTTTGTGCCAAAATTGTCATACCTCATTCTTTTTGTCAGCCTGCTAATTGTCGTTACTGCTTCAACATTCGAAGAGAGCACAAAAGCAACGGAACTTATTGGACAGTTGACTTTGAAAAGTATTCACTAAAAAAAAAAACAAAGAACAAAATATCTTTTAGGCGCGAGTTCTACCAAAAATGCTTTGATCCGGAGTGTCGAGGAACTTCTTCCAATCACTTCCCACTGCCAAAGTTTGTGACCAGTATAGGTAAGGATCGAAAAGACACTTTAATTGTAAAATATGAGTTTAGACAAACGCGAAGAAGAAGAAGAAGAAGAAGACCCCGAGAAAGCACTTGATAAAATACGTTTTTTCAACGACTGGGACTCATTGTTTGAACAATAGTGTTTTTTAATTGTCTAAAGCACACTTTTATCAAATACTTATCTATTGTGCGCACAAATTGAATGGAACACATGTGTTCCATTTAATTTCCAACCCTGAAGTTCTTCACATCGAAATTTGAATTCCCGCCAATCTGATTTAAAGGCGCAGGGCTGTCGGCAATGGTGGACTTTGAAGCGCCCTTCTGCTCCACATTTAATTTTCCACAGCCTAACTCAAAATTTCTTGATTTTTTCTATTTCTCATCATTTTTGTTATTATCCGTTGATTATTTCGATGAAAGATAAAGATACCAGTGAAATATACCTTTTTTTTGTTTCGGCCGACCGTTACGTTTCTTTTACGACCCAAATTTTTGATTTTTTCAAAGTTAAACTTTTAATTTCATCATTTTTAGCAGGGTAAAATATGTCTGTCGAAAGCCTTTTTTCGGAAGTTTCTTCCATTTTGGGAGCTCGTTTGGCTATAGCCGCCGCTGACGAACTTCATTTTGGCGGAAAGCGAGTTTTCTCCGATGTTTCTGCAGCCGCTTCAACGTCCTCTATTCAACAGAAGTCCGGAGGTTAGATTCAACTATATTATTCTTTTTTTGAATTTTCAATTATATTTTTTTTTAAAACGAAAATCGAAGAAGGCTAGTGATAAAGCAAAGAAAGGAATTCTAAAGTTTTGAGAATTTTCGGATAAAATCATAAAATCGTTTCAAAGTGATGATTTTTACTCTTTGTGAGTTTTCGCAATATTTTCACTTACAGGAAAGGTCGAAGGAGGCAAGAAGGACAAGGGAGGCAATCCTTTGCTCTCCGCCATCGACAACGCCAAGCATATCGTTGGACAGGCTTTGGCTGGAGTTGGAGGTGAGATCGATTTTTTTTTTTCAACTTATTCCTAATTAATTTCTATGTATAACTTTTGATATTTTTATAATAATTCTATTAGGTTTGCCGGTTAGGAATGAGCGTTGAACTTCTCATCTCAATGAAGCAAGCATTAAGTTTCTCGTCTGAAATAAATCCTCTTGGCGATTGGAAAGTACTTGAAAGATCTATTCATTTTTATCATTATTTCGTAGTGATGTCAGCGCCGAAAATACCGCTCATTTCCAACTAGCCGCCCTAATATGTCTAAAATTTACTTGTTTTCTTTTTTTAGTACAAATTATTCATGATTATTTCAAAGATTCACTTTATCATTTAAGGCGCTTCCCATGACGAGATTACTGATCTCCAGAAAGGTCAGAAGAAGCTCGAATCAGAAGTTGAGAAGTTGACAAAGCTTGTTGCCTCTCTTCAGACCGAGCTGGCTTCTTTGAAGCAGTCTTCTGGTGGAAAGGTTGATTTTTCGGCTAATATGGATAATTATCTGGTTCTTGGTGATGGTAACCTGTCATTTTCCTGCTCTTTCTCTTCTCAGTGCTCATCTCTTACTGCTACTGTATTTGATTCTGAACCTGAATTTGTTAGAAAATATAAAGCTGTTGAGAACATATGTTTTCTTCGTTCTTGTCCAAATGTTAATCTTTTATTTGGTGTTGATGCAACTCAACTGTCCCTTGCTTGGAAAAATGTGTTTTCCACTATCATTATGAACTTCCCACATCCTGGAGGCAAAACGAACTTGAGAAACAGTCGTCAGCTTTTGACGAAAATCTTTCGAAGTGTTCGTTCCATAATGAGTGAGAAAACCAAGTTTTGCCTAGCCCTAGCGTTTTCTCAGTCGGGTCTCACAGCGACTGATCCTGTTTGGTCTGATCGTCCGCCTGATCATGTCAAAGATTCTTGGCAGGCTATCTATCTGGCTGCCGCCGAAGGGTTGGTACTGGAAGAAGGGAAGGATTTTGATCCTTCGAAGTACGCGGCTTATTCCGCATCAGGTTATAAAGAATCCAAAAAGGGATTTAATAACTTGAATGGGCAGCAGCTTGTTTTCAAAACTTTTGACGACAGCTTATTGACCTTATCCTTTTTGTCTAAAAACGAACCTCCCAAAAATGGATTCCACTGTTTTCGACCATTTTATGTTCAAGATTTATCTTTTTTGTTCACTGCTGAAGCTGATTCTTCTGCTCTCATTGCCCTCGATTTATTGAAAGAGCTAACTGGGAATTTGTTGGTTTCTATTGAAGAGGTTGTTAAGCTTCGTTCATTTTGCCCTGATCCATATCTTCCCAACAGAATTTACCGTCTTTTCTGGCAATCTGTGAAATACCCACTAGGTCGCGAACAGTGCAAATCTGTCCACGAAGAGCTGAGAATTCGAATTGTGTCTTGTATTAAATCTCGTCGTTTGCCATTGATTCTCACTTGATCTCTTCTTTTTTCTGTTTCTTGTTGTTGTTTTATTGGTTGTTTGATAAAAATTTGTTATTTTAACAAATAATGTATCTGAGAACTTGTCTAAGAAGGAAAGTTCAGTCCGCTCCTGTTGCCGCTTCCGCCCCAGCTCCTGCTGACGAGAAGAAGGAAGAGGCGGCCGAAGGGGACGACGACTTCGACTTGTTCGGTTCGGACGATGAAGAGGACGAGGAAAAGAAGAAGATCGTGGAGGAGCGCCTCAAGGCCTACGCCGAGAAGAAGTCCAAGAAGGTTTTGATGAAATGAAGGAAAAGATCAATTTTTTTTTAGCCTGGCCCGATCGCCAAGTCCTCGGTCATCCTTGACGTCAAGCCTTGGGATGATGAGACCAACATGCAAGAAATGGAAGACCTCGTCCGCGGAATCGAAATGGACGGTCTCGTTTGGGGCGGCGGCAAACTGATCCCCATTGGATACGGTAAATAAATAATTTTTTGAGGAAAAAAGGTTGAAAACGGTGAATTATTAGTCGACTATTTTAACATTTTTATGAATTTATCAATATTTCGATGAATTTTCATCTCGTTGATTACTTTTCATCAATCCAAAACTTATCTCAAGCTCTTCTTTTCCAGGAATCAAGAAGCTCCAAATCATCTGCGTTATCGAAGACTTGAAGGTCTCAGTTGACGACTTGATCGAGAAGATCACTGGTGACTTCGAGAACCACGTGAGTTTCATTTTTCATTTTCTCATCTTCAGTTGGAAAATTTCCAGGTTCAATCGGTTGATATCGCCGCCTTCAACAAAATCTAATTTCAGACAGTAATTTTTGTTGTTATTGTTATATGAATAAAAATTATCTAATTATATATCTTGTTAAAATTGTCACTCTTAATTCAAATAAATTTACTGATTAAAAAAAGGTGTATTTTTATGTCATGGAACTGGTCTCTCATTAAAAAAGAGACGGAAAGTTTGAATCATTGAAATTTAGTTGATGTGATATCAATAATCGTTTCCTTTCTGAAAGCATTTCTGATAGCAAGCTACAGGCACTAATTTCTTGCGAAATGGAATATTCGGAACTTCAGTATTTGAAATAGGGCTACCAACCATTCATCAAACCTCGTGAATGTGTTCTTTAACCCTTATAAATAAGGCTGGTGTGCGGCGGAAGAGTTCTATCCGTTCTCGAAAATGGATTGTCAATAGAACGGCGCCTCGGGCAAAAAACTTTTGAATCTCTAATTTCCTCGCCACTCCGCTCTTTGTGCGAAAATTAACGACTCGCGTACGTTTCTGGGTGTCGTTCTTTATCTCGGAGGCTCATCTCTTTCGGAGGCTTCCCCCAATTCCAATCTTGGCCAGCTGCACGCCGCTTGAACATGTTAATTTCGGCGTTCCTCTTGAACGCCCTCCCGGAAAGCGCCCGCATCGATTTTCTTGCCCTTTAGACATTTTTTGCAGCTACTTTGTGAGCTTATATGAAGAGTTCCTATGTATTTAGTTATCTCCTTGAAAATCTTATTTCAAAACAGAGTTTCCTACTTTAGAAAACGTGAGAAAGAGCTAATATATATAACCTAGGTAGTTATATCTCAATAAATGAGCAGAAATCGTATTTGATTTCTGAAATCTAAGTTCAAACCTTCTTTAACTTGTAATATACTCACTGCTAACTTGAAAAATCCCACGAAAATGCCTAAATCTTACATTTTTTTTTCTCCATGTCTCGCTGATCGTATAAATATTCAAATTAAATGATTTTCACATTCCCGTATACACAAAGGAATACACATAATAATTTTTCAAAATTGTCGAAAACTACGAATTTGAGATTTGTTCAACTTTTGAAAACTTCAAATCTATTCCATGATATGGCAACTTTTATATTTGTTAATTCAGAATGAAAATTTCATTTCCTCGATTTCTTACGCCGTCTTTCCAAATCTCACAAGATGATTTCAATGTTTCACAGGTAACCCCTCTACACGTGGAATCTTCGAAGGGACATCAATCACCACCGCGGCGAACAATGTAAGTCGTTCTGACGTCTTCTTCCATTCTCTCACATCAATTTATCTCCGTATCATTGTTTGAACGGCTCATAAAGGATAAAACTTTTTTTTGAAGTACTAATTGTCCGTTTTAGTTCAGTTATCGAAGCTTCTCGCTCAAATTGTTGAGAAGAACTATGACCAAAAAATCTACTGGTGAACTTTATGATTGACGCCGATTAGATAAGACAGAAAAAGTTGAAAAATGGCAAGAAAACCGTGGAATTTTCGGAAATTGATTTTGCTGCTGTGCGTTGGGGCGCACTTTTGTATTTTCTCAAAGAGCTCGAAAAAGTTTTTGTTTTGACCTCCAAAAATTTTTTCCTTTTTTTTTCTTTTTTTCTTTTTCTGGAATTCGTTTTGTCAAGGTTTCTCCGGAAGCGTACGCTGTGGTTTTTGGAGGCGTATAGGCATAAATCTTGATGGAATTTTTTTAAATGTCTTTATTAGTCTTAACTGAAACCAGAGTTCATTTTTACTTCTCTACCTTTTTTTCATTTTTTTATTTTATTAAATTCATCAAATTTCTTTGTATTTTTTTGAGAATTTTTGAAAGAAAAAAAGTCAAAGCATATAAGTGATTTTTAGCTGCTAAAAGGCTTACTTTAGATTTACTTTAGATCAATTTTTTTATCTAGGCAGCCGTTTTTATAATAGTTTTTCTAAAAATTTATGTTGTCGATTAAATTTATTCTTCATGTTCAATATAATTGAATATATTTTTGCTATAAAGATGTTCTGTTTTTTTCTGACGGCAAATCTTGTTGTGCTTCCCTGCGTCTATAACCTTAGTCCACTACACCTTCATCGCAAACAACGGGTGGAAAAATAACATGCCCATGGCGCTACTTTCATTCATGTGACTACGGATTTTCAATGGTTCTATTCATTTTTTTTCTCGAAACTTTTGATTTTGAACTGATAAATGTCAATTTCGTATAGTTCTAGAAAGTTTCGAAAAAAAGCAACGGAGTTCTTTTTGTGTTGCGAATGACGCAAAATCCGCTTTTCTCTTCGTTTTTTTTGTTGCTCCGTTCGTTGACTTTTGTTATCGATTATTGCGAACCTGGAATGATTAGGAGGAAAAGATGATAGACAGGAGCACTTTTAATTGATAAGAAATCAGATTTTTTCGATTTCTACAACACTTTCCATTTCAAAAGGGGTTTAAAAAAATAAGTTGATGAGATATTTTTTTCTCAAGAATAAGTCGAATTTTTTTCAAAAAAATTATATTTACGGATTGAAAATGTTTTTTTGAGGGAATAATTATATTTTTATAGGTTATTACTTCTTGTTTTTTTTTCTCTCAATCTAGAGAATGACAGTTTTCCAAAGTAAATAAACGGAAAAAGTTCATTTAAACTTCTCTCACACTTTAGAAACTTCATTTCTTATTGTTCCTTTGACGCTTGTTGCAAGGTTTTCCATATAATCAATTTTCAATCATTCAAGGAAATATTTTGCTCATTATGATCAATTTTCTCATTTGCGATTTGAAAATTGTAATAAAAGGCCGCCTAAACGTCTGCGGCAGTTGCTGGGGCATTACCTCACGATTTTTCTGTTCGTTCCTTGGGGTTCCCGAAGATTTATGTTTTTTTCTTAGTTTTAGTTAGTTGATATTAAACGTCTGTAATTTTAGCTACTAATACAAGAAAAAAAGGCAAAAATATTCGGTTTTTCAGTCTTCTTTTTTTCTATAAATTTCAAAATTGTAGAAAAAAACGAAAACTTTGGTTTGGAATAGAATCATTTTGAACCATGACTGTTTTCGTGTCTTTTTATTATGTATTCATAGAACAAACACCTTATTGTTTTGCAGGAACCCTCACAATAAAACGAGATGGGCGATTTTGTGAAGGGCCACGAATACGAAGAGGTTTTCTTTCCTTATTTCCAAACTAATATTTTTGTTTTTTTAAGGTTTTATGTGTTTTAAAATGAATATTTAGTTTTAGAAAAAAATTCAAAAAAAGAATTTTAACAGTTTTTTTTGAGGGCCCAGAATGAAAAATGATCGTAGTTTTTTTAGTTATTTTTTTTTAATTTTTCAACGGTATCTTTAATTTTCTTCGAAAAAGGTGTGTACAAACTTGCGACAAAAATTTAATTTTTTCACCTGTTTTCCGCAGATGAGCTTTTTTTTCATTCAATTCTTTCACTCTTCAAATTTTTCTAGGTTCCAGAAGTACTGAAGATTAGTTTTTTACAGGAAGACCGAAAGAATCTCTCGGGAGTAGTTCAGCCGGTGCCAATGGGTCCCGAAGCGGTCCGAATCGTCGAAGTCGTCGAGGAAACTGACCATTCTTTCGAACTCAACACTGCGCTTCTCGAACAGATTCTCCTTGACCCGAAAGTCGCCGATAAGAAAGTTTGTTTTGAAATTCGAATTTTCAGCTTTTTTTCTTGTGCTCAAAGTGATTCCGTGAAAGTTCAAAAAAACAGCCATTAGAGAGTAATAACAGAATTTTCGAAGAGTCAGAGATAATTTTTGAATTTTTGTGGAAATTACTTTGAACACAGACTTGGTTTATTATACTATTCGAATAAAAATTTCAACCTGATGAAATTTTTTTTAGCTTTCCGTAGTCTTTTTCCTAGTCTCTGAGTTTGAATTTCACTATTTCTCCCTGAAAACATGTTCTCATAAAAAATATTTTTTTATGATGAAAAATCTGTTTGCATGTGAATTTTTTTGGAAATTTCAATTTTTTTCGCGATTTTAAAGGCTCGAAATTACGAATTAGAGCTGGAATTTTCAATTTTTCATCCTTGTTCTCAGGTCGCCGTGATCGGAGTGGCTGGCGCCTACAGAAAAGGCAAAAGTTTTCTTCTCAACTTTTTCCTCCGCTATTTGAATTGGCGGTCACAATCCGATCGTAAGTGGATACTTAAATTTGAAAAGAAAATTGCATTTGTTCAGAAGTTGACGATGATACGATAGATTGGCTGTCGCCCGAGTCGCCACTCAAGGGATTCTCGTGGCGCGGCGGCAGCGAACGCGACACCAATGGAATTCTTATTTGGAGCAAACCGTTCCTGATGAAGGACAGGAATGGCGAAGAGGTACTGCAATCAGAGATTTTTCGAAATTCACATCTTATTTTTCTAATTTAGTTCTTCTAAATCTTTTTTTCCTTTACAGTTATTCAAAATTTTGGTGTTTCTGAATTGTATTTCTCAAATCATAAACTTAATTGGAAGCTAATTTTTTTCCAGTTTTGAGTTTCATTTATATGTCAAAAAGTTTATTAATTACGGGCATTTTCATCATTTTGATAAATTGAAAAAAATTTCAAACTTTTTTTCGACAAAGCCAAAAAGCTTTTTTTATTTTTTTGACAAGAAATTGATGAAAAAAACTTATAGGTTTTTTTAGTTTTTTTCGAAAATATGTTGAGAAAAATTCTTTTTTCATCTAATTTTAATTACTGAAGCCGTGTCCGAGGTAATTCCGGTCGTTTTTGAGCTGTGACCCCTTATTTTTCAATAACTAGAAATTTGTGCAGGTTTAGACTTTCGGATCCTCTTTTGGTACATCGAAAAGTGTTATGACCGATATTTTAGAACATCTGAAGCGTCAAGCAAATTCAAAAAAAAAAAACTTTGAAACGAACTTCTCCAGATCGCTGTTCTTCTGATGGACACCCAAGGGGCCTTCGATTCGCAGTCGACTGTCAAGGATTGTGCCACCATTTTCGCCCTTTCCACCATGGTTTCCTCTGTTCAGGTGCTTTTGATAATGGAAATAGGAATATCACAAATTCTTTGCAGATATACAACCTCTCGCAAAACATCCAGGAGGACGATCTGCAGCACTTGCAACTCTTCACCGAGTATGGCCGGCTGGCCCTCGAGGACGGCGCCGCCAAGCCTTTCCAGGTGAAAAATAGAACTAGCAAAAGTGTTTAAAGGCGCAGGGTGGGTTGAAATTAATTGGTTTCGTCAAGAATTTTCCCAGTAATGATTAAAAAAGTTTTTCGATTTGATTTTGAAGGTGAAATGATCTCCAAGAAGTCAGGTGAAAACTTTTTTCAGCCTAGTTTTGAAAAATGCGTCATTTTTAGTCACATCCTCGGAAAAATGGATAAGGTTCTTTCAAAAAATGTCTTTTAAGGGTCCCCAACAGATTTTCTAAATCTCATTTTCAATCCTTTTCACACCTTTTTACGAAAAGAGCCACCAAAAAGAGGCCTCTCACCGTCTCAAACTGGTTGTGAATGGACTATAATTTCAGTCGCTTCTTTTCCTGGTCCGCGATTGGTCGTTCCCTTATGAGGCCGAGTACGGTTTCCAGGGCGGTCAGCGTATTTTGGACAAGCGGTTAGAGGTATTTTGAAACTCGATCTCAGAATATTCTAATCGATTTCCTCCAGCTGAACGAGAAGCAACACGAGGAGCTGCAGCAGCTCCGAGTCCACATCCGCAGTTGCTTCGAGAACATCTCCTGCTTCTTGATGCCTCATCCCGGCCTCCGAGTCGCCACCAACCCCAATTTCGATGGCAAACTTGTTGGTAAGGAACTTCTCTCGGTATTTTCTTCTATACAAATTTTTGGATCTGAAGATTTTCATGCATCCTCGATTTTTTGAAAAATCATGAAGATGGTGAATAATACTTTTTTTATAAAATGGTTTTGAAATTTTTTTGAACGATTTTCCATTGGAAAAATTTTTTTCAACGTTGTTTTTTTCTATTGCCATTCATCAAAAATGCGTCGTAAATTTTTTTTGATTTTTGGCGATATTTTTGATGAAAAAAATAACCTCTTTTTCTCAGTTTTATTCAATCGCCATTAACTCTATTTTCAATCATCTTTTTTTTCTACTTGAAGAAATATATTTTTTTAAGGTTCAGGTTTTTTTAAAAAGTAGTTTTCTTCATTTTTTTCCGTGCCAAAACTGTTGAATTTTTTACATTTTCAAATGTTTATGAGGTTTAAAACAACTATATGTGGGTTAAGTGTGATTTTTGCGAAATAAGTTTCAAGTTTTCAAAGTATTTTAAAATTTTCAGACCTTTTCAACGTCTTTTTTTTTACCGAACAGTAAGAATTTGTTCATTTTCCAGACATCGAGAAGGAGTTCCAACAGCAACTGCGCGTGATGGTGCCCAAGCTGCTCGATTCATTCAACTTGGCCCACAAGGAGATCAACGGCCAGAAGATCACGTGCCGCGGCCTCGTCGAGTACTTCAAGGCCTACATGAAGATCTTCCAAGGCCAGGAACTCCCCGAGCCCAAGTCCATGCTGCTGGCCACCGCCGAGGCCAACAACCTCGCCGCCGTCGCTTCCGCCAGAGCCGTCTACCAGAGGCAGATGGAGGAGGTTCGCTGGAGCGCATTTGAGAAAAGATCCTACATATAACTTGAAAAAAAAAGAATCGCGGAAAGAGATTCCATTTTGAGAAAAAAAAAACTCTTTCGTACTCAATTCATCACTCTTCTATACTCAATTCAATAATAATGACAGGAAACTAACTCAGCTAGTGATAAAAATGAAACTACTGTTTTACGAAAAGTTTTTAAATAGATCCTTTCCTCAGCTTTATCAATTGACCTATTTCGATCGATACGTTAAAATTAATTGAGAAAAAAGACTATTCTGAGAACGATCAATAAGCGAATAATTTAAAAAGTTTCGCTAACTCCTTTTCCCTGAGCAGAAAAAAGTTGTTTTTTTTGTTACTTTTCATAGTTTTTTTTTGGTTTTTTTAAATCATAGGAGAGAAATACCCGAAATTTTAAATAGTGGGTTAGAAAAAGATAATGGAGACTGATTAATTGGAAGATCTCGAAATTTTCAATTCTTGTTTTTTTTGTAAAGTTTTTTTTTTGATTTAATTTTTGGGACCTGTCTTTTATTAAAACATTTTTGAACGGAAAGGTGTACTCAACTTTCAAATAATCACAAAAATGGAGAGAAGAGCACTTTTTTCCAATTTTGATAATTATTTTTAGGTTTGCGGAGGTGATTCGCCTTACATGCCGACACAGGAGCTTCTTAATCATCATGAACGTTGCAAGGTTTGGAATTCTTCCATTTTAGCGTTAATAATAATCCGAAAACCTCAGAACGAAGCGATCCGAGAGTTCCGAAGCGCCAGAAAGATGGGCGGCGTCGATTTCAGCTTGCAGTTTTTGGATAAACTCACTCAGGATATTGAGGTTTTCATGGAGTTTGAAAAATCATTTTTTTCCGAATTTTATGTATTTTTGTTCATTTTTTTAAGGCTTGAAAGAAAATATGGCCCTTTTGAGTTCAGATAACGGCCTTTTAAAAAAGGTCAGACCGTCTGAATTGATTTTTTTTCTTTAAATTTCGCTAATATTTCACTTCGAAACATTTCCAGGAGTCGTACGAGAACCACCTGAAGGTGAACAACGGCAAGAACTTGTTCAAGGCGATGAGGACCCCGGCCGTCTTGGCCTCGATGATGATCATCGACTACATCCTTCAGGAGTTCTTCCAGCTCCTCGGTCTCAATGGAATCGCCGGTTTGTTTCTTTTTTTGCAGTAAAATCAACCTGTCTTTTCTTATCTAGTATACTTTTTTTTAAGAAGATTTTGGTTTCAGACAGGGTTTCCATGATTTTTCTAACCATTTTTTTACCCTATCAGTTTTTTTTGTCAAAAATAAGGTTATTCGAACCATCCCAATATTCTCTCGTAACATCCCAAAATTTGCGGTTTCACTATGAATATAAAACGTTGTTTCCCTTCCAATGCCAATGTTGTCTTCCCACTATTATCCGTCAATCAAGTTTTTAGAACGAGTAGATAAAAATTTTGAAATTTCGTCGAGAAGTTTCCAGGATCAGCATGAATTTTTGAACTGACATTATGACCTCAAAATGGTTTCTAAAAAAAAAAAAACGAAAATCTTATCCTCGACTTCATTATTAAACTGATTCCAAAAGAATTCCAGGAATCTTCACGTCGATCTCCTTCTTGGCGATTTGCTCCCTCGGCGTTTGGGCCTATTCGCGATACTCGGGAAACATGCGCGAGATCGGAGGACTTGTCCGTTTTTCTTCTTCGATTCTCATTTTCGATGATCCGTCTTCAGATTGACGACGCTGTGACTTATGTCTGGACGAATTTCATCTCGCCCCACGCCGGCCAAATGGGAGCCCTTGGCGGAGCTTTGAACATCTCCGACACACTTTCCGGTATCAACAACACGGCGAGGGTGAGTTTTGATGGGGAAAATGACAAGTTGAAATGAATTTGAGAATTTTTTTTGTTGCTTAAAACAGTTCTAGAAAATCGAAGTTCTAAGAAATACTTTAAATTTTTACCCGTATACTATATTAGATGGTAAAAAGATTCTGTAATGGCATTTAAAACTAGATATAGCCCTGTTTTCCCGACTCGGAATGATATGACTTCTCTGCGCCCTCTTCATCTCTCGGCGAATCTTTCATGTTTACCTGCTATTTTGATGTTTCTCTAACCTCGCCGGCGAGGGAACAAAAAGACGCAGACACCCGAAAACTGTAAAGTCGTGGATCTAACGATCTTGATGTACATATCTGCTTCACGGCTAGCTTTAGTCATCGAAAATGGGTCTTGAAAAGAAAAATGAGATAGTGCCGGGTTAGTAGAGAGCGCAGACAGCCACGCCTCTTAGCGTCCCAAGTTAGATGTGAGTTGGCTATATCAACCCAGAGGTGCTTCGCGAAACTGGTTCCAGAATTTATTGAATTTCAAGCGGCATTCAAAATTTAACTATCTTCTCAAACCAGTTTGAGCATAAACTTCTTTTTGTAGTCCGTTTTCCGCGTTTTAAAAGTTTTCGAGCGTCTGCGTCTCTCTTATCCCTCACCAATGAGATCAAAGAAACATAAAAATACCACTTCAGTATGAGAGAGTCGCGGAGGATGGTGCAGAGAAGCCATGTCATTCAAAGTCGCCAGAAACGAACTATGAATAATATTTTAATCGTTTTCGCTATGTTTTTCCTTTAGGGATCCAACTCCGCGACCAACGTAAGGAGCAAGAAGACCCAGTAAAAACCTCTTTCTTCACTTCAAAAATCTTCCCAGGACCGATTCAATCATTATTTTCTTTGTGTATATTGATACTTCAGCCGTGCTACTAATTTCGTTCTTTTCTATGTGTGTCCAATGATTTTTCTTGTCTTTTTTCGCCTTCTTCCCGGAAACTTCGATTCAAACGAAAACTCTTTGGGTGGCCGATACTTTTCCGAACCGGGAGTTTCCGAATCGAAATCCGAACCGATACTTTTCCGAATCGTACTTTTCCGAATCGGTTGTGTACTTTTCCGAACCCAAATTTATTATGCTTTTCCGAATCGTAATTCAATTAATTCTTTAGGTGGTACCGTCATTTTTAATCCGATTCCTTATAATTTTTTTCCCAGAGTGCAGCCTTCCGTCTGACCATTTTCGAAACTCGAATAGGATTCATTTTTCCTCGAGTGCTCTTTCAGAAACTTTTTTTCTTGGTTCTTTCGATTTCAGAACGGACTGTGGCATCGCCAATGCCAACGGTCCGCTCTGAAGTTGACTGGCCCGTTTTCGTCTTAAAAATTTGAACTTGGAAAACAGTTTCAAGATTCGAAATTTCGGTGTGCAGGAAGGACTTTAAATCCGCAAGTGCTCTTCAGAGCTGACCGTTGGCATTGGCGATGCCACAGTCCGTTCTGAAATCGAAAGAACCAAGAAAAAAAGTTTCTGAAAGAGCACTTGAGGAAAAATGAATCCTATTCGAGTTTCGAAAATGGTCAGACGGAAGGCTGCACTCTGGGAAAAAAATTATAAGGAATCGGATTGAAAATGACGGTACCACCTAAAGAATTAATTGAATTAGGATTCGGAAAAGCATAATAAATTTGGGTTCGGAAAAGTTCACAACCGATTCGGAAAAGTACGGTTCGGAAAAGTATCGGTTCGGATTTCGATTCGGAAAATCCCGGTTCGGAAAAGTATCGGCCCTTTGGGTCGAAACAGCCTTTTGGAAATAAAAGAGTTGTTTTTTTTATTTTCAAAACTGTTTCTTCTTGTCATTTCTGGTCAATATTTTACTAACACGTTTTGTTTGAGCATGTATCTTTTTTGGAAATCTCATTTTTTGAGATTATTTTTTAAGCTTGTTTGTGTTTCAAATGACCCGTCCTCAATTCTTAAAATATGTCTGTGCTGGGTATTTTCACCTGAATCTTTTATTCTTATTTTTCTTTTTTCGTTCATTTTGATCATCTCATTTCGGAGAAACAGTGTGACATTTGATTAGTGTGGAGAATTAAGATTTCTTTATTCCAGAATATTTTTTCAATCCCAAATAAAGCTTATTTGATAACGAATTTAAGAGGGTCGAATTTTGTGAAGGAAGAAATTGATTATTCAAGCTTTGTTTTAGAGGCACCCGTTCTTCTAAAGCAGCTGACGATGAGAGAAATAACCCGGTAGATTATGTACAATGAGACTCCTAAAATGGAAGATAGGAAAGCGATAACGTCTAGGGAATGATATTGGATAAGGTTGAGCTTCTGGCCGGCTGGCGTCAGGTTGGAAAGGTCCTTGAACTCGGCGGCGAACCTCGTCCAGCTCTTCAGCAGCTGGTCCGGCTTGATCGGCTGCTTTTCCAGCATTTTCGACATCTTTTGCGCCGACTCCTTATACCTAAAAAGAGATTTAGAGTTGATGCGCAGCGAAATACCCACCGATCATCCTCAATGATAGTTCTGATGGCATTTTCGACGACGTCAGCCGAAAGTTCGGACTTCTTGATGGTGATTCCCAAGCCGTGTTTCTCAGCGAGTCTGGCGTTTTTTGGCTGGTCTCCAAATAAGGGAATCGAGATGACCGGCGCGCCGGCTGTCATCACTTCCTGTAAGAAGAAAAGTGGGAAATTGTTAAAAACTCCGAATTTTTAAAAATAAGTAGGGAAGGGTCGAAAAAGGCTCGATAGAAATGATACTTTTAGGGGGACAAAGACTCCTCTTTTGCTGCCTTTTTGCGCCATTTCATCGGCTCTATGCACTATTTTTGCTGCCCCTCCCTTTTTCCACTATTCCTTTGGCCTTGAAAATCTAGAAAAAGGATAAAGACTCTTTTTGCTGCCTTTCTGCGGCCTTTTTTGAGCTTCTCCCTTTTAGCGGCCATTATCCACCCTTCCGACTTTGTCCGAGTTTGACGAAAAAATATACTGGAAAAAGTTCTTTTGCGTGACCCCTCAAAGACCTTTCAAACCTTTTTGAAAGTCCAGAAAAACAACAGATCCTACCTGAATGCTATTATAACCGGCGTGGGTAATGAACGCCTTCAATTTCTCGTTGACGAGAAGATCCGCCTGTGGAAGCCATTTCCTGACGTGCACATTCTTCGGCAGCATTTCTGGAACATTATTATTCTTCTAATTTTGGATTTTTTTCCAGCTTCCTGATGATTCTCATCTTGGCTATTAAGAAATTCCATAAATCAATAAATGAGAAGAGGTGAAACAATCACTTATTTTAATGCTAAAAATAAGTCACTTCCAACTTCTCAAAAAAAGGCACCTCGTTGAAACTTCAAGTTAATAACTTTACTATAGATTTATCTTAACTATGTGATAAGAAAACTGGATTTTTCTTAACAAATCACTAAGAATAACTGACGAGATAAAAGCGAGGTCGGTGGCGGTACATTGACGAACTCGCAAAAATGTCGCTTTTTTCAAGGCGCGACCTCGCATTTATCTTGCATTTCGGAAATTTTCAAATTGCCAGAGAAATGCGAGCTCGCGCCTAGAAAAGTGCGAGCTGGCGCCCAGAAAAATGCGAGACCGGCGCGAGAAAAAAAGCGAGATGTTTGCGAGCTCGTCAATATACCGCCAGTGTCTCGCGTTTATCTCGGCAGTTATTCTTAGTGATCTTACCATTCAAATCGTCAGCCGGATATCTCATGAGGAACTGGACGTTGGGAAACCGGGAAAAAGCCTCCAAAAGTTCTTTTTTCCATCTCAACGGCATGACATCGGCGGCTGTCACCGATCCGAAAGAGAAAAGTATGGTCCCGTTGCTTTTCGCCACGATTTTGGCTATGTCCTGAGAAAAACGGCTTTTTCGTTAGGTCTAGTACGCTCCATGGAGAATTCAGGTTTTGAGGGGGTTCAAGCAGTCATAAAAACTGAAAAATCTCAATTGATTCATGCTTTTTCGACAACACTTTTGGATGTACTTTGAAAAAAGTCATTTCAAGGATTTTTGGTTATTCTGAAAGGTCCTATCTTGAAAACTAAGCTTTGCAGATTAAAACTTCTAGGATCTTCTCCATTTGATCAAGAAAAAGTTCAGAGAGCTTTATCAGTTCAGCCCTTTTGAGAACGAACAGGACGTTTTTCTCTAGTTTGAAGAAAATATAGGCAGCTCTAAAAACCTCTGGAAGCGGCTTGGCATCCCGTTTCTGCATTCCGATCCCGCCAATGTTGATTATTTTGGCGAGTGTTGGTCGAGCCAGTTCATACAGATCGTTGGTGTTTGACATTGCCTTTAAAAAAATAGTTTTGAATGTTTTCTTTTTGAAGTATTCACCAGAGGAGTCTGACGAGCGATGTCAAGCAAGCTCGGGAAATTCGGGTCGATGTATTGACGGAAAATGCGGGTTTCCTCGTCGGCGATCCATCTGAAAATTCTTCTTAGGAATGCCAGAGTGGTCTCTAAAGGGATTAGGGAAAAAACAGCCTCCTGTAGGGTAAAAAAGGGTCCCTAGAAGGCGAAAAAATCAGGTGCTCCCTTTAGGGGTATAGGATATGACTCATTAGTCTCTATAAAGCTTAAATGATCTTTTGATTTTTTTTTATCATTTGAAAGATAATAAAACGTATAGGCACTCCCAGACTGCTTGTCTAGAGTGACCTTTTCTGCAATCTTGAGTGCCCCCTATAGGGGAGGAGGTTCCCTAGAGAGGAATCTTTCCTACAGAGGACCCTTCAAGGATCTCAAGGTTTCTCCTATAGGGGTCCCTCTGGAGTTCCTAAGTTCTTTGAGGAAATAAAGATTAGCGGTTTTTTCAGAAATTTCCTCAGAATGTAACTGACTTTGGCCAGAAATACTGCATAAGTCCGTGTCCGATGAAACTTTTGGTCCTTTCGATGAACGTCATCTCTCCAGTGCATTCCATCATCATTGCTAAACTAATAAATTCTTTCGTTTTCTCCTAATTCTGAAAAATGAAACCAGACATATTACTGATTCACGGCTCGATTGCAGGGTTGGGCGGAAGAGGGATTTCAAAAAACGGAAGACGGAAGACTGGTTTCGGAAGAGAAAATTTTATGGAAGACGGAAAAAAAAATTTTTTACACCAAAAAATTTTTCAAACGGTTATTTGAACGCTTTAAGGCTCTTTTTCTTGATCTTTTTCGTGCGCGAAAACATGAAAAACGTCTTCAAAATGAATTCCGCCCAACCCTGGATTGAGCCATCGAAAAATGGTCCTGACGCAATTAAAAAAAGAGACAGTGTGTGGTTTGAGTAGAGCACAGACAGGCCACGCCCCCTTAGTGTCCCAAGCTAGTCGTGAATCGACTGTAGAACCGTTAAAAATATCATCTCTCCAAACGGTCTACCATGTCTGCGCTCTCTTTTTTATAATGTTATTTTCGCCTCTCTAAGAGGGGGCGTACAGGGCCGACTGTTTCAGGTCATGACAATCGAGATAATTTAAGAAAATGAACTTAGGAATGAAAGAAAAAAAAGCTGGATACTTCTTTCTTGTTTCTTAGGCTCCAGAATTGAAACAAAAATATTATTAACCTCAAATTTACATCTTTAATAAGACGAAATATTGCGCTCCATGAACGAATCATGCCTGGAATATTAATTTCTAGGAAGAAATAAAAGTTCAAAATCCCTATTTGCTAGTTTTGTCCGTGGAGCGCAACAATACAGCTCGAAACGGCTACAAATTTTCAACCTAATATTTTGGCTCAGTTAGTTTAATATTTTATTGACTTTGTGTACCGTTGTGGACTAGGAAAATCAAAAACAGAACCTTTATAAAGAGGCAAAGAAGCAGTAAAGTGGTTCAGAAAAAAAAAATGATAAAAAAAACTAACTCGGAACGTAGCTCGGAATCATCGGGGCGCCAAGTAGGTGAGCCGTGAAATCCGTCGTTGAACCGCTGGAAAATCATTTTATAAGCCGATAATATGATGATTTTTGAACCTGCTGAGCCAAATCCAAGACGGAATTTTCGCCAGATGAACCAAACCCATGTTAGCCAAGCTGAACATGTGGACAAAGGCCAGGTCGAACTTTTCGTTTTTCAGCCATTCGATGAACTCTTTCTGTTGGACCGTTTCTGGAGTTCGAAATTAAGCTTTTTCCGACTCTTAGAAAGGCCAGAGAGGTCTTTAAAAAGGGTGAGGGGGAGTACCATAATCTATAAATTATTACCCCTTTAGAAAAACACTATTTTTGTTCTCTATAAGTTATAGAGAAAAAAATAGTGCTTTCTAAAAAGGTAACAATTTAGGTGGTTCTTATAGGGTTTTAGGTTCTGCCCTCTCAGCCCTTAAAGCTCAAGTGGTCCCTATAGTGATCATTGAATTTTTAGTTTTATTTTTTTCTTCAAAAACCTTTTGAATTTCCGGCTTGTTCTCATAGAGATAGCATAAGAAATAACTTTGAACGAAAAATTCTTCTCTAAAGTTGTCACTTTTTTAAGCTTGAGTGACCACTATAGAGGCGGTGAACTGGCCTCTAGAGAAGAACCTTCAAGGGCTCCCAAGGTTACCCCTATATGTCACCACTTTTTTTCTGAGAATTATTCGGGCCAAGAATTTATCTGACACCCTATTTTTTGAAATTTGTTGAGTCTTACCTCTCTGCGTCTCTTTTCTCCCATCAAGTCATAGAAAAATGAAACACAACGTGATAAAAGAGAGCGCAGAGAAAAAACCTGAGTTGTGGCGAGTTAACAAAAAAACAACTGAATCCTTCAACTTTTCAATTTTTTTTTAAATAATAGAGAAAAGTATGAAAATCAGCTATTAGGGAACGAAAAAGACGAGAAAAAAAAAACTGACCCTCCGCAGTTCGAATAAGTGAGTCGATTTTCTTCGAGAACAAACTTGTCGTTTTCTTCTCGTAAACTTCAGATTCCTGAAAAAAATCATTTTTAAGCTTCTCAATCAGATGAGTACCTCGAAAATGCTGTTTTGTTGAGCGTCAGCCATATCTTGCAGGCTGAAAACTGGGATATTCACAGAGTATGCTGAAATATGAGATAAAATAAAACTTCGAATGTTTTTCGATACTTTTAACATTGTCCTCGGGTCTGATCAAGTTTGTTCCGTTTCGGCCTTCAATGGTGTGAAGGAAAATCATTGTGACATCGTGGTTATCAGAAGCCAAAGTCGCCGCGACTCGTTGGTTGAAAATCACCTGGATTTTTGTGGATTTTTGATTTTTCGCTTTTTTATGAATGAATATGTTAGTGCACAAATAAATGAAAGAAGCTTGCAAATATTGTTGAAATGACATCATGATTTTTTAGTTTCTCTTGTATTATTTCCTCAGGTTTTACGAAAAAAAATTTGAAAAAAAGACACGCAAAAACTCTTGAAAAGTCTTTTTGCGGTCCGTAGAGCCTTGAAAAATTAAATTTCAGGAATAATAGTCCGTTCCGGAACCAAAAAAAGCAAAGAAAAAAACCAAAAATAAATTCATCTCCTAATAAAAAATCATAAAAGCCAAAATCTCAGAGACCAGTCTCAAAAAAAAAAGCCTCTTCATGTTTTTTTCAATCCTTCCAAAAAAACTTTAACTTGTAATATACTTCTTGATAGCTTTGATTTTCTTTTCTAACATCGACAACTCAAAAATTTGATTAAAAAAAATAAAATAAATTTAGAGAACTACGAGTACAGTTTTGACCAGTTAGAAATACGTTTCAATTCAACTTTATCCCTCTATGTTCTCAACAAAAGCTATTAATTTTATCGTGAGCATAATAAAGCTCTGAGAAAAAAAAAAGTAAAACCTGGCTGTTGGAGACGTCAGGAACGAAGATGGCAATTTTGTGAGCCGAAACAATTTGAAGAGAAGCGAAAATATAGAACAGAAGCTTCATTACGATTAGAAGACAGAAAAAATTGAGCACTTTTTGATTATTTGTACCCATCGAAAAACATGACAATCGTCTTTTTCTTATCAGTCTCCGACCCTGAAATCAAAGTTTCGCATCAATTATTGCGAAATATGGTCTTGGTCGTGAAACTTGATGCCGAACATTGATATTCTCAAATAATTCCATCGTTTTTTAGAGCCCGAAAATTAAAAAGTTTATTTTTTTTATACGAAGTAAGAAAAAGTTACAAATTAACGACGTAGGCGAAGAAGTCAACCACTTGTTCAGCGTGCTGAAAATGATTTTTAGGAACCTATTCAGAAGCCTAGCAAATCCTTTCTGACAAAGGAGGTCATATTAATTTAAAGTTGGTATTTTTCTGAAGTTTGATCAGGACATTTTTTGATGTACCATATGAAAATTCTGTAAGTCTCAACCTGCACAATTTCCTATTTTTGGAGAAAGACACCTTCTAATTCAAAAAAAAATCTTTAAAATGAGGCATTTTGGGGCTTCGAGCCCTACTTTCTCAAAAATGAGGAAGTTTTGAAGGTTGAAACTTCCAGGATCTTGTTCTGGTACACAAGTGAGTGTTCTAATCAAATTTCAATAAGTCCCCAACCAAAAAATAAATGACTTCCCTTGTAAGGTGTTTGAGAAAATTTTATAAAGGTCTCGAGGCGAAAAACCGTTTCCAGTGATAATTGAGGTCATTAAAATTTTCTAACCCGTCAAAAACTCATGAAAAGACTTTCAAGCTGATTCATACGTTGATTTTTATGAATTCTGAGTTAAATTGAGAGAAGAAAAAGCTCAGCCTACATCGGGACAAAAAAAATTCATATTCTTTTTAGAAAAAAATCGATAAATAAAACAAAAAAACTTGAAATAAAGCTAAAGAATCTCTTTTTACACTGTTCCAGTCAATAAAAAAATTATTTTTTTCCGCTTTCGTGCACTCAGAACTTTAAAAAAGGCTCTTTTTGATCATTGGAATTTTTCTAATTAATGCCAAAAAAACACTTGAAAGAAAACCTCTCTTTCCATCGTTCCGGTCAAAAAGACGACCTTCTCCTCTCTCGTGTACCGGGGATTGACGATCGCGAGGAAGTAGTCGTACCATCGGTTGTTCCATTGACGTGCCGTCGGAATCCCGGCGAGGACTCCTTCTTGGAGCGCGTCCAGGAACTTCTCTTCGAAGACGTCGTTTACTGGGTGAACAGTGTATGAATTAATTATTGGCTCATTTACTTTTGAGGTTGGCGAGATTGCTCAGCGTGGTCGACTCTGAAAAGTCTCGATTAATTATTTTTATTCCGTTCCACTTAGGAATGCCAGAGTGATCCCTTGAGGGGTCCGAGAAAAAAATAGTACTCCCTGAAAATTTGAGTGGTTCCTATAAGAAGGGGTCCCTATATGGCTTTTTTTCCATTTTTTTGTAGATTTTTGAAAAGAGAAAGACGTATTTAATAAATATTGCTGGAGGGGGTAAGGAGGTCCCTGAGAGGAACCTTCAAGATCCCCCTTGCTGTCACAACTCTAGGGACCACTCTGGCGTTTCTCAGTACTTTCAACTCACCGATCGATTCTTCAAAGCACTGGCACATGGCCAAAATACAAGCTAGAGTCAGTCCCAGGAGAAGCTTCATACTGGAAAAAGTCTGAAGTGAAAAATAATCAAAAAATGGTTTTATATGAATTTCCTGAAACCATTTTGAAATTCACTAAAATCTCTGTAGAATAAAAACTAAACAATATTGAGTCCTCGACGCTATAGTTAACTTATAACCGACTATATCTAAATAATAAATTCTCAAGAAAGAAAAAGAATCAAACAGCAGCAATTTCAAGACCCTACCAAACATTTTGACTCACTATTTATTAGAGTTTTCCGGAGCGAATGTTTAGTAAAATATGGCATCACAAAACGTCGTTTTTCGTCCGACTCATCAAATCATAGCCCTCGAAATTTATATATATGGGCAGGTGTTATTTAACGAAGGACGCGGTGAGTTTTTGAGACACAAAAATGAAGGTCCTGGTGCTGTTGGCGACGTTGGTGGTTCTGATTTCCACTCAAGAAGAAACGACGACGATTTCCTGGAAGCCCGACGTCTTGGCCTCGCTTAAAATGCCGGAATTCTTTATTTTGTCGAGGAGAAGGCTCCCAAGCTCTCTCAATTCTGAAGAACCTCCCGAAGAAGCCACTTCCACCACGACGGAATCTCCGGAGGTTGATGGCGAAAATGGAGTAGAAGACATTGCTCGAAGTGAGTTTTAAATTTATAGTCACTTAGGAGACTTATAATATTCACAAAAATGTCCCTAAAAGATGAATTCACGGTTCGGAAAGTTTACATTCACTATTTCTGGTAAGAAATCGTGTAATTTTGCTTCCAGGATCACATTATTGATTTCTTTCGATTTTAGAAGTTCAGAACCTAACAAACTTCATGGAAGAATTTGTATTTCATGAAGTTTGTTGGTAAAATCTTCCGTTCAAAAACGACTTATTATGGTTTTAGCCGATTTTCTGAGCTTTCTCCAGCAAAATTCTGAACTTTTTTTTTCCAAGCCACTGCTCTTGAAAACTTACACCTAGAAGAAAAATAAGCCCGTTACACCCCATAGTTGGAAAAAATTCTCCCTGAAACTGTTTCAGTCGAGCAAATCTTCAAGAAAGAGTTCTTGAATCAAAACTGGCCGGACATCAAACGCGACGTCTTCTACATCTACAAATCCATTGCGACGTTGTTGAACGCGGCGGAAATTTTGTTCACGAACGAAAAATGCGAGATCAAGTCCCAGCAACTCTTCAATGCGACTGGGAATCGGGTGAGCTTCAAGTTCATGGCTTTTTCGAATAATTTTTCAAGTTTAGATGGAGCCGGTCGTCCACTTTTTCAGTTATTACACCAAGTAATGAGCTTCTTTTTTCAAATAAATAAATATACAGAAGAAAAATTTCGAACTACATTGTTTTCGAAGCAATCACATCAACAAACACTGGGAAAAGGGGGGATTTTCGTGCCGGTCAGCGTAAAACAAGAGGAACGAGTCATCACTTCCTTGTGTTGGCGCTTGTTTGCCGTCGCTTTTCGGTATTCTCAAAAAGTCGCAACATGAATTTTTGGCTTCGAAATCTTTCGGATCACTGGAAATCACGCGTTTTGAAAATACATAACGGAACGAAATTCGTTTTGAATGGCACTGAGTCATCGAGACAACAATGGGATTTGAATATTCAAAAAAATATTTTTGAAAGTTTCGATTTAAAAAGAAAAATTTTTTTAAATTTTTACATGTTACGAAAGTTCTATGTAAAATGAGAGAGTGACTTTCCAAATTTTTAGGTTCTACTAAAGAAATTTAGAACAAATTTTCTTACAATTTTCCGATCTTGACTCCAAATGAATTTTTTTTTTAATATTTTCATTTCTAACCAAGAACTTCAACAATCAATTTTCGAACAAAAGGCGGAAAAAATTGTGAAAAATAAAAAGGAAAGTTGTTTAATTGGTAAAAAAAAATCATTAACATTATTGAACCCTAACCAGGGAATGGTCTCAGCTCACAGTGGGAATTCTGAAAGAGACCAAATTTTCTAGATGTAGTTTTTCACGCTGATTCCAAATCCGTTTTCAAAAGCTGCCACCGAGGTCTGTGAAAAAAGTTATGGACCCTCAAAAGTCGAAAATTTCATAGTCTCCGATTGAGTTCATTTTTGGAGGGTATATAGGTCTTGTTCCTCTGGTCACGAAAAACCACCGAATTTTTCTCGAAAAAATTTTGAAGCCAAGATATGACCTTTCAAAGTCCCGCCGCACACAAGAAAATGCGCGCGCGGTGTCCTATTGCGATCCGACGGCTGTCGAAGCAACGGCAGCGAGGAGCAGTGGAAAGGCGGCGGACTGGGGAGCACGAGGTCATAGGTTCGGTCCCCGTCCTGTGCAAAATTTTTTTGCAGTTTTTTCTTTTTTGGATATTTCCGTGTAAGTGCTCCTTTTTTGAGCTTTGAAGCGTAAAAACATGAAAACGCTGCGTTTTGAGCCTATTCAAACAGCTGGACTTCTTTTTGTCGCAAATTTTTTTCATGGATTTTTTCGTGATTTTCCATGTGTATGAGCATGGGCTGGAGTGAAAAAAATTTTTTTGACGGGGCTTTGGAAGCTCATATCTTGGCTCATAAACAATTTTTGAAAACATTTGATGGTTTATCGTGACAAGGGAAACAAGGACTATATACCCTTTAAAAATGAGCTCGATCGGAGACTATGAAATTTTCGACTTTTGAGGGTCCATAACTTTTTTCACAGACCTCGGTGGCAGCTTTTGAAAACGGATTTGAAATCAGCGTGAAAAACTAAATCTAGAAAATATGGTCTCTTTCAGAAGTCCCACTGTGAGCTGAGACCATTCCCTGGTAAGAACAAAACTTTTTCATCGTACGGCTTTCTAACTTTTTTAAACATCTTCTCAACCCAAAAATAACCTTTCTTGACATCTTCTGAGCTGAAAAATATTATCAAACATATTTCTAACTCAGAATTTTAGGGCCAAGGGCATTGTACTGGAACACCCATAAAGGTTATCAAAAAACAAACTGATAACCAGTTCAAACATAACGTCATTGGATGTTTTCAAAGTTTGAATTGTGCTTATTTTCAAAAAAAAAAGCTCTTGGAAGATCTTCAAGCATACTTTTTCTGCAAAATTGTAATTTTTTTAAGAAAAATTTTTTTAAAAAGTGAACTTTGCTCTTGGATGACTCAAATTTCAGTCTGAACAAATGAAGAGACTGAAAAAGAAAGAGTTTCTGCAAACAGAGAACAAATGTCTCATCGTGGGTTCAAACATAATCCAAGATGTAATCAGTGTTGTCAGAAGCTTGTCAGAAAGTTAAAGTGATAAACATTTTTGGCTTTATCAACAAGGATGAAGAACTTGAAAATTTAAAAAAATTAAATTAAAATCATTAGAAATCAGCCCTTCTTGTAGATTTAATAATAATGATATTTATTTACAGGCAAAACAAAATAACAGATTTCAAGAAGAAAGATAGCCATTCTCCAAGTTATTTTTTTCAAGTTATTTTTCAAAAAAACTTTTTTTAAAAAAATCGTTGGAATTATCGACAGAGGAGTGATATTTTTTGAGTAATTTATCCTTTGATTCTTCTGTTCGAACTTCAAAACTCACTGAACAGAACTGCAGTTGTTCTATACTTTTTTACCCGTTACCAACCGGATTAACAGAGACAATAAATAAAACGCACACACGTTCCCACATTTTTAATATTTCCGCCTACGCCATATAGTGGGAACTTCAAAGTTTATGTAAAATCGAACAAGTTTCTGTGGACTACGAAAAAAAAAAACATATGTCATGGATTACTCAGAAGTTTACTGGGGTGCGCTGGGAGTAAAAAAAGAAAATAGAATTTTTTTGAATAATTAATCCAAAAATCTTATCAGTCCCGTCAAAAGCTCATTTCACCGTAAAAAAATTATTATTTGATAAAAGAAATAATGTAATTTCGAGTATCTCCCAAGAAACTCTGTGAAGTTTTCCTGTGAAAAAAGCTCTGAATACTAAGGTTCCAACATTTTCAAACAAAAAAATGGAGAAATTAAAAAGCCAAAAAGGTTTGATAAGCTTCCTAATTCACGAAAAACTATAAAAATCTGCTTTCTATTCCATGATTGGGTTCTTAGGGACTAAGCTATGATAAAATCTGCTTTTATAGGATCTAGACCAATTTTTTCCAGCTTCAGATGTTTTTTCTCATAGACAGTTCTCGTACGAGGATCGTAATATCATCAACAATGTTCACCGGAAATCTCCATTTTCCCCCCTGTTTATTCAGTTGGAAAGAGGGTCGTCACCCTCGAACCTCTGCAGAAATAATATGATCCCATCCCTGTTGATCCTTCAAAATACGTCATAATGACCAATTTCTACTGAGAAAAATCGAATTTTGTGAGCCGAATTTTTTTCTCAACCCGCTAGAAAACTTTTCATTGACAATGTTCTATCGGAACGTTTTTGATCAAGATCTAACCGGTTTCGACCAAAAAAAAAGTGAAGGGATAATAAACAGATTTTCGAATGGGTGTTTGCACGGCAAAATTTTTTTTTCAAAACTAACTGCTATACGTTTTTTCGGATAGATAAAAGTCATTCCGGCTTTAATTTGGAATCCTTTATGGACCAATTCAAGAAATTGAAAATTTTACCGGGAAAACTCGTCAGCTCAATTTCGTGTTAGTAACTAAATTTGAGAAGTTTTTTTCTGATGGAAAAAGTTGAAGAAAGCGGTAATTTTGAATGATGTATTTATTTTATTTTACTTAAGGCTCAGCTTAAAACTAGATATGAAGTCTAATTTTGACTTGAAATTGAGCTAGGAGATTGAAAAGACTTTTTTCAAGGTCTTTTTCGAGCAGATAAAAAAAATCTGTGAAAAGTTCTAGAAGCAGGAAAAGGTATAAAAGCTTCATTCAATTTTCTTTTTTGAAGACTTCCAATTTTTTAGCAGTTTATTCACACTCTCCTTTAAAAAAACCAATTGAGAACATATTTGACAACTCCAGTAATGATAAAGACAACCATAACTACTTGACAACAATAATTGTCATCACCTTACTCGAGAAAAACTTTGCTCCCTGGATGATTTCAGCCAGGATGGGCCGATCCGTGAGTCACGTCGCTCAAAAATAATGGAGAGGGAGAAGTGGGCGGAGTCGGTGGGAGAGATCATAGAAACACAAGAGACGGCAGAGATAGATCTCGACCATTGACTGAGTAAACGGTTCCACTATAAATACAACAGTCGGACGGGGTCGAAGGCATCAGTTTTCCGCTCTTCGAATTCCAAAAACCACACTTTTTTTGTATTGCTCTGCTTGAAAAAATTTAATCATCTAGGATTACGATCTGCCTTGAGTTCAGACAAAAAAACTTTCTCTTATTGTTTTGTTGGCTGAGACTTTGAAAATAAAAATTTCTGTTTTTAAAGCCATTTACCCATCGTAAACTTCATTATAATTTTTACGATCTGCCTTGACCATTTTTCAAAGTTGAAGGCTCAAACCTTCTCACAAACCGGCCATAACGTCATAGAGTTGAGATTACGAGACTTGTTTACTTCTGAATTTAGGTTCTACATTTTGAATCGTGAACATTGCTCCGCTCACCATCTAATCTTCTCATAACCCTCCATTTCAGATGAAACAATTGGCACTGGCATTGATCGTAGCGCTCTTCGGAGTCGCCATGTGCCAGAGCTTCGATGACGAGTTGGACCAGCCCAACTCGGTCGACTTCAATGGACCTGAAGTCGACGGAAACGACAGTGGCGAGGACTTTGGCGGCAGCGGTAGAGACGCCCCAGAAGGATTCGGACGCCACCACCGTCGTCACAGACCTCACATTTTCCCGCCGCCAACCTTCCTCCGCAACGTCAGCCGTCAGGCCCGTCGCGACTTCTTCAAAATCGTCAGCAACGAAAACATCACCATCACCGAGATGAAACAGGAAATCAAGTCCTGGGCCGCCAACAACAGCGTTTCGGTTAGTGGATATTGCTCAATTCTTTCAATCCCATCTGCTTTCAGGCCGCCGTTGACGCTTACGAGAAGGAGATTCTGAAGATCGAAGACGAGCTCAGTCAGAACGTTTCGACGATCGTTGGAAGGCTTGCCACTGTTCAGACCGAGATGGAGAAAATCGTCAGGAATGACGGTTTGACCCTGAGGCAGCAACGGGAACAGATCAAGACTCTCTACAAGTCCTACCCAATGGTGAGATCTCTTTATTTTTCTAACTACATGAAAATTCTGGTAGTTGAAATTTGCAAAAATCATCATTTTCACCTTTGGAATGTTTCAAATTTTTCATTTTTGCTCAGCTCAGTGTTCAGGCGAATGACCTTCCCACCTCGAAAATAACAAGTTTTGAGGGTTGAGACGTTCTGGATCTTTATCTAGCACACCAAAGAATGTTTTAACCCTCTCCTGCTACTCATAGCCTCAATCTTGTTAAAGACTCATCAGAATCTTTTCCAGGAAGTCCGCTCTCTCGGAGCCATCGCTATGATCCAGCGGCCTCGCCGTAGACCTAATTCGGACGGACTTGACTCGTTCGGAGGACAGCGACCGTTCGGAAGACCTGCCTCAGGATTCAACTTCGGAGGCCGAGGCCAGCAGCAGTTCGGTGGACAGGACCAAGACTTCCAGAATGGTCGTGGACAGAACTCCCGTTTTGGAGGCCCTGATCAGGACTCTCAGTTCGGACCGCGCGGTCAGAACTCTCCATTCGGAGGTCGAGGACAGAACTCCCAATTCGGCGGTCCAGACCAAGACTCTCAATTCAACGGACGTGGTCAGAACTCCCAGTTCGGAGGCCAGGGTCAGCAGCAATTCGGAAACCGAGGCCAGAACTCTCCTTTCGGAGGTCGTGGACAGAACTCCGGCCGCGGACAAAACTCGCAATTCGGTGGCCCGGACCAGGATTTCGGACCTCGTGGACAAAACTCCCAGTCTGGCAACACCGACACCAACGGATTCGACTTCTAACTTATAGTTTGAAGAAGAAACTCCCTTATTTAACCAGAACCTCGCAATATTTCTATTCTAACCGCGATTGAGTCGCATCACACCGGTGATCTTGTACATTCCTCCCCTCACACATATTTATACATTTTGTATGACTTAATAAATATTATTTTTCAATTCTTAGAATTTGACATAAAAGTCGATAATTTCTGCACCTTGCCAAAAGGCCAAAGCAAACACATTTGATTGGTAAATAGAGAACTCAAGAGATTGGTTCGTTCTCCTTTGACAGGAAATAGCGAAAAAGTTTGAGTGGTGGAAAAAAAATGAACTCATCTCAATAAAGCTAATTTTTCATTGAATAAAACATCGATTCTAAGCAAAAAGGACTGAATTTAACCTGAAGAAATAGGAAAAAAATTGCTCAAAAACTGGAAAGTTTTTTTAAAAAAATCGCTAAACTGGTAAGATAGTTTCTCTTCTAAAAAAGGTCATGAGATTATTCCAGATAAATTAAAAAAAAAAAATATTTTTCGGTTTGTGAGTGCAAAAAAAAAGAAACAAAAATAGCTTTCCAAAAAAAATTATTCAACCATCTCAAGTTTACAAAAATTACATGAAAACATTTCCTTGTACAGTATACTGTTCAAATCTATCCAAGTTTCTATTTTTGAAAGAAAAATGACGCCCAGTCAACGCATTTCCTTTTTTAGAAAATAAATGTTGCTTCGAGAAGCCAAAATTTCGCGTCATATGCTTGAAATGAATCTTCGAAACAAAACTGTTTTCAAAATACCGAAGGAAAAAATGATATAAAAGCCGCCCTCATTTTTCTTCATATTGCTTTTTCTTTCAACTTGAAAATATTTATTCTCAACGACTTACAGAATGAAGTGGTCCGTCGTCGTTTTGCTGCTCGGAGCTTTGGCATTCACTCAGTTGAACGCAGCGAAAATCCCGAAATCTTCGTCGAATTCCGGCGACAGCGATGGAGACACTGAAGAAGAGACTCCTCGAAAGACTTGGGTTATTTTAATGTTTCTTTTGAAAAATATGTCAAAAATAAGACTTTGGGGTACTCGAAAAAAAAAACCTAATTGAAAAAAAAAGAATTAAAATAGAAACCGGAGAATTTTGTCCACAGAGCAACTTTACTGCAGAACGCACGTTTGCCGGAAATTCGAATTTTTTTCTCTCCAGCTTTGAATTGTTTTCCGAAACTAGGACCTTTCGTAAATTTTCAAGTGTAAACGCAATAAAGAGCTCTAAATGAAAATGACACATTTGTCCTTCAAAAAGGCAAAACTGTTCGTAAAAATTCTAATTCCAGGTTACCACAACAACCGAAAGCTCGTCTTCTGAATTTCCGCTCATTAAGGAGCTGATAAAAGTTCACACAGGCGTACTCAATCGGTTGCAGAGAGCCTTGGAAATGGCAAGAACTCACAAAACCAAAAAAAATTATGAACTAATTTCGATAAGAGAGTGCGCCGGAGGGGTTTGCAAAACCTCTTAACAAATTTTAATTGTTATTTCAATAGTATTGGGAGATTTTGGCCCCAACCATCTACTTCATACGCGGAAAAGTTCCCAAACAATGCAGCGACTTGCAAAAAGGAGGTCTTCGACTTTTTGGAGCACAAATAGATCGTGAAGGATCAAAAAGAAATTCTTTGATAATCTTGACGCGAAAGTCGAACTTTTTTTGAATTTGAAATGTATAATAAAAATTTTTTTGTACAAAGGTGTTACGCAATATATTCAAAGAATATGAATTCGTGAAAAACTGTCAAATTATGAAGTCGGAAAAAAGTCAGTGGAAGTTTTTACACAAGCGTAAATTTGACGAAGACGAAGTTGTTTGAGAAAATAGTAAAGGACACAAAAACGATCGTTTTATTTTTTATGCTGATGATGTTACCCAGCCGTGTTGTAGTCTGTGAGCCAAGACTTGAAATTTCACCGAACGACATTTCGCTCTTCCGCTGCGTCGCGAAGCGTCTTTTCGAGCCGCGGCCTCGCTTCGGTTCTCATTTCTGATAGATGGACTGTTCCACTAGAAACACGTGTTGGTCGAGTTCTTAAATAAAATGGAAAATTAAAGGCGCGCAAAGGCACGCAGCGGAACAGCGGAATGTGGTTATAGCTCTCGTCGGGTCCACCCGTATTAAATACAAGCACAGCTGGTTGAACTTTTGGCATTTCTCAAAAAGCCTCAAAAAACACAGGAATCGAACATGTGACCCTGAGGACCGTAGATTGGCACACAACCTGTTGCGCTACGGCGCGCCCCCAGGAGAAAGTTAACCCTCTAGAAAATTCCAAAAATTCGTTCATATCATTTGATCAACGGAAAAAATAGTTTCCATCGACTTTTCGACACTAATTTTTGATAACTCATCGACTTTTCGACACTAATTTTTGATAACTAAGGCATTTCCTAACATTCCTGGTGTCCCAGGTGAAGACCATGGAAGCCTTCGTTTGCCCAACTTTATATTTTTCAAGAAAGGAACATTTCATCAAAAAATTTTTTGACCAATTTTCAAGAGATTCTCATCAGCAAAGCAAAATCATCTACCTTTAATTTTTTTAAAAGAAGCGCGTTAAAAGTAAGAACATTTTGCTGCTTGAATATATATGCTTTTAACTATAAAAAACTACTCATGTTAAGGATCATAAAAAAAACCAAATTTTAATCAAATTGTAAAGTTTTATCTCTTTCTCTTACAGTTTGTAGAGGTAGAAAAAGCAAAAAAAAAATAAATAAGATAACCCTGTTCAAAAATAACATATGAATTTCCAAAAAAATGATAATTTTAATAAATTATCAAATCAATTTATCCACAGATGCTGAAAAAAAAAACAGAAAAAGCAAAAAAATTGAATTAACGGAAGAGAGGGTTTTTTTATTGTTCATTAATTGTTGTCTGAAACTTTTCAGAAACGTCTTCGCAGATCAAAAAAACAAAAAGTTGCATATTTCCCTTTTTGGAAAGAAATTTCGTCAGAATTAGAAATTTTGCTATGTATGTTTGGAATGAATCTTCGAAAGTGTTGTGAAAATGCTCGAAGGAAAAATTATTTAAAAGACGTCCAACATTCCCTCATAACACCTTTTCTCTTTCTAGACCAAAATATCTATTTTTAATAGAAAAACTTACAGAATGAAGTGGTCCATCGTTATTTTGCTGCTCGGTGCTGTTTCTGTCGCTCAGTTGAACGCCGGGAAAGTCCCGAAATCCTCGTCGAACTCCGGTGACAGCGATGGAGACATTGAGGAAACACCTGATGAGACCCCGGTATAGTTAATTTTTCCAGACTTGAAAGACGGTATGGATATCTTGGCAAGGGTTAAGCGTTGCGTGTGTGCGACGCGGCCTTTCTTTTCCAGTAGTTCCTCTTTGAACACGGCTTACAGCTGATTCACGGCCTACTTGAGCCATCGAAAAAAGGGTCCTGACACGATAAGCCAAGAGACAGTGCCTGATTGATGGAGAGCGCAGAAAGGTCACGCCCCTTAGCGTCCCAAGTAGCCGTGATTATAAAATTTTGCATAAAAAGAAAAATCACATTCTTGAAAGAATTTCTTTTCATTAGAAGACAGAAATGTGACATTTTCAGGTTTCGACAACGACTGAACGCTCCTCTGCCAAGGAGTTCCCGCTCGTGAAGCAGCTGTTGAAGGTCCACACAGAAGTAGTCGAGAACCTGTACAGAACCCTCAAATACTTGCAAGAACACGGAGATCGCAAAGAGAGTGAACTATTGATGATAAAAGAGTACTCCAGAGGGGTTTGCGAAATCTTATAACTTTTTTCATCCTGTTAGTTCAAGAACTACGATATTTTGGCTCATTCAATCTCCCTGCTGCAAGGAAGAATCACAAAAAAATGCCGCGACTTGCAAAACCAGGTCTTCGACTTTTCGCAGCACAATTCGAGCGTGGAGGATCAAGAAGAAGAGCAGGAATGATAAATCTCTGAGAAAGAAAACAATTAAATTTTTTTTGAAATGTGAAAAGCTAATAAAACTATTCATATCGACCCTTTTAAAACAAAAATCACGCAATACACTTGAAATTCGAAATACGGGTCATCTGTGCCTCTGAAAAAAAAAATGCAAGTTTTTGAAGTAGAATGATTATTTCAATAATCAATTTGTCAGAAGTTTGGGAAAAAGGTTGAGACAGTAAATATAACTAGTTTTTTTATCGAAACTACATTTGAAAAAGAAAACAAACTTTTTGAATTATTGACTCAGTAATTGTAAAAAGAAAAAAATCCCTAGCTTTCACATACTGGACCAAGGATTTCAACACCAAGACGGAATAAAAAAAAAAAAATGAAAAAAGACTTATTCAAAACATGAGATTTCAATTTTGAAATTTCAATTTTACAATGCCCATGCAACTCGAATATTCTGAATTTGTTTTTATCAACCAACAAAGCCCGAAATCGTGATAAATAGCGTTAAAAAAACGGCTTTTTGCACTGAAACCTTTATAATATTCGTCAACGGCCAACTTATCACAATCAGAAAAGATTTTTGTTTTAATAATAAATCATGATATATTTGAAGTGCGAAAATTATTTACTTTATTCCGTTTTCAAAAAAAGAACCATCAAAAACCAAAAATGCTGCGCCGTATGTTTGGAATGATTCGTCGACATTTGTTTTGAAAATACCCACGGGAAAAATGGTTTAAAAGAAGACCCGCATTCTCCCTCAAATCATTTTTTTCCTTGCTACGAATAAAAAATTTATTTCCAAAAAAAGAACTTACAGAATGAAGTGGTCCGTCGTGGTTTTGCTAATCGCAGCTGTTTCTGTCGCTCATTTGAACGCCTCGAAAATCCCGAAATCTTCGTCGAATTCCGGCGACAGCAATGGAGACATTGAAGAAGAGACGACTGAAGAGACTTTGGTTTTCTTTTTATTACTGTATTTATTTAAAAATCTTTCACAACTGTAGAGTATCAGGGAAAAAAAACTAATTGTTTTTCAGTAATTTTGAAATCTAAATCTTGACAAATGAAAATGCTACTTCAAACTTGAACGACTGAAAGTTTTTTAGTGTCACGAAATTACAAAAAAAAAACCAAATAAAAAATTTTAAATAGCGAAATCAAAGAAAAAAAAAGTGAAAAAGTTAACAAAAATTCCATTTCATAAAGTTCGCTCCATTGCTAGGTCGCAACGAAACGGAAAAATCTGTACAAAATTCGATTTTTTTAGATTTTTTTCTAAGATAGGTTAGACTTCACTGATTATTTTAGTTACAGAAAAAAAGGTTCATTTCAGCATAATTTTTGAAAAAAGCATATGCTTTGCTGGAAGACACCTTTTTTAAAATTCAAATTTTAGGTTTCCACAACCACTGAAAGCCCGGAAGAGGATTTTTCGTACCTCGAATTTTTGATAAAAATTTACACGCAAGTCCTCAGTCAACTGGAACAAGCTTCGAAATTGGCGAAAAAGGGCAAAATCAGCGAGTACGATGCGATAACAGAGTTCGCCGGAAGCGTGGTTTTTGAAAACAAGTGAAATTTTTCACTTCTTCATAATATAGGAACGTGAAATCATGTCACATACGATCGCCCTGGCTCAAGGAAAGATCCCGGCACGTTGTCGAAGCCTGCAAAACAAGGCTTTTGGCTTCTCTGAGCCCAGCTCCAGCGTGGAAAGCGAAGAAGAGTTCCAGAAACCATAAATTTTCGATGATTGCGATCAGAAGTGAGACTATTTTGAACTGTGAAAAAGATGTAAATCATTTATTCTTTGTACATAATTACATTTTGAACAAAAAACATGGAAAATAAAATGTAGTCAAAGACGGTTTTTGGAGCATTTTCTGGAAGTTGATGAAGTCTTTTTCACTCTGCTGCGGAGGATGTTTCAGGACGCATCGTCGTATGAGGCTTCCGGGTTCGACGACGGTGAAGCTCAACCTCAGAAGGAGAAGAACTGGGAATTTCTGGAGTCTCTGTAGGTGAAGAGGCAGCGCTAGTAGTCGTAGGAAAGCAAGGAGCATGAGTTCGACGTCGATGAAGCTCCTTTGCATTGGCCTGAGCATCGGAAGAAATTCCGGCGTTATCAGAAGCGCAAAGTGGAGTGCGTGCTCTGCGGTGTTGAAGCTCGACTTTATTTTCTGAGTCTACAGTCGAAGTTTGAGGGTTTCCAGTCGGATGAGGCTTCCGAGTTTGGCGACTGTGAAGCTCAACTTCCGACGGAGAAGAGATGGAACTTTCCGAAGTCCCAACTTCTGATGAAGTGGAAGCTTCTGGAGCCTCTGTAGTCGGTAAGGCAGCTCTAGAAGTTGTGGACAGACAAGGAGCATGAGTTCGACGTCGATGAAGTTCCTGTACATTGACCTCAGCATTACCAGAAGCACAAGGTGGAGCGTGAGTTCTGCGGCGATGACGTTCAATCTCATATTCTGCACCTGAAGTCGAAGTTTGAGGGTTTCCAGTCGGATGAGGCTTCCGAGTTTGGCGACGGTGAAGCTCAACTTCCGACGGAGAAGAGCTGGAACTTTCTGAAGTCTCTGTAGTTGAAGTTGAAGCGCTAGTAGTCGTAGGAACACATGGAGCGCGAGTTCGACGTCGATGAAGCTCCTGTACATTGACCTCAGCATTACCAGAAGCACAAGGTGGAGCGTGAGTTCTGCGGCGATGACGTTCAATCTCATTTTCTGCACCTGAAGTCGAGGTTTGAGGGTTTCCAGTCGGATGAGGCTTTCGAGTTCGACGACGGTGAAGTTCAACTTCCGACGGAAAAGAGCTAGAGGCTTCTGGAGCCTCTGTAGTCGGTGAGGCAGCTCTAGAAGTTGTAGAACGACAAGGAGCGTGAGTTCTACGTCGATGGAGGTCTTCAGGAGAAGCGTCTTTGCTGTCAGCAGAGCAAGGTGGAGCGTGAGTCCGCCGACGAGGAACTTCCTGATCTTCTTGCCCGACTTCGAGCTTCAGGACCGAGAAAGCGACTGTTGAAACGAAAAGAGACGTCAGGAGAAGGAAACGCATTCTGAAAAATATAAAAAATTATGAACTTGAGAATTTGGAATCCTACTTGATTGGACAGAGGAAGAGCTGCTAGGAGAAGCTTTGGATAATTTTTTCATCTTTTTGCTTTTTATACAGTAAAATCCCGTGAGCCGTGGGTGTCTTTTTACGTCAGAGCATTCGTTATCAGAGGGTCCAAGTTTTTGAAAGTGATAAGGTGGGAATTTGATAAAAAAAGTTTCGAATGACCTGTGATGTCACGAATATGGAAAATAGGGTAACAATGAAGATTTTTTTCGACCCGAACTTGGTTTCAACCTTAATTTTTCACCTTTTCTTTCCCATCAAAAAAATAATATCATGCTTTTTTCTTACTAGGAAAAAAATATTGATCATGAAAAAAATTTTAAAATAAAAAAATCTTTTTCGATCTTGAGAGTGCTGATTTTTGAAATATAATTACAAGATTCGATGAACTTTCACAAAATTACTTTTTGTGAGTTTTTTTAAATTCAGTCTCCATTCCGAGTCTTTTTCCCAACTAACTTTTTTTGCCTTATTTTGAAAAAAATCTTTCATTAATTTCGATTTTTCACTTTATTATCATGTGATATCCTAATCAAAAAAACCTTATCAAAATATTTACTATCCGCATCCGGAAACGTGGTTTCCGCTTTTTTTGACTGTATTATTTTGGTTCTCCTTGACGACATTGATAATAAAAATATGGCAATAATATTGAACCGAGAGATTTTTGAAACATCGACCAAGAATAACAATCATTCGAGCTCCACATTTTGAAAAATATCTGGGCAAAGAAAGCAAAGCAACCGTTCAGAAAATTGAATAAGAACGATTGACTCCAAAATTTCGCTTTAGAAAAAGTATGAATCAGAAAAACTTCTATTGAGGTTTCGATTGCTGTTTTCTTCGAAGTCGAAAAAAATTGTTTGGAGGGGTATTTAAAAAGAGTTTTCTCGATGCTTTTCACACCATTTCTTTTTTTCTACTTCTCCAATAAATATTTTTAAAAAAAACTTTTTGAACGGTTATAAAATGTCCTTTGAACTTCAAAAATCGTCCCAGCTTAATGAATATCATCAGCAAAAAAATAGTCTAATAAGATTTTTGATGTCAAGTTATCGCTCAAGCTCCGCCCCTAAAAGCGCGATAAACCAATTAGAGAGCTAGCAATTCACAAAGCGTCTTCGAATGACTTCACGAAATATGAAAAAATTTTTACCTCATTTTACCGAGTCAAGCTCAATTTTCGATCCTTTTTTTTTGAAGCGTACGTCTGACACCTTAAGAGCTTCATGAATTTCGAATAGTACATCAAAAAAAGTTTGAGTTCATTTTTACTTTGTTTTACCACTTCACTTCCAATAAATTAGAATTATGTTTGCAGATGAAGGTCTTCCAAAGCCTGTTTTTGATTGGAGCCTTGGCTGTCAGCCAAATTCATTCTCGAGCTCTGTCCGAGGATCTACCTACCCCGGCAGCTCTCGAAGAGCCTTCCACTGTAGCCGCTCGATTTTTTGTCAGAAAGTCAGAAGATCTTTCTACCACGGCGGCATCTGAAGAACCTTCGTCTACTGCGGCAGTAACCGCTTTCATTAGAAAATCCGAGAGTCTTTCCACCACAGCAGCTTTCGAAGAACCTGCTTCTTCGGGAGTCGCGAGGTTTTTCGTCAAGAAATCCGAAGATCTTTCCACGACGGCCGCATCTGAGGAACCTTCCTCTACTGCCGCCGTCACCGCTTTCATCAGAAAGTCTGAAGACCTTTCAACCACGGCAGCATTTGAAGAACCGTCTTCTTCGGGAGTCGCGAGGTTTTATGTCAAGAAATCCGAAGACTTTTCAACGACGGCAGAAGAGTCTTCTACTGCCGCCGTCACCGCTTTCATTAGAAAGTCTGAAGACCATTCAACCACAGCAGCATTTGAAGAACCGTCTTCTTCGGGAGTCGCGAGGTTTTTTATCAAGAAATCCGAAGATCTTTCCACGACGGCCGCATCTGAGGAACCTTCCTCTACTGCCGCCGTCACCGCTTTCATTAGAAAGTCTGAAGACCATTCAACCACAGCAGCATTTGAAGAACCGTCTTCTTCGGGAGTCGCGAGGTTTTTTATCAAGAAATCCGAAGATCTTTCCACGACGGCCGCATCTGAGGAACCTTCCTCTACTGCCGCCGTCACCGCTTTCATCAGAAAATCTGAAGACCTTTCCACCACGACAGCATTTGAAGAACCTGCCTCCAAAGTTGCCAAATCCGTCAAAAACTTCCCCGGCTTCCCTAATATTGTAGTGCCCAACGGTAGAACCCAAACGAACAGTGAGAGCACATTCGAAAGCACTTTTATCAACGGCACGGACTACAACGAAACCTCGGTCTCTGTCAGCGAGAGTCAAACCTCGGAAACCCACGAAGAATACTCTATCAACATCACTTCGGGACCTATTGGAGTGAAGTCGTCCGACAGAAATCCCCGCCATGTTCCCATCAAGTCTTCTCCGCACGTTCCACTCTATTCTCAGGAGTCGAGTAACGAAGGTGAGAAACCTATCGAAAAATGATTAGTTCATAGAATTGTCTCACATTTCAGAAGAAAATGGCGAAAATAGCCCAACTGCACAAGGAGAAGGCGTAATCTGGGTTGGAAACGAGCCAATTCCCAAAGAAGCTACTTCTACTAGAACTCCGGCTCCGGAAGACAGTTTCGAAAGAAAATAACAAGGTAACCATTTTCTGAGGAAATTTAATACGAAAACTCCGATTTTCAGCCCGTTTTCGCAATAGAGCGCAAAAGCCTCATCGACTCAATATAAATCGAAAATTTGGAATAATAAATTGTTAGATTGATTTTAAGAATCCCATATTGCAATAGTTCAACTTCCAAGCTCCGGATTGTGAAGTCAAAAAAAAATAGAAAAAAGCAAATAATTTATTTGTACATTTTTGAACAATTTGGAGAGCTGTACAGAAAGATTTTGGGCGAATTATTGAGAATCCGTCGGCGAGGGCTCTTCAGTGACTGGTGCTCTTGTCCGTCGGTGGGGGAAGGTCCAGCCATGAGGCAAAGTGAATTTTTTGAGCCATGGTGGCAGAGTTGGGAGATGGTGAGGCTTCTTTGTGGCATCTCCGTCATCTGGAAACCGATTTCTGTTGAGGATATTGGACGGCTTCAAAGTGTCACCTCCTGGAGTCGTGCGCAGTTCCAATGAGTCTGTTCCCCTTTTGTGAACTTCTTCCGGACGATGGCTGTAAGCGATGCCGACACCTATAAACAATAAAAATTGAACTTTTGCCTAAAAATTTAGACTAAACCTCCTGGAGTCGATTTTTGTTCATTTTCCGAAGGATGACTGTAGGAAATATCGTTTGAGCCAGCCGGAGCAGCAGTTTGAGCTTCTCCAGTGAGAGGAGGGGAACGATCTGGCGTTGATCTATGGAAATCTTGTTCTGTGTGACCACTTCCTTCAAATTCATCTGAAACGACATAATTTGTAACTTTCAATAGATTTTTATTTCTATACCATCTCCAGGAGTAGTGCGGCTCTCCAAAGAGGCGGTCTCTGTCCTTCGAACAAATTTTGAAGGTACTGGAGTTGATCGATGTTTAACGATGGAATTGGAATCGTTCCGAGAAGAGGGAAGAGTGGGAACGGCATCTCCTCCAGTAGAGTTACGGGTCTCAACCGCTGGGGGCTTAGTTTGAACGCGATGCCATTCCGTCGACGCGTTCGGATCCGCTTTAGCCGAAGTCGTCTCCACCGGGTCAGTGCTGCGTCGGCTATAATGCCTCGTTCGTCGTTTGAAGTCTTCTCCAGCTACTGTGACTTGGCCGGTGTAAGGTTCTCCATCCTTGGTGACGGGTGGAAGACGAGTTACTGGAGCAGGAGTGTTGTCTCCGGAGCGAGTTCTGTTTGATGAAACTATTCCAGACAGATTGGCCTGTTTAGGAAGTTCGGTTGAGCCAGGAACGGGCGGTGGGTTGAGCGTGACTCTTCGTTGGACTCTGGAATGATCTGAAGAATCAGTCCTGTCATCTGAAGACGTGGATCTTCTGGGATGAGGTCGAGTGAAATGCTTGAGTTCTAGGGCTTGAGAAGAGGTCTCTTGGGTCCTGTTTTCTTGAAGAGCCACTTGAGGGGTCCCCTCGACCGGTTCGTCGGTCCTGTCAGTAGGCGAAAACGGGGTGGAGCGTCTTGGATGACGACGGGTGATTCTATGGAGGTCTTGCACTTCAGAAGGCGTCGTTTTTTCTCGAAGCTCCAGAGGCAGCGTCCCCTGTTCGTCTGACGTTGCCCAGGGGAATGCGAAGCATGACACCGAGGTGAAAAGTGTCAAGAACAGCAAAGCACGCATTTCTGCAAAAAGGAAAAGTCTTATTAAAGCCCAAAGAAAGGAGAAACTCACTGAAAGCTGAAAGAAGAATGAGGAATCCTAAAAGGCTTGGAAGAACAAGCCGAGGATGGAGGAAAACCCATTGGTCGCTTCTTTTATACCTGAACATGTTTAGTATTTTCTAAATATTAGCTGATTATCAAATTGCAGCAACGGAACAAGTGAATGGCGTGATGTCATGAGTCAAGATGTCCTTTGAAAGATTGAAAATAGACACAAAAAAATATAGATATTGTTGTAAGCACCGTATCGAGAGCTTATCAGTTAGCGCTCAATAACCAAACAAATTTGTGATTCTTCACGTGCAGAAAGGTTCTTGGGAATACCGCTGGAAGTGTAGGAAAATTGCGAAGCTCTTCGTTATGAACGTACCTTTTTTGAATATTTTTTCCAGCCGCTTGCAGAAATTTAAATTTCTTTTATCAAATCAAAAAGTCATGGAAAACTTGTGAGTTTTATAAAAAAAAGGCAAGTTAAAAAATTATGTATTTGTTCAATATGTATTCCTCAAAAATTATTTCCAAGTAAGTCAGTTCATTCCTAAAATATGTGAAATTTTAAAGGAACTCAATAAAAAAAAGGTTTTTCATTTTGAATTGGGAGGGTTTTGGTTTCCGGAGCAATCGATGAGTTTTGCAGACGAGGAAGATCATTTTTCTATCACTTGGAAATCGAGAATTTTCGGAAATTATCATGACACTCCTTAAAGTACTGTAAAATAGTGCCTGAGAGTCTCACCATGAACTAAATTCTAATTTTTGAAGAAGAACGACTCAAAGACAAAGAAGGTCCTCGAAACCCATTAAAATAGGCCATATCGGGGCTTTGAACCCTCAAAAACTAGTCCCGAACCGCAAAGTAAATTGATATCTTTTGTGAAATGATTTGAAGATCTTTAGGAAGAGCCTGCTGGTTTCAGATCTCGCAACAGATCCAATGATATCTTATGTGTCGCTCCTCAAAAGCTCGAAAAAACTTTTTTGTCATGGCCAGATAATAGCGTACCAATTTGGCTTCAAATCTCGATAAATAGCGGGGAACATATTTTTTTAGTCTAAAATGAACACTCCATAAAGTGCAGTCCTCCAAGGTTCATTAAATTGGAAACCAGCTACCAAAAAACCGTTCTTTGTTAGAGTTTTGGCCATCTCACTGATAAAATTTTTACATTGTGAAATTCTAATCTTGAATAAATTACTGAAGTTTTCAGTCCCCACTGTCCAAGAGTGGCATATTTTGCAGAAGTCTGTTGACCTTTGTCTATAGGGGCACCACCGAAGTTTTAGCCCTCTAGGGAGCACTATTACGCCTCCTATAAGGTCTCTTTTCCAAAACCTCTCTAGGGACCACTCTCAAAACAGCGGGTGACGAATAAAAACTGCTTACAGTTCTCTTTCTCGTGTATGCATTGGTTTTCCTATTTTTGTGCTGGTTTTTTTTCATGCTCCGAAAAAGGACAAGATGATCTACGAACAATTCTTGGTCAACAAAATCCCGCAAAACGACGATCAACCCTTCAATTTTTTTTTGCGTATGTTCAATATTCGATGCCTTTTTCCTCTGCAGTTTTTTAAGCCTGCTGATAAAAGAATTGTAAGGAAACCGCGCTTTATTCTATAACGTTGAACCCGTTTTCAGGTTCAAAAGCTTTCAAAAAAAGATCTTGAAACTTGAAATAGCAGAATTTCATCACTCTACTCTTTCCACACAGATCTCTGTTGTATAAATATAACCAATAAGATAAAAAGTCAAAATATTTATTGAAAGAAATGAATATGACGTGATTATGTGATTTGGGAGATTTGAACATTTTTACATCGTATACTTTCTTTAGACAGCTGGTGAGACCATTGTCGGAGGAACTTCGGTGGCTCTGGTCCGTCGGTGAGGGAAGGTCCAACCGTGCGGCAGAGTGAACTTTTTGAGCCAAGGAGGCAGAGTTGGGAGATGAAATCGCTCCGCGGAGGCTTGACTGTCATCTGGAAAGATTCCTGTGTCAAGAGGATCTCGTGGATTCAGAAGCTCACCTCCTGGTGTCGTGCGTCGTTCCAAAGAATCTGTTTCCCGACTTTGAGCCTCTTCTGGAGCATCGCTTGAAGTGTGTGAGCTTCCTAAAAACGAATAATTGTAATTCAGCCGGAAGATTCGAAATCAACCTTTTGGGGTAGTATTGTTCCGTCTTCTTCGGTTTTGTTCTTTAGTAGCATCACTGTACTTGATGTCATTAGAACCAGTCGGAGCAGCTGTTTCAGCTTCGGCTTCTCCAGCAGTCCGGGCAGTGGCTGGAGGACGAATTTTGGACGAATCCGGTGTCGATCGATGAAACTCTTGTTCAGTGTGTCCACTGCCTTCAAGCTCATCTAAAGTTCGAATTTTTAACCTTCCATGAATGTTTTTCTCTATACCTTCTCCAGGAGTCGTGCGCCGGCTCAAAGAGGCAGTCTCTGTCCTTTGAACAATTTTCGGAGGGGCTGGAGTTGATCGATGTTTGAGGATGAGATTGGAATCGTTTCGAGAAGGTAGGGTTGGAGCGGCATCTTTTCCAGGTGTACTTCTACGGTTCTCCCTTGCCGCTGACTCTGGAGTCGAGGGGTTTTTGACAATGAGCTTGGACCCGTCTGAAATGAAAAATGAAGAGTGTTCGTTTTCCTTGCTCATACCTGGAGTAGTTCTCTCTGATGAAGTTCTATTCTGTCGTCCTTCTGAAGGTTCTGGAGAGTAGGCGATATCGCTTTTTGGCGCTTCGGTGGTTCGAGGAGGCGGTTTGCGGAATCGCGAGTTTCGAGTCGTCGTTCGATGATTCTTATTTACGACGGCTGTGTGCCCATCTTCTTCTGTAAAATCCCAATTACTTTGATTCAAAGACTTCAGGCAAACCTCCAGGCGTTGTGCGATGACCGAGCGAGTCGGTCTCGTGTTTCTGCTCTGATAGAATAGCCGTCGAGCCTTTTCCATCATAAAACAGGGCATCGTCGGTAGCGGGTGAGCCCGTAGGGAGACGAATATCTTTGCGAGGCGTAGTGTGCCTTCCGAGACCGTCCGTAGGGGAAGGAAGTCTGGTGACTGGCATCGGAGTTTTCCCTTCTTCGTTGTTGAACAGGGACCAAGTGGGCAGGATCGGGAGTGTGTAGGGCACCCACCAGTTGACAGGCTTGTCCTTTTTAGCTTCATCTTCTACTGAACGCTTCTCTCTGGGAGGGTCGATGGTAGAGGCGTCGGGCATGAGTTCGGCAGCGGCCTGTTCGAAACCGAGAGATCGCTTCACTCGGACTGGGGATCCAGTTGTTCTGTGATGGAACGCGAAGGCTTCAGGTGTACTTCTATGATGCAGATTGCTGGCGTCACTCGTTTCCTTTGGAGCCGGCGAAGATCGTCGTGGATGACGAGAGAAGCGTCCGAAGTCTCCAGAAGGTGGATCTTCTGTCGGAGGCTTTACTGGAGACGACTCCGACTTGTTTGAAGGAGGAAGTAAGAAGCCCGTCGCCATTGCGACGAGCGAGAAAAGTAGAAGGCCTCGCATCTGAAAAGTCTTCTTAGCAATGGAAAAATAGGAAAAAACTTACTTTAAAGCTGAAAGCAGAAATCCAAATTGGCTTGATAGTACAAGCCGAGGATGACTCTACCTCTTTCTTCATCGCTTTTATACCTCCTTTTTTAAACTGTTTGTATAAACACATGCTTCTTTATCATTTTGTGTTGTCCCAAAAAATATGAAGCCCTTATCTTTATTTTATATTTTGACAATTTTCGATTAGACGGTCATTGGGGTTTGATAAGATACGATAAAAGGAAACTTTTTGCAAATTTTGCAAATTATTAAAAGACAACTTGAAAAGATCAATCGTTCAAGCTGCCGAAAATAACAGAAAGATACTCGGGAACGTCAGAGTGGTACCTAGGTAGATTGAGGAAAGAAAAACCCCTACAGGGGATAAAAATTTAAGTGGACCCTATAGGATTTTGGCGTCAGACCATAAGCCCCTGGAGATAAAGTGGTCACTATAGTGCTCTTAACCCTTTTTATTATGAGTTGAAGATTGCCTCTTTAGAGATCACTCTGGCATTGGTAAGTACTTCAAAAAAATATACAGAAAAAAACCTTATTTCAAAATGTCAAATTCAGGAAAAATTTATATCTTTTTTTATTACTTCAAATAAAAACTATTCTAATAATCAATTCGATAGAGTTTTTGTTTTTTTGTAGGAAACAAAAATGAACATTTCCATTCAAAAAAAGGAGCTCTTTCTAATTTTTCCTGCTGGATTTTTTTCATTATATTGCCCCAATTTTTGCTTGTAATTCTTTTGAAAACCCATGAAAAGCTTCTAGATTTTAAGATCATCGAGAAGGCTTCACATTTTAAATATTTTTAAGCCTCCATCCACTCATCAGATCCGACTTTTCATGTTTGTATCTTTTTTCACCGTTAGTCATTCATATTTAATTTTCATATAAAGCTTACATGATAGCTTTGCACAAGATATTGTTCTCATGTGTTTTTCAGCCTTATCTCAGACGCCAAAACGTCTGGACGATGTCAAATATTATCTTTTTCACTACCAAAATGATGATGGCATCAATGGCCCTTGATAATATTTACCGTAGAGTGACATGCTTTCTGGTTCTTAGCGTTCATTTTTATTTACACCAAATATGACAGAAAAACAAAAAATAAAAATGAGAAATTAAGTATCACGTAGAAAGACACCGTATGGTCGAGGAGAACTGACATGTGGGGATCAAATGAGAAAAGAATGGAAGGAGTTTCAGAAATCGAAAGGAGCGACGTCATCGGCGAACTGAGGCTCGTCGAGCTGGAATCCGTTGAAGGCGTCGTCGAACAAGGGCGACTGAGGGATCAGCTCGCCGTCGAAACTGTCGTCGAACATGGGCTTCTGCTGAGGACCGTCGAAGGGAGCACGACGAGGACCTCGACCTTCTGGAGCGTTGAAAGGACCGCCACGACGTCCTTCCATCGGCGGTCGACGCATCCTTTCTGGCCCGTTGAAGAAGCGTCTCATCGGAAGTCCGAAATCATCTGAAGGTCGGAGTCCGGCCATTTTCGGGAAGAAGAAGAAGCCTCCTGGAACGATGTGCATATCTTCTGGAGGTCCTACCGGACCCCTTCTGGGTGGGAATCTCATCCTCATCGATCCTTGAGTCATCATCATTCTCAATGGACCGAATCTATCGAAAGGAGTGCTGACAGGTCTTGGCTGACGTTCTTCCGAGCTTTCAAGCTGCTTTGGGATGGGTTTCTCTACTTCGGCTTCTGGTCGATTTCCATCGTCGTCTTGAGGTTTCAGATTGGCAGATCCTGGGACAACTTGGACTTCCTCGGGCTTTTCAGGTGTCTTTTCTTCGGGCCGCTGGCGCATTTTCTTAGAGAGGAAGAACAGAGCTCGGGACTCCTGGAAAATGCTTCATTTTTATAATATCTCTTTGTAACTAGTAAAGATAGTATTTGAAAAGGAATTTTTGCTAGAATGTTTGAAAAGCAAATGTTCAGAATCCTCAGTTTTCCAAACACAAAAATAGAAAAGTAGTAGTGGCAGGCTTTTTAAATGTTTTTTTGCTCGAATAACCATTCGGGTCTTGGTTTGTGAATAGTTGATAATATTTCCAGATTCAATAAATATAAAAACAAAGCCGATGCCGAACCTGTGGGAACTTCTCAACGACCTTCTTGATGGCCTGATGTTGTTCGGCACGAGTCTGCTGCTCATTGTGCAAAGCTTCTTCGAGAGCTTTCTGCGCGTCGGGAAGCTGGCTGACCAGCTCGGCGATGTTCTTGCTCAGCTCCGCTTTCTTTTGAGTCATATCAGAGACAAACTCGGAGTATTCTTGCTGAAATGATGACTTGCGAAAAGTCTAATTCTCATCTACTAACCGAAACGTTGTACTTTTCAGCCCATGCGTTGAACTGCTTGTTCTGCTGGGCGATGGTCTCGTTGCTGCCCAAGATGTCAAAGAAGTCGCGTCGGCCGTCGAAAGAAACTTTGCGAAGGAAAGAAGGAAGCGGAGGCCGGGGTGGTCCTGGACGACGTCCGCCTCGGCCTCTTAGAGGGAGAGGGAACGGAGGTGGCGGAAAAGGTCCTGGAGGTCCTGGCCTTTCCGGTGGTCCTCCTGGTCCAGGCCGACGCTCTAGAAAGTCAGGCTTGTCCTCGACGCTGTTGTCCTCCCACGGCATCCGCTTCATGGCCGCGTCGACGGTCAGCGCCGTCAGAAGAACGATCGCCACTGATCGCATCTGGAATTTCAATTCTTTTTGAAGCTGGATGTAGACCGTGAGTGAAAAAGATGATTGAGTAAAAACTATGGCAGGTGTCTAAAGAGAACAACTAAAAAAATAACTTTTTTTCTTTAAAAAAATTGATTCACTGTGATTTTTTTAGAATAAGAATTTTTAAAAAAATAAACACAATACTCACTTTCTAATAAAATGACAAAAAAAGTTGACTATAATGAACTTTTTAAATTTCCTTTTTGAAGGGCTGAGACCTTTGTAACAATTCCAGATTAAGAAAAATATCATGCTCCGAAACGATAAAAAAATAAACGGAGGGAACATGATGAAAAGAATGAAACAGAAAAAATAACTTAAAAGATACCATTTTCAAAAGGTATAATCAACTTTCAAAACTAATCATCCGTAAGAAATATTGACTAAGGATGTCAAATCTGAGAACTCAAAATGAAGTTCGAAAAGCAAACCGAAAGCTCTGTTCGTGGTCAATTCCCTGACAGAGAGCCCTTAAAAGCGCAACGAGACGTGGGAACCGCATAAAAAAAGACAGCGAGGCAGAATGAAGTTTTGAGAGACGCAGAGAGCAAACAGTAATTAAGAAAAGGAAAAACGCCGTCCAAAAATCCTTCCGTTTACTTATCCGCGCCGGTCAGACCTCCCCGGTCGCGTCAAAAGCCGCTCATT